AAGGTTCCGCAGAGGCAACCTACAATCATGAGCAGAGTGACGAAAATAACAATTAACAATCGAAACCCCTTTTTATTGAGGAGATGAGGAGAGGTATAGTTTGGTAATGGACTCATCAATTCGGTCATTATCCTTATCCCCATCTCATCACACGTGTCAATCAACTTGCTCAAGAGAGACATAACAAAACAATAATGCACAATTTTCATCTTGATTCAAAAAATTCTGGATATAATATTTTAATCGACTTGATAGCATTGTGATGGTGGAATATGTATGTAGTAAGTACGATTTATGTGCTCGGTTTAAATTTTTAAAGTGTGGCATTTTCTTCTCCCCTGTAAACCTATTTCGGCTATTCTTTAAAAAATAAGCATTTTAAGTATTTAACCACGAGTACAAAAGTTACAAGAAATCTCGTACAGGAATTTTCAAATATGTAACATTTTATTTAGATAGCAGGCACAGATGGGAATTTCCTTGATTTTATCATCGATATAGATTTGAGATCAACCATTACTATAATTGATTGATTGTTGGAATGCGGATGATAAATAAAATAATATGTATAATAAAAGTAGAAGAAAGTTGCAAATTACCTGCGCTCGTATGTCCGCATGATGTGCAGTATGGCATTATGTATTTTCTAGCATTTTATCTCTCGAAGAGCATTTCCTATGCATATAAAATGTACGTAAGTAAAGTACTGCTGCGATGCCACTACGCTTGCCATGCCTGAGATGAGATGGTTGCAAAAGATAAAGTGAAGAGAAAAGTGATCCATTTTGTGATGTGATGATCGTGAAGAGAGATACATTCTTTGTATCCGACCCACGATTTGGCCCTTGGCTCGAGTTCACTTGCTTCACGTGGAGTTGGTGGGTCCTCACAAACACAGAATCCTTACCGATATTCTTCTCCATTTGGTGTGCATATACGTACATAATACACTGCCGCCTTCAATAAGAAATGGAAAGACGTAAAGAGTTGACCTGTGTCTAGTTTAAGCCTGGGAAATTATTTCTTGGCATAAGTACATATGAACTGCCCCATTAATTCGCGAGAAAAGAGAGAGAGTCGAGTCCTTAGTTAAAGAAGCCAATATGTAATATGCTTAATATTTCTTTTTAGTAATTTTATAGTGGTATTTATACATGAAATTTCCCAACTATGCATAAAAATACCAAGCTGCTTTGACAAAGACAAAACTTTGTCTGGAAAAGTTCTCAATTGTGTTAGTTGAATAGCTGGAAATGTCTTAGATTTTCTCAGAGCCCGGATTGGGCTCTTGTGGAAAGTCGCCGATTGTGGTGAAGGAGTCTCGAGTTCGATACCTGCATTCAAACACCAAGCTGAATAGTAATACTATATATTCAGTTTGTAAAGTAATGCAAAATTGATAGTGTGACGCGGGTTACCCCCTTCCACACTTGCGAATTCAATTTTCTGTCTGAAATTCTTTATAGTTTTTGAGATCTCAGTGGTTCGAACATATTTTTTTAAATTCTGATACGATTTCAACAGTGCTTGTTTCTCATTAATGACGAGTTTAAGTAAAAGAACTATATATTTCCCACCCACCAGCTAAGTAATAATAAATACATTGGAATGAGAATCCGCCTCTCACATCGTCGTCATTGCAATTAAACTTTTGTCTCCGAATTGGTTCCATGGTGGTGAGAAAAGGAAGACCAATTGTTTTCCCATCAATTCACAAATTTCGTAAGTGTGTTGCCTTTTGTCCCACAATTACGCACATCTTGGGGGGCTTCTGTTGTCTTGTCCTTATTCTTAAACAGATTCTTGGTATTCATGCATTTTATGAAGATTTTACTTTAATTTCAAAATCGATGCTGTTCTTCGGAACGCTGAAGTTTCAAAAGTTTTTGAGAAATTAATTTTTCTGAAATGCATCGGGCGGGTACAGGAATTTTTATTATTTTTTAGAGCATTAATTCGGCTTACATATGCCATTATAGCTGGTATATCATATGTGCATGCATATATTGCTCATATGAATGAGGACAAAACGGTGAGAGGTGTGGGAACCTAATTTTTTCACCCCACTACTGTCTTTGAAACAGTGAATGAGTTGCGTTGGTTGGTGCTACGTGTGCATGGTGAGTTTGGTGCGAATAGAGAAAAGGAATCATTAGCTGAACATCATCTTGTCCAACAATGAGCAGTATTGTTTCGGGTGTTGAGTGGCTGGCGCAATGTAAAATAATAATAATAATACCCGTTCAAAAAGGCGACTCTCTCGACACTTACTTTCAGCTTTTTGTTTGTCTCCTCATTCATTTATTATTCAATTATCTCATTCTCACCCACATGTACACAACGCCACATGATGCTTCCAGACGATACTTAATGATGGCACAATATACATATGCATATGTGCAGTAGTTTGAAATGCATTAAATTTTACATGTGCAACTCGGGCCTAAATTTCTCAGCATAAAATAGTAAAGTCCAGATTTAGGTCATTATTTAAATAATTTTGTGCTCTTGGACTCGAAAAATGAATACAGGATCTCTTGTGGACGAGCCCTTTAGCAGAGATACCTGCAGTTTTGAAGTGTTTTTAATTTTGTGTCTTTTACACGTTACGAACCTCGACATAGTTCCGTCAGCTCCATGCCTGCAACAATACTTTTTGTCTGTGCGGTGTGTATTATCATCAAATCTCACATCGCATTAATTCGTTTCATTATCCCAAATTACAAACTGACTCACTCACACTGCGTTCCCGGTGTGAATATGATTTTAATAAAAAGTTTTTGTTCTTTAATTCGATTTGATGACACCACCGCTACCGAAATCTTTTCGCTCGCCATTTTTTCTAGCCCACTTTAATTACGTTGCATTAGCATCACCATTATTCCTCCGCACCGACCCTGTCCATATTTAAGTACATACGCTACATATTTACATACATATATATAATAAATATGTGATGAGAAAGTCTTGATTGATCCAAGCTATTTCTATTTTTTATGGAATTGTAACATTTTAAATAATTGGAACATGCACAATAAAATGTTTTAATTTGGACGCAACCATACGAGGCCAAAACTACGTATTACGGAAGAAATGAAGTCATCTCATCTTTCTCCGAGCCGGATCCATTCCCAATTTTTCTCCCCTTGACTTTGATTGAACTTGAATCGATTATTGGATTTGTATTTTTTTATTGGAGCATAACTCGCCTTTATGGCGATTCAATCGAGTCGGCATCGGCTTTCTCAAAGTAAAATAAAGTTAAAGGTGGATGATTCCTGTCGGTCACTTCACTCGTTGCTTGCTTTGCTTTACTTTGAAGTATTTGATGAGATTCAGCGACTTATTTCGAGTTGGTCAGTCAGTCAGTCATGTTGATGTTGACGTGGAGGATTGGATTGAAGTCGGACCCCTGGTCTGAGTGCGACATGGATAGGAACAAGGGCGTGGTTCTGCTGATAAATAAATATGTGACGCGCAGGAAGAGAGAGAGAGATCATGTTGCATAAGATTGAATAATAATAAGACAATAATCTGTATTTTCTTTTCCAATTTTTATTGAGTTTGGGCACGCGAATGTGAAAATCATCAGATAAGAAGGGTGATTCCGTTTCAATTCTTTGTTGTTTAAAAAAAAACATGTAAAAATGGATTAGAAAGTTGTTAAGAAATCTTGACTTTCCTCTTGTGTTATCATTTTCTTCTGTAGTTCGCACAAATTCTACATAAAAAAATAAATATCACAATGAGCGTGTATCTACTTATCTACATATCTAGCAGCATTTACTTTTACTTGGTGGCGCAGAGCATTATAAAGTGTGTGCCCTGGATGAAATGATTAATGATAGTGTTGAGGAATTCCTGGGCAGCGAGGAAATGAAAACGGTCACCATCCGTCTTGCTCTTGTCCTCTGCACTGGGGTTGACACACGGGCATTTATATTGGTTGGACCATTATTGTAACTTTTATTCTTGTATATATTTAGCCCAGTCAGTCCACCAAATAGCTCCTCGGTCGAAAGATGAGATGCGAGTAAGCAGCAGGTGGACTAGATTAGAATTAGGATCAGACAGACGGACCTATGTACGATGTATATTGTAAAATATGGCAGGTTTAGTTAGTGACTTTTTACAGATCCCAAGCTTGATTTGGGATCAATGCTATTGTTGCTCAATTGTTAAATGAGGCAGGAATAATTCTACCGTATACATGCGTCAGTCAACAAAGGAATTTATACATATGCAATAGCAACCTGTAGAAATATGTATGTATGTGGATATAATGCACGCTATACAAATATTTAGAATCAATCTACATCTGCACACAATAGTAATTTTCTCCAATTTCTAAATTATTGGTAATTTTCTTCCAGTAAAACACAAAGTGCGAGTACGTTGAAAGTGATACGAAAAATATATTTGTTCTCTCAAGCTTTTACAAGTACCAACAATATCTAATTTGTTTCGATAAGAGGATTTCCCCTCGATTTGCAAATCGCTAACTGTATCCTGCACTAAATACACGCTTTATGCATGCAACCATCAATCTGTCCTGCTTAGTGGGGATTTGGCGACAATTGACAATAAACAATTTAGATGAGTAATTGTCATCAAAAAGTCAGACTTTTTCTTCTTCGTCCTGATCCGGATCTTTATTTCTTGACAGAGTGCTCTATTGTTGTGGCTGCAATGCATGTACGTATCTGTCTTGTTGGTATCTTTTACCATGTACCTTCGTCCCTCGTTCTCAGGAATTCATCTACATGGACATGCGGACATCAATATCGATATCTATTGAGTCGAACTGCATGGGAATTATGTATTAAATGATGGACTATGACCACCTACAACGACTCGGCGTCAGACGGATCCAACTCACCATTGTTTCACTTTTAATGTTCATGTTGAACAAGAATATGATCCACGTTTTTTTCATTTGGTTTTGTTACAAAGTCTGTCTCATTTTTCAAAGTTCTCATTTTCCCCTTTTTCTTTTGCAGGAGGATTTGCTTATTCACGGCGACTCAGTTTACGACATAATCGACAAGGCAGATCACGGCACGGTACAGACGGAATTGCTTCGGAATTCTCCTGGCAGTGGTGGGAACGCGTCTTCACTTCCGGGAGAAGAATCTCGTCTATTTCTTTGTCGTATGAATGTTTCGAGGTACTTAGTCCCTACCTATTGTCGAAATTTATGTTTATTTTTACCTGCCTGTGAATGTGTATGTACGAATTTAGCAGTTGAAAAGATATGTACTAAACTTATTTTATTCCAGAAATGCAAGAAGGCAGATGCGATTCGGTGATCAGAAGGTACGTGTATTTGCAAGAAATACAACAAGAAATCAAATTTTAATTAGTTTTTGCAACAATAATACGGTACAAAAAAGTCTCCACCTTGGCTCATTCTAATTAAATAATTACAGTCACATTGTTACGAGGACCATAGGGGGTAATTAAAAGAGCGCATTGTTACCTTAGTCTATATGGCTGCATATTTATCCTTGGGTACATACATGCATACATTGTTGCAAAAAGATGCAGCACGCAGCCATTTTACATAGTCTAGTAATCATGTGAAACCAAATTTTGAAAATCATCTTGCGTGTAAGTATTCTAGAGACTTAACGTCGTATGTACACTGATAGAACTCTACAGAAAAAGTTAACAAGTAGATCAACTTCCAGAAGTAAGCGTAGCAAATCAGTGGACGTGTCCATTACACTAAATAAATAAAGTAATGGGTGAACTCGTTAGGGAGATGACAGCTTTATTAAAGGGCAAATTTTTAACCTGTTACACCGACATGGTCACATTCTCTGCCTTTATGGCCATTACACACATGCTTCACCTTATGAAGCAGCGTACTTCGGGAGCAATCCAATAAAATAAGTCAGGTCCACTCTTCATCTCTGGTCTGGTCCTACTCCTATGTATGAACTGAGCTAATGATAATGAGCTTCAACTTGGTAAACAAGCATCAAATCAGTGACACAAAGTCAAAGTCGACCGTTTTCCGAGATTGAAATTTTATAACGAGAGCAGTCACCCCTGTTTATCTATCCTTCATATTAAATATTACCGTCCGACATTTCCCATGCACAAATTGAAAAATAATGCTAACAAAATAATTTGAAGTTAAAACTGGTTTGGTTCGTGCCAATTTGTTGGCTTTACTTATGTGCATGTACTTTTTTAGGTGGTGCTGCTCCAAGGCCGGTACTTGTCCTATCTTCCCCTGTGTTCGAGAAATGAGCCCGTCTTTATCGGGTCTTGCACCCCTGTCGCGATGCCGGAAACTAGAGAGGTATGTAAATATAACTGCAAGATGCCATATACATAATATCCAGGATAAGGTTAAATGTAATGCATAATTATAATTCTGCAGAGTGTCGTCCAAGGCGCTACGAACGTCTTTACCACAATCCACGCCATGGACATGAAGTATATGAATTGCGACAAAAAGTGAGTTTTATTATTTTTATTATTTTCGGTTTGCTTATGATTACTTGGGTAAAATATTTTCTGAAACGTATTCAAAATACTTGAATATTTGATACAAAATCTTTCGAAACACCCATCCTGCTACCACCGGCGGTCCGGTCTCTCATAAAATATTCGACTTTAATTAGACAACTGTTTGGATTGCTTTTTATTGTATTTTATTTGTACGCCTTCGTAATTTACATTTCTTCCAAAGAAGATTGAGTTATCTTAGAGATGGTAACAAAAAATACAGAAAGATGCAGATGCAGATGCAAATTACGCTTTACGCTCGAGTTAAATAAATGAAATAGGTGTCAATATGTCAAATCCTTCAATTTCCTGCAATAATTAACATGTCTTCTTCTTCCGATTCCTATCTCGATCCAAGAGTATAAAAAACTTGAATCAAATATAACATGAAAATTGTGAAGTAATTTCATCTTTTGTAAATAAACGTATTTTTGATCATATCCTTGATAAGATAAAGGGAAGCTGCTACTTTGGGATTACATTTTTTTATTGAGGTTTACCCCGGCATAGAAGAGAACAATTATTGTTAACTAATAATAACGGACGTCATCCAGCTCTTGTTTGTAACTGAGCTCGGACAAAAAAAAACATTAATTAACTTTTGCCTCTGTTGCTGCCTCCATTTCATTATTGGTGTTATTAAAACTGATCCAGTTCTTTATTGTTGTTCTTCTTTTCCCTCTTTGTGAGTATGCATGTGTAAGACTGCATAACTAGGAAGGCTAGCCGATGAGTTTTCAAATGTGATAAGTAGTGTGGTAATGATGGCAAAGGGTTATATTTTAAGTCATTCTTCTTGCGTTGGAGGTGTCTTTTTTTCTATGTATTTGGAAAAGTCTTGTTCATTTGGTTAAGTTGCCAGTTGGAAAACCCGAATTTTTCCGAGCTTGCTTCAAAATTTAGAATAAGAGTGGAGAGTACTTGCTATTTCTCATTATTGTCCAATATCCTCTGAAGGAATGAGTTTAAGCAGTTATTTAGCCGAGAGATTGAACTTATAAGAATTAGTGGGCGGAACACAATTAAAAATTTTCTTGCTTTGTTTTCTTGCATCTTCTCATCCTCGCGAGTCGGCTTCTTTACTCTTCATTCTGGTAATATCGCTCTCCTTCTTTATTCTCGTGGCTGTGCTAAACCCCTTCGAAGGGACGATATTTATTTGAAATCCTCCAGTATTTATACATGTCTGTGGTACCTTGAAGGTGTGTACCCTTACAATAAATTACAGAATATTTTGACAATACTCTTAATAGTATTGGTTAAACATGTACACGTAAATATCCATGCAAGTATTTGCTACAGATCCGTATTTGAAAATCTGCAAAATAAATAAAATTCCTACTTATGTATTTAAGTATGTATAACATTATTGCTCTTTATTTTCTGAGCTCTGCTTTTAATCCAACCTTAATAACAATTATTAATTAGTGGGCGTCTCAAATTTTCTGGAGCAGATGAGCGTGAGAAAACCATTTAACGCTAGCACCGGACTTTAGAGTTTGAAGCCAATTTATCATACTCTTTGTAATTAATAATGCTTCATTTTCATCACTTATTTACCTCATAAAATTTGTTGCACTCGTCTCATCACCTTTCTAAAATTGTTTATAAGTTGTACACAATGGACGGAAATTAATTTCCGAATTTTACTACTTTTTTTGTTTCATGATCTTCGTACTATTTCCGCCGAAAATCTCACGCTTTTTACGATTGAATGAATGAATGCGAATACCACAGAAAGAAAATGATCATGTTACCATCATTAATTTTTTTTATGTCTAATGACTTTTTATTGATTGATTATTAAGGATCGTGATTGATTTTTGTTTTATTTTATTTTTTGTCCACAGTGGGGAACACTATTTAGGTTATAGTCGACAAGAGCTGGGAGGAGTGTCGTGGTATCACCTCGTCCACTGGAACTACATGAGAGAGGCGCAGGGCAAACATCGACTCAGTAAGTTTTTAAAGCTAAATCTTCAAAAAGCTAGAACACAATTCAATAAGTACTGACTGACAAATATTTGAACATTACACAAAATTATATTTGACGGACGATCACAACAGAAATAAATAATAATTCTTATCCTCGGCATTTACTCGCTAATATATCTGCATGCCGTCATCTTTCACTACTCTTCTTCTCTAGTCAGTTCATGACTTTTCGTGATTTATTCGCCGTTCCTCCCTTTGCAATCATGAACAAATTCACCCAGTTATATGCACGACTTTAGGTGCACACACATTTACAAGTATCAACCCATCTAGGAAGATTACAAGTGCACATAATTTCAAACCATTTTATTTAACTTATTATACATGTTTGCGGAAAACTGTACATACTGTAAAATAAAATGTGACTTTTGTGACTATTTACGTATGTCTTATATCCACTGCAAACCCCTTGACTGTCCTTAGCTTTAGTTTGAATGAATTAAATTCCTCTCACAATTTATGTAGTTGACGTCTTCATGATTTGATTAAAGACGCCGATATCTGCTATTTCCGTGTGATGGATGATGATCAAAGTGAATGATTCTTATTGATCATCATCATCGATTATATTATTACTAGCATCATCGAATCACTGCGTTTTGCGTCCATGCATAGCATTGCATTGCATTGATTCATGATGATGATGACACATTATGTTCCATTAGATTATGTCCAATTGAGAGAAATGATGATAATAACTGTCAAAGTCAAGAGCATTTATATTCCTCTTCAAGAAAGATGACGACACAATAACTGCATTTGCTTTGGTGTACACCTCACTCCCGCTGGGGTTTGTTTTCAGTCGTTTTCGCAAGTCATTGATTAAGAACAGAGAAATAGAGATAGATAAAGAGAGAGACAAGAGAAGAAGATGAGATGATGGTTTATTAAACGGAATGACGAGTTATCAAATTAACAGAATTATTTTGCAATTAAATAAGTCAATCAGTTGGTATTAAACGTCAAGTCGAGATGAATTGAGGTATTTATAATATTATTACGATGTGTTTGCAGTAAGTCAGTCCGACCAAGAAAAGTCGTGCATCCTTCTCCTTAGAATGGAAACTCGCGGAGGGGAGTGGTTATGTAAGTTGATTTTCATTTCATGTACTTTTTAATTCTAAAAAGTGCATTTTGCAACAACAATGAGTTTATGAGTATTTGAAGAAATTATTCACAATCTCAACTGACCGAGCTGATTAATTTTCTCTTCATAACGCTATAACGGATGTGATATCTACTATACATTTGCCATTTTTTGACATGTTTAATAAACTTTAGGGGTTCACTGCGTCCTCCAAGTGAAGGATGGGACGGATTCAAACTCTAGTTCACAGCCCCACCCCACTCAGTCCGTCATCGTGGCCACGAACCAAGTACTGAGGTAAATCATACGGATTGATACATGTACATATACGTACATACATAATTGCAATCTTTGATTTCTCATTGTTTTTTGCACGGGTGACAGTATATTTTCTGAAATGGTAGCGTATATGGTGTTTTTGTTAGTTGTTTGGCACAAGAAGTTGCATAAGCATAAGGTCACGCTTGGATGTACGTTTTTACCTACAGCGAAGTCTTTTTGTAATCAGAGACAATGCACCCTTTTGTGATTTCTGGGTGTCTGGTGTGTCTCCTTTTTCATTCATTAAGAAAAATAAGAGAGAACCAGAGGAAAAGACAATCATAGGAATTTGGGCTGAATGCAACTGTGACCTACAGGATTTGGATGGGAATTCGAATCTGTGACAAATTCTTGCATTGCACATAAACAAATTGGTCCTAAGTAGAAATGAAACAAAATGCCAACATATATACAATGCAATACAACCAACTTTAAATAACTGCACCGGTTAATTTCCCAGTAAACACTGAATATTGCGTTATATATCAATGGGATGAATTACAGGACTACGTACTTGTTGCATTTCAAGGTTTTTCTGATAAAATACCTTTTGCACTCTGCTAATAGTAATAAAAATATGAGACGACTTTTACTTATGGATATTCAATCTTGACAACTGCAGCCTCAGACGAGGGTGAGATTCAGGAGATGAACATGAAATTCTGACCAAACTTGATTTTAATGTTGCACGTTGGTTGGGATTAAATGCAGTTTAGATCAAGTTGAAGGTGGAGATGTTTGGAATATGCAATGAATTAAAATTAAAAGTGCCGTTTCATTCCGTATTCAATTTCTAAAAGTGGAAGCAGCAAATCTGAAGGAAAATGCTTGAAAACTTTTAATACAAATATTGAAGTTTGGCTGTGGTGGAGACCCCCCTCGATCACCTTAACGAGAAGGGTATTCACCACACCACCAAAAACCACTATTACTACGATATACTACTTATTTATGTATATACCATTTAAATACATACAACTTCCTCTCCTTTCTTTCGATCCTTCTCTATTTTTCATTCATAACTAAATTCAAATCCTAAGCCAAAATTGAAAACGCCTCGCCAACTACTTAATTCTTGATAATTCTACGTAGGATACATCTAAATTGAAGTGATTGAATATTTATTTTCCACCAAAATCTAAACCCATTTCGACTCTGCTGCTAAATATCTGTGTGCAATTTAAGAGGAAAAATATACTTGACAATTTATTCACTACTTGACACAAAAACTTGTCAACTTGTATTATTATTATTATCATTAATCAAAGTTATTTTGGCTATTGGTCAAGTATTGGTTTCCTGTTTTATCTTTGTCAAGAATCCAATGGATTGGTAAACGAGAATGTATGCTTGCACATGCACATTACGTGTCTATAGCTCTGTCCTTACTACATTCTGTTAAATTTTTGACATGACAGCTTATTTGAGCTTTTGATACATACTTTACGGTTTGGACTGAAGTGATTTTGAAAACTCTTTTGATATTTATTTGTATTGGAGATGATGAAAATGTTTGAAAACTACAGGGCACACAGTAGCCAAACATTATAACCATACAATGGGGATGATTTGAGAAATAAGTGTGAAGTCACTGTGAAAATGCCATTGTGTTGTTTTCACTCTGCTATATGCTGAGGCTTAAACGTTGTTATAATAGTCAAGTGGATTTTTGTGAGCATGTAGCACCAACTAAATCGTCATGTGTATGTGCACTAATGTGTATGGACATAGGTACATATAAGTGGCCCCCGTTTAAATCTTTTCTCTAGCTTGCGTGTCATGCACATACGTATGAACAACATACATAAGTAGCTGGGAATTATGAAAATGAAAATATGAAAATTAACAAACAAAAAATCATAATTTGGTTCGTAATTTCAGTGAACGCGAAGCCGGAGTGATGCGCGCAAACTCTTGGTTGTACCACTACTACACTGTGCAGACAAAGTTGCAATATGGACTCGCTTATCCTGACGCTGCCACCGCGGCCGCTGCAGCCGCTGGTGCGACGGCATCACAATTACAACAATTGCAACCTTCAGCCGCTGCCAGGCTGGCTGCTGCTGCCGCGTATTTTCCCACGACCTATGACCCCACTCATTATCATCACCATCAGATGGTGCAACAAGGGTTGGCTTCGCCTCACCTTCATCATGGTCACCCCCACCCAAATGGAAATGGGTATCCCTACGGTGCTCATCCCATCCCGCATTACGCTCCGCCACACCCACACCATCACCAGTACGAACAGGGCGTTAAGTAAGGAAAACAAAATGTCTCGTTATTTTGCAGTTGTAGTTCTACGCAAAAAATGTATGTATGCATACATATTTGGTAGTAGCATGTTGTCATTTATGCACACTTTCAATCGCAGGGACAAGGAGTCTCCTCTAGATTTTAGTCTGTCGTCGTCCGCCTTCGACCCTTACACCTCCGCCGCTTCTGCCTACTGGTCTCATCACCACTCCCAGGGTCAAAGTCAGCAATACCACCACCACCATCACAATCATTCCTCCTCCACCCACGCAGCCCAATATTATTCTAACACAATCAAGACGGAAAGTGTTCTTAGTCCTTCCAGTGTAACTTCTCCTTCACAAAATCACCATCAGCAACAACAACAACAAGCCCCCCAACAGTCTTGGAGTTTGTCAATCTCTTCCTCTAAATCACAAGTGCATATCAGTACGACCAATATTTCTCCCGTGTCCAACAGCTCCTCCTCAACTTCCCTCCCGGGTAGGAAGCGTTTCAAGAAGGGTGGTTCCATGGTGTCGTCGAGTGGAAGTGAATCCTCAACTTCAGCATCGCCACCTCCATCCGTTGCACAAAGGGGCACTTTCTCCGACTCTCATCATGGCCACTCGTCCTCTTCCGCGTCAGTGGCGACTGCATCCATTTCCAGCGGTCATACGGCTCGAACTAGAAATATTTACAAAGGTCTGGATGGGGAAAACAGTTCCACCATGGTGGGAATGACGACATGTCCACTGACACCTTCTCCCGTCTGGGAAGGGCAGACTCAGAGAGTGCCAGATCTCGCAACCATTACCCATCACAGCCATAATGGGCATAGTGGACATGGTCACCCTCAAGGGGAACGAGACTTGACCTGTTATAACAACATTAATAGCAGCGAACTCATCCATTGTGTACCCACTTATCTTCCATACAGTTCAGGTGAGTACCGATAAAATGAGTGTAGTTGATTAGATGCAATTTAGCACTAAATATACTAACACATTAAAATATTATGCAGGAGTGACACCGTCGTCAATTCCAAGCACCCCCAATTTCCCAGCAGTCGCAGCATATCACCATCCGTACAGCTATGGTTTCCCTCTTCCACCTTATCACCATCTTCCCCAGGGGGATGGAAACAGTGGGGGCAGCCCGAACAAGGAAAACAGACTTCCACCTACTCCCGAGTCTGACACCAATGGTGAGATTTTAAACCAGTAATATCTTCCCTACCATGAAAATGTTCCTATTGTTTCATGAAAATTTGCAACGTTTCATACCGTTCGACATGTTTATCATAATCAGTTAAGAAAAGCCATGAGCAATAAACTACCACGTCTTCATACTTTCCTTCTGATGCCTTTTCTTTCCCACGATGCTTCTCCTTCTTCTTCTTAAAGTCCACCAAGTCGAGTCCATGTCTAGTTCGAATCAGTGAGGGTCCAACCCAGTGGAACAGGTCTTCTATTCTCTTCGCTTCTTGAATCTGGAGTTTATTAAAGGACCGACAGCTCCCACTGTGAAACCACAAAACAAAGCAACAAACAAATCTTGGTGGATGGATTCTGCTCCATTCTGTTTTTATTATTGAGAAACCGTTTGCTAAATTCTGCATGAATTCATATCCAGAAAGTTAAAAAAACGCTTCTTCATCGGGAGAATCTTGTAATTAGAAATTTCCGAAAGGTACATATGCACAGTGTGGTTTTCCGTCGTACATAGAGACCTTACCTTTCTTTGCACACCCTGCCTTTGTTCTCAAACCGGATTATTTGGATTACTACTACTTTTCAGTTTACATTAACTCTTCTTTTCTTCTACTTACGTACCTACAACGAATGCACCACCACCCGTTAAAATTAATTGAATCCGTTTCCAGAAAAGTGGAGTTAATTAATCTTTGTCTGCCAATTAGCAGTGTAACCCATGGAACCTGCTTCATGCATGCAGGCATGACTTTATTAATTTATTTTAATGAATGAAGCAACTCTTTATAATACTTAAAATTCGTGGCTTATCCGTAATAAATTATTTGGTTCAACGGGGTGAAGGTGACCCTTGCCTTGCAAACAATTTTTAACAATATTTAAAGAAAGCAAGAGATGATATACAAACAAGAAAGAAATCAATCCCAAGTAAAGTTAGAGACAGAACCTCCTCGTTTCGCATTTAGGGCACGTTCCTTCCTAAAAAGCAGAATTTTACAGAAAATTTTACCAAAAATATTTCATCTCTTTCCGTGAGAAATCTCAATAACTTTGCAAGGCGAGGAGGCAGTTTTGTATCACCGTATTAAATGTACAAACCATAAGGCCAGGAAGAAATGTGAATCTCGCTCGTCAATGATTTTAGCTTATCGTCTCTTACTCACCCTTATCAATCAGATGATGCATGCTTACAACGAACTATGTAGTATTGGTGGGCAGGAGCATATCTCATCTCAAATTACCTCTCTACCTCTTTTCAACTTGGCCATTGTTGCAATTATGTACAAGAGCATAGTTCACATAGGATTGTATCATGCAGTCTCTTTACTACATGGTCAGTCGGTTGGTTAGCTTGGGGTTTAAAGTTGCGTTGAGTTAACCAAGACTGGTTTTATGCTTGGGATACGGTGAAGAATGTGATAATGTGTGAAAATGATGGGAGTTCCAAGACTCCAACTCAAATTCACAAAATTATACAAATTCAAAAAAGCTGGTTATTATTTCTTAGTCCATATCGCACTTGGCATCTATACTTGGTCACTCTTGTTCTGGCTTGTTGTTGTGATTTTCATAGCGGAGATGAAAGAAATTCATATCATCGGTCGTCATTTAACAAACTCTAATTCTCTTGTGCACTTATATTTAAATACTTCCATCGCTGTACTGTGTGGATGACGATATTGTGATCTAAAACTCTGAGCCGTGTTTCTCATCTTGCATTTATTAATGACTTTAATACATGGATATAGATCGGTTCTTTGTTGGCTGGTTATGTGCAAGGATGGACATTGGATGATAGCCGCTTTCCCACGGTCCACTTAACTTCTAATCCTCATCTCCATGTCCAGTTTGATATTTCTTATTCTGCACAAAGGGTGCCCATGATACCTGTTTCAAGTATCTGTTCATGTTCATCATCCGTGTATGAACGTATTCCTCTCCTCAAGAATTTTATGTGGTGCATCATGTTGTACGCTTTTGCTCTTGCTTTCTCGAGTCCAGATTCAATCTCCTGATCTCACATCGCATCCTTTCCTCCCTTCCTTATTCATGGAAGATTTACACGGAACATTTCCTTGTGGAATCGATATAAGCAACCCTTCTGGTTCCTGTTAGGGGTACTACACACTCGATAATGTATTCCACCCACTCCATATTTCATAATGTGGGAAGAAATCATTTGTACGAGATACCTCTGCTTCTTTTGAACTGGAGTCAGATTATTTCTATAAAAAATTAAAAAGTTATCAACAATTTCAACATTTGGTTCGCCATGCATTAAATAATTGGCAATATTTCTACCCAATGTTATATATATTGTACAATGTACTCTTAAATTGGGATGATTTTATTCCAACTTTGGGAGATTTCAAGTTATCGCCATAAACAATTTTGCTTCTCTCCAATTTCAGAAAATGAGGAAAACAAGCCAATAAAATGGGAGAGTTTATGAGCCAAAGTGACGTCTGTGCTGGACATGAAGATATCAAATCAAGAAAACCAAACCACCACAACGCATCTACATCTATACCAAACAAAATCGCACCCAAGTTCTGTAAATCTAATTGAAATCAAGTCCAAGGCAATAATATTGCTACGTGCATACATAAATCGGATCTGCTGATCTGTTTTCCATATTTTGTGTCTTAATTACTCGGATAAAACGTCTCAATTTATTCAATTGGTTGCATTAGCATTTTTAAAGCCTTAATTTTTTATCAAAATGCCCCTCACACTTTTATGTGGAATTCTGTGTAGAATTCCAATCACGAACCCCAATAGTTCACCATTACGTTAGATAAAAAAACATCCCTTGATTCCTCTACGAAATGTGTATGAATAATGATCCAACAACTGAGTCAAAGTTCTTTTATCTCATTCTGAGTAAAGACACAAAATGAGACAAAGTTACAACAACAACAACGGTAGATATACATGCATATGCACGTAGTAAGTAAGTATGAAACAATAGGGTGAGCAGAACAACAAGCAAAGTTAGTTGGGTATTTCTTATTCATTCCTTTGCTTCACATCACAAACACAAGTATGTTAACGAAGCCCTTTTGTTTCAAAAGACAAAAAATTACAAACCACAACACAAGACAACGTGTGAGGTGAGGTGAGATGCTCATTAATTATCAACCCATTGTGGAATAGTTAAGCAGTATATAATATAGCATAATCAGGGAGAAAATGAGTAATTGCTCGATTTTGTTTAAACATGTTTAATTGTATCCATTTCACTCATGATACGGATTCTATAATTAATTAGGTATAATATTTTAAGTGAATATCTTAACCAGCTGCACTTATTTACATACTTGTGAAAGACCGGCATCGTAGTATACACACCTATGCACGAAGGCCATGCAACTTTGTCGGTGGTAGCCTAGACCAAAAATTGTGTATTTTTTTGCAAATATTAATACATAGGAATAGCTTAATTAATTTAATCAGACTGTGCATACTGTACAGATGTCAGAGAATACATCACATTAAACGCAAGCAAGGTATGACAATAGCTTTAGCTAAATTATGTGAGTGAATTCAATATATATACAGATTAAATATAAGCATATGAAATATTTGTAAAGTTTCGATACATACAATTAATTACTTATTTATGTATTGTGTAACAATTAATCAAAGAGTATGGTCACATATATTATGCGATTGATGAGATAGCAAATAAATACAAAAATATCGAAAAACATACAAGTATAAAATTCATTGGGCAAATTTTGCTTTCCACTAATTGTCACGAATCCATCCTGCATAGTGGGCAACGTTAAGATAAACTCCGGGAAAGTTGCCTCTATCGCTGCAATCCCCTTTGGTAACTCCCCACGAAACTAGACCAGCCAAATAGAAGCGACCATCAATTTTGCAAACTAGTGGAGATCCACCATGTCCCTATAATCGTCACATACTTATTTATTACATATACACAAGTTATATTTATTTAAAAAATAAAATTGCGACCCACAAATTATGCATATGTACGTACCTCGCACGCGTCTTGGCCTGGCTCGCTTCCTCCTGCACAAATGAAGCTTTTTTTGTTCAAGTGAAAGCCGGGTCCTAGTTTTCCTGTTCGTCTGAACTGATCTTGACAATCCTGGCCTGACAGTAACGACATTTTAATTTTCCGGATGATGGGGTACCCGTTTTCTCCAAAGGTTGAAAGGACGCAGCTACAAAATGCACAAAATATACATATGGACAATACTTGAATTAACAACTACTAGCCCAAACTGTTGTATTATATAACTATTGACATACTTTTTCCCACCCTGTAGAAATTCTTCCTCGTGAGGTAAGCATACTTTCCCTACTAATGGAAAAAGCTCTCCCAAATTTAAACTATTCCTCTCCAAATACAAAATAGTAACATCATTGCTTAAATTGACCCAGTTGAAATCTTTGTGCTCTGTGCTTTCTACAACCCTCGCAACTTCCGTGTGCATTCCAACCACGACAGAGTGAGGTTTACTGAAACAGAGCAATTTTATCGAATTTTAATTTAAACTGAAAACATTTATCTTGAAAAAATGCGCACTGATTTTGGAATAAATGAGCCACAGTGAGAACACGGTGAGAATCTATTAGTGCTCCAGATCCTAAATATTGGCCATCCTTCCCCAGGATTTTTACAAGCCAAGGGAATTCTCGATACAATGCCTAAAAGCACATGAAAGAACAAACAGCAAAAAATGAGTATTTCGTTTTCAAAACGAGTTGAAGTTTTTTACCACATTTCCAACACCATATGCAAATCCAGGGATTGATGCAGGGTCGTGAATCCCACATTTTGGTGAGGGTTGTACAGTTGCAAGTATCAAGCAACAATAGTAAAGACCTTCGTTACATATTGCAGTCGCATTCTAATTAAAAATCATAACTAAATGCTTATTGCTTACACCAGATTAAATATATTTGATATGTTGCCTTACATGTCTAGGTTTGATAAGTCCACCTCCGTCCCCACATTCTTGAATTGTTACACACCTACATTCTTGACAGTATGCATGAGCCACGACAAAAACTAATAATGCAAGTATTAGTTTATGAAAACGGATTGAAAGTGGGAGCATTTTCAGTGTCTGATTGTATATGCAACTAAATAACTATCTGTAAAATTTGTCATTTATATAGTTAGTTGGATGCTTCCCTAAATAGGCCTTTTCTGATTAATCCTAACGTGAATCGATACATATGTACATATGCATTTGATCTACTTTTTCCATACACATGTATTTGCATTTTATCCATTAATTAATCCAATGTACGAGGAATGGTACATCACAATATTATCAGCAAAAAATAATGAGACCTGCTGCTGTGCGGTTGCGGAAGGTCTGTCCCGATTGTCGCAGAATATTCATTAACTTCTGGTTTGAGAATATGCACGGCGACAATGACAATGAATAGCTTGATGGATTTATTTATTGAATAATATCCACAATAATAATACACTGCTTTCTTCCTTCCTTCTTCTCATACCCTACGTGTCCACACATTAGTTTATATTGATTGATTAGTAAGTCTGATACTATCCAACAAAACTTCATTTTAGCAGACAGTAAGCTTTACTGTCAATCTTTTTATTGACAAATAAATAGTTAATAATTGTAACAAAATGGTATTACAAACAAAGTATTTAGGAAGATTTATCCGCTGCTGGAACAAAGGTTGAAAATGTAAGATAACCCGTGTGACCCTGAATAGTTTGGGTGGTACAAAGCGTGCGAAACTTATTTGCATCTTTTTTTACTGGTGCCAGTTTCTTTGTCGACCCATCTTCCGCAGGCTCACAGCCACTCTCATCATTAAAATCAATGGACATCAATGTCTTTGTTTGTATCGACATGGGTCGTTGCAACACCTCCATGCTCTTAATCTGAATAAAGTCCTCACTCGCCTTCAGAGCCTCCACGGTCTTCTGCACTTGCTCAATGCATGGAGAAAAGGTGCAAAGTTTTCCACCTGAAAAATATGCAGTAAAATGAAATATCAACTTTTACAAGTTTCGGGAAACGATTAAGTCGCTTATGTGTTCTCACATTTTCCATTCTTTTGGGCATGTGCCCAAACAAATACCATCAATACATGAATGAACACCTAATGCCTACATACATATGCACATACCGATGTGTGTACACATATGCATAGTTTCATTTTGTGGGCGCATTGCTGCAGCAGTAAAATTTTAATGTTCATCTTTTCTTACGAGTCAAGGAAAGGTGTTGAATACTGAAGAAGTTGATTGCCAACTTCACCACACACAAATACACGGGTAACGAGTTTTTCTTGAAGAATTGACCAAAAAGCAGTAAAGCACGGGCCAAGCCCAAGGAGAAGAGAGTGCAAATTACCTGGGAGGATGTATGTTATGTTATGTACCACACAGCTATGTTTTACGGGCGGACTGATACTTGCTATTGATTCTATACTTGAGCCAAGAATGAAAGAAAGAAGATGAAGGTAATTTTGAGGGAGATAAAGATAATTATGGTGATTGACAAGTCGTAGACAAGACCAGACCACAAACAGAGTTACGTTACATATATACGTACTTACGGAGTATAAGTTATAGTATGATCTCACAGAGTCCGGTATTGCACCCCAGTATTGAGAGACAAGACAAGACCAGAGAGAAGCATCATTACACACAGCCTGATTGTTTCCTTATTACAATTATTAGCGAAAGAAATCCAACCAATGCTAAATTCCAAGTTGATAATCTTGAATAATCTCAAATAACCCAAGATTTTTACAGGATGATGATGAGAATAATACTCCAGTCTCACAAATAAAGCTTCGTTATCTATGTATCTCAATTTGTCTGCATCTTTCATCCCTTAAAATTGTTAAATCCTTATTCTGACATTAAGAAAACGGATCATTTAAAAAATGTAGTTCCAAACTTATTTTCGAGAAATAAATAAATCTGAAAGTTATTGGCACGTGCCTCTACAGGAACTATTTATTCCAAGGGCTCGTAACCACAAACAAATCCCACGAACCAAGTCTGTTTCATCCTCACTACAAAACTAACGTTGGTTTTACGCTGACCCTTGTTCATCCAAACCAGAAACGAATCATTTACTCACAAACTATGTACATACATGAAACTGCCAGGTTACAACATAATATTGAAGCCGGATAACAAGCAGAAAGAAAACCTTTGGGTTTTGACTCCAGTTTAAATCGTCATCCCTCAACTCAACTACCAATCATTTAAAACAAGATGTATTATTACGGACCCTCAAGCAGAATCTCACACCTTTTTACGCTCTTGGATTACTTTCACAGTCTTATCCTTCTTCGGCCTTTAATCTTTAATCCAAATCTGGGCAAGTATAATTATTGGGCTATATTGTTAGATGTCAGATACGAGCATTACATAAATTGTACTTTATATTTTTGCGAATGAATGAATGAACTAACTCTATAATTTATACATATAAATGTACTGGAAGTGCAGAGTAATCCATGTGTGCCGGGATTAAGGGTATACATACATATTTATGTATGTTGTGTGCATTTAATATTTTTAAAAAGTGGGCCTTGTCTAACCAGCCATGTATCTCGTAGTCTTGATGAAAATAAAGTAATTAAGCCATATTTCTCCACTATTTTCCTTCTTGGTCTCATTTCTGGTGGTTCCCACACTCTTCACCCATCCATCCTTTGGTTAATAACTCTTCAATCCAGATTCTATAAATTCTTGTTCAACTTCAACTACTGCTGAGCTGCCTTAGTGGAGCCGACAGAAAAGTACCACCAACTAATCTTTTTCCTGGGAGATCCTCCACTTGAATGTACATATTTACCACCGCTCCTCAGCTTTGTAGGCAGTAGTTGATGCTGCTGGGAGAAACCGGATTTGGGTGAAATTTCAAAAATCTGCATTTTATCCAGCTCTACACCAAATCCAAAATGTGTTATTAAATTGGATGGAGAGAGTAATTCGAGTGGAGAAATTAAACGCAGACAACGCAACCAGACAACGGTAATTGACCTAAACCTAGACCGGCGACTGAAAGAATTTACGTTTTTTAGAACCTCATCGCGTCCCAGTAGTAATAAGGTAGTAGTAAAAAGTAGGAGAACCAATATAAATACGCGATATACTCTGCCCATAATAAATACATAGGTGTTTCTTATCTGCATTGGATAAGAAACATGAATACGACTGATTTGAGGAACTTGTTCAATCGTATTCCGACCAAGAAAACTAAACCACTCTGTTTATGAGGCAAAAACGGAAGAAAATTAATGTAAAATACCGTTTAGAAGTCAAACCACCAATTTTTATAGAAGTGCGAAAAGCATTGTTTCACAATTTACTAAAAAAGTAAACGCAATCCGGATTTGAATGTGAAAATAAATAAATAAATAAATGGAGCCACATTTTATACTTTACTTAGCAAATGCTTTTAAATCTTGTAAACCGTTTCGTACAAAGATGTGAAATGGTTTACACTGCATACGATGAGTTTTGATGTGTTTTAACACGACACGGAATAGAAATATCGGATATCAAAATATTTAAGGTACATATGCTCTACAGTTAATGAACAGGAAAACATGAAATTTTCATACAACTCACTGTTTGGCCGAAAAAAATTGAAAATTATGTTGTTATATAGTCAACTCCTTAATATCTGTCGCTGAAAATTTTCTTGCACTAAATTAACAACACTGCATGCATACATGTATTACGCTCCTCATGGTTATTTATGATCCATATTTCCTAACATTTTAGTATTTTCTGAATTTTCTTATCTCAAAAACACACAAACCATTAATAACAATCTATCGAGTAAAAAATGAATGTTAATCGGGCGTGGTTTGGATTTGCGATTTACCTGTTTTTAAAAAGTTGGAAATAAATCTACAAACTATAGACTAATCCTAAGAGTACTTACTACATATTTACATATATATTTATAACATGTATCTATATGCCTCTCCGCCCAACTATCCTACTACTCATGCTTATTATCGGCGTTTTTTACATTCAAGCACCAATATCTGATATTGATCCTGTATCGAAGAAAGTTGCACCACTGTATAGCACATTTTCTCAATAAAAATGTGTAGTCGTCAAGATCTACCGTTGCGTCTCTTTCTTAATTCCTCCCAAATGCAGCCCAACTAATAACACATTATTATTTCCAAATCATCCAATATCTCACATGCAACTACTACTGGGACTACTATAGACTAGCATCATTGTAATAATCACAATTACTTGATAAAGCATAAATAAAAATCCGCCCATAAATTCACAAGTCCTGACCGTCCAAGCCCATATCGCACAACTTTCCCACAGTGAAGGGTTTCACCACTACTGCATTTGAGCTCCTACATGTAACGTCTCTTTCCCAAGATAATTTTTATATTAAAACAGCATTAAATTATTTTATCTCCATCTTTTACTTGTTAGAAAACGGGATTTTCAGAAATCGGGAATTTATGTACTATATAGTCCCTTATTATATAGGATATAATATGCCACCATGCATGTAATCCTTCAGTAATGATCAAAAATATAATATTTCATCGCAATAAACTAGCATCCAAATTTCCAAAAATCATGACTTGACTTGTACTTACTAGCAAACTACTTGGACGTGTAGGACTATTACTATATGAACCATCCAATTTCAATCTGGGTGATTTACCGTCTCTCTAGTTCTCTTTTATTAAGTAGAAATTCACGAAAAATAAAAATTCGCCCAGACAGCAAAGAGATTAACAAGTCCAGATTATGGTATGTGCATGGTATGCATTGGCCTGCTGTGACTGCTGTAAATATGCATGTATCGGACAACTCTATCTCTAAAAGACTTGAAAGTTTCAAGTTTTCCTCTTTTTCTTCCTCTCCTGTATTATCTCACACTGTGATCTACCGCATTTTGCAGAAATTCTTTCGAGATCATATCATCTCAATCGGTAATTCATGATGAGATGGATGGATTTATCAAATTATTAGACCATTTGAGATCACTTTTAATAATCTGTAAAGTCAAAAGATGTAATTTCTCAATGTTATGTCAGATGCCATATATGTATGTGCACATGTACATAATTGGCTTATCAGTAGTTATTAGCGTTTAAACCACTTATAATCAATTATAGTAGTTACCTCGTTTTAAAACTTTTTGAACATGAGGGACCACGTCCCAAGGGATTGGAAGGTCCAAAAATACGGCGTCCACTTTGCATGGGATGACATCTGCAAATCCGTCAGACACCGCATCCCGATGCCCCACCGTCACACAGTCACTCAGTCCGTGATCCTGCAAAATGTTAAGAATGATAAGAAAGATACAGACATATTCAGACTCATTGATAAATACAAACTCATGGCTAGCAGAAATATAAATTCAATTAACTTTTCGATATGAAATATGACTCTAAAAACAATGGATTAAATTATAAAATCAAATTGCTTCAGAATAATAATTTATCTCCCTAAAATTGACATTTGGAAAATATAACAATTTTGAGATTTAATTCATTCATGTCTCAAGAAGACGAGAACGCCACTTCATTGTAATATATGTACGTGGATTTCAATAGCCGAGTCAAAGTACCATAAAGTACTTCGATCGCGTCTCCTATGTCTATAGATGAACTTTTCTTTTGCAACTTTTTTCCCTTCTGAACAGGAGCTAATTAGCAAGTCTTTTGACGTTTTGAACTCTTATTGAAAATATTTCAAAAGTTGGTTTGTGAGACCCCCTGCAGGATGTGATCAACAATTCAAGAAATTCGTGCTGTGGCTAATACGCATTATATTATTAAACTGGGAAAGAAAGGCAATAATGACCAAAATGAAGAAAACCAAAGAAAGACCAATCTTAAGGGAAGGGGCCATCTAGAAACACTGCATGGTCGTCGCGGACGGACGCCACAAATAAAATAAGGCTGGTTCTCTCAAAATGAGTGCTTGAAACAATCCATCTCCTCAAAAGAAATGAGAAGATGATGTCGTGACGATACCGTTCTGGTCGTGCAGGAGTGAGGGCGGAATATTATAATACGAATAATATAATGAATGATGTGATGGATTAATTAGCTAAAACTAAAGTGATGTTAGAGTTGTTGCATAAAAATGAAATGAAAAACTTTCATCACTATTTTTGCAAAAAGATTCCAACAGGAAGAATGAACTCGGTTGAGAAAATCAACTCGCACATAAGAATTTGTGAAACCGTATCGCACCGCATTTCAGACAATTTCAGAGTAAATCAAGTCATGTGGGTGTGAATGCCGCTGTGTTTTTACATACATTGCTGCTTACAAACTGAGGACATACTGAAAAAAGGAAGTTATCATTGGTGAAAAAGATTCACAAACGCTAGAGAAAAATGCACCTCATAGTTTTATATAGTGAACTGTGAATCATGAACAGTTTATCAATTTGTTTGTCCAATTCATTCTGCATCAGTTAATACATCAAAAATCTGTACAATAAATAAGCAAAATAATAATTTTCTGGTCGTAATCACCTCAAGGGTTCGATATATTAGAATAATAATCATTCCATTTTAAATGAGACATTTAATTTTATCGTAAAAAGGGGCATCGTCTCTCGATTATACAGAAAGGCAGAAGGAGATGAGGTCGTGGTCTCATCTCATCGTGATTCCTTCACCTGACAAGTTAATCAACATCTTAAAGAATTCCTTCCTATTCTAATGCATCTATATATGTATGCTTACATACATATATTTACTCCACAGTCCTCTCTTGCTTGTTCCTCTTGCGTATCTCTGCCTAATTATCAACAATTGCTAATCACTTTGGATATAGACTTCTTTTCAGTCCGGTGCACGAATTCACATTTATTCTAAACCAACCTTTCCCTTCTCATTTTAATCTCTGAACAAAAACAATGAAATGAAATCCTGAGCAATTCATTACAAACACAACGGTCCACCAGCTAAAGTTGTTACGTATTTATGTGCAGAATCTGCTGGTCTCAGATATTTAAAAGTCTATATACTACACCCCCAAGCTCCTATTTTTTATTTATGCGTAATTTTAATTTTAAATTAATACACCAATTACATAATGCCAGCCCCTAAGTCAGAATTTAATAAATGGTAATTATTTTTTTTTGCATACAATTTGGAAAATGAAAAACAAAGTCCAAATGAAGTTATGGGATTATGAGTGTCATAAAATATGTAGCTGAATTTTATATCTAGTCTAGACTTTCCATTTTGCAAATAGAATAGCACTTGTGTACATTTGTAAAAATATTATGAATATGTCTGGTATAATAAATCAAGATATTATTGCAATAATTTTACACAAGTTTACCTTAAATTCCACCCTAGCAGCATCAGCTCTTTTTTCGTGAAAGTCAAAAGTGTACAAATGCCCAGTAGGATGAACAGCTCGAATGATGGCGTGGGACAGAGAACCGCTTCCAGTACCTGCCACGGACATATGGCAAAATTGATAAGGGTTAATTGTATTAATTAGATATGCACGAACTATAATTCATAGATTTCTTACCCGCTTCGACCACTGTACTCCCAGGAATTAATCCCAACCCCATTATAATCATTGAGATATCTGGCGTGTAGATGATTTGTGTTCTGGAGAAGAAATACGTTCGATTAAATAAAACTGAATAACTCAAAAGATCTACAACTTTTACTTATTACTCACCGATGTGGAACATTCTTCGTCCAAAGTTCACAACTTGGTCGGAGGATATAACCCCAACCTTTGGGGAGGTGAATCTTTTCCCCGTACCGTTTACCCACCAAAGAATAGACGTCCAAAATACCATAAATTGACTGAAACTTGTTCTCCACCCATTGCCCGTTGCGATTCTTAATTGTTTTCCGAACCTGAAGTGGATACTGGGAGTTGACCGAGAGATAGAGGATGACCAGGTCACCCTCCTCCACCAGCTCCTTTGGCGAAAAGAAACTCATCTGCCAAAACGAGAAATTATGCCCATTTGTTACGACGGTTTTCAGGAGGAAAAATGAGACTTTCATATAAACTGAGAAAATTTTAGTCTGTGGATTTCACGTTTCATGGATTTCATCCTAACTAGGTAATCTCAGATCATAAGCTTGAAATTTAAAGTCCTCGTGTAGAAAACTAAAAAAATCTCAAGTTGCAACACAAGGTGTAAGCAAATTGCATGCGTTATTTTGAGTCAAGTAAAAATATTCTAGTTGGACTGCGGGAGTCCTCTATCACGATCCCCAGCGGACTAGCATTTCTAACCCGGGACCCGTCTCAAAAAATAATGTGGGCTGATATTTACAGACTTCAAGTTACAACTTATCTCCACTCCACACAAACAGTTCGTGTCAATGGTGTCAAGTCAACAGGTTGCAGATAAGGTGAGTCGTTCTTACCTTTTTATCCTGGGCAAAGGTTCACCGAGTAATAACGTTGAAGGGTTTAAGTTTGGGTCAATTAAATAAAGACAGAACACGTGCTTTTCAAAGTGGGTTCAGTTGACAACTGACTGTATTGGATTTTGGCAGTAAGAGGCAGGGTTTAGAGTCTCTTGATGGGGGTAGCCTTATCCGGGGGGTGGGGCTGCTTGATAAGTATAGGGTAATTTTTATTACCGGAAGCTAATTTTAGTGCAAAGAATGAATGGTTATTTATCATCCGATTTTTTAACTTTAACTTTTTTAACCACTAAAATTGAGAACTCAATTTGAGATTTAAAATTTGTGAATTTAATCGAACCCATAAATGAAATAAGTAATAATATTTCAGACGGATAATTAAGCTTGAAAATGATGATGGAATCGAGCAATGGTGGGGTGGAGAAGGACTTCCATATCATTTTGACAAAAGGAGATCACATTTTCAAGATCGACATTCCTGTAGAAATTCCATTTCCGGAGACTAGGATTCTGGAATTTACACAAAGAATTTTGACAGTATTTGATCTCCCAATTATTTTTGAAGATGGTAAGCATAGTGTAAGTATGGTCAAATGCATAATAAGTAAATTATTAGTGAACCAAATTATACCGAGTTCTATGCGTTTTACACAGAAGTGGAGGACAAATTAAAGGAGTTTGTAAGAAGGGAAAATTTTGGTTTTTTATCAAGCGAAACAAACGTTGAGGAATCAAAGCTTGAAGCAAATATCCTCGAGTTGGAGAAATCGTTTATGCACGTAAGACTTTAGACACGCCTAACTATGGACTAGGTTATCATACATTTAGAAAGTTATCAAACGTAAATGTGCGTCATGCCATGTACTAGGAGACGCTTGAATTTAGTCCACCGGAAGTTGTTGGCGATGACGAAGTTTTTGCGGATGCTTATCATTCGCTGGTACATTCCCCTCTACTCGTATCCTTATTGAGGAAAGAAAGTGCCCTCAACTCATTAATAAGAGAGTCGTTTCGTAAAAAGGGAAACGAATTGGCTGAGTTGAGAGGAAGGTATTTAAAATACAAATTATTGTTGTTTATAAATTTGATTTATATATCAATTTGTGGACAGACACTACCATGAACTAAAGAGCGCTGTTGGCCAAGCTACACAAAATGGAACTACGGCAGACACTTCAGCCCTTCAACGACTCCATATGGAAGAGGAACACATGGTGACTACCCGTTGGGAAAGTTTGATAGAAAGCGAGAAGGCTTCTCAGAAAAGAGAATTCCGGTCTTGGGTCGTGCACACTTATCAGGATTACTACATTGAAAATGCTGAAGAACAAGACGCAGGAGGCGCTGGAAATTCTAAGAAAAATATGAAGAAAAAGTTATCCGTTCGATTCGATGGTAAATATTTTAATATTTATTGCTATTAATAAAAGTAAACATTATCATCCTCTGAGATATCCATGTTATCCTCCTCCTTATCCATGCTGTTTAACGAGATCTCAACATCATTTTTTATAGACTCTTTAATGATCAGCTATCGTGATGAAACTGGGGCTGAAGGTGGTTCTGGAGAAGATTCCTATATACAAGAAAGTTTCACTATTCATCTCGGCTCCCAGTTGAAGCAAACTTATAACATTCGACTCCTCTGCTGCAACCCAATCATGGACTTTTTACGGTTCAAAAATGAAAGGTTAGTTAGAATAGTTAAAATAGGTTCATCGTACATAAATAAATTGAGGCATTTGTTTTGCTAACTCAGCTCGAGAGAAATTAGTCCACAACGTCTGCAGATGGCAATATCCTTATATTCTTCTGACCTCTCTGGTATTGTTTTATTGACTGACACGGAACCAAATGTGTATAATGATGATTCTGTGGAAAAGGGTAAGAAAAAATTGATTTATTAAAAATTTATGAAAACTTAGTGAACTTTTTCGCTTCAGTTTCTAATTCTGACATGTCTCCTCCATCTTTAGACTTGAACGAGTTGACAAATCAAACAACAGATTTCCATTTCGAAAGCTTGGAGACCCAACTCAAGTTTTATAATCAAAATAAAATTGAGCTCAAACCTGGAGACTTTCTGTTAACGAGACACTCCAATTTGAACGCTGCACATGTTGTATTCCATCTCGTCTGCAATCAGGGTTCACTAAACCGATGTGAGTGTAAAATGCATTTCATGAATTTATACATACATTATCATCTGTAATATAGTCTAATGCATGATCATATTCTGTAATATTTTCTGTAATATGTTCTCTTGTGCAGTGGATAACATTAATTCTCGCCATCCCGTTATTCTCGGACTCCGGAATATTTTAAAGATTGCTTGCCTTAACGAAGTCACTACAATTACAGTTCCTGCTCTCTTGGCTCATGAGATGACTGAGGTACTTGTTTCATATATTTCTTTACTTGCGATTAAATTTTTATTTTATTTATGTATACAAAAAATTATACGCCTTTGAATTGAGTAAAACAAAATTTATCTATAGGGAATGACGGTTGGTTGGTGTTCTCGACGAGCGGAATTAGTTTATAAATGTGTCAAAGGGTTCATGATCGAGATGGCTTCTTGGGGAGGAGCAGAAATGAAGAATCTGCAGTTTGTTGTTCCAAAGGTAAGTGCATATGTGACTGAACAACGGATAAATTGGCAAAATTCACAACATGTGCTAATAGTTTAGCTTGTTATAGGACATGCCTGAAGAAATATTCCACGCGCTGGCCGCAATGCTTCCGAATATTTTCAGAGTTTCAAACCCACTTCGGCTAAGCTCATCAAGTTCAAGTCATAGTTTACAACATCAATCAAGTCACTAAGTTATTATTAATAGTTTTCGTAACAGTAGTGCAAAGTTTTCGCTTCCTAGCTTTAAATACTCTAGTCATTTCAAATTTGAAGTGTGGTACTAGAATCAGACTATGAATTGATTAGTCAAACCCCGCACACGCACCGTTTCTTCCGAATAATGCAAAATGTTTAATTCAGATTTTATCTAATCGCAAATATTATCTTAAACCATGTATATCAAATTCAGTTTTGTGTAAAGATGAATCAATATAGCAGCATGAACCACTCATTTTTTGTCAATATACTGTATTCTTGGAACTTATTGCGTGTTGTATGCAATAACTTTTGTGTAATCCACTCGTAACACCTACAAATCCTGTATAACTAACTAGTACCTACCAGCTAAGGATAAGTCACTTTTATTATGTATGAATCTCTACCTAACCATATAATCGTCCGTCAGTTCAACATCAAAAACAAGACGACCGGCTCGCCAACAAATCTCTCAACAATTCTCAATTTCAACTCATCATTTCTTCTTTCCTTCTTCTCGTCCAGTCCCTCCGTCCGTCCACCTCAATAAAAAGTTGGAAAACAATCATCATATCATCATCATCATCTTCACCACCAAAAATCCTAGCTCTCCTCCCGTCCAGTTATTATATAGCAAACAACATGCCACTACCAACCATGAGACCAGCTTTATTGAACCACCTCAATTCAATATGAGAGGAAAAATAGTAAAAATGCTCCCGGGCTCCTGCTAATGTATATACTTTGAAGTAGCAGATATGGAGTAAGTAAGAAGAACAAGTCCCATCCATCCATGCAATTTAGTTTAGTTCAGTTTTGGTGTGTTATGTTATGTAAAGGTGCACATGTTTTTATTTTCCTTTACCCAGTGCCAGCTAGCTTATTACTTGCAGCTTGTTTAATAATGCTTCAACCCTATCCTTCCAAATGAAGAAAGGTGAGCATGGCATGATGGCAATACGGCATGGCTGACTGTCTGACTGTCCTTGACTTGTGCCGTGAGTCCATCCAACTATAAAGCAAGTAAACCCTCTTCTTTTAATGCTTCTTTCTGCTGCTGGATCTGGATATTCCAGCAAATATATAAGGAGAGAGAAAGAAACGAGAAGAAGAATCTCCCATCATATCATCATCATCATGAGAAGAAAGAAGTAAAAAGTAAAGCAGTTTCCAGCCAGCTCTTCCCTCTGTACATTACATCTCCTCTCCGTGTCAATAATTCTCTGTATAATAATATTTTAAATAAGTCAAAATTTTCGTAACTAACTGTACAGTTTTGCTAGGTAAAGGTGAAAGCACTATACTCTAGTAGCTTCTCCCGCATGTAGATCATTAAAACTTATATGTAAAGTGTACCATTTGAACTGATTGTACTCTCAATTTGTATCAAAGCGTAATAATCTATACACTGTACAATTATTGATTCCAACTGATCTTCCAATTTTTATATTCCAATTTTAATAACGAATTCTAATATATCTTGATCAAAACAGTGACTTTTTCATAATCAAACCCCTTCAGCGTCCTTTTTTAAGATCCGCCGTAATATATTTATTAATGACGAACGAGTGAGTGAGTGAACGAAAGACAAACGTGACGTAAATATTATATGAACCTTTGTTCTTGTTAAAACTGGGTAATAACGATAGTATAATGTTACTTGAGTGAAGTACTAGCTCTTGATAACAAATTATCTCTTTCTTTATGAGGTCTTTAACTGGGCAATAGATTTATGCATACAAGCCAACTATTTAAAATAAACGAGTGTAAAATAGGAAAAGTGTGTACAATATCGTCTGACATATTAATGTAATCTTTTCTTTTATACCTAATCACACTATAAACTGAAATAATATAGTATTTATCTCGTGTCAGGATCTGAAACTTTTTTACCAGATAAAAAAAAACTAAAAAATAAACATATATCTACATTACATATACATATTTCATCCTTTATTCTCTCTTTCTCTCGCTCGGACTGATTAGCCAGGATTAAAAAAAGACTGCAAAACTAAATTTAATGAGATAATTACATTCTGTAAATTACCGGAAACAAAAGACTGCACTAATTTAATTAGGTCTGCAGAGAGATTACTGACAATTAATTCTTAGGAAGAGGAAAGGGTAGCATAATAAGAATCTGGAAATTCTAGGAGATTCTAAAATTGAGTAATAATAATCATTCCTTAAAGAACAATAATAACGCGACATTAATTTCTTACAAAATAACTTTATACTACTAATAATAATAATATCAGAAATTGTAAAATTGTGACAATGGTGGGCTACATGTTTCCCCCCGGACATCACCCTCAACAACAACCTCTGCCCCAGCAAATGCCGGCACAACAACAACTCCTCCCCCTCGGGGTGGGTGCAGTCGCTCTCGATCCGCAACAGCAGCAACAGCAATCCCAATCCGTGGGTCAAGGTCAAGGGCCTGCCTCGCAACAACCAGTTGGAACAGCCAAACCAAACTCTGCCAACAATGGGGGGCAGAACAAACAACCTCGGTGGACCGGTGACCCTCAAGAGGTGAGGATATGCACTTCCTAGAAATTTACTTTGTGTGCATTTTGATAACGACAAAATTAATAGAGACAGTCCATTATTCATATGGTCGAATACATGTTTCGGGATTTATACGATACATATAAACATTACGATGCATTTTACTGTCCAGCATTGTTCTCAAATAGAGAAAGTATGAGAAAGTAGACAGACGTCAGCAGAGTGGGTGAAACTATTCATGAAATTGACAAGTTCGTAATAGATATATGTAGTGCATATGTATGTAGATATATAGAAAGGATCACATTTAGCCTGTAATTGGAAATATGAAATCTTGACAATAGAATAAATGAAGAACTAAACAAAATGCACATACAGACGTCACCCCCACATGCGCACCTATTTCTTGAATCATTCATTTATTTGGTTCATTAGTAAATTTAGCTCGACATGACGACGTTACCTAATGCATGCAATAATTCACATTTCACATTCCCATTCCCTTCATAGATATCTTGAAAGACCACAAAAGAAAGATAACAGCCAAAACAGTAATTAATCCTTGTACAATAATAGCTCATTTATTTCTCCAAATAACCTATGAGGTCGGACATCCATTGCGCTTCTGCTTTGAGACAAAGGAAAAGAACAAAGAAAGAGATGCAACTAATGCAAAAACAGTCAAGCTCTCATCATCACCAAACCAACACTACTTTCGAACCATCCCATCTTGCCATATCCTCCTCTCTCTGGTCTGGTTGACCCATCATGATTTCGTTCTTTTTCGTGAGAAGATAAAGGAGCAGAAGTCCGTCCATAGTAAATAAATGTGTGCATGAGGGGTCCTTCCTGCCTCCAGCCTAAACTCCATCCTTGCAATGGTTAGGTGACATGAAAAAGGTCTTATGTAATGCGATCGGTCGTCATTTTACCTAAGGAACAAGTAATGTGATGGTCATAGACATTTTTTCACCACATACGACATACTAAAAAAAAAGTACTAAGGACATATCACATCTCAAGTCTCAAGTGTAAAAACCAAACCACATCTGTGTCCATTTCATTTGTGAGAAAGGGCCACATTCATAGTGCTGGCATTTTTTTAACAAACCAATTCAACTATGTAGAACTGTTTAAAATCAAAATTGTCCTTTTTCAAATAAATAGGTTGTATGCATTGTACGATTTAGTGACACATGATGTGTCACACATCATCACATCCTATCAAATATTGAATATGAAATATATTGGCTACTGACGCATGCGGAAGTCAGGGTTTATTTTCATTATATTGTTATTGTTTGTTTTCCTTGAAGAGGTTTATCTAGGTTGATTGCACAGGTTATCTAAAGTTATATATCCACCACACCACACCAATTCCTGGCATACAGCCTGACTTATTTTTACCTATTACATACACTACACGGAGGACTGGCTGGACAGATTGCTGCGTACCTATCTTTTGTGTGCTTTAATAATAAAATACATATCATCAGTCCGTATCAAATAAATAAATGGTCTCGGTAATGCTGGACATGTAAACATTGTGCCAACAAGTAATGCACTTTAGAGGGTAACATAATATTTTGGCGTTATCATTTGTACATTTCCACATTATATGCACAAATTGAATGAATAGTAAATGACAATTTTGAAAATCGAGACATGAACTAAAAAAATAGCCATTTCTAACCCCAAAATGCATGTAATGCTGATTTTTAAACATATTCCGGTGGTTATCAGAGTGCATATTATGCTACGTAATTCATGTTAGTTTGCATGTATGAGACGAACTGCACGGAATCCGCGATGGACACCGAGAAGGGGGACTCTTCTTTTGCATAATGACTGACAATGAGTCAGTGGAAAACCATCGAGCTAGAAGCAAAGAGAGCGAACCACGATCCCATCTCTCAACCATCGAACGGCGTCTCCCATTCTTTGCTTCTCACCCTCGCGATCTCCAAGTCTCCACCAAACTAACAATAAATAATTATAATACTATCACTTTGTAGCACAATTAACATTGCTAATTGTACATATTGGCATATTAATAGCTATCTCGTTAGTCCTCGTTGTGCACTATAACTTGTAAAGATAGTCACTAAATCATAAATAGTTTCGAATTATTCGGTAAACAGAGAGATTCAAATAAAATAACTACTAATTGACAGAAGTAAATTGTTGATTCAAGCAATACTAAGAAGACTGACTAAAAAATTGCCTGTGAATTCGAAGTTTTGAAGGAGGAGATTTCGTTTAAAAAATCCACAAACTCAATTGTTTGCGGTGTTGGTCGACTCTATTTAAAGTTACGGACCAGTTTTTATTCACACGAGCATCATGAAGGACATGGACGTGGTATGTACTTTGCATACGATTTCTTGCTAATTTGGCGAAGACATAATAATACAGAAAGAATTAGTTTACAATATTTTGGGTTCAAAGGATTTGAATGAACCAGTATTTAGTTAGATGGTATTTTTTTGCGACGGTGAATTATTTGTAACGGCTAATTGTGAAGTATTACTAATGTATGTTGTGTTTTGTTTTAATTGCAGTTGACGACCAAAAAGTTGTGGGAAGTTGGAGATCCGCCGGGTACCGTGAACGTGAATGCTAAAGAAGACAAATTAATGGGAGGGTGGCAGTTTAGGAATGACACGTGGTCACCAAATTCAGGTATTCAATGGCTTACCATATATCATATTTTTGTCAATTTCATATTGAATTGAAATTATAAGAATATGGGAAGAGAAAAAGCACAGTTGGCATATTAATGCATACATGTTCCTAAAATTTAGCTTCAGATTGTAAGATTGCGATTAACCCATTGTTCTCATCTTAGTTTCATAATTCTTAGTTGGTAGAAATGTTTCTCTAAATTTTGAGCCAATCTAACCTCTGAAATTAGAGTATTAATAGTATCTTAGGACGTTACGACATACTTAGCCTTGGGATTAGAATTGAATATGTAGACACATTTATTTTGATAAGACAAATGGAAAAGTTATTTTGCCTAGGGAGAAATGATAGGGGATTCCGACCAAAGTATCATTCATTGGGATTATTGTAATTTTTGTTTCGTTACATATTGTGTATCTGTAGCTATCTCCAAATTTTGCATTTGTTATCAGCTATTATTGATATACATAAGATAAAAGTTTCAGACGTTCTGGAAGCAAATAATAATCGTGTTTAGACTTTGACTGGAAAAGAAAATATATGTAGTTTAGTTAGTTTTACTCACAAACATACATCGTCAGCATGTTCAACTAAAAGTTTTACAAGCAAATCAAAGTTAGGCAGAATTTATTCTTCTTTGTTCTTCATTCATAACCATATGCAAAAATACAACGCAAATTCTGTTTGCATTGCATTGACTCGCTGTATTCTGATAAGGAAATTGCACCGTGTTGTACTTGTCGTTAGGTAAGTACTTTCCTTGTGAGGTCATTGTCGTTGGAGGAAAGAAAGAAAATCGTCCTTGAAGGATCTGACTCAATATGCAGTCAAATAAAGCTAGGAATACTGGATAAGTTTAGTTTTACAAGGATACGAACCACCGGTGCATGTCGTTGGTTAGTTGGCCAATTTGTTTGAATATTAGAATTTAATAAACATGATAATGATTAGAGCACATGCAAATCTGTGGTAATAAACAACGCCTAAGCTTTTTGGCTCAATTCGGACCTTACTTTTACTAACTCAAGAAATTGTTGGTTTTATTCCATTCCGAGTTTGTTTCAGTTCGTTGATGACTGTGAGTTGATAGGGTGTTGTCTTTGTCGTTCCTTCTCTTCTCTCTTTCTTCTCGTCGTGTTATCTTTCTTTTCTTCTTCCCTGTAGTCAATCTTTGTAATATTCTATCTAGTGTTTTCTGTCCTTCTTATTGCTCTTTTAACAATTAACAAGTATCGTCAGCGTCTTACAAAGTCAGTGGTGTGAATTCAATGATATAAATTCAATAACATTTCTAAATAATCTCCGCGTTTTTCAACAAAATATTCAGACGAGTGTGTTGATAGACCCAAAAAGGAGAAGAAGATCGCCATGAAAGTTAAGACTTCTGTGAAAATGAGATACTATTCCAACCATAGTAATTCTGATAAGACTGGTTTGTGTTGAGATAGTATTACATGATATGTTAAGAAAATAGTCATAATAATTGTATTTCCTTTCTCACAGAACATCACGGAGTTACGGGTGGACTTGGAATGACGAGAAGACAGGGCGGATTTACAGATGGGACTTTGATCCTCTCCCCACGATCTAACGAGACTGGAGGACTTGGAGCTAAAATGGTGGAGTACGTATTGGGGGCTTCGCCCACCGGAAAAGATCTGGATAGCAGGATGCCCATGCGACACCTTGTTAATGTAAGATTGTTATCAAATTACAGCACAGCCCGTAAACTTGATTTAATGTTGCTTTCTATTTTAATCAGGACGAGAAAGACAAAAACGAGAAAGTGAAGAAAGACGTAGAGAATGGGGTCGTCGTTGTGCAGCAGAATGGAATGGGGGAAGACATGTCTGGAATGCAGAACCATCACCACCACGCCCACCACCAACAGCAGCAGCAACAACAACACCATCAACATCAATTAGCACAGTATCAACAGGCCCAACAACAACAGCAGCACCATCATCAACAGCAGCAACAACAACAACAGCAACATTTGCAACAGCAACATTTGACCATGCAACAAATTACATCTCATTCCATCCACATGCATGGTCATCATCCTCAACCTCAGGTTTGTAATAAGCTTAATCAATCAAATTCAAACGCGAATTAATTATTAAGGATTAATAATGACCTATATTGTCTTTGTGCAGGAGGAGAAAGGTCTCCAAAGTATGACACAAGACGAAGCCCAATCTCTTCATGCTCAAATGATGGCTATGAACCTTAATGGACACCATGCCAGTCAAATCCAAACCCTTCAAAATCATCAGCATCAACAACAAATGCAAAATCATGCACAAAATCTTCAACATCAGCATCAACAACATATAGATGGGTTCGAAATGACGATGGATCCGTCATCCGTCCAGGCGCAACAACAGGCCGTTGTTGCTGCTGCTGCAGGTCACAATAAATATATATAACATATACAATACTAATGTGCTATCACGGATTTTGTAAATTGAAGTTAAACAACTTCTGATGGTTTATGCAGGGGTGGGAGCGCCAGGTGGAATGGGCGTCGGTGTGGGATTTGAGCAGAGCCCTTATGCTGGACTGAATCATCACATGGTCCCTCATCCTCAACATCATGGAGGAGTTATGCAACCGTATGACCAACAACAGGTCAGAATCGCGTCCGCCTTTTATACTTTTTATTCTTGGTCACATTACCCAACAGAACTTAAATAATGTCAATCATATATTATTTAAATCATGCACCATATGCCCAAGTTATCTTATTTAAGCAGCATTTCCTTATTATTGTATTAATTTGTTTAATCTTCGTCTTGGACAAGAAAAAATTTCTTCTTATTTGCATCATTCCATCTACACATTGCGAAAATGAACTCTTGTTTGATTGCGAAATGTAGCTTTTTGTACATTGTTCGATCCCATCCCAAAGTTATTAGTTCAAACCAAGACTACCATTTTCAAACAAACATTCAAAGATTTTTAGTCTTGGAATTTTGTTAGAACGAATCTTCTCGACGATATGCAAATGCTAACACAAAGATTGCTTATGCTACATCTGTTTAATGATTTATTTTTTTGTGATGCGTAAGGCTTGTATTTTTTGTTGCATTGGTCATTACGATTTGCAAATGGAAATTGCATTAGTTTTTTACCCAATAAAAGTTGATGTAGACTGAATTTGTCGTTGGACTATCTTTGCAAAAAAAAATCATTAGTCAAATTCATTATAAATTTGTCTACTATAATGTTGTTCAATGATTTTAATAAAAATAAATTTTTCATCTCCATTCAAGACTTTTGCTTCCAAAAGTAGGTGATATCGACTTTCAGTAAAAACCTCACGTCCAATTACACTCGTCTTTCAGTGTAATGGTGGCAGTAGAATGATAATGATAATACGTAAAATCGAGGTAAAGTGAACAAGTCAAGTCAGTTTACTTTATACAGACAACAAGTAAAGCTAACAATGATAAGTAACACGAACTCTGAGGAGAAAGAAAACGTGACATGGCAGTACATTTAATTTCTTCGCACTTATTTCCCCTATAACTTATTTATTTTACTACCACTTGAGGATTTTTGCCGTGAGCAGACTTATTCACTGACTAACATTGAACTTGTTTCCTTTCCTTTGAAATTAGTTCATTACTATTTTATTATATAAAGGTGAAGCTGGGGTCAAATTGAGGTCTCCATTTACTGTAAAACTCATCAACAGCATTAAATTTGGTTTATCGGTGTACTTTTTGTGATAGTGGACTTATTGATTTTACGTGATTTCTTCATCATTTCATTATTTTTATATGTTGTAGGTTTAATGGTTTTGCATGAAACGTAAGAAGAACCGTTTCCTTTGTTTTAGATGGTCCAGTTCCCACAATATGAAACTAGCATCTTTGCAACTAATCGCACATTATATTTTATGATTTACTGACTGCCTCATTCCTATATTAGTAGGAAATCCGGCTAGTTATTATATTTGGATTGACATGTCTATGCAACATTTTCTTAATGAAATTGGAATGTAGCGAATCAAATTTTGCTTTTTACGCTTATCATGATCATCAGCAAATTCCTCCGTAACTAGTTAAGAAGTAAGTGGACTTGATTTCGTTCCTGGTGGTTAGTTTACCAAAGCGAACAATTAGCTGTTATTTCGTTTCATTTGATCTGGTTGGGGTGTGGTGTTCTGACGACATGTATATCAATCACGCGTTATTGGTTCGCACTCTGAAGTAGCTACATACATAAGTATAAACGTACACCTTCACCATTACCATGAATTGTAATCTAATTAATGTCACATTACATTTCACCTGCTTTTTACGGATGCATTTAGGAAACCCGTCCCATAAAATAGATATATAAAGATTGATCCATCATCACTCCTTCTCCCATTCACATATTACATACGAACATTCTTAGTTTTTGCAATGTTCATCATCTCCAAAAGTAGTTACTTTAAGTTGATTTGACGATCGTGTTGGTCGGACAATGACTTGAGTCTTCCGTCTTCCTTTCCTCTCGGCTCGTCCTTTACATGTATATATTGTGGAGCATAATATTCAACATCCTCTCTTCGTCTTCTTTCCATCTTGTATCATGTACATATGCACTTGCAAATGTTGCTGCCTGCCTGCAAATCCCTCTGCTTAAGAAAAGAAGTAAACCTGTTGCTGCTGCTGTTGCATGCAAGCTGGGTGTTGAATGTTTATGAATTCTGATTGAGATTGCATGGCATGCAACGTGCAGATTAAAAATCACAAGAGTTTTAGCAGTCTGTTTTTGATCGTGGGAGAAGGCAGACATGTCGTTTTGATTTAGTTGGTTGTTAGAGAAAATAAGGGTAGGAACAGGTTGTTGCATGTCATTGTGTTCTAAACATAAGAAGGAAAATGATACAATTGATTCATACATATATCGTTATTGATTTCTATTTATTTCAATTACTTCGTGTTGTTGGAGTGAGAGAGAGGAAGGGAAGAAGTGAATATACTAAATTAATTGAGACAATTTAAAAGGGAGCGTTGTTATATGTTGACTGAGGAGGGAGTGATTAACCGCATTAAGATCGTTTAAGCTTGTTAAGCTCATTTACTTGCTGTCGCATAAGGTTGGAGTTGAAAGTTTGGAACCGTTTCCATTTGCAAGACTGACTTTATAAACTGCTGCTGCTGCTGGAGCGAATGTTCCATTGGGGTTTGGAATCAGTATTTGGTGGCGTCGTCATTTCGTCGTCTGTTCTTGAAATTTATTATTAGCTGTGTACGTGTGTAGTGTCGAATTAAGAAATAATATTGACAAAGGTGTGTGCTGCCAATAATATAGAGACTGCTGATAAGTCGAACGAATGATATTGATACTGGGATAAGCCTCTTCCGTGCAAATATGGATTTGTGATGTGATAAACACTATTCAACAATATTTTTTGTCGCGTGGTCTTGAATTTATTTCTGACATTACCTTTACATATCTACTACTCTTGTACTGTAAGTTTTCATCATCCTCCATTTGTGTACAAATGTCTGTACAGGAAATGTACAAAACTAAAATGTTGCATTGTTTTGTTAGTGCACAACTTTTTACAGTAATTCTCTTGTACAAAAATTACTTATCAAAATTATAGCCATCATTTGTAAATTTTTTGACTTGGTATTGTCTACTTACCAGATTTTTTAATCATTAACAATAATTATGAATACTCGCTATATATCTACTTCCAATCCGCACTATTAATTACTGCCGACTGTAACTTACTGTGTACAAATTGGAATTATATTATACCATATAAAAATATGAAGCTGGTGACAAAACGCTTTATCGGGCTACACAACACCATCAGTCCTCTCACCCCGAAGGACTTGATCAAGGTATTCACACCCTTATCCTACGTTTATTTATACATTAATTGTACAGTTTTATTATTAGTAGGAAAATGGTGCCGATTATGGTAGAAATAACATTTTTCAATTTTTATATTTGGGTTGGGTAACTTTTCTCTTAAAAACCGGTTTTCTTTGCTTGGTTTGATTTCTGATTGAGATCCGGAAGTTTATTATATTACTGTGCCTGCATGTACTCACATCATTTACTTACGGTTCAACAAATCTCTCAACCCAATCCCAGTATACCCAACTCATCATCTTTGTTGTAAATTACTGGCGAGCAAATTGGTGGCAGTGGTCAACGTTTCATGTCAAATTAAACATTTGCGGTAGAATAAATGGAGGATTTTTTGGATGCTGCACCTACAGGATGATGCAGTTCAATGCATTTAGTTTTTAATCACAAGTGACGTACGTAGTGTATCCAATAATATTTGTATTTGGGCATAATAATTGTCTGAACTCGTCCTCAGTGTAAGCACTCTACTTACACTTGGTCATTGTGTCTTGAAATCGATAGGTGCATGTTAAGTCTGGCGAAGTAAAACTTGATTGCATTTTTAAAAGGTAAAGATTGGGTATGTGGCTCTCCCGTACATATACCAGCCAAACATTGATTTATGAATTTACGATTTGTGGTTAATATTTATTTTCTAATGTAATTTACGTGCGAATTGTGGCTGAAAGCAAGTCATGAGGAGAACAACAATATACTCGTAATTCTATTCTGTAGATATTTTTTCAAATATTGATAATCATGTTTGATGCCCACACCTCGGATAGAAAAAGATAATTATTCATATTCATTCCTGTTCTTCTCTTCAGTAAAATAAATTCTTGAATTGAATTTATTTCAACTAATTTACTTTGCGTATACTTCATTGACAGTTTGGATATGAATTGAATTACAATTAATCGAAATTTACCTAAGCACTCTATGCAGTCCATGGTGCAGGACCGTAAATTTGTAATTCTATTTATTGGTTTGAAGTTTATCTTGCGGTGCATTTCTACCGTTCACAACTGGTTCTTATATATTTCTCCATTTCCACCAACATTATTATCACAATGTATAGCTTGACAATTGATTTCAATTAATTAAATTTTCTGCAAACAGCGGGTTCACTTGGTGCGAATCTTTGCAATAGAAACAGTTTATGCTTTGAGCAATTTGTTTACTTTTGCATGTTGAGAAGTAAAGAATAGTAAAAACGGAATAATAAGCAATGAGGGTCCGCAATTGTCAATTTGCTTTAACCAGAAAAAGTATGTATGCAGTACTACCAACAACATTATTATAATGATTTAGATTAGTTCATTTGAAAAATACAACATTGTTAATTGTATTCACTACTCCCTTTCAGAAGTCAAGCAACTCTGACTGAGCTATTTCAAGTCCACAACTTTTACTTGCTTCAATTTGGTAAAAATTTCTCTAGCTCATGACGAAGTGAACAGTGGAATTGTTGTATTGTGCACATTAGAGTTTAAATTAAGGGAAAATATATAGTACATACAGCATGACGAATTATACTGTGACTGTTTGCAACTCAACTTCAATCCAATGGCCTAGTTATTCTAATTGCTAAAGTTAATTCAATTACGTCCTAACGTTACGTTGTTTTTTTTCTAAGAGATGAAAAAACTTGCAAGAGAATGTCAACTGATCTGCATGCAATATGCATCACCAACCGCATATTCGATTACAAACTTATTTATTTATTTTGTAAAAGGATGACTGATTGATTTGAAATATACTTAAGCGAAGACGATGTGATTATTCGCATCATAATGTGTGTACATAATTCTTTAAGGATCAAAGCGATATGGATGAGAAAGTTGGTGGACACTGTTGTTAAATTTGTTCAAAATTGTTGATATTTTCGCAACCGGAGATGCATGATTGAAATTAATACTTGATGTGGTGTTTAACAATAAATCAAAATGTTCATTCGGTGTAAGGCAGAACAGCATACATGCAACCGATCGTCATTTTCCGTGAAACACTATTTGTCCACGGTATAATTTGCTTTTGACATTTTCTGGTCTAAATAACCAAAAAAGTGGTCTTCTGCAAAATTTTATCAGGTAGTCAGCCACACGGCAGATCAAGAACAATGAAATTGCAATTACATTTTTTGCTATTCTATATCTCCTCTCTTATGTGCCCGTTTATTTAAAAAAACAGTTGACATTTTCTCTTGTGTTATCAAACCTGTGTTTCTTTCCTGCTTTTACTCAAGCTGTGCAAACTAAATGTGGAAAATTATATTTCTCTCAACTATCTAATTTCATGGATGGATCTTTGTGAATACATAAATGATACGTATGATATATTGGAAGGAACGCGTCTTGTGTAGTTCTTCTCTGCTAACTAACCGTTATTTGTTTTAAAAATTAGTTGACCATCTATTATCCGAGACAGGTGTAATGAACGCTTTATTGTCTTGGAGTTTCGTAGCGGCTACTTCTTTCATGAATTAGCAGTATTTGTTTCACCACTTGAACATAACATAATTTGATTAAGCTCGTGTGAATTAAAACTGATTAATATTCGCCTCACATATGCATTGAAGTAATACAAGCAGAAAGAACGGACATGAATGACGTATAGTAATATACGCGAGTACTGCGGTGATTGATAACGTGCATTTATAACGGAATTTTTTTTCATAGTTTTTTTGTATTGATTGATATGGTTAGAAATTGATTTATTAAACAGCTAAATATCCAAGAAGTATGTACAGATAACCTCGTTTATGAGATGCTCAGTCTCATTAGATACGAATAATGATGCAAGAATAACGACAACTTTTCTTCTCTCACTTTGAAAAATGCAATTATTTGTGGTACTACTTAAGAAATAGTAGTAAACTAATTGAGATTTCATTTGAATTGAAAGTTGGGAACTGAGTTTTAGTAATTTGATTTTAATGACGGAAACAAATTATCTCGAAATTTTGTGAGCCTGCTGCTGCTCTGGTGAAATGCTGGTGTATTTCGCATCAGCCAAGCCACTAAATATGTGAATTCCAAATAATCCTGTTTGACTAATAATATTGTCCAATTGGGCTTCGGATGGACCGTTGACTTGGTTTGTCTTTTTGTTAATTATGTTCTTCCAAGCTAATTAATTTAATCGCTAGAGAACATTGTAAAATGAATTTGTTAAATATATGTACAAAGTACTCCGCATACGCCTAGATTTGCGTGCTTTTACAACATGCTGTATGCACGGTCTCTTATTATATTTGCTTTTGAACATAAAATTACAAATTTTCATCTTTTTTTGTCTTCCTCTCTTGTCAATTTAAAAAATTATGTTAATTTTGCTGTACTTAAATCTTATAATGGCTTGTCCCTTGAAGCCATTTGTATCATTACAAATTTCCTCGAATATTATACCCATCTTCAAGTATGCCTCTCTTGACATCCAACTTTCTTAGACTTGCTGACTATTTTTTTACATTTTTTTTCTTTCATAGCTCTTCCGCAATCACAATGGTTCTGCTGGTAATGGAAATCCTCAAATGTCCCTCGTGCCGCAACAGTATCTTCAACAGCAACAGCAACTCAGTGAGTGACAAATTACTTATTTTGCAACAACTATCTGGAATATTTATTGTTTTGTGAAAATTAATCAAATTAAACTCATCATCTCACTTGTGTTACTTTTTTCTAGCTGCAGCTGGCATCCCTCAACCGTCCGCAGGGTATCCGCTCGCTCCATATGTTATCAATCCGCAAGAGCCGTACACACTCATTGCTGCAGGTTCGTACTTTTAAAGTAATAACGATGATAATAGTAAAAGAATTGTGCATGATTAGGAAGATTATAGATAAGGCAAGAAAGAATGAGGATAAGCATATGCGTCACAATGGATGTGAAGTGTGACCTAGATTTATTGTATGATTTTCCCAAATTTGCTAGGATGTGTGCTTTTCTTGTGAGAAAAGATTTCTCCGCCATTCGTCGTTGTCGTCGAGCTCCTTACTTGTGAGATAGGTCGTATTGTATGAAATTTGTACGGTTTGCGTATGTACTATGCATGTATTCAGGAAATAAGTACTATGCACAATAACCAACTACATGTGATGATGAATCAAGATGATTTCACTGTGATAGGACGACGAGAGAACCAACAACACGACCATTTTTGGACTGAATTTTGAATGAATTGATTTTGTGATCGATTGGTTACTTTTTAGCACGAACATGATGATTGCCACTCATTTAGTTCACCATTATTACAAGATTTGAATTGGAGGATTGCGTCTGAATTAGAAAGACGACGATGATAAGATCAACGCAACAATCCTTTTCCTTTGTGGTTATTAATGCTTTGTCTTTAGATGATAAAATTCAAAGTCTTGCTTTTCTATTCAATTCGGATATGAGCATACAATATATTATATTATTATTATTAACAGTCGTCAAATTAGTCACGACTCTTATTATTTATTAGTAGTTGTATGGTTCGTTATCTATTTTTTCTTTCATGTTTTTTTTCTCTTCGGATTGCCAAGTAGCGCTTGGATTCATCTGTAATATATAGGTTTGCGGCAATTATTAATAAAAATAATGTTGCTGTCTGATTTTCCAGGGTCCACTGTTGTCCCGGGTTATTACGGGATGGCCCCATGGGGTCTGTACCCTACAGCCGGATTGATCGGAGCACAACAGCAACGCCGTCCCTTGACCCCCACTGGAGGAAATGAGATGGTGGCTTCGAACGTGAATGTAAATGTCAATGCCCAAGGTCAGTACCAAGTGATTCCTGCCTACTACGAGAGCATGAACGGTTCCCTGCTTGCGATGGGGGCGAGGGGTGCCACCCCACTCAGACTAGTTTCTCCGGCACCAGTCCTGGTTAATAATCCCGGTAAGTACGAGTGCGACTGATATGCTCCTATACAATCGCATATTTGCATATATGATTAAGTTTTATGTACAAAAGTATCCACCCTTTACTACGATTCCTGCACATACAAATTTTATAAATGATACAACTACTAATTATTTGGTAATGGCGTAAATTATTTATCGGTGACGGTTTTGGGTTTATTTATTCCTCAATTCAAGGATCGGGTGGCTTTGGACCATTTCCTGGAGCACATGCACAACCATATAATCCCGCTTCTCTGAACGCTTCCAACATGGGACAAGGTCAACAGAAGTTTTATTACTCTTAATAATTAGATTATGTACTTACTAAGCAAAATCGTTAGAAATTGGGATAATCTTGGTGTAATTGTTTGTTGTGTTGATACATACATTTGTTTTGTCCTGTATCTATTTTGTACATGTGTTTTTCCCTTCATGTAAATGTGTAAAATGCTTGATACATAAATCATTTCGCGATTGCTTTACCTTTATTTACCATTTCTTTCTTCATTCTATTCTTTCATCGTTTTTATAGGTTCTCTCCCTATTAGAAGAGATTCTTTCGAATCGGATCAGGGACAATGGGCCCCTTTTGGCTCGTTGGGTGGGTCTACTACTACTAATAAAAAAGCTATTTATAACACTTGTGTTTTCATACAACTTTCTATATTCTTTTTTCATCTTCAAACTGTGTGTTTTTATGTAACCTTTATTTGCGGAAGTCTTGTTCATATTATTCAATTTTTAGACAATGATTATAGTATTTCATGTGTGACTATTCAAATGACTTAATAATAATATAAATTTTATCGATGCATGCAGGATCTCCTCCTCCTGGAATGATGAATGGAGCTGCTTTCGGTGTTGGCGATAAAGGACTTCGGGCAGGTTCAGCTCTGTTTGGCGCAACATCACCCCTGTTCCCCAAAATTGGGAGACAAGTATCGGCCTCTGATAAGCCAAGTGGAAGGTCACGTCTGTTGGAAGATTTCCGAAACAACCGGTTTCCAAACTTACAGTTGCGGGATATTACGAATCATATGGTTGAGTTCTCACAGGTATTTACAAAATACATGTGACTGATAAATAAATTTGCAATTTTAATTTATTTGGTAAAAATTTATAGGATCAACACGGATCTCGTTTTATTCAGCAAAAACTTGAACGCGCTACCCCAGCCGAGAAGCAGCTAGTGTTCAATGAAATTATCGCACATGCCTATCCTCTCATGACTGATGTATTTGGCAACTATGTAATTCAAAAGTTTTTTGAGTTTGGATCACCCGAGCAGAAGGCTGCCCTTGCCCAAAAGATTCGTGGTCATGTACTTCCTCTTGCATTGCAAATGTACGGATGCCGGGTAATTCAGAAGGCACTGGAATCTATTGGACCCGATTTACAAAAAGAAATTGTTCGTGAATTGGACGGCCATGTGCTTAAATGTGTCAAAGACCAGGTAAGTATTGCACAATGCGATAAATAGAGCCGTCATGCTATTGAAACTTCATCATTATATTATTATCATTATTATCGAAATCCAGAATGGAAACCATGTTGTGCAAAAGTGTATCGAGTGCGTTGACCCGAGAAGCTTGGATTTTATAATCAAATCATTTAACGGCCAAGTGGTAATTAACATATACTTACATATATATAAACCAAAAAGCCTAAAAGAACCAAGGAAGCCTATCATGTACATGTCTGATGTGATTTTGTATTTGATTGATTTAATGATTAAATAGATTTATACTCTATCCACCCATCCATACGGCTGTCGGGTAATCCAGCGTATCTTGGAACATTGCACTACGGAACAGACCAACGGAATTCTGGATGAACTTCACTCTCAAACTGAGCAGCTTATTAAGGACCAATATGGCAATTACGTTATACAGCACGTTCTTGAACACGGGAAACCAGAGGATAAAGCAAAAATCGTCAACTGTGTGAAGGGAAATGTATGTCCCTATGCTCAGCACAAATTTGCTTCCAACGTCGTTGAAAAGTGCGTCACTTATGCAAGCCGACAAGACAAGACTATTCTCATTGACGAGGTTACTTCTTATAATACTGACAATGGGTAGGTTTTTTTAAAATAATGTGTTTTTAACTTGTAAAGAATAATTGATCATTACAAGCGGGTTATCTAAATAATTTTGCAGTATCACCACCAGCCCCCTCAATATCATGATGAAAGACCAGTATGCTAACTACGTTGTGCAGAAAATGATTGATGTGGCAGAGCCTTCTCAAAGAAAAATGTTGATGCAACGTATTCGTCCACATTTAGCTCAGCTACGGTTAGTAAATAGGCTAATACAAATATTATTTATTAACTATAAAAAATTGATAATGTCAATCGAAATAATGCGCTATTCTTCTTGTAGAAAGTATACCTATGGGAAGCACATTATTGCCAAACTCGAAAAGTAAGAAGATTTAATTATTCTACATATATGAAACTTATTAGTCATTTGTAACTGATAATTAAAAACCTTTTCAATTATTATTGCAGGTACTTTCTCAAGAACAATACTGACCTTGGGCCTATCGGTAATGCATTTAATTGATCAATTAGTTGATAGTTATTTTCCAAAATTTCAAATTTGATGTTTTATAATTATTACTCTTTCTAATTTTAAACAGGTCCACCACCTTCCGCAAATCAAGGCACTCTTTAACTTGACTACAATTTCGACTCATTGCTCAATCTAATTGAAGGAATGTCTGTATCTTGACTCGAACTCAACCTTTTGAACATTAACGAACTTATGTACACTTAAGTGTTAACTAATTACAAGTAATTTAAGTACGCTGCACAGTTTGTAATTAATCTTGTAAACAAGAAACGAAGATTCCATATTATTGAATATTGAACCAGCTTTTTTTACATACACGCTGAAAGCTGTTGCTGCGCTGTTATTACTATTATGGATATACTGCATAGTCTCTCAATAAGTTTATAATGCTGAAGATAAGCTCTCTAATTTTATTTCACACTTGTAATTTTTGTTTGTTTTATATATCGTGCACCATCATGTGTACTGTAATCATAAATACTTGTGGATTTTGTATTAATATGTAACTATTATATATAATTGACTTTAGGACTGTACCCTAATGTAATTTTGATGCCGTGTGTAACTACAACTTGTACTACTTTTGTACCCTAAAATGTGAACTATTTTAAGCTAGCTAAAATAATACAATAATTAAAAGCTATAATTACATATGTATGTTGTGCACTAAGCTCAGACTTGAAAGACTACAGCAGCGCATTAAAAAATGTACGTCCACAGTATTTTCTCCTCGTGAATGGTGAAGGGTCTTCTGGTTATGATTATAAACGATTTTTGGTAATTTTTGAACGACATTTGCGAGTTCCTTCATTAATGATAATTTATGATAAACTGGTGAATTCCTACATTTTTGAATTATTAATTTAATAAGTATACACGGTTTTACGTTGAGATGATTTTGATAAAACGATCGAGATAATAATAGTAAAATTATACAAAAGACTTACTTTAATTTATTATTATATCTGTCCCGTTATATAATAACGGATTCAAAAATCACAAAATCTTGGACATCTATTATTCGTCTCATATATTATTATTAATAAAGTCTTACTTTATGATGATTAAAATTATTATATTATGATTACATGGGATCGATAAAATAATTCCTATATTTCTACGATAAGCTACAGTAATTATATTCTTTGACCAGAATAAAATGTCTGACTGAAATTCTTAAAGAAATATTTATTTTGTCCCGTCTTTTATGCGTACGTAACACCAAATCATTTTTGACCAGTTAAATATCATCGTTTGACATCATGATTCCGCGAAAGACTAAAAGTTGCTCAGTAGTTCCCCAGCATACAAAACATATGACCCAGTTGATTCAACATCATATTATTTTGTTTTGGTAATAAACTCGAGTTTAGAGATTTCAAATTTTTACAGAAATTGTAGATTTTTTAGACCATAGATATAAATTTTCCAAACAAATTTAAACATGAGTGTGCACAAAGTAAGCTTTGTGTGTCAAAGGTGCCTTACTCTTATAAAAATCCATCCTTCTTTCTCCTCCATCGATGAACACACATTGGCTGAATTACATCGTAAGTTTTTCTTGTTTTGTTTTTTAATTTTTGGGTAGCTTTAACAATGCAAAAAACATTGAACACTGTCGTCACTATATTGTTTTAGTTCCCCTCTATACTCCGCCCCCAATGGAGCTGGACGCGAGTGGGGAGAGTGACGGAATAGTGGACAAATTTGTGCCTGGAACCACGTCTCAGTCGTCTTCGATAACGTCGACATCACGCGCGGGTGGGTTCACCGTGGTCGGAACTTCCTCCGATATTTCGCCCCAGGAGGGTAACCAGCTCAAGACGCAGATGGAGCTTTTTGACATCATCTCCAACAATACAGAGATTGATCATCCCCTCTGCGACGAGTGCACGGACACGCTCATCAATCTGTTGGACACCGAACTCAGGGCCGCGGAGGAAGAGTCCAATCAATATGCCGATTTTCTAAAAAGGTGATACGAGAAATATAATGAAATTATGAAAAGATCTGAAAATGTGTCTTCTGTCTGCCTGTGTAGATTGGAACACGAACCGGAAAATGAGGACGTTGATGGGCTGGAGGAACAATTGCGAGAAGTGCGTAACTGTCCTGTCACTAATTTTTTGGTTATATATTAAATAATTATATAGCTGTTGAAATGTTTATTTCAACTGATTTATTTGTGAATATATAGCTGAAGAAAGAAGAAGCCAGATTGAAGGGGGAGTTGAACGAGCTAAAAATTGAGGAAGCCACATCGTTCGAGAACTTGCAAAAGAATAAGACAGAATACAACAGATTAAGAGATCAAGAAGAAGAATTTCTCAAAGAATATTGCCGGTACAAGAGGCAAATCAACGAAATTGAAGATTATGGTGTAACGTAAGTGCATACAAAATAAACACACATAATCTCTCATAATGACTCTTCATTGATCTTTGGTACTAATTACGAGCAGACTGGATTGTGAACTTAAATATGTCGATAGTCAATTGGAACGCTTGGAAAAGACAAATGCTCTCAATGCAACATTTCATATTTGGCATAGTGGACACTTTGGTACAATTAACACGTTCAGACTGGGAAGACTTCCATCTGAACCGGTGGACTGGAACGAAATTAATGCCGCATGGGGACAGACGGCCTTGCTACTCAATTCATTGGCTAGAAGGATCAATTTTAAATTTTCCAATTATCAAATTGTTCCATTTGGAAATCATTCCTACATTAAGGTCAGTATATATTATACATAGAATGTTTAACATATTATCATTTATTCATATACCTAACATAATGGTTTTGCGAATTTTTACTCAATTAGGTACTCAACGACAATACTGAACTTCCTTTGCATGCCACTGGTGGGTTTAGACTCTTGTGGGACACGAAGTTTGATTCGGGCATGACGGCGTTTTTAGATTGTTTGTCACAACTACAGAGTGCAATGTTAGAACGACCAGGTATGTATGCAACTTACTAAACATTGATAGGAGAGCTAGCGCTCATCCATATTTGAATAAACTTAACCATTTTTAACCGTTATTAATCTATGTACTTTGTTTTACAGGAAAAACTGGATTTGCACTTCCATATAAAATGTTTGAGAAAGGGAAGGTCGAAGACCCCAATACCGGAAAATCTTACTCTGTAAAGTACGTGAAACTATCTCACTAAAACTGCAAAACTTTCACACCAATTGCAATTTTAAATAATTTGCTTATTTGTTTCATCCAGGACCCAATTCAATTCGGAAGAACAGTGGACAAAATCATTAAAGTTCATGCTTACCAATTTAAAGTGGGCTTTGGCATTTTTTTCCACTCTAACTGATAATGACTAACTATAATACGTAATAATAATTGTAAGAATATTTATTTGAGGATTGTGTCGTACTTTGTGATTTGTACACATTCATCAAGCATGATAATGCTTGCAGCAGTCTATGCTCTTCAATAAGTCATTAGTTTATTATTTCCCACCCAACTTAATTTATAATTTAATGGTACCTGATATATATTATTCGAAAATTATGTAATTACGAAAAACAAGCACGATTTTATTTTTTTGGTGGGTATTACGATTTGGTGTCTATATTTGTTGTGGTGATGTGACTCGTGAATAAACTTGCAACTAGTTATTCCCAAGAAAAGTCTTGTTAAATTGAATACGTTTTTATTTAGCAAACTTTAATTGGATTTACCTACGTGCATGCTTAACTGGGCGAATTTAGATAATATCTATCCCTCAAATACACCAATACATCCAATACGTCCAACAAACAAGGATAAACCTCTCCACAATCCTTTTCTTTTTGATAAACCCCCATCCTTGCCGCAATCTGTGCCGCGGACGACACTGATTCTAGCGTTCCATTCGAAGGCGGTCTATAAACCATAAGATAATCAAGAACTGATCACATTTGGAAATGACATAAGAAGTAAAAAGTCACGGGAAAAAGATTTGAAATGGAAGTCCCAGAAGTCCATATTTGTTACTTCTGTTGGCCACACAAATGGTTTTGAGAAGACATTTTCTCCCGTCGAGCCCCACCCTCTGAAGACCCTTCGTCCCCATGAAATCCACTAAAGGTTGAGGGGCGAGAAGTCTGTCGAGCAATGCTTCCGAGTTGGCTTCTCCTTGACTTCTCCCCGTGATGGTGGGATCCCTGATCCCAGAAAATACAACGGGAACGACAAAGGACGCCGTTGAGTACAGGACAGCAAATAAAAAGTAAACCATCTAAATATGTAGGTATTATAAACATTATTATTTATTTAGCGACTTATTACTCGCATTTAAAAATTGCTAATAATCGGAAAAAAATGAACTATTTTTTTCAGACCTGGTTGGCAATGTTGACTGAATTGTCTTCATTGAACGGTGCACTTTGGGTAAGGGTAAAAGTAAAGAGAGGTATTGTGAAGGCACATGAGGTGTTGAAAGACCTTCGCGAGATAAACGCTGTCGTGGGGGCTAGGCTGAGTTGGCGAATGGAACCAGCAAAACTTTGCTGATTTGGTGGTTCTATAACTGCGACTGGTTTTTGTACATGAGAATTTGGAAATGAGACTGGGAGTGGTATGACTGATTGGATAATTTGGGGGTCGAGAAATGATTGCAGATCAAATCTATTATTCTTGGAATTTGTGGTGGATAAGGTAGCACAAAATGGTAGTAAAGTTATTGTCAAAATTTTTTGGAGTAATATCAAATTATTATTTTGCACGAGGAAATAGAGTAAAACCATTTTGAGAATATTCTAAACTAAATATCAAACCTCCAGAATTTTAACTTCAAAGATAAAGGCATAACCACTCAGGAGGAGAGTACGCCAACCTGATAATGACAGATCTTGATGTCCTTTGGATATATGGTAGTACCCCCTCTGAAAGCAAAAAGTGTGAAGCGGTTTGATGCCATGGCCCAATTTACGCCCGTCACACCCCTTTGAAGGCGCGCCCGATGCTAAACTAGCTGCACTAAAAAATTCGCCAAAAATCCAATTTTGTTCGGATTTTCATAATAATTATGTATTTGTGATCCCAGATAGTCCCTTTATCATATTCAGTTGCAAAATTAACTTTTCAGAAATTTTCAATATTTTCGAATATTTCCTGAAAAGGGCATGGCTTGAAAAAATTCAAAATTCCAAAAAAATTCAGATTGATATCTGATATGATAAAGCAACTATGTGGGATCATAAATATGTAACTATTATGAAAATCCGAACAAAATTGGATTTTTGGCGAATTTTTTAGTGCAGCTAGTTTGGCATCCGGCGCGCCTTCAAAGGGGTGTGACGGGCGTAAATTGGGCCATGGCATCAAACCGCTTCACACTTTTTGCTTTCAGAGGGGGTACTACCATATATCCAAAGGACATCAAGATCTGTCATTATCAGGTTGGCGTACTCTCCTCAGCATTGGATGGTACGCATATGTACATACAAATATGTATTATTAGTACCGTTAGTTTGAGAAATTAGTTTTCATAATTGCTCTCATAACTGTTGTGTATTATTTTAGCACAACTTGTTACTTAGTATGCTCATTGCAAATTTATTTATGGTTCCACTTTATTTTGTTATATTGCTGTTTTTATTAAGGACATATGTACATATATGTAGAATTCATTAAGTGGTTGGTATCCAACTTGTTATCATCATTCCGAAATAAGTAGGCGCAAAATATTCGTAAAACTTTACCTTAAGGGTCATCATTCCTGCATCGACAACGCTGCCCATGATGGAATGAAGCATTACCAGACCTGTATATCCACATGACCCTGCAGAGTCAGAAACAGCTTCTGCATTCGTCAAGAGCACTTCTGCAGACTTTGCCTCCATTTCTGGGGACCTGTCAATCTGGCCCCATTCTTTTATGAAACCGTCAAATACCACGGAATTTGGGTTAAAGGGGTATGGAGCTCTGAGTCAAAAAACAATAATAGATCGGTCAATTATTTACTAAAATCATGGAGCATCATCGTTCCACATCTTACTTGGGGTCGTTGGCGTGATAATGTGATAAATCTGCACTAATCAATACCACGACTCGTTTTTGCGTCATGGAGGATAAAACATATGACGCTAAATCCTTGCCCAACTTAATCAACTCGGTTATCCTCTTGATAGGAGGTTGTCCCATGTAAATTACGGAAGGCAATGGAATCCCAACTTCCACGGCTGCTTCTTGGATGAAATGCCATGGAATGACCTCGCCCCATTTGATATCCATCTGTGTTTGACCAACTCTGAAAATTAATTTGCTTTTCATGAATCACTGTTGTTAATGGAAAATTAAAATTTACCCAAATGATAATAACTCTACTGGATTTTGCTTCCTTGCTAAATCGAGATAGAGTTGGACAGTGCTTTCTTGGTCGATATTAAAATTTGCAGAAATATTCTCCCATTCCCATCCTGCATTGCCAGCCATCTGAATATCGGAAGTCAAATGATTCACGTTGACAAAATAGTGTAAAAAATATCTTGAAATTTACATCTCACACTAGGATTTCCTATGAAGAGGTAACGTTCTTCGAGATAATAACCATGTGGAGTTGATAAGATAACCACATCTGGCTTGGTTTCCATCAAAACTTTAGCTGCAGATCGCATAGCTTCATGAAGCCTGATCGCTTCTTCCCTTGTGCCGTCATGTGTCCCTCCTGTTTAACAGAAAAGCCACTAATTAATTAATCAAAATTACGTAGGTTATTCTAATAGGTCACCTTCTTCACTAAAATCGTGCGTTTTTGGGTTTAGAGTGATCCCACCATGGGGAAATACAAAGAATCCTACAAACGGTTGACTCCTGGTTATCGTTGCAGACTTGACTAGTACATCAATCACAAAAGTCGACAAAATTATGTGAGACAAACTTATCAAAACCATTGCGAATCTTTAATGCACAATGGTTATTAATTTAAACAAATTAGCATGTATTTATGGTTAGAAGTATGGACAGACAATGATTGCTTAAAAGTGAACTGGAGTACCAGTAATTAGTTATGTGCATATGATGGATGGCTTAGAGTATATAATGGACTGTAAATTGTACATATGTACATGCCAACAAATTAATTTCAACAACTTTCTGGTCCACTTACAATAAAGCATTCAGTATGTACAATAGAAGGACAAGAAACAATACAAACTGAGACATTCTTTCTAAATATTTGATGGGCCAGTTTGTTTATTGGCATGCTTATCACGCATCACGTCATTATTACATTAAGCCCATAAATATATTTCGTCATTATTTCTTATCGTCAGTTTCTCTATACCGTAGTCATCACAAGATATCTTATCGCCAGAAAGATCATCGAGGTGGTGGGGATGGATGATCGTCATCAGGTTTAAGAATTCCTTGAAATGCCAACTGCGACTTTAGATAGTCCAACTCTCCTCGAAGGGCATTAAGCTGAAGTCTAACTTCGGATCGAATCTATGTTTATTGAAATATACGTAAACATATACGTAAATGCATACAACACGACGGGCCTAAATATTAATAGCATTTAATTACCATCGAAATTCCAGCCTCGTTTGGGTCCAGATATCCTGACGAGGAGGAGCTTGCTAATGGCAGTGCTGGCTCTGATACTGCTGCTAAATTTGGTTGATTCATTGAACGTTCCAAAGATTCCTACAGTCAATTATCAATAATTATATTTAGTATTTTTCGTATTATGCAATAGCGTTGTTGTATTCTTACCTTTTTCTCTTTAATGACTTGATCTACCAACTCTGATGCAATTAGGGTAGGCCTGGGACCGTCGGATGGAGGGGGAACTTGGGCATCAGAAATAGATTTACATGCAATCGGGTCTTCCTTACATATAGCTTCCTGTTCTTTCTGTAGTGCGTCTCTCTAAAAATAAGTTGTCAATTGAATATTGATTAATTTGTCAATAACGAGTCTAATCTTAATTGTTCAAAAATTTTTTTAGCACCTGTTCATTGATAACTTGGTCCACAAAAGAGTAGTCGGATGGACGGGGAGGCACCCGGCTATTAGAAACAGATTGACATACAATGGGGTCTTCCTTACAGATAGCTTCCTGTTCTTTCTGTAGTGCGTCTCTCTAAAAATAATAGTCAATTGCATATTGATTAATTTGCCAATAACTTGTGGAGTTTAATCTTAATTTTTCTAAATTCTTTTCAAACACCTGCTCATTGATAACTTGGTCCACAAAAGAATAGTCGGATGGACGGGGAGCCACACGGCCATGAGAAGCAGATTCACAAGCAATGGGGTCTTCCTTACAGATATCTTTCTGTTCCTTTTGCAGTGCGTCTCTCTGGAAGAAATGATGCTTTTAATATGCCGACAAATTGTAGCTTTAATTTGTCAAGGCATTCAGTTACTTTGTCATTAATAATCTGGTCTACAAACGAATAATCAGAAGGTCGTGGTTTAGCAGACGGCAAATTTTTATGGGACTGGTCGTCGCTACAAAGATCGTCTAATTGGTCGTTTAACCCACGGAATTGGTTACAGAGTGCTTTTTCCGCGATGAGAGAAGCAACTCGGGAAAGATTCCTCTTATCGATGAGGCCCTCAATAGCGTCTTCATCCCCTTGACCCACAATATCTTTTTCATTTTGCAAAACTGTTTGCTGATTCCTTATGATCTTGTCAACCCATGAGAAGTCTTCGGATGATGTTTTCCTGGCCGGTAGGCAAGCTGTGGATTGTTGTGCAGCAGGACGATTGTCGGGAAGTTTATCTCCCAATACGAGGGAACTTTGTTCAGAGGGGGGTGCGTCTTCGGTGACTTTGCATAGACTTGGCTGCATCAATCTATATTGCATAATTACAACTTTACATATGCTCAATTATGGGCACCCAAACTTTACATAAGCACATATTACATAATTTACTAATGCAAAATTCTGGAAATGGCAAAAGACGTAGAGCCTGATATCCCAGTAATGCCCACCAACTTGGTACTGTTTAACATGAATGCTCTCAATCTTAACTACAAAGTAATTATGTAATATGTGCTTATGTGAAAAGGAGCTCTTATAAGGTATTTAAGCATGTAATAAAGAATAGGCAATATGGTCATTATTCAACGTTGCATTATGCAGTCACCTAGGATCGGGAGGTAAACTTGATGTGGATCCTTGATCTAAACTTGAGGTAGATCCTGGGGGTCCTGTGAGGCAGGGTTGTTCTGGTGGTCCTGGTGGGAGGTAGGTGGGTCCTGGTTGGAGATAGGTAGGTCCTGGTGGGAGGTAAGTGGGTCCTGATGGGACGTAGGTGGGTTCTGGTGGGAGGTAGGTGGGTCCTGGTGGTCCTGTGAGATAGGTTTGTTCTGGTACTGGTTGAGACGACGACGAAATTAATAATGTGAGCCCCTCATCTGAACTTAAGGTAATTGCTGGTGGTCCTGTGAGGCAGGTTGGTGCTGGTTCTGGTTGACACGGCGGCAAGATAAAGAGCTCCTGTTCTGCCTGAACGATTGGATGTTTGGCCACTTCCTGACGATTTTTCGCCCTCTTGACCTGCTTGGAATCCATGCCTTCCGTCTTCTTATCTTTAGCCTTGTGTTTCTTTAATTTCTTCGGAATTTCCTTCTCCGAGTCACACTTTTCGAGAGGAATTTCTGGCTTTTTTTGGTGCTGTTCCATGTATTTCTTACGCTTCTCACGCTTCTCTTGCTTCTCACGCTTACATTTAAGAGAGACAGCAATTCATTAATTACTTTTCGCCTTTGCCAAGATCTGAGATTAATTCAGGCATTTGAATGAACCTACATCTCCATGATCTGATCCAACGGTGGCGTGCTTTCCAGTATCCGCAGCGCAAGCACCGGTCAGCGTTTCATCACAAGCCTTTGAAATTTTGGTATTATTTTCCATAAATACATGTATACGAGTGGTTAAGAATCTGAAGTAGTTTGTACAACTAAACGATCCTCATGCTCATATTTGTAGTTACCTCCTTCTGCATACTATGATGACCTCCACGAATGAGGATGTCCCAGCGCTCAAACACCCCATCATAACCAGAAAGTTCCTTCAAGTCCTTGAGAGTGTCATCTAAAACCCCCTTCGAATTTCCAAGCCAGACACTTTCATGCAACAAATCTTTTGGTGCGTTGAGGCGGCGACGAACTTTGTCCAACCATCGCCTTGCGAATTTACGAACAATCTCCCACGTTTTCCGCATATCATCCTTTGCAATCTCGATGTCGATAGCTAAAATATTATAGGAATGAAATGGATGCATAGTGTATTTTTTAACATTAAGTTTTGAGATATGTACAAGTACACATCTCAATTGTACATACATGTATGTGCACAAAGTATGTAAATATATCAATTAACTAACGCATCATAGCTCTGCCATATTCTACGCGTCGCTGACGTTTGATCGCGTTTGCCTCATTTTCTAAACGCAAGGCCTCCTCCAACTGACGATTATGTTCCATTTTCGCCTTTCCAAACTCCAATTTATCATCCACCCAGTTAATCTTGGTTAATTCAGCTGTCTTTGCTGCCAAAATAATGTTGTTCTTTCTTCTAGTCTCCGCTTGGACTTCAAGATCAAGCAGAGACTGTAATAATTCCTGTTGAACCATCATCCTCTGACATCGAAGCCGGCAAAGTCGCTCTGCCGTTCTCTGATCCCGCTGATAACCGAGTATGACCTACGGAAGGATAAAATAAATACAAGAGTGACACCCTCATGAGATTACAAAATCTTGGAATAAATAACTTACACGGATCAGATTTTCTTGTGCCTTTTGCTCGCGAAAATGCATCATCTGAATTTCTATGCGTCTTTCTCGATCGTTATGTTTTTGCATCCTATTTTTCCGGGCTTCCCTCTGAATTGCTTTGGCTCTGACCCTCCTCGAGTTCAAAAAGGCTTGATGGCCATGGCACCCCGTCCTGCTAAAGTAGCTCTGAATGTTGAGCATCTGTTGTCGTTGGTACTTCCAGTCCGAATCCCTTCGCCGTACGGCCTGACCAACTTCATCGTTGAACAGGGTGTTGAGATAGCCCCTGAATTGGTTGAACTCTCGCTGTGAACAGAACACCTCGCTCCGTTCGTTGATTAACCCCTGCTGGTTGAGGAAGGATTTGACACTTGGTTGGAACAAGTACGTCCTTACGCTTGGATCATGGAGCGCATTGTATGGAGTGGTCACAACTCGGACTTGGTTGCGCTGGTCGTAGACCGTGTAGAAAGGGTGACAGCGATGAAGAGGTTCCCCTAATTTACCACGAGCGTAGTAAAAGTATTTTTCTGGTGCCTTCACATACGGGATTTTCACGTTCATATCCATTTCGAACCATGGTGGGAGTGCGGTAGGTGGGACGCTTCCTTCCAGGCGAGGAATCTGGTCCCGAATGAGGTCCAGACGGGCCTTTCTTCGAATCGTGAGCTTATCATAGTAAGGAATCGCCTTCGTGTTTAGCTTATTCCGAATGGCTTTGGTACCACAGACCTGTTCGATGGTTGGGGGTGTCGGGGGTCGGATGAAAAGCTTAATCCGCTTAATTTCCGTGGGGTTGTCTGCAACGGGGAGGTAGCCTTCCCCGCACTCATTTTCATCATTAGTGGCTGAAGGTGCCATGGAGGGGGCGACGACCATTAATCACGGTTGGAATATATATTGACGGAATCTGAAGCTTGATGAGCTTATTGTTTACAAAAACAAATCGTATGGAATACAGAGTGTGCTGCATCATTTTGGTCTCACTGTTTTGTCATTTCTTGTCCCCCCATCTATTCCTTTGGTTGTCATATTGATCACAGTCTCAGAATTCGTTTAGAATAATTATGAGCCATAAAGTATGAAGACACAAAATTGCTAATAAATTGCTCGATAAATGACTAATTATTACCCTCACGATTTTGAAAAAAATTGCTTTATTTCTACTAGTAGAGGGAAATTTGTTAAAGCGTCATAAACCATTTTGCACGATACATATGAATAAAGAGAGTAATGTAAATGATATAATATTCAGTTTCATGTTGTGTGGCACGTATATATCCTCATAAAAATAAATATTCAAATTAATAACTACAGTGATTATGTAGTACTAAGTACGCTACTAACTATTATAACTGAATACTATTCTCAACTTGGTTATTTAGAATATCGTTTCTTGTTCAGACTAAAACTGATGACTGGATTGAGGTATCTACGTATAAATATGTTACATACTTAACAACAAATCAGTCATTTATGCATGTATAGGGTATAATAAACAATGTATGTACAATTACATAAACAATAGCAGTGATGAAACATGTTCGATATCTAGCTATGATAAGCAACTAAATATAATAATCTCACTTTGATTTTTTCAGGATTGTTGACAGCATTATGTCTTAAATTTTTGCAGCTGCAAAAGCTTCCCCTTGTTTGATATGCTGAGTCAAAATCGGTAAGCACTCCTCCAGTAATGATTTTTCATAGTCATTTAGCTTCGGCATGCCCAAATTTTTGTGGATTCCCTTCGGCTGCAAATACGACATTTCATATTCAAAATTATTTAGTACTAATTATACACTAAATACTTACCCCGAGCTCCACTGGATTTGAGAAATATCTAGTCGAAGCCACATTGCTCTTGACGTACGCGCACTCAATCACGCCTTTTTCACCCTTCAACGCCCTTAAAATAGAATCGGCGAACTTTGCTGCGGACCAGGCAATGGACAACGTAACTGTTCCCGAACCTTGCTTTGCTTCCACGATCTCGACGCCGGCTTCCTGGTTTTTAAATTTTCATTCAGCAATTTTTCATATTTATGTACAAATTGCTGAACTAATGCAGTCCTGATAAGTATTTGTACTCACCCTGACTCTGAGCGTAATAAGTTTGAGCTTATCCATAGAAAGGTCGGGGGCGGGTGTGCAAGCACTAAGTACTGGGACGATAGTGACCCCGCTGTGACCCCCGATTACTGGGCAAAATATCTTTGAAGGGTCCCAACCCTGTGTTACATTATTCATGTATAAAGTAACTGGCTCAACACGTTCGCTTTCGTGACGGACAGACCTTCTCCTGAGAAATAAAGCTGCTGACACGAACAGGTCCAAGTGTGGTAATTCCTAATATTTTGTTTTCATCCAAAACTCCAGCCTTTTCAAACATAAATTATATTTACTAATCTAATTGGCCTCAGTTAACTTGATTTCAAAATTAAACCTTTTTAAACATTTCCGAAAACAGTGGCACCGTGCTGTTGATCTTGAAGCATATATTTACAAACAAGTCAATAAATATTTGCTCCACACCCAATTAAGTTTTTTCAATGCATTCTTACAGGATTTGAGACGATGCCATAAATTGCATTGGGGTTCATCATACTGCATGACACTGCCAAGTCCTTGACGATCCTCGAGTTCACATTAAACTGATCTTCTCTGGTCTGTCCAGCCTTCCGAGGGACCCCAGCAGCGCAGAGAACAATGTCTGCCCCATCCAAGGCATCTCTTATTTGACCGGGACCATAACCTTTGACCTTGCAAGGCGTTGCAACATGGTTTAGGTCAGCAGCTACACCCGGTGAATACAAAATATCGTACATGGCCAGTTCCTGTATTAGCGGGTTCGTTTTGAGGAGAAGGGACAAAGGTTGACCAATTCCACCCGATGCTCCCAACACGGTCACTTTAGTATTGTTCTGATTAAAATACAATATTTAATATGTATATGGTTTCATACATGAACAATGAGTTACATGCACCTACCATTTTCATGCACACTTTGATACAAAATATTTAGCTGTGCTTACCGCATTCGACGTGGAAAATGACTTTGTTGCAACATCCCACAATGGCTTGGTTGCTCTCAGTTTGTACATGATGACAAATTGTTTACTTTAAAAATCTGAAATGAACAAGTATTTTATTTCTTGCAATATTAAAGAAATTTACTGCATACGCCGAACTTACTGTTATTGGTAAATCTGTCTCAATTTCCCTAACGTGAGTCAAAGAGTCGTAAATGTGCTGTTATGCAAAGTATTTGAGAACTTGTTATCGTCCAGAGAAAGTTGTTAATTGTTCAGGCATCGGGGAGCGAATGAGGAAGCCCTGCCATCATCGGTGAGAGAGGAGGCGAGGTGAGATTGACTTTGAGAACATCCTTCGCCTCTGTTGGTAAACATGTTGATCTGCGTTTCACTGAAGGGTCGATATCATCGTTTACAATTCACAAGGTCGAAAGAAATTTGGACGGAGCAGGCACAATAACATGGAACAGAGTTCTAGAGAACTGGATATATTCGGATACTCGCAGCATATATATGACATTATGTAGCAGTCGTAATAGTATATGTAGTGGTGGCGCTATAACATAACATTGGCGAAAACTGCGCTGCAATTTTTACCGGTTCGCAGATTCCCTGCTACGTGGGGGGTTGGTGGTTGGTGAAGCTACTACATTTCCTTCTGGAAGTTTTCTGCAAATTGAGACCCATCACAACAACAACAGAAATAGCAAAGAGAATGATATCGCCAATGTTATTTATAATGGGTTGGTTGGTTCAATAAAGAGAGAGGTTGGCCAAAAACGAATTGCAAACAAATCGAGCAGAGATAACATAATAAAATCATGATAAGTATTCTACCGAATGATTTTGCATCCTGTTCTGGATTCGGGCAAATCTCAGAATGATGAGACGATGAAAATCAACATGAGGCATTTTGAGACGTCGGAGCTGCGGAGACGAGCTCATGTGTTTTTGTTACTCAATTCAACTTTTCGTAAACATTTCGTTTTGTAAACAAATACAAAAGTTGAAAGTGGACCCTTCTTTTTTACAGAATGGTTGTATTTATCTATTTCAGGGTTTCCTACCTTCGTGTTTTACCTCCATAAGGTACAAATTATGACAAATTATAAAAACTTGCGACATACGCATCAAGCCAACAGATATATTTAGAGTTGGATTAAATATTTTGCAAGTACTTGTGCAAAACGTAAACTCTGAGTTGCATAAAAGAATTTGCGATACAAACAGGCATGTAAAAAAACAATTTTACAGGTTATGAAAACATTGGATTCCTCATCATTGAAAAGTGGGATTCTAACCGTTTGGAATTTGCTTTTAGATTTGCTGGCCCAGGGGTTGGCGTATTTTCAACGGGGTGAGGAACCCAGAAGATCTTGTTTAGTACGTTGATCAATTCAAGGATTCACGTATGTAAGTTACGCCATGGATGATTCAAACTGCATGTCGAAAACGTTGCGTTGTTCGACCATTCGCTAAGGAAAACATTGAAGTATTCCAATTCACAGAGTTGATGTTCCCATCACCACTTTCAAGTTTTGATATCCCATTTGTTCATCAGTTTTGGAGGGCGTTTGGCTAGTAACACCGTTCGTACTACTACAACTTACTACAAGTTTGCGCTCATCATCTGATGTTATTTACCACCAGTACGTTTAATACTAAACTGACTTGAAGTTTTAACTTATAAATCAAACTTTACTGTTTTATAGTTTTCCTACTTTTGACTCTACTTGACAACAAACTGAGCAAACAAGCAGTTAAAACAGTTAATAAACCAATCGTCCGCCCAAGCGTAAGTACTTGATTTCATTATTAGTAAGATATTGGATGATTGAACTCTTTATTAATTATTGTTCCTCTTTCTTGATGTGGTATTTCAAGCAAGAACTCACCTAACCAGGAAGACAATACGTGACCCTTAATCTCATTGGTGTTCACCTTCAAATAACTAATTTATTATATTAGTGTGGGTGAAAACTGGACGAAAGTTAGAATTTGAGAAGAAGTTGTCATTATCTTATCAAATATTTAATACATCATCTCCAATGGAAAGGTTTACTTTGACGGCGTCAAACACCTTCAGTTCCAGGAAAAGCTTCCCGTGTAGACTTTCAAAGTTCCACTCGAACTCTGTCTTAAATTGTATAAACTGATTTAGAAGAATCTGAAAGAAAGTGAAATTAAAGGCAAACAAATCCGAACCCATCCACAAGACAAATTGGATTATTAGACGGTTTGAAGCTATTTAAAGAAACATGAAGCTGCTGGAAAGTGGAAGGCTGGAAGCCCTTTCTTCACTGCTAAGCAATTTGGAGGTTGGAGAGTGGAGAATTACTGGACGGGTTGAATCATATTCTTGCAAGGTGATAATCACATATTTCTTACAATTTATTAGCTTATAAACTTATAATTTTCATCCATTTCATCTTCATCGCTATGTCAAAAATTTTACAATTGGTTATCGTAAAGTTGGTTTACGAAAAGCATATCAATATCCAAGTTTATAGTGAAATTGGTACAAGATTCATGGAATGTCAGTAGGGTGATAAACAAGAACTCAGACAAGTTGTCGCCCAACTTCTCAAGGTTTTGTTAGCCTCCTGTACTGATTATAGACTTTCATGCGCTATCAACTTATACTTATTGCCATTCGTTTCATCTCCAGTTTGGAAAGTGCATATCATACGAAGGTATATTAATTGGAACATAGCTCGCATAATTAGCCTGATAATTTATTATCACTCACTGTCGGTATGCTTATTTCTCATTTAGCAAGTAAACAGTTTAGAATAAACACTGTTCTTCTCCCATACAATTATTCCATTTGCCTTTCTGCTTATGTTGAGCAAATTCAGAACGTGAGATATTAATGTTGAGAATTTGTGAATACTTCATATTTATAAAAGAAAATCTCTATTGACCCTATTCTCCATTTGTACATAGTCAGATTGAGAAACATTGGCATGACACATACCTTCCTGCAAACATGTTCTCACTATATAGTTGGTCGTTTATGTTATTTATTTTATTTTTTGGCAGAAAATTGCATATTATACATAATATTATTTGGTGGAATATTATGTGTAGCGTCACATTTTGTCAGGACAGGAGAGATAGAATGACATCATGTAACTATATTTTTTCTTCAGTTAAATATTGCTGAGATCATACAACCTTTGTGCTACTCGTGTAGTCGTGTGCAATTAGGCTTATCATTATTTATCCTCATACCTACAGTACATATATAGCTGAGTATGTGCATACTACTGTTTCTCATTTTTATTTATATATATTCCATAAATTTCAGTGGCCAGTTTTTACGAGTGGACAAAACACGTACATTGCTTGACGCTTTTTTGTAATGATGAGCGATATTTGATACTTAAGTTACTTAAGTTAAGTACATGATACATACATACATACATACAATAGAAGTTTAATGTGACGTCACATTCTATGATGCAAGTTTGCCCTTGAATTTTTTTCTTACATTTGCATGCATTTTCTTTTAAAATGTCAAGCGGAATGACATGAATTTAGTACACGGTGAGGGTATACCGTATACGCGAAATATAAATATATGTAGAAAACTATAGTAGATAATGATAAGGCAGACAAAGGCTTAATTATGCATTCATACATATATTGGAACTCACAAAAGAAAAACTTGGCTATATTATTGAACTTAACCAATATTTGAAACTCCTTAGTGGCATCTTATTATAAATATATCATTCGTATATTATCTTTATTTTCAAGTTTCCCCTTTTCCTTGCTCTCATTTTTATAAGCTGTGTTAAACAGAACGATGATATCAACACGGTCAAAGTATAAAATCGCAGATTTTTATATTTCCTCGTAGTTCTGATGCTTGGCAAAGTTCCTTATAGAATTTTTATATTCATTCCCTACTTATTTACGAAAGCAGATGGGCTCTAGTTTAGAATGTCAGGTTAAATGCGTTTGCCAAAAGATTTGGCAAATTATTTAGAATCTCTCCTTCATCCTGCCAAATATCTGACGCTCCAAACTGTTGATAAAACAAAGCAACCTTTGAAACGATTGTGATTTGCGTAAATATCATTTCACTTATTTTATCACGGACGTATGAAGCATGAAAATATTTATGGGAACCCGTTATATTATTAAATCATGCAGAAATACGTATGCTCGTTGTACTCTATTGATGAGAGTGCCCATAAGAAAGAGTTATCAGAAATAAATTATTATTATATGAATAGTATTTATTATGTAAATATTCTTCGGCGTTTTGTGCAACTTTTTCGATAATAGTGAAATGAGAATTATTGCACTGATTAGACATATATGTATGAGTGAGTCAATGACCGCTTGTACATATTTATCAAACACAAGTGTTTATTTGTATTGTCGTAAGGCAAAATAACTGCAGAGTTTTAAAGCCACATAATATATTTCTGTTTGACCAATGTTATCATACGAATGAATGTATATGTAGTTGTTTAAATAACTTGAAATCAAAGGCTGGAATGGATGGATACACATTTTTGCACATTTTGCTAAAGAGCATGCGAATCTGAAGTTGTGTGCATTCTTGCTACACTCAAAAGTTTGAATAATGGATGGTGAATTCGTGAACTGTGAGGTCAACAGGTCGTTATGATTTAATGTCGTGTGCGATTCTCGCATGTCTGTTCAAGTGTTTATGTGGCTTCTGATAAATTAATGCAAAATTCAATGAACTCATTGCATAATGCACTTATTTGTACTCACTGATGTACTCTGATTCTGGATATTTACAAGCTTTATTCAATCATACATATATTTTTATTCTTCTAGGTTGCTGGAAATGAACAAAAAACAATGTACAAGAAAATGTCCAAAGATGGTGGGGGGTCCGACATTGTAGCACTGTCGCCTCCGATAGACACGAATTTCCTCTCCAAGTCGCTAGACTCGGAGCCAGAAATATTCACTCCTGAGAATTTGGAAATGTTTGTAATCTCAAGGAAAATGCTGTTCAATCTCATCACCACATTGAACCTCTCTTTCTTTCCCGACTATGACTTTAGTGACGCTAAAAGTCATGAGTTCTCTAGATCGCCTAGTTTGGCCCACGTGAGAAAATTAAATAATTCATGTCTAATCCATAATTCGTGACGAATGCCTTCAATAAACTAATATCTATACAATTCGATTCAGGTTTGGGCAGAGATTGATTCTAGATTGGGACAGTGTCACCTTTTCGGGAGAGGAATTCGGTAATTACTAGCGGAGTTTAAACTACATTCACTAAATCTTCCCAGTCATAATTTCGGAATATTTTGTGATAGGAGCCGATTGTGGGAAGAGATTGATGTTGAAATTGGTGGCTTGAGAAACTCTGAGATCTACATGTACAAACCTGACCTGATATCTGATCCATTCTCAGAAGCTGGATGTGTCTGGTCCTTCAACTTTTTCTTCTACAATGCTAAAATGAAACGAATCCTATTTCTTAATTGCAGAGCCATGAAGTAAGAAACCATGTTAAAACTAGGATTATAAAACGATTTTGTAGTCTACATATTATTACGTGCTAATAATAATAACTTATGTTTATAGCCCAAACGCATCCGCCTCGGAAGAGTCCGAATTTTCTATCGATGAGGATTAGTTGCAATTGACGAATAGGATGATGTTATTGAATAACAATTCCAATGATAGATGGTTTAATTAATTAATTAATTAATTTGGCTTCTTTGAGTCATTATTAACCAAATAGAATCAGACGACTACATCTCATTATAATATTTTACCTTAATTATAGCTTTATTAATACAAAGGTTATTTTTGATGTATTTATTGAAAATTAATGCTATTACTTAAGTAAGTCCCGATGTTTGTGGTTATTTTTGTTTAGACATTCTCGAATTTTCTTTCGTTCTAATTAACTTTTGTTGTTGAAAACCATAATTATTTGTGATAAGTGGCTGCTTTCGTGAATGAACTACAAGGCTTGATAAATGTTTCATAGTAAATTACCTGCTATACATTCACGTAAGCAAAGAGGTCTCTAGGTTCGATATAGTAGATTATTATTATTATTATTTGGTTATGTTTGGGTCTGAACTGATTGAAATGCGTACCTTATATATGTTAATGTAGAATTGTTGTAACGCCAGTAATCTCTTTAATTTTAATGATGGACTACATTAATTAATAACAGTAACACTTTTCGCACATGTTAAAAAATAATCGATACGTCATTATGTTTGTCCAGTATTTGCAAAGTCAGTCCAAAGTTGAAGGTAGTCGTCGTTGATAAATATGTAGTAGATAAATTAGTTTAGTTTGGAGGAGGAGGTTTCGTCCTTGCAATCCTTCTTGCAATATCCCACCAAATCAACAAAGCTGTGAAGTCTATTACAAAAGAAATGCAATTATATAAATGTTTTGGACCTTTAAAAATATATACAAATTGTAGACATATGTATTGCAATGTCACAGACTGTGACTCACAGTACAACATTTTTAGAGTGAGAATGACAACTAAAGATCAAAACGAGTGAGGTTAAAATGTTATTATATCAATTTACTATCAATTTACCTTCTAGTCTATCCATTAATTATTGCTTTATATATATACATATATTTGGGGTTTATGATTTTTGACTAAACGAAGCCAGTAGTTAACTACGGGTTTCTTTTGAAGAGTTATAATACCAATTATATAAATACATAGTTATTGTTATATCGATAAATATTAATGTGATTCTATACCCACGACAAAGCTTAATTTACTTTCATTCACATTGACTTACATGTAAAGAATATTACGTTAAAAGATATAGATGAACTCGGTGATGATGTAAATATTTTATCTCATTATTACTATTGTCTTTACAAAGTAAATAACTCTAATGACACACACACACACACTTGGATGGATTTATTTATATCGCTGATAACGATGGCTAGTGTAAACATTATTATCCGATTTTAAAAACTAACCCTACATACATAATATGTATAATATGTATAATATGTATATACATAATACGTGTAATATTATTACACGTTGATAAGGAGAAAGTACGAAAGCGATCTCAAAATATATAAACATGTAATAAAAAAGTACAAAATTTAATTGAACGTTGTTGATTTTCTTGCAATTATTTATTTATTTTCATGTATGTATTAGAAATGCGTTTAATTAAAACAAAGAACTTTGCATATTCGTAAAATAACAGCTTTCATAAAGATTAACTCATTAATACGGCATAGCATTATTAACTTTATTACTACAAACTTGTTTAAAAAATCATAGTATAAATGAGATCAATTTAATGGATGGACAATTTTATTCCGTAGAGAGATGAACTACAATGTCTATGAATGAATAAATATTTTCTTGTATGTATAAGAATTGGTCTCCATAATCAATAATAATAGAAAGCACCTCATGAATTTTTAGTTTAACTATAGATGCACAAAATCAATACTGAATTGTAGATGGTATAATATAAATATGTACATATGCATATGATCTGGTCCTTCCGTAAGATGGGTATTTTTCTATATAGCGCCACGATATTAGAATTTAGAATATACATACATAATTTAGAATTAAAGTGGAAATATTGTTGGACTTTTACATTCTTATTTATAAATCAAAATAAGCCTTTGTTTGGTATTTTTTAGAGTTCTGGTGCAGTTTTTGCTCGTCTAGTCGCGTCGCATCCCTTTCATAAACCCCTGTATTAGATCGATCGGTAAGGCTGCAAAAAAATCATAATTTTAAAGCTCTTTTGAGTCAAGTGTATCGCCGTAATGCATTTTATATAAATATCAGTAAATGCTCTTACGAAAAACGATTGTTGAGTTTTTCTCGGCACTGATCGTATTCAAAGTCTATGAAAGAAATTAAATGACGTGAAATCGGAAAAGTGTTGAAGATTTCTCTTAAAGACTGACAAATCACCTGCAAGTATCGCAATTGAAGTGCTGCAGGAGACTCGGAAATTACATCAGAAGCCTCTGCAATAGTTAATAAAAATCAACATGAGATAAGATCAGATACACAAACTGGAGAATGGAGTAATTTGATTTATGTATATGAACCTTTAAGAGCTCGAGATGCCTTTTGTTCACCCTCAGCCGCAATCACTTTAGCTCTAGCTTCCCTAGCGGCTTCCGCCTATGATTAGAAAAAGCATAATTGTATGAAAACCTCTCAGGTCATGACTAGGATTAAATATAAGTAATTACCTCGGCCGCCATAGCTCTTTGTAACTGGACAGGTAATCTGCCGATAAGGTATTAAGGATAAGGTAAGTGACATGAGGTAGGTATATTTATATATTTATTTTATATATGGGTTAGCGGTTAGACGGTTATCTATGCATATTTATTATTGACCATGAATACAATTATCTAAGTTCTTACCGGACATCCTTACTGTAAAAATTAAAGACATTTATTTGAAAACATGTTTAATAAATATTTTAATTTAGTGAATGCATAAGAACTTCATACATTTCGACCCGTTCCACTTTAATTCCCCATGCCTCCGTGGCGATGTCCAAAGAGCCCTGAAAGATACAATTTTCATCGTGAACAATTTCATGCTGCTAAAAATATTACTGGCCATGTCCCCAAGTTTTATTTATTGTCGATGGTTGCGTTATACATCGACGTTGATAGTTATTGATCGGACAGTCGGGTGGTTGATAAACCACCCATCGCATCGCTGTGACACGTTATGGTGCATATATTTTACTTTCTCTCTAACCAAGCTGACAAAGCAAATAAAGGTGGTGGACCACGCCCGCATTACAAATACGTAAGAAGTACAAGTATGAAATGATGCCAGAAAGATACTTTTGATATATTTTCGCAAATACACACATTTGAGTACAACATTCGCATATCGGTTACATCGGTTGCATAAAACGATGAAACATGTGAAATGAACCTGCGTGTTTGGAAAGAAAAAGAAAGAACGCAATTTCAATAAAAAGTTGGGCAAGACGAGTTGAAGAATAAATAATCTACGGCTTTGCATACAATACAACACAAGTTCTGGCATCAGATTGCGAGCTAGTTTTTGGAATTTTCCAAACTTTTTATTTTCGTGTGTAGTATCGATTCGTGAGAATATTTCAAAACCCAATTAAATTTCTAGAAATTGATTTTACTTGAAGCGAATGTTGCAGTTTCTTTATTAAGGTGACATTTGGAACCTGTAAGACTGTTAGACTAAGGAAACTATCGATTTCGCGAAATTGAGCTACTTAAAAGTAATTGCATTTATTCTAGTGTTATAAGAACGCTCTGGGTTTGGAAAACAATGTGAATTAAAGGCGGTATTAAGGCGTAAAATAGGCCGACACGTCACAAAGGGCTTAACTGCAATTGGTCACGAAATATCAGAGGCAACAAGACATGTACGCAATAACGTGAGGATCATCATCCCAATTTCCGTCTTAAACACTTGGAATTATTGAAGCAAGCGATAAATAATTAAGGCTTTAGAGTCATGCGAGTGGACACACAAATATTGCTTTTATCCATATGTATGCATGTACCTGAATAGCGTTGGAAATCCCTTCCCTCTCCGAGAGCAATTCATGCAGGTTTTTCGTCCCCAGAATATTTCTAAGGGTGGTTTGTGCCAATAAACGCGTCGATTGGTGAGCATTCGCCACGTTTGCGATGGATATGATAGCGTTACTCACCTACAAAATATGTCACATTTGATAGGAATTACCTAAAGGCTGGCATTCGTTCAGAAAACATTTATCTATGTAGCAAAAAATCTAAAATGACTTACTCTATAATAGACGACTCTACAAATTTTATAAAATCATACAAGTATTATATTAATGATGGGAATTTCTTATAGCAAAATTAGATTAAAGTAATTTACGTACGCGTCGACACTGACGGTAACTATATTAAAATAGTAATAATTATTAGTATTAAATTACAAATATTTATTATTGAAAGTGGATAAAATTAATTTCTAACCTGAGTCCTTGGTCAATACTTCTTGTGGGGGTACCTTTAAAAAGTTATTATTTATTTTTAAAAAATATAAGATATACATTATATCAAAAAATGAATTTTATTAAAGTACGTCAAAGCAACTCGTCCTCAGGTCAACTTTCTGCAAATTATAATTACAAATGGAAATTATTATACACAATAGCTGTATGTATGTACATAATACATTAAATAAGTACGAACCGTATATGATTCGATACATGGCAAAACAAAGAAAATTCCGCGTGACCCTCCAGACTGTAACCGACCTAGTTTAGACAGTCAAAATTACATGGTTTTGTTGTATTCGGGGGAATGTGGAAGGGTAATAAAAAGTACAAGATCATCTCACCTAGTCGAAATATAACCGCACGTTCGTACTCTTGCACCACCTAGATATTCATATAAACTTAATTGCATAGCTTAACTACATAAGTTTCATAATCATCTGTAATGATTAACATTTAAGTGCCAACTAAGGATACATGTAGATAAATACGTCTGTATAATATAACCCTTGACTTTATCGATTAGCACATGTTATTTTTTATTTAACCCATGCATAACTAATTCATGGCTGTCAAACTCTATTTTTTATATGAAACTACGTTGCAAATATATGAAGAAAGTTGTACTGCGTATGGAGGTTCAGGTATGGTGCCCCCATAATATATTAACGAAAGAAAGAAAGAAATCGATCCGCGTTCCACTAAATTGGACGCTCATCATCATCATCATCCTGCCCACGGTAATATAAAAGTGGTCATAAAATAAAAATACGTACATAAACGCAAAACAAAACAGACAGGGTAAAGTTTGACAAAATCAATTTTTGTGTACAAACTCGACAATCTGGGAGACGGACAACGCTAATGAACTTCCCTATATTTATGTAAGCTTGCTCATAAGATGAGCTTGCTCTTATGTGAAATTCTTGATAAGGGTTAACTTATCATTTGCCAATTTGTTGTTTCTTACCTTGAAGCAAAAGAAGAGAGAGAATGGGAGGGTGAGTATCACCAGTAGCCAGGACAGGCTGGTGAGCAGGAGGCCCACAACGCCAGACCCCAAATCGTCAACGTCCGCTAAAATAGGTGAAAGTAAAAATAGGTGAAAGTCGTGATTTTCAACAACAGGTATTACGTATGTATAATGTTCTATTGGGATGAGACACTTTTGTTCACGAATGTGTTTTTTGAAAGGTTTTTGGACTCAAGTTATGATTGCATCCAGATAAAAATGCAGTTAAGAACCTCCCTCCTTAGTCATTTACATATTTACATAAGTATGAATTTATCAGTCATGATCACGAGGTACTGAACAGACTACATATTCGCGAATTATTCTTATGTACGTCACTTATCGATCGTATGTAAAATTCAATTCCTTCGTGGGTTGAATTTAGTCTTATAATAAGACTACCTGTCCAGGAACGTACAGTAAAGCAAAATATTATATACGACAACACAAACAAATTACTGTATAGCGATAAGGAAATAAAGTGATGATAACTACTTAATGCTTATATATAAGAGGACTCCGCGTGTATGTATCTAGGTTAATTGTCGACATAAATATTCGCCAATAATTCCCTCATGAAAATAATTACTAAATTCTTAGCCAAATAAAATGTTTAAGAGAAGTAAAGCTTTTTGGAATTACGTGGGGGCATGTTATCGCGCATATGCCCCATGGCCATACTCCCAGATTCCTGAGGAATTGGAAACAGTTGGCTATGACTTCCATTGCCGTTGGGGTGAGAGGACGCCATATCACAGTCCTAGAACTTCGTTTCCTTCCCCTTTTCAACTATTTCTTCCACACAAACTTACTTTCACTTTTTTTAACAAGTCTCTGAATAATTCAGAATCATTTTATTTTTCAAGTCACGACTAACAAAATAAAAATATTCTGGCTACTTTATGCAAAAGGTTATTTGTGGCGAGTTGTTGTAGGTAGCGTCGGTCACATTTTGTGAACTCCTCTCGCTCGGAACTAAGAGCTTTCTCCACTTGACAGGTATTTTATGGCTGTCTTCTCGTTGTATTCATTCCCCATGAAATCGTCGAGTTTGTTGGTTGGCACACACAATCAACTCCAACTAACTCCACTCACTTGGATGAGCACCTCTACCAACCAACATATTCAGTCGATACTTGATACTTATCCAACATTACTGTCCAAAGGGAGAAATAAAACCATTAAACTTTACTTTTACTTTACTTGCGCCGAAGGGGAATGGCTTATGATGGGTCGGGGCCTGTGTAATAAAATAGTCAATGTGTACTTCCACCGACTCCTATGACGCTACGCATGGGAAATATGGCAGGCAAATGTCAGAGACGGTGGAGAAATATTTTCCACAGAGTTTTACTTCACCCTTTCATAATTGAGTTGACGACCCATATGTACGTGCACTGATGAGAATTAGTGACATACACGCCTCTGAACTCGGACTCGGGAAGCTTCCTTGTTATGGAATGAATAGTCACAATTTATTCATGCGCGTTCTTTATAAAGGACGATATTCATTTAATTGGTTCGCAAAATATGTATGTACGAGTTGACGAACGACCCCTTCGCCACGACTGAATAATGCAATCAACTGGTGATGATAACTGCGTACAAGTTCTTAACTGTCACAAATGGGATACTTTATTTTAGATCGGGTCGGACTGATGCGCTGTCTTAAATGGACTTGTTATTTTTTTAATGGAATATGTGCCGTAACCGGAGGAGGTCTTTTGTTCGTATTTGTTCCACATGGTCGCGAGGACCCTAAAAAAGAAGATTCGAGCCGACAAGACGACGGGAATGAAACTGATGGATCGATATTCAACCAACCAACCGATTCATGGAAGAAAACGGGTACTTTCACCTCTCGCTTAATCTCCTCACTTTCCCAACAGACGTCTCCTGGACTTTCCATGGCCCATCTCCGCTACCTGACACCTCACGCCAGAGTGTTGGATAGATGATATGCCCATCTCTCTCCTCATCTGCCCACACAACAACCACTTTAACAGATACATGTACTACATATAAGTAGCTGCAGGGAACACATACTACTTTGTATCACAGCTCAGGACATAATATAATTTTACAACATGAAACAATACTGCGAGTTACTGACACGCACAACAACTTTCTCCAATAAAACCGGCGAACTTTCTCTCATCAGATTTACACCAACTATCCGGATTAGCTATCCTCGTTTTGCAGAGGATTGCGTTGTAATATATAATTGAAGACACGCAGCAAGCAGTGATACATTATACACATACTTGGTGAATCATATTGTAATGGTATTTAATACACATTTACGGATGTGTCATAGACTCAAATTTAATAGCTTAGGTCAAATATGGCAGTCACATGAAAAGTATTGATTAGGCGATAAAAATAAATAGGTAGTTACCGCACCATAAGTCATTAATTTGCCATGAATTATATATGCATACGTATAAATATACGTACGCCTTAAATGTATTTATTGGTGATGTCGCTTAATATAATACGCGGATTGTAAGATTTTCGCGCAAAGATAAATCTTATATTTTCCAACAATGGTTAAAAACACGAAGACATAAAAACCTATAGTACAGCCTTCATTTATCCCGGGTCAAGGACAGAGTCCGCTTCTAAATTTTTGTACGAATTGACCGGACTAAATATGTAAAACAACCCCCCATGTATGTTTGTGAAATGCTTTCTAATAAGTGGTATCACGACCAGTGGTTCACTTCTTACAACTCTTGAACTTCTCAAGTTGTATTTGCTACGTAAAAGTTATTTTTAGCCTTCACAACTTTAAAAAACGGTATGGGGCACCTCCGAGGTCCCTCTGGTTCAAAATTTTCTGAATTTCATCTAAGAAACTTTCATTACAAGCCTTTAGCGATCTGTGTGCCAAATTTCAGTTTCTAATACTGTTTGAAACTTTGATGCTTAATACCCCATCCACCTAAATGACCCTCACTGGTCACCCACTTGATCGATCTTGCCCATCGTCGACCTCATCGAAGGCCTAGTGGAGATACGCATTTTAAGGCCAAGTTGGTCAAAATCGGTGTTTGTCCATTAGCGTGTCGCAGACACACACAGATTCACCGGTTCCATTATCCCTGACTCAGTCTAAAAATTGTTCATCCCTTTGCACATGTTTGGAAACAGATCGTTTCTTGTTGTTTAAGAAATACGTCTTGCCTTTACAAATGGAGGTTGGCTCACTGTTCTCATTTTCAACTTGAGTTAAGACCTGGAGAGTGTCAAACAAATGATGCAAGTACTCTTACCACCGTCTAATGTAAATGTCAAATGAGTTTGGCAGCTGTTCCGGCTGAAGTCACAAATCATCCGGTAACTACTTTCGAACTACGTACAGATTTGCAAGTACTTATGTATGCGTGCATAAATGCTAAGAGATGAATCCAAATTGTAATTAGAAACGGGTTGGGCGTGCCACCAAAATAAATAGCAAGATTAAATTTATGCCTTAAAATATCACTGTTTTCTATAACTCTAAAAAATATTTCTTGTTCTATTCGAAAAGAAAACTGTCAACAAGAGTAAGAATTCAAATTAACAGATAACATATTGGCCCGAAAGTATCTCATGTCGCTTTTCAACCCATCGTAAAACACATGCGCATAATAAACCATGTCACTTTAAGCATACATAAATGCACATTTGCTATGTATATTCGAAAATTTCCTTGCTGTCATAAATTGTCTACTGTGTTATTCACAAAAGCCTTTTAACACCGGAATCCCACCTCGATTAAACTCGTTTTGTCTCAAAATGTTGTGTTTGGCTCTTTCTCAACTAGAGCAATCACCTTTAATATCGTAATTTTATCATATCTGGTGCACAACACACCGTGAAATTTGAAATACAAACACAATATTGGACCCACCTTCTGAACCAATTATATTATTCATGGAAAAAACATATAACTAATAAAAATCACTTACAGTTTGAATACATGGAAGACAGCTCTCTGATCATGATGCGTTCCGTTGATGACGGTGGCATGATGCCAGTGCGTATCAGGTAGCACCTGAGGATGATGTCTTGCAACTTTTCTTAAGTGCACTTCCACCAAACGATTGGGATACAATGACACCCACAAAAATTAACGTCCTTCTTCCTTTGCTGCGGCTGCTGCTCAGTTCAGATTTCAATATTTTTAGATTCCAAACCTGCCTTGTCGTTTTTAGTTTTTCAACAGTTTCAAATACTTTACTCATCACCCGACTGGAACGTCTCCCGTTTGGAGATCATTTTTCAGACGGGTTGTGTGAGTGAGCGAGTGAGAGTTTAAGAAAATCACTTAAGTAGCTTTTTGTATCTTGGCGTATGTATTTCGTATATATTGCTTATTGCTGTTCCAAGTTCAATGTCCAGATGCACTTGCTCATTTATTTCAGAGTTCTGCAAGAAATGTGTACAAATATAGAAATAAGTTGCGTTTTTTGGCGTATATAAGCAGCTTTTTCGGTGTACGCAATAATCCTACTGGTCAATCGCTATATGAAATATGGCATTGATGACTTTGTATAATCGTTATTCATTTCTGAAGAAACTACCCTGGATGAGTTAGGAGTGAATGTCTGTATGTGTATAGAGGTGGAGCACGTTTGTAAATATTGGAACACGAACAACCCCACTATCAGCCAGTCTCTCTTAATTTTTGCATTGTTCCAAGCAGGTGTATGTAATGATGCAGGAAGCAAATAATGCCTAAGCTCTGTCGACTTGTTCAAAGAGCATGGACATGAAAACACAATCTGAAACACTTAAACTAAATATGCAAATAGTGTATTGCTAAATTTGACCAATATAATAATGCTCAACTTGTCCCATACTAATCTCTGTTCCTGTCCTTCCTTACTCACTACTTCTAGTGAAATATATGCACGATTGAAGGTGTTTTATTAGACATGTTCCTTGTGTATAAGCGGACAACAAAAAATCGGAATTCCTTTCATGCATGCAAAGTGCCAATAATAGAACCTCAATTTGCAACTTTTCGCACTCACGCCGAGTTGTATCTATTATGTGTGAATAATGTATCCCACCGATGGTTAAGGACAACCAGTGTTCATTAAGAAATTGGTTGGACCGCTGGACTGCGGCTATCTGTATTTATCAATAGTCTGACCACCCCACCAGCGAAACGACATGCATGAGGTCCAACAAACAATTAAGGAAAGTGAAGATTTTGCACATATTAAACTGTAGATAACCACTTACCTTATCTCCACTCACCAACACGTCTCAAATTAAGCCGAGTATTTGTCAATTTTCACATTAAATAACTTATTGTCTGCAAGCCACACGAACTAGGCTGACTTTCTCCACTAACTAAAACCTGCAAACATGAAATCTAAGAAGGAGCAATATTAAATTATTACGTCCGTTGTTGCGTATCTCTACTCAATAGATGGTATTAATTATTTATTATAATATCCATCCATCCACTGCCCCACTTTTGAACGTGTACTTAATAATGGCGAGATGACGATAAGTAAATACATATACCTTAAAGTCAAGGGATCGATATTTCAATCACCTCGAAAACAATGATGAGCCATGTAATTTGCCGTTTTATACGGCAATGCAGGCGAAACCAATTTAAAATTTAATGTCGACTTTACACCTTTCACTTCAACCAAGGCGTATGCGAAAAGTCCGAAATGGAAAGGTGCCCACCAGCGGAAAGTGTCAGAGTCCGTGTCAAGTCATCGTATGACATTGCTTACGCTGCTCTGCTGGCATCGAAAGCCGTGCGTCGAAGAAACACTTCACATTTTCATACATACAAATATTCCGGTCGAAGAGACAATTGCATGCAAACTTGTACTCGCCTATTTAGTAGATAAATGTACATAAACAAGGACGGAAGAAATTTGGCTATAGTTTAGCCTAAATATTTTACATGCAGGTTATCTTGTTTTATTGACAATGACTTGCCCATGTCAAACCCAGAGCAAATAAATAGTTCAATTATGTTTAATTTACAGGTAATTATTTGCAATCAAACAGCTCTGCAAATAATAGAAAACGTAATGGTGTATTTATTTAGTATCAATGATTCGTAATGTATGTATTGATCACTGTTAATATGCATGAGGGGAATATGGAGGAAAATTTGATTATAAGTTTGCATAAAGCATAAGAAGTCAGTTAGTGAATGTCATTATAGTTATTTTTATAAATCATACTGCATAATTTTCTGTTTCGATTTGATGCTCAGATCTTAGATACATGTTGTATCGTCAACTGGTAAATGCGAGTGATGTTCTCTTTGTGCTTTTGGGTCGAGGATTGAATTCGATTCACCCAAATCAAAGCCACTTATCCATATTTTTTATTGCACGTCATGATTCTTTACAGATTATTTAATGGTCAATAAAATGTGCAATGTTTGATACATTTTCACTGAATTGTCTTTATCGCAACCCAATCTCATTTTCCCTGTTTAAAGCATTTGCATCACTACGTCTCGTCATCATGCATCCGGCACAAGTCTCATTTTCACACAGCGGCAATAATCCTGCCGTGTATTAAATATTTACTTATTCATACTATTCCACATCGACAAGTAAATTTGTTTGTTTTAAGTATCAATTTCACTCACGAATGGGTTAGTTAACGTAAAATTAAAAACGCACAAATTTCACCGTATGCAATTTTGTCCTGCTTTGTCACGGTGCGATTTATGATTTAGGTGGAAATTATGCTTCGGTACAGATCAATCTACGCTCTATATCTTATCGCATTTATAGTAAGTATAGTATATTATAATAATATTATTATTTACTAATACGAGTTAATTAATATTGGTTGGTTTCCAGTTTGAATTTTTTTGACGGGCACCATATAATTATAATTATGTAATTACGTCTTGTTGCAGGATCTTTTTGCGGTTAGCTTATTTTTACCCTTGCTAAGTAAAGAAATTCGAGATCTTGGAGGTGATCCGTTCCTTATTGGCGTGATTGGTTCAGTATATGGAGCTGTCCAGCTGTTTTCGAGCCCAATTGTGGTATTTCTTTAATAAGTTATGGGTGACAATGCAGGGCGGAATAATTGACTGATGCAAGCTTTTTTTGTACAGGGCTGGGGAAGTGACAAGCATGGGTCGAAAATTATTTTGTTCATCTGTCTCCTCTCGACTGCCGTGGGGTACGCCCTTCAAGGATACGCGTCCAATCTCGGAATGTTGTTGATTGCTCGTTCAATTGCAGGTAATTCCAAGCACAACGACAAGTGTATAAAACAAAGTGTATAAAAAAAGTATTATTGTTTTTTGATTAGGATGCTTTAAGCATACGCAAACTATTGGGAAATCAATAATTACGGAGTTAGCCCCGCAAGAAAAGTCACACGTACTTGCAAACTTTAACGCCTTTGGAAGGTACTTAATTTAACGATTTATTAATGAGGTTGTTTTCAAAATCAATGAATATGAGCTATAGCTAGAAAAGAATCTCACTTTCTCTCAATAGTAGCACTATTTTTGCACCGTATTTATGGTTATTAAAATTAAAGGTGCGTTAATTGATAACACAGTATGGGTTTTATAGTCGGTCCGACTATCGGCGCACATTTGGTGGAGTTGGAGGGTGGATTCAGAAGCGTTTGTCTACTTGCCTCAGCCGCATTTCTGGCTAATATTTGTAAGACGAAAGAATTTCGTACAATGTTTCGTTTGTTACGCAATACTAATTAATTGTCCTTGTTTATTTTTGGCTGTAGTGATTTTGGTGTTACTCGTTACCACAAAGAGGAAAATAAAGGCTTGGCCGTCTAAAGGGAAAGACAGCGATGATCTCATGGGCAAGAATGCATATTGTGGCCTTGGAACAATTTTTTCTTGGCCTAAAAGTGGTGCGGATACTTCAACACTCAAATACAGCGTGACTGGAATTTTATTCCTTCGATTCGTCTTCAGTTCTTCTACGATCATACCCAGAGCAAATCTACCTCTAACACTAGAATCAAAGTTTGGCACTGGAGTGGTATCCGTCGGTTATTTGAATTCTATGCAGGCTGTAATAAGTACTATCACAGGATTAACAGTCGGACCCGTTGTGTCACGTCTTTATCAAAATGATTCGGAAAGAATGGTAAAACATGCTGGTTTCGTTAAAGCGGTTAGTGCATACATAATTGGCTGACTTTTTGTGGTCAGATACGAATCAATCAATGATTATTATCTGTTTTCAGATCTCACTCCTAGCTCTCGTCGTAGCACCGACATTTCGATTAGCGGGATTAAGTCTTTTACTACAAAGTGGGGCGGATCCGTTTCTGAGAGTTGGAATTACTTCAATGTCTCTGGATGGGCATGATGACTTTGGAACTATTCTTGGTCTTGGACAGTCTGCCACGTCTTTGAGCAGAATGTTAGCTCCATTTATAGCTGGTGTGGCTCAAACATATCTTTCCGACCAAGATGGTCCTGCAATCATTGGATTTACAGCAGCGCTCCTTGGACTTATTTGGTCTTATTTTGTGGGAATGCGACGTGGTTTTTGGCGTTGGGGGACAAGAAAAGTGCACAGTGATATTAATAATGGAAGTATGGGTATAAATGGAGGTGACCATCAACCTCTTATTAACGATATTAAAAAGGTGGAGTAACAAATAAAATAATTAATCTAATATTATTTATGTCTCTAACTGGCATATATGTGTGCAGGGTGTGATCAACCACAATCATCATCAATTATGACGATGCGCTAACCAAACTTTAATAGAATGTGCGAATTATTTACAGTGCTTCCTACTTGTACAATACCTCTGAGATAATTTATCAATTGACTAAAACTGCGAAACATTACATATGCTAAACAAAACCAAAGTTTGATACTAATTATATATATAAAGTACTAATTTAAAAGATACTTTGATACATGCATAAATCGGTTGTGCAAGGTTCATAATAATTGTTTGTTTTACATATTGATATATCGCCTTATGTAAGACAAAATCCTATATACTAGTCATCTCAGCAGTCAAGAATGTGTCCGATGATTTCCAAGCATCTCGCTAGATCTGGGTTGCAAGAGAATAATTTCTTATACTGAATTTTGTAACTTGGCGACGATAAAAACTAGATCATGCTGTAAAATAATTTTATGGGAAGACGAAGAAATAAAATTTGCAATACCGAGTTTGAAACAATATGCGTATGTAACTGTACTCACACCAGAATTGTTGTAAAATTAGTTGAAAGAAATGAGTAGAATTAATCGAAATACATTTCCGAGCTCACTTTCTTCAAGGTCTAATAAAACCACTACGAAACTGATTCCTGCAACCGAACCCAAAAATGGGACAACTCGGGGCCCTGGTCGCATGCCAGTTTACGGTCAGCCCATGATTGCCAGGGGAAGCAGTCGGGTTCCACGAACAGTGGGAGTACCTGTTGCCAAAAAAGTATGCTTGCAGAAGATTTATGCTAAAAATCGAATCTTATTTTTTATCTATTGATAACATTTTATTTATTACATTGGTAGACCTCGCGATTACAATGCACCGCCGCTGCTGTGACCATAACCGAAATTGACTCAATTCCACACAGTTCTTCCACATCAATTGTCTCCAACGCTAATTCAAGTGCTGTCGAGCGTCGTCGTAGTACTCAATTCCTGGCTCGACCTTCGTCGTCCAGAAATATAATTGCTACAACTAATAATGAGATGACCTTGCAACATTTTACGGACACAGAATCGGTTTTCTCAACTTCTACCAATGCTTCGGAAGAAGTGACAACGATTGTCCCACAAACCGCTACAAACTACGTGGTCATGTCTAGTGACCATAATGATGACGATCAGAATATACAAAAGGAGGCCAATAACAAAGGAGTCTCGACAAAAGATGAAGATTCCTTCTCACCCGTGACGAAAACCTTGTTGAAATCATTGTTACAATATGCTTTCGATCAAAGTGGATGGAAATTGCTTCCCTATGTGGCAGTAGGAGGTCTCCTTTTGTATTTCATCCTCCCAGTTTGGTCCATCCTATCGTTTTTGGCATTTTTCTACTTTGTACGACGCATTACATTCAACTGCATCAGAATTGCATTCACCATTAAACATTGCAGATCTTAAATGACATAATTGTATAATTGTACAGTCACTTCAAGTAATTGGAGGTGGATCATTCACTTCCAGGAAAAAGACTTCAAGGCGAACGATTAAATGGACGATTCAAGAGTTTTCTGAAGAAATTAGCAATGGATTTCTGACTTGTCCTCCATTCAAAGATAAGTCCAGCCAATGGTTAGTCATTCATAATAACAATGCTACGCAAAAACGCTATTAATCATATAATATACATATTTGTATATGTATGTACATGCATGTGTATGTATTTTTAAATTCTACACAGGCGTCTCGTAGTATCTCAAAAGCTTATGATGGATGGAGTTCAAACTAGATTTGGTCTAATCGCAACCGATATTCCAAGAAATTTGGCATGTGTTTTAGCCAACGTAAAATTCTCGTGCACTGACAATCGGGGTGTGGAGTTAGCTACTGGGAAATTCCAACACGACTTTCATCGATGTGGCGACCTAAAATTCACACAGGGTGTAATTTTGTCACAAAGACGTCTTGCAGAGGATGACATCGTTAACATTCTGTGTCGGGTGGAATTTCAAAGTGTGACGATCAGTTACTGGAAAATGATTCTGCGCTGCATCGGTGTGACTCCGCCTCAAAAAGGGAATTGTGTCAAGGAAATTGGCATTATCCAACAAGAGATATTGGTCTATCAGAATGCGCCCAAGTCAAAGATGGAAGCCTTTACCCGTTTTGTTAAAGTATGGCAATTGGCAATGTTAACCAAAAGGTAATAAATGCAGGAACAAATTTAAAACCAGATACTATTGCTCACAGCATCCAGATACTAAAACCTTCGCCTGGGAGATCCCGAACTTTGCAATGTTGCTTAGAAGCAGGGAAGTCTGGGGAATATATTCCTCACAATTCTTTGTTAATACAGAAGATTTTTGTGCAGTCTGGTAAATATTTTTTACTTTATAATAACATTTACATAACAATAAAATTGTCGTCTGTAATGCAACTGTTCATTATTTGTTAGGAGAATGAAGTTGATCGAGGTGAGTGGCGTCTTTCGTGTTCATGTCCAGCTTCGTGGTCTTCCTAAAACACTGAATCAAGTTCGACTTTGGTATTTGTTACAACTCGTTGACACCTTTGGGGATTCAGTCGTTCCAGGTATTACTTTACTCATTGCTTCAAAATTTCTTTCACCAACAAGTACATCCAATTGTCTCAAGTTAGTTTTATTTAAACGCGTACTTACTGCTGTGAAATAGAGCATTCGATGAGCAGAATCAAGTATCCCGACTACATCAAATTGTGGGACACATCGAGACATATCCTGTACCGGAGAGAGACATTATTGTCAAGATTTTTGGGGGTTGACGGTTCGCTGACGCTCAGACTTTCTCTACAAGTGAAACCAAATGATGTTCCTCTGCTCGAAACGGATTCTGAAGAGTGGCTTTCTCCACAGGAATGATAAATTCATCGTTTTGGTTTCATATTTATGTAACAACGATAATATGACTTACATTCTAAATTCTAAATTTTTACAGATTTAATTTGCTTTGCATTAAACGAATCATAGTTAAAATACTTATTCGTTGTTGTTATATGCAATCGTCTTTACTAGGCATCCATAATTGAGATCACGATGAATTTTGGCGATAACCAATTAAGTGTGACTAAGTTAATCTCTTACGATTAATTATTTTTATGCTTTTCGATGTTCAACTTTGTGGTCACATTTTCCGACATTTTTGGATCATCATCCAAACCGTGAGGTATGCACATATGTGCTCATAAACTCTGTGGTATGCATAATAAGTATAAGTGAAAAAACAAATTCAGTATTTTTATTCAAAACATAACTTATTGATAAAAGTCTAGACACTTACGCACATAAGTACGATTAATCCATAGCAATTGTCAGATATTTTCTTATTCTATAAATAATTATGGGTACACCAGAAGGGTCAAAAATGCGTTTACAAATACTTCTTTTGTCTTTTTGTGTAAATTTTAACTATCAAGTATGGAACTTCAATAGGTAGTTCTTTCCGAGTAGAGATTCTAACGATGGGACCTCCACTTTCACGTGTCGATCGAGGTATTGATCCACATGCCCAGTATTTTGTGGCATTCCAGGTTTCAGACCCTGAGGTTTGCTTATACATATTTATATACATAAAGCTTATTGAGTACTGAAAATCTTACCATGATCCTAACCATAGTTGACTCATTGAATATTTCAGATATCCGAAAATGTATTAAAAGTACAGAAAAAAATTATGAGCAGACCAGTCACGACTATACGAAATATAAAATCTGGTCATGATTTCCAACAAACATTTCTCCCAGTAGAGCAGTTACATGTCACACTATATATTCTAAATCATCTCAAGGATGAGGATGTTGAAACGTATATATAATAATACATATTAACGCATAATTTTATTTTTAACATAATGATTCTAATCCGAACCGAATAATATGGATGACTAATTTCAAATCTAATTTTTTTTCCTGACAGTGCTAAAACGCTTTTGCGAATAGTGCGAGATAAAGTCAAAGATGAGTTTGTGAAGAATCCACTGGACGTACGCTTTAAGGGGATTCATCATTGGGGCGATAAGGTGACTAAATTGCATGTCGTGATGATGATATTAGTATACTTTACAAGCATTTGCATCATTAGGTTAATTAAAATACTTGATATAAGGTCTTATTCGCAAAAATTGATGGGAAAGAAGATTTGGAGCGAGTGAAAAAATTGTCAGAGCTAATAAAAACCGAACTAAAAAAAGCTGGATTTCATCCAGACGGCCTAAGAAACTACACCCCACACATGACATTCGCCATGATGCGTCGAGCGAAAAAAATGTACAGAAAGGTGTGGAGAATATAAGCTATATAACAAATGCATATGCAACACAAAGAGAATGTTAACCTTTTCAAAATTGTCAACAATACAGATCAAAACATTTCCGAAGGAACTATGGGTTAAGGATAAATTTCAAAACTTTGGCCAACAGCGTTTGAATGGGTTTGACTTACTTGAAGCAAGACTGAACAACAAGACAAAGTATTATGTCAAAGTCGCCGAGTATAAGTTTAACAACTAATAATGAAACGTTTTTCGATTTTTTGATAAAAATCCGTACAAGTAATAATGGCACATTATAAATACAATGATCAAATGTCACATTTTAATTGAAACTTTAACCAAAATCGGCCACCGGGTTGTAACTACAAACAAACAAAGTAAATATGTACTAAAAAATGAGTCATCTCAACGTTGTAATAAGTATCTAAACTAGTGTCACATTTGACAACCATGTCCTTTAAACCTTACTATATAATCCTAAGTATAAATGCTTGAACATTATTTTTATTTAGTCTTGATGGTCATGCTCATGAAGATAGCTCTCATTCCTTGTTTTAAAAAAGTAAGTTATTGGCCCCCTGCACATTGGGCAATTGACAACTTTCCCAAAACAATTGGCACACAAACAAACATGTCCACAAGGTACAATTGCCCTGGACACTGGAAAAGTCTGGCATGCTGAGCACATTACGGAACTAAATGGCTGTTGTGTCGACGTCGCCGCTTCATTATCTGCAGACGACGGTGAAGAAACTAATTGTTCTTCGACCTCCACCTCACCAACATCCTCGACATACAGAGGTTGCAGCTTATGGCTTTGTCCATTAGCGAGTTTAATATATTGAGCTAAAATTGCTGTGTTACGCGGAATGAGTTCATGCTTCACATGAAGGACGACGCAAATTCCAACCTATACAAATAATTAATTACTAGCTGGTCTAATTGTAATCAGCGATTGCTAACCACTAATCATTATACTACACTCACAATTGCTGTGGGGCTGAGATTCTCTGGGCGTCCCTGCTTGAGAGATAGGAATATAGCCAAGGGATACTTGTACTGCCCATTTAGTTTGTTCCATTCCATTCTTGCAGGTGCGGTCACGGTTACCTTCACTTCATCTTCAGATTCAATTTTCCTATTTAGCAAACCTCAAGTTTAATTTGACTTGATAAACAATCACTACAAAAATAAACATCTTTCAATATTCACCTTTCAACCCTAATTGTATCGACAATCATCACTTTGTCCTCGTCCATCGGTTCTTCCACATTTTCCCATGACGCTGATCTCACCAGTCCAAACAAATATCTTGCGTCCACTCCCCACAAACATTGTATAGTCTCTGGCTTGTCTTGCTCAGATCTTATCATGCTGAGACGGAATGTAAATTTGTTCACCTCCTTTGTCGAAGAGTCTACGAGTTGAAAAGTGAATGGGAGGGGGGTCGGCGTTTGGTGAAGCTCTTGTCGACGGTGCACATAGAAAAATGGCCAAATGCCGTTCGGCAGCCTATGAATTAATTAATAACGAACAATCAGTACAAGCAACCAAAAAATCTCTAGTCACATACCTTGCAATCCGATATGTTGTAGCGACAAAAAAATAGATAATCACCAGCACGGAGGCAAGGACGGAAAATTTTGCTCCTATTTCCAGCCATAAATCGGCACTACCGGTACCATTATTATGATGAACCATTATTACCGAAACCCCACATACTTCCAACACTAGAGTTTAATTCTTATTTACAAAAGGTCTTATCTAAACGCAAATCCCCGAAAACTCATCCATCAGCAGAAAGAGACAAACAAACTGATTTTTGAGCCTCTGCAGCTGTTTTTGTTGTGGTTGTCAGTTTATTTACACTTTAGCGAGTGAGTCAGATTCACACAATATTTTTCATTCCAGCTACGTGCGTCTTGGTTACCTTTTGTATTTTTAGCTGGGATCTAAAAGGTAGTGCGGTTTGATTGCTTGAATCTTCATAAAACAACAATAATTCGGCACGGTGTACTTTAACAAAAATTGTAAATTGTTGGTTATGCTTCCCAAGTTAATAGTTGAAACATAAAGCAATATGCAGCCTAAATGATGATGGTTCCAGAAGAAAGCTCCAACGCCAACGCTGCTGTCGACCCAAGTAAACCACTCCCATCGCCCGTGTGGAGCAGCGACTTTATATCCGTCTGTGCCAGTACTGTAAATGTGGTCACAAATGATACAGAGTGAGTTTCAGGCGACAACCAGTTAAAAAATGTCCTTTAATTTTGCGATGATACATTTCATTTATGTGTGCAATAATTGCAGATACTGGTTGGAATCTTCGGGTACAGGGCTCAGTTTTGGTGGCACACAACGAGTACCGAGTGGCGTGACTTGGCGAAGCTTGGTGGATGGTAAGGATTTCGAAATAGTGTGATTTTATTAAGTTAATTTTACTTTACCGTTAATATTAAAATTCTCTCCAGCAAACTAATTAAGTAACAGTCGCATAGACAGATAGACAATCGATAATGATTATTTTGCATCCTCCAAGGATGGCTCCAACTCGTGGGGGTGGCGAATGGGTGCGAAGTGCGTGGCATCATTCGTTTGGATCGTTGGCTAGTCCCAGGAGGAGGAAGTCAGCAAATAATGGCGTCCCATGCCGTCCACTCCATCCTCGTTCCCGTCGACCAAAAGTCTCTTTTTACAAAGGTTTTCTTTTCATTATTTAGCAGTACTGCTAAATTCATTTCTGCTAGCGGTATCTAATAATTTGTTTATATTGCATAGAAACTGGATGGCCAGTGGTTATCTGTGGAGGAGTTACTGAGTCTTCAAGCCGAGGGGAAGGTTACTTCAGTTGAAGTTGTGGATACGATTTTGTCTTTGGAGTTGGGCGATTTACGAGGGGCCGCACTAGGAACGGAACTGCATACGAAGGATATTTTTCTCGGCCTCGATCTAATGAAGCAAAAGCGATCCGGACTCGAACTTATCGTTCAGGCTGCACAAATTGGACAGTCTGGTGAAAATCCAATCTGAATTCTAATTCTTATGAATTTTTGGACAAGCAGATTAACTAAATTTAAATATTTATATTTAACTTTTAGAGCAAGAACTTTTATATAGAGATTTTCTTCGATTTACGCTCCCATTTTTAGTAATGGGCCGGAGACAGTTTTCGCGTTTCATGGCCCAGCTAGGTTGGATGGATGAGGGTGTGCTGGGGGAACTGTTTAGAACTTTCGACATGGGAAATCGTGGCGGTATAACGTTCCGTGATTTGACATGCGGTCTGGCTGTCATAGAACCTGGCACTCAGCATGGTGGGCCGCAAGCCGAAATAAGATGCCGTTATATATTTAGATATTTTGATAAGAATAATGATGGACGGCTCGATTTTTCGGAATTTCGAAATATGGTTGCCTCAATTCGAAGAGCGAAAGGCCTGGCTGACGATATCAACTCGATTCAAGATGACGCTGAGAAGAGTGCGGTGTAAGTTAATTTATGTATTTATTAATAAATATTGCGTAGAAAGCTACATTCATAACACTGTATGTCAATTGTTTTCAGCGTATTTGGAGATACAATTTCCGAAACGCTTGGACAAACTGAATTCTTAACAGCTGTGGGACAACTCAAGTTTCGTGGGACGTCACATCTTCTCCGGTCTCCAACCTCGATAGTTGCTTATCTAAAGAAACTTTCAAGTGGTGATGCTGTTAGTGGTAACGGTATTGTTTCTGCTGCCACTCCTCCTCCGACCTATCGGGTAGAAACGAGCACTAGTCAGTCGCAGTCTTTGCTCGGAGACTCTGGCCTTATCATTATGACTGATGTGCAAGCCGATTTACAATCTTATGATGTAGCCACGCATTGTGTTCGTGTTAAGAGATCTGGTACAATTCTGGATATTCACTCGTTGTGGGATATTGAGCGTAATTTATATTTAATTTTTATTAGTTTGTATGAACTTGTAGCTAACTTATGAATTTCACTTAAACATTAAAATATGTAGATAGTGGCTTAGCACCTGATACTCCAGGAAAGAAGATCTTAATCGGTGGAGGAGCAAACCGCATTAAATCCCTCGAAAACTTCAACCAAACTTCAAAACCAAACGAAATGTTAAATGGTTTACGTTATTTTGAAAGACAGATTGTGAATGATCCCACTGGACAGTTAAAACCTAAACCAGTATTTTTACATAATTTTATTTCATAATTTTATGATTTAATTTATTATTTTTATGACATTTATTTTATGACATCCAGGCCTTTGACTGGGGGCTCATTGATAGGGCCTCACTGGCCAGATGTATCATCTCTTTATGTCAACAAGTCACGAAACTATTCATGTCTGAGCCTCGGCTAATTCAACTTTCTTCTCCTGTCTACATTCTTGGTGACCTACATGGAAATTTTCCGTGCCTTTTAAGCTTTGAAAAAGCTTTATGGCGCCTTGGCCCTTCTCTTACTCCTGCCAGCTTTCTCTTCCTTGGGGACTATGTGGACCGAGGAGCGTTTAGTATTGAAGTCATCGCATATCTTTTCTCACATAAGCTTTCGGCCCAACAAAAAATTTTTCTTCTCAGAGGTAATCACGAGATCCGTGAAGTTCAGCAAATGTTTTCATTCTACACGTAAGTTGATACAAGAAATACATATAACAATGCATATTTTAGCAGAGCTGGGAAATTAATGAGTTTCGAGATTAAAAATTAAGATTTGAGATTAAAAATCCCCGAATCAGAGATTAAGATTAAGATTAAAATTATTCTTCCGCTACTAAATTAAATTATTAAGATTAAATTAATCTATTTTTATGACACAGATTAAAGATTAATTAATCTAGATTAATATAATAGTCATTAAGAATTATTTTATTTTATCGCCGTTTTTGGGCCTTTTAAGATGGCCTTATAGATTTGCCAAGATGTCTGTCTGTCCGTCCGTCTGTGCGTCCGTCTGTGCGCACGATAACTCTCTTTAAACACAAGCTATCGACTTGAAATTTTGCATACTTCTTCTTCGGGCAAAAAGTAAGGTTGAGTTCGGAGATGGGCATGATCGGTCAAGTGGTTGACCGGTGGGGGTCATTGGAGTGCGTGGGGTATTGTGCACCAAAATTTCAAAATTGTCGTAGAAAGCTGAAATTTGGTACAGAGGTTGATAATGGTTTCTAATGAAAGAATTGAAAGTAAAATTTCAAAAATTTTCATCTGGAGGGATCCTAGGGGGTGACCCATACCGATTTTTAAAACTCATTCAATCGAGCTGAAATTTGGTTTGGGGGTGGCTAATGGCTACTAACGGAAGAGTATGAATTGAAATTAGACACATTTTCATCTGGACAGACCCATACCTATTTTTCAAAATGGTCATATAGAGGTGAAATTTGGCATGGAAGTTACTTATTGGTCCAAATTGAAGAATATGAATTGAAATTTGACAAATTTTTATCTGGAGTGACCCTATGGGGTGACCCATACCTATTTTTGAAATTCATCAAATCAAGCCGAAAATTGGTAGAGATGTTGGTGATGGATCCTAATTGAACAATATGAATTAAAATAGGAACAATTTTCATCTGGAGGACCTATTGGGTGACCCACACGGATTTATTAAATCATCGTATCAAGTGGAAATTTGCTACATATGCTGTTAATTGATACTAATTATAAGAATATCCCCAACTTGGCCTGACTTGGCTATATCAAGTCTGCCCTGTAGGTTTAAATTGTTTAACGTCCATTTACGATAAAATTTCATGCTAACAAGTATCACCGTGCCGGAATTTAGCTTCTTACGGCAATTTCTGAAAATCGGTATGGGTCACCCTCTCGGTTGAAAAATTTTCCAATTTCAATTCACATTCTACCATTATAAGCCATTATCACGCTACATGCCAAATTTCAGCTTTCTATCACAATTTTGAAATTTTGGTGCATAATACCCCACTCATATAACCCACACTGGTCTAAATCTTTTCTGATAGAACCCATCTTCGAACTTCGAACATCTTGGTCGTTGGATTGCCCAGATACATGTATGTATCAAATTTGGTAAAAATCTGCTAAGTCGTTCGAGAGTTATCGAAAGACAGACAGACGGACAGGTCGATTACATAAGCCCTGGTTTGGGCTAAAAATTATATGCAAATCGTTCACTATAGTCTGGCTTTTAGGTAATAATGCCGTCTTAAAAGGCCCCGCAAAGTTGCTTGAAGTAGGTTTTTATAGTTTACATCGATATTATAATTATATCGTAAATTCTAAAATTTGAGAAAAGTATGAAGTATCGGTGCTTCAAAATTGTTATTCAAAATTATTAAACTTTTATCAGCTAAATTTAAGGCGAATACAATAACTTGTAATACGAGTAAAAATTAGTCTCACCTCAAATGCAACGCGTTTTTAAATTTCAAAAAATAATAACTCTTAATTTTTTTTAATTAAATTAATTTTTTAATGGCAGCAAATTTTTTAATCTTTTTAAAAAATACAGTTTTAAATAACGTTACTTTCAAAAAAGGGAACCTGTCAGAAATTTAGAATTGTTTTGATTTTTAAAAATGGTTCCAGTGTTGAAAGACGATCGTGCGTTGAAATTTAGAGATTTACAAGGAGTCGAGTAACAGATGGCGTGATTTTAATCATAATATAAATCGTGATTAAAATTAAAGTCGAAGATTCAAAGATTAAAAATTAAATTAATTAAATTGACTTGTGAGATTAAGATTAAAATTATTGATTAATACGATCAAATTTCTTGATTAAAATTATGGATTAAGATTAATTATTCTTAATCTTAATCTTAATCTTGATTATTTTAATCTAGATTTTCCCAGCTCTGTATTTTAGGCCGATTTATTATGAGAAACATTTGTATTGCATTAGGGAATGTCTCACCAAATTTGGAGAAGTTCAGGGTATTGAAGTCTGGAATGCTGTGAACGATGCCTTTGATGCTTTGCCGCTAGCCGCAGTGATTGATAAAAAGGTCCACTATAGTAGCGCCATAATTTCAATTTATAAAGAACAATTAAATATTTGACTCTTGTCAAAATTTTAATCTAATGTTTGTTCAGATATTTTGTGCACATGGAGGAATTCCTCCACCATGGATCGGTCACGGAATGGTATCCCCTATAAATTCTATCCCTGTTCCCCTCCCACGTCCAGAGGAACAAAGTAAATTATCGTGGGAGTTAATGTGGAGCGACCCCATTCACACGGATTCCTTGACACCAGAGCAGTTGACAGAATTATCACTAGATCAAGGGTTTGCTGATAACAAACGTCGCGGAACGGGTCATGTTTTTACTTCCCAGGCTCTAGAAGCTTTCTTGCAAAGAAATCATTTTTCTCATGTGATCAGAGCCCATGAGGTTCAACAGGTCAGTCAGGAGTAATAAGTTGTATGTAATGGTTTATACATGAGCATACATACATGTAATGGATTATACATTATATGTATATACATTTCATATATGTTTTAAATTATTTTTCAGGCTGGATTTAAGGTATAAATTTGTTTACTATTGTACATTAATCAGTCGTGACATTCTTGCTTCTTGGGAGTTTTAAATTTCCAGGTCCAACTAGATGGAAAGTTACTGACCGTCTTCTCTTCTTCTAATTACTGCGGTGGTAGCAACGAGGCAGCGTGCATTTTAGCCGACAAATTTAAATTGAGAACAATTCGTATCGACACGACCACGTAAATTTCTAGTCGCTAAAATTTGTAACCACAAGGATTACTATTTCCCAGGAGTTAAAATGTATTTATACAGATATATATTTTTTACAACTGTCACAAAGGTATAATCACCCACTTTTCATACTCAAAATTGTCTTCATATAATTTTCATACAAAAAATTGGTACATAAAATTGTTCGTATACAAAATACCCTTACATATTTATATAAAGTCACTCTGAATTAATTTTTATGAAACAGAAATCTGATGACAAAATTTTCATATACATACATATGTATATTAATTCTTCAAGTCAGGCATCCCAATTCTTTTGAATGTCTTTCGCCATCTCAAGCTTTTCATCATGCAAAATATCTACAGCACTTCCAACGCTTGTCCTCCATCTCGACAAATCTTCTGCTTCTGCCACCAAGTCTTGAACAAAACTTTGAATTTGCGGAGCGTCCCGTAGAATAACTTCCAAGCTCAATTGGCCCATGGACAGTAACGTCACTATTGGTATAATTTCTCCCAATAACTCAGTTCCAGCTTTCCGAACCCCCTCCAAAAAGTCGGAATCCAGCTCATCCTCAGACTCCATGTAGCTAGAAAACTTGTCCATATTGCCAAGAATCTCTCTTGTTTTCAAAATGTCGTCTACCAACTGGTTTGCTACGGCTGCGATAAATTCGGCTTTCTCATCATCCAATTCCAATTCTAAATTTCCAAATCGTTCAGTAAAGATTTTCTTGACCTATGGAAGACACAAGTTCATTCTACCAATTTATTGGACTAGTAGCATTTTTTTAATTTCCATTATTGAGTAGTTTCCGAACCCTTTCAACCACAGATATTTTTTCGTCATTTGATCCAATGTCCCCGTCTTTTGCTTTTGATATTACTTTTGTCATAACAAGCCCAAGTATTTCATCACACACTTTATCCACAAGCAAATCTCTCTGTGATAGGTTTCTTGTCACGTTTTCAACCGTAGGGGAACAAATTAGAGAACCCTCTGAATCCGTAAAAGATTCATCGTCTTCGCCACCTCCAGGAAGTTGTATTTCCACACTTGCATTAAATATGCGAAAATATAAATTATAAAGGTTAGTGCATATGTATAAATTTGGATTTTCGATTCATGCAAAAATATACTTAACTTACGTGCAAAATGACTCCTGAAAATTGCATTTGTTGTCACTACTGACCAAATAATTATAGTCGAAGCCATTGTTTTCGCAATAAGCTTTAAAGGTAGCGTAATCCGACTCCAACTTGCTCCTTTCCTGTAAATACAATTGGAAAGGAACCATCCGCAAAATGGCTCGGAGAGCGTTGGGGGCTGGAACTTGAAGAAGACTTCGTACTGCTCGAGTCACAGCACGAATCCTGTCCAGATCTCGGAGACCCATTTGGTTGAGCGCACAAGCATCAACATTGATAAGCTTCCTACCAGAGATTTTGTTGACGAGGAACATTGACTGAGGGTAAGATACGAATGATAATTATTAATAGTTAACTCGGTAGTGGTCCAAAACATTAAAAACATACTTTGACTTCCGGGAATCCATGTGACCCAATCCATTCAGCAACTTGTTTATCCGTCCAGTAATAAAAATCCGGCAGGTCTGGGTCTATTTTTACCATATTTGCTTTCCTCAATTTTTCTTTTTCCGATGGAGTTACGCAAAGAACAGCTTTGGCTCGACGAATTATTCCTTCAAGGTCTCTGTCATATTAAGTAGTATATATTCTTTACGACAAGCTTGGCTTAATGTTAAATCATTTTCTAAAGAAATATGTCGTAATCTTACTTGTCAGACAATGTATCAATTTTCACTTTTCTCCGAACACTCTTGATCATGAAACGAGTCCAATCTTCTCTGGTTTTTGGTATCGAAAACCACTGTGACCAGTATGCGTAGTGATTATCTCGTGACCATTTTGTTCCATCAGATGGTAACACCGGACAAAATGTTTGACGGACACGGTCACGGCGCTCTTCTCCTTCATCATCTTTTTTGCCATTATTGTTGCTCGTAGATAGGAAGCTTTTGGAATCTTGACTCATATCTCAATGTAAATTTGCTAAAATGGAGACAAAATGATCAAATTCCGAGATGTGGCAGAAATTTCACATTAGTTGTACGCAAAAACAAAACTGATTATAAAGGAAATTTTTATAAACTACTATAAATTTTTTTAGTAAGCTCTTGATTTAAATTGAGGACGTGAATCGAAAAACAACTTGTAAACAAATTTAAATTTAGTGTAGTCATGCAATTTGCACCATGGATATCAAATACGGTACAGAAACTCTAAATTATTATAACTTTTCTTTAACATGGTTTAAAGTTTACTCGCATCTTTTTAAATAATCATACATTTACGAGGTAACAGGTGGAAATGATGTATGTAACGCAAGGACAAGCTTAAAAAATATAAATACTTGAACTTCCTCATGCGCGAGGCAAATTCCTGTAAAATTGGCGATACTCTGGCATAAGTAATGGGAGCATAGACATGAGGTCGTCATGTTTTTCTCTTGAAATAGGAATAGGATGATTGTATTTAACTACAAGAACAAAGGGAGCTAAACATTGACCGTTCCAATGCGGGCGACGACCAATTGGTCCACTGATATGAGGTTGTCTTATTATGTGCTCCGTCCAAAATCCAGGGGCGAAATGTTCTCTTGTAAGAATCAATGAATGAATCAATCAATGTAAGAATGTTCTCTTGTAAGAACCTGTGGCAATAGTATGCATGTTTCAAAAACTAGTAAATGTTACATAGTTTCGGATATAACAGGGCATGTTACCTTCTGCATATCACCACATATCATGACAAATTCAGGGTCATTCTGGCTTCGCAATTCGTCCTGAATAAGCTGATTTCTGGCAATAGCAGCGAAATCGAGATGTACACGCCTTGCGTCCACCGCCACATCAATCTGACGCACGTTATTATTTCTCCGAGCTATTTTAAGTTCCACATCAAGAATGTCACATTTTCGGCAAGTATCAGTGTACGTGTGTCCAATGGTCAAGTTACTATCCCGGAAACATCTTCTATAGACTTGTTCCTTTCTGTGGGCGTCGGCAATCATAGGATGCTTGATAACAAAATCGGCAAACATAGCATCCAAAGTTAGGTCCGGCGACAAGTAGAATTGTCCAAGCTTTGCAGTGCAATAGTGATGCTCATATCTTGGGTATGTGTTAATGTGCGCCATAATTGCGACATTAAGGGCGGCTGGATTAACTGTGTGGTTTGTATGGCGTCCCCTTCCATCGAACACACTGTTGTGACCACGCTCACATTTTTCCTGCATTGATTTTACAACTGCCTCTGAAATTTGGAAAGTATCTTGCCACGTCCTCTTGCAAACCGTTCGCCGTATTCCACCAATCTTTATGTGATATCTGTGTAACAGTTACATTATTGTCTTTCGTTATGAAATTGTGCAGTTTATATGCATGCTCACTCGAATATGTTCCCATTCCCGTTGTGGCCTAGGTTATCCATCAAACCTAAGAGATAGGTTCTCTGCAATTCGTAAGTCCCCATATTATAATACTCTTGAAATAGCTGCAATTTTTCTGGCAGGGTGAGAAGGACGCAACCATTATGTGGGCATCGAGCAGAGCAAACTTTAACCTGAACAGTGCACTTATTATTAATATGTCACTTTAAACAACACTTGAGTTCATACCATTGTCGGCGCATTTTTGCCAGCCCTGGGAATGTTATTGCGAGACACGTAAGGTTCACCTCGATTACGGCGACGTTTTGCTACATTATCTTTCCAAGTCTCTGGACGAAATTGACGTTTTCTGTTCTGGTTAATATTGATAACTTTTTTCTCGGATATGGAGATTATCAGAGTTTGATTTACGGCCATTTTAAGTTTGATAAGCGATAAGCGATAAAGTGCAAAAAATAATGAAAAACGAGTTTTTTTAATATTGAATATTACAAATTTCTGTACCTTTTTTGATATCCATGGTGCAAATTGCATGACTATACTAATTTAAATTAATTTAAATTTGTTTACAAGTTGTTTTTCGATTCACGTCCTCAATTAGTCTCAGGTACATGAAAATATTTCTATAGGGAACTTGCATTTCAATCTCGCAACGCTATCCGAACCTAGGGATTTTCTAAACGCGTGGGCCCTCAAGTTGAGGGCCTCAACCCAATAAATTAAGTATTGACCAAATATTTTAGTTAAATGCTTTTATTTTATTAATATGTTGTATTATCGAATGATTGTCTTTCAATCCACTTAAATTTCAAGTATTTAACACACGATTGTTAACATTTATATCTTCAGTTGCGACCAATTACAATACAGATCTACATATATGTATGTACACAAATATATACACATAAATACTTATATTTGTTATTATTCGATTTCTCGACTTGTTTTCATACGTTCCATGCTTATTACATAATATTGTTCACTTTTACATAAAATATGATTGCATAATATATATAAATTTCCCGAGTAGATGTACAAGCTATTCGACTTAGCTTAACACCATAAAAACCAAAAACGGGATACTTAAAGTTATCTGCAACAGTATGAATGAAACCTTGAATTTATGGCATGCAGAATGACCTCCCTTTCCATCGCATTTGTTGATTGGTACATAGTCCTTTTTTATAACTGGATATTTGGCAATGACATTAAATTTTTTATCTGATGTCACTCCTTGACATACTGCTGTTTGTGGTCCATATTTTGTCATATTTTGGAAATTGTCTCTAAGAGCAGTGGTCCAATTAATCCCTGATACCACTTGACTGTAACGTTTCCCAGCTAATGTGGGTGGTGTTAAAACCATGGGATCATTTTCAGCCTTATCCCTGAAAACGATATGATTATGGTAAAAGTAGAAATAGTTATAATGTTATATATTAAGGTATAAATTAAACTCTTGTGTATTTATGTATGTACATACATATACTAAATCGCTTTATTGTCTCACATTTTCACTTTGTCAATTCCCATAAATTTGAGAAGCTGCTCATGCTCGACACTAGACCCACATCTGTTCAATTCCTTTGTTCGAGGGTAATACATAAGGAAGGCTTGACACATTTCTTCACCGATTCCACGACCCCCAATAACGGTAGATCCGTTCAACCACTTTTCCTTAGTCCCAAATTCGCATTCTATCATAATCATTCCATCAAAATAGGAAACTTCAAAAATTTCTGGATATGCAATACATCATTATATAGGATTTTCCATACCCACAGTAATATGGTCATTCGGTAACACTGTAACGTGTTTCCTCATCATTCTACTCATCTGAAAATTGGTATCGTAATTGCCATCATACCCAATCCAAGGAAGCTCAACACCCTCACGAAAATGACGAATTTTCATTTTTTTCCCTATTAAAATTAGTTATGTATGTACGCCAAAAACAATCGTATCGTGCCTAGTAAATAATGACGTATTTTGGTATTGCCAGTTACCAGAAAGGTGAAAGTGAAGCAGGTACACAAACACTTGAATGCCACTTGTAGGCAATATTTTAGTACAATCCCCAGGACAGTGAGAACTTAGCACATACTTTGCTGAGTTTGGTGGTACAGTTAAGGAGTAAGCACGAGAGGAATTTAATCCCAACTGGAGAAAGCCAATGTCATGTTTTCTACATAAAAGCAGAACCGGAGAAAGTATGTATCTACTAAAATTATGAATTGTATTATTTTTCATTGTTATGTTACCTCAACTGCTGAGTATAGAATAGGTTGAATCCCAGTCTAAACTCCAACCCATTCTCTTTCAAGGGATTATTTATATGAAACATGGTCATGTAATATTGGTCCTTTTGTTCTCCTATCGGAACCCCCAACTCCTCTGGAAAATAGGTCGGCTACAGAGCAAAGTTTGCAAATGTTTAGTGTTCATATTTAAAACTATTAATGCGTTAAAAGAATTCACATACCACTCCCCCCAGTGTCCATTGAAATTCGAAAAATTTGCAATGTTCCGTGGGAAAATACTTGTCTGTGTAGTAGCAATCGTACTCCTGATCCGCATACTGGGAGAAGAACTGATCTGCGGAAGCACCGGATGGAGGTGTGCAACTTAGGACACTTGCATGATGAGCATATTGCTTAGCCTGAGCTTGGAAATATACCTCATACTGTGGACATAGAAGACAAAACAAGTAAACAGTTTATTTCTATTTCTGCAGGGAACGGTCTTATTTAATATCTAGATTTTACCCCAATGACATGGTTTTTTTGCTGGACAGATAACTTATGTATTTTACACGTGTACAACGTTGCATTCGAATTTAACGTCACAGTTTGACCCAAATTAATTGAGGAATGTCTGTGAAGAATACATGTACGAGTGCGTATTTAAATTAGTTGAATGCTGTATAGAAAGCGTTCAAAGACAGTATAAAAGTTACATTGGTGGCGGTGGAGTAACTTTTTTGTCCAAAAGGTTCACAACAATGGCACCGCGATTTGTAGGTTTATGCTGCGTCAAATTTTCTGCAGGCCCTAAAGCACCCCACGCCCAAATAAGTTTTAGTGTATCGTCCTGTTAAACCCAATTCAAAATTGTAAATTTCTAATTTTTATACAATGTGCGTTCCTGTGTATGTATCTTAATTTATGTCGTACCGTAATTTCTACGTCACCATCTTTGTCGCATGTATTCAGCAACCTAGAAAACTTTACGGTCGTATGACTTGAGTTCTTGCTTGAGGCAAGAAGCTTGTAGTCACTCTTGATATCTCTGATTGGCTTCTGGTTCCCAACTCCGTGTCGATCCTTACAACATAAAATAAATATGCTTACCTTATCGCTTAAGAAAACTACTTGTCTTATCGCAGTTCAAGACTCACATCCAAAATAATGGTTCCATTTTGAAGTAACCGTGCCGTGACGATGTCAGCTCCCGACATTGCCCCATTGCGGGACAAGCCCAAACCAATCCAGCCCGAAGTCACATTGCAAGAAAGGTCAAAAACAATCTCTTCGCTTGTCTTGCCTGCAAGGTTCCAATCCACGCTGCAAGTGGGGTCAAGTTGTCTTCCAACAGGCGTCACGTTAGGGATGACAATAAATAGCCACAATAAGCGGAAAGAATTAAGAAACATTTTGAAATTGTGTTTATTTCAATTAGAAGTTGTCTCCTTAATTCCACATAATCTAGTTAAATCTTGTGCGACGTTCCGCAATGTCTTAATGATTACAATCTTGTCGTCGTTAATACATAATTGCCCTTGTGTAGTTTGTCATATTACTAATAAGAATATGTATTTATGCATAATAAAAAATGTCAAGTCATTTATGAAATTTGTCTCGGCTCACCGAGAAACACATCAATATTTATTAACTTGTTATTTATTTTATGAGTGTACACGCATCGCAGAATTATAAAGTCAACTTTATCATGTTATGTGCCATTCCCATTTACGCAATTAAGTAAGTGGGTAAAAGTTTGCATAAATATTTAATACAAGTTCGTGAATGTGCACAACTTATCAAGAAAATTCGATATGAAATGGCATAATCATAAATAGTATCATTGATTAACAATTTGGAAATTGTACAACATGGTTAAATTTTGCGTGTGCACTAGAGGTTTGAGTTTCTTGGTGTCTCACTTATTTTAGAATTAGATAAAATAGATTACGAGCCTTATGTCCTTCTGGGAGTTGAATCAACCATTTACGAAAACCAAGGACAAGAACTCCAACGGTGACGGTGATCCCTCCTACGACGCTACAAGTCAGAATAATTTAGTTAATTTGCATCTCATAAACCATCTTATAAAATGTATCTACCTATACACGTCCGGCACAACGCCAAGTAGCAATCCTTGCCACACAAATCCAAATAGCACATCTAGCGTTCGAAATACCGCAACCATGCTGGCCTGCTCAAACTTTAGACCTAGAACGAGTGACCCTTGGCTTATAAAGCTGAGTACTGCTAAAAGCAGTGCTAGAACCGAGTCCTTCATCTCCTCAGGGAAAATAACGCCATCACCATACCAGACCGACAACAGACCGCACTCCATGGTTCCCCAAACTCCGAAGAAGGTCATCATTACAGAAAAATGAATAGTTCTTAAGTATCGTACCAGCACGAAAGAAATTCCTGTGCAGACCATGCTTGCAAGGGCAAAGGAGATTCCAATCTTTCAAATCAAAATTGGAAAATTTGAATGGGAATTATAATTCATGCATCTATTTTAGTTGCTTTATAGTTTTGAATTATAGGCCGCTCACCAGAGCTTCCCCATCGAAAAACTCCTTTTGGCCAGTAAAAATTGAAGGCCTGGTCATCACACCCACTCCGAGAACGGTAACAATTGCACACAGGATGGGAATAAACCCACATTTTTCTCCCAATACTTTATGAGCCACTAAAGTCACAAATACTGGGGTAATTACCGTGATAACTAAGCTGTCCGCTACTGAGATATACTGAAGGGACAGAAACTGCAGCAAAATGGCTGTGGTGCCGAAAAGCCAGCGACACTGAAGAAAACGAAATAGAAACCCATTAATCATTCAATTACTTAATTAAGTTTATGGATTAGATTTTGATAGTTTCATTACGCATAGTAAAATTGATGTTTTTATTCCCTGTGCATCATGGGGTTTAAACACAGGGGTTTTATTCCAACCCCAAACCTTGATCAAAATTATAAGGCTTGGCCAAAGTATTCCTTGATTATTGACAAAGTTATTTACAGTAAAAAATTAAGTGAAATTGAATTTTATTTTATATAAACTTATATTTTAATTAAAACTTTAATTAAAAGACCTTGAAATCTCCACACGCCAACGAGGAACGGGCTGTAACTCCCAGTGGTCAGTAATTTAACTAGAAACGTGCTTAGCGAGAAGCTTATGCTGGAAATGACAGTGAATACAAGGCCAAGGAAGCGTCGGGGCAATATTTTGTTGGTTTCTGGAGGCTCTTTAACAACCAAAATTGTGGAAATTATGGGTGGAGATGAATTTATTGTGCTTAATTTTGGTTGCATTTTTTTAGATGTACCGTTTTGTGCCTATGAATATTCTAAACACTGATCTAAGATAACCATAAAACTTGGTTTTTCGACGTGATATCCACATATGTATAGCATAAATAAGTAATAAGTAAGTTGATAATCGCATTGTCAGTGTCAATTTGACTTTAACAAATATTAATTTATGTACGTATCAATAACTCGATTCATCCAGATGACGGATGCTCCATTCAATTGTCATTTCATGGAATGAAAAACATGTGTCTTATTAAGTTTTTAAAATGCTCCACATCACGCTCATGTTCGTGATGAATAACGCACGAGGAATTTATTGGTACTTTTTTAAAAGATTCCGTAAACATATTTAATAGTTTAGGCATAAGTTTAAAACGAATAAACGTGGAAAAGTTGTTTGAAAATCTATTCTATTATATCAAGATCAATAGCTTGGACTTCGTAAAGTTGTCCTAGTCCCTTCAGCACGGTCGTCCAGTTCGAGTCTTTGCCATTGATCGTGGACATCCATAACGCTTGCGAAACTTTGTCGTCTCCCAAAATGGTTTTTGCGTCATGTAGCAAAACCGGTCTCGGACCCAGTTCTATAAATACTCGAACCCCCTGTTCCCAAAAAGTGTTCACCGCTGCTGGCAAATTTACCGTGGCTCGAGCATGGTCCATCCAGTATTCGGGTGTAAAGAAATCCCTACTAGACATCACGGTCCCATCAATACCAGAAATATATCCACAACATGAGCTCTGCTTTAATATTACAATTATGTATGTAATGCACTAAAAATGACCTATGCATACATAAATTTTATTTGCATATGCATAATGTTAATTACCTGCACTTCGTTATCATTATAATTCCTAGTCATCACATTTCTCAGTATTTCGTCGTATTTTTCTAAAATACAGTCAATTTGCCTCGAGTGGAACGCCTGTTTCGCATTCAGCCGACACGTCTTGATTCCTTTTTCCTCGCACAACATCTCCAGCATTTTTAAGGACTGGGGTTTACCGGCAATCACGATGTCATTCTCCGAATTGATAACGGCAACGTCCAGCCACATTTCAGAGCTAAATACAACCTTGTCCATCAAATATCTGACTTCTGCTTCACTGGCCTGAACAGCGGTCATGCCTCCCTCTGGGAGAGAATTAATTAGCTTCGCCCGCCCCCCAACAAGTCGGGCACCTTCCTCCACAGTAATTACTCCAGCTGCCACCGCTGCCGCGAAACCACCTGCACTGGGACCTGACAATGCATAAGATTCATAATCTTTGAGTTACTTACTACTGCATATCTTTAGTGATCATACCAAGGACAAAACTGGGTTCAACTCCAAAGCTGCGCCATAGGGCGAGGAGACCAACTTCCAAACAGAATATGGACGTCTGGCTGTACAGAGATGTGTCCAAAAGGTGACCCTTTAGAAAGTTTTTTTTAATTAGTGTTATGTTTGATAGTTTCTATGCATAATTTCACTGTTTAATGCATACCTTTGACCCATACATCACGTCATAAATATGAAGACCGTACTCATTCATTAATATATTTGACGCGCATTGAAAAGCCGAACGAAAAGGTAGCGACGTTTCGTACAATTCCAATCCCATTCCCAGATATTGTGAGCATTGGCCAGTGAACATTAAACCTATTTTCCGCCTTACTCCATTGAAGCCACACAGTTTTGATGAGGGTGACGAATAATTGACAAGTTGTTCATAAATCGACATAAAGTCTAATCCTGTAAAGGTAGCTCGGTAACAGCCTCCGTCTTCATTATCGTCAGGATTGTCTGCTGGGATAATGCATAAAATTAGAGGTAATTTATATTAACTCAGGTGCATATACTATTTAGTGCATGTAGCATATAAACTTACAACATGGAGAAGGAATGCATGGATTTGTAAAAACCAAAAATGCGTTTGGATTAGATGGTGAAATACTGATGCTATTATTTGAAAGAAATTCCGTAGACTTTTGAATAAGCAGATTTAAACTTTGGGCAGAATGAGCTTCACAAGCGAGTAGAATTCCAGAGTGAGGATGTCCAGTGGGAATGAATAGTTTACTTCCTTCTAAACCAAGAAATCTGTGCCATCCAAGAACTCTGAAAGTTTTCATGCTTGATGAATTTGGATTAAATATTGTGTATTTTTACGGAACGAAGAGTTCTCATGGAACGCTTGATGCCATACTAGACTTAATATGATTCGTGTTTGGCTTGATCTACCACAAAATTAAAGTACAAATTTTTGAGCGGTGTAAATATGTATATGTTTTAATGACATTGATATGTGCGAGGTGTTATGAAATGGAAAAAATTCGGGTTTTTTCCTGTTTAAAATGGATCTGCTACTCATCATGAATTCATTGTATTTCATGAATGCTTGCGTAATTGTACTTGGGAGGTCGTGATCTTGTCGGATTCTGATTCAATTATTGATCGCACAAATAAAACACTTTGCCTCATTGTCGTCATTGTAGTTTGTCAGGCTTCAGGAATTAAACATAAGTTTACATGATCATGCTAATTTGAAATTACCATTTTTCAAATACTGGAATATTTCGACACTTTATGATAATATCTGTATTGTATTTATTACGTGCTTGTCTCTTCATTAGCAGGTTTTTGTTTCGCATTATTTAGGCATTTCTTTAGTCTGTGCAAAAAAAGAATTTCAAAATATAGTCAAATACTGGCTGACTCACTTCATTTCAACGGAATTGACATTGCATTTTAATATTTCTCGTAATCATTTGATAATGCTGAAAAACCAATTAGGATACATAGAAAATTACATGTGCAATAAATTAGCCAGGCTATATAGAAAAAATTCTGCTCATCAGTTGAATGGCGAATTTGTCAACTTAAAAACAAATTGGAAATGATACTGTACTGGTTCATGATTTCTTATATCAAAACTATTTGAAGAAATGCCAGATTGTGAATGCATTAATGCCAATTATTCGCATACCTCTTCAAGAAGGACTAATGTTGAATGCTAGAAACCAGAAGATCCAAGTTAAGATTAATTTCATACAGCATCCATACAACTTACATACATACCTACATACGTGATCGATAGTGAGAAAAATATATTTACCATTTCAAACCTTGTATGCGTAATTCCCAATAAATCTGTTCATCAATATTTACCGTGACTAATTTATTTCTATCCTTGCAATAAACATTGATGTGAATAATTTATGGATATTCGCTTGGACGTTTTTTTGTATAATAATTACTCATTTGCATAGCTTCATTCCAGGTGAACAATATCGAAATGTCGGATTGGATTAGCAATCGCGAAATTGATAAAGATTTAATTTTGTTAAGATGAAGCCTACAAGTTCAGTTAGGATTTTACATTTTTGGATTTTATATCTCAGCAGTAACGTCTCAATTCCTGCATGGGCTGAGCCACAGCATCTCAAGACATCTGGAATTAGACCAACAAATCTGCAACATCCTGGAAACAGATTGCATATTTTGCCATTACTACTCTGGTCGAAACGTCCATCATCAGGGGACGACAGTGCGTAAAATTATTTTTATTTTACAAGACCATAGTTGATTTGTACATGTAATTGCTTTGTGAAAAGAGAGGACTACAAAAATTCCAAGCAACTTCACGATTCTGCCTCCAGAAGATCCTTCTGTATCAAGATATCGTGAATATCTCCGAACAAACACATCTCACCCCAACCCAAACTATGGTAAGATAAGTATTGTACATCAAATAAGCTGAAATTAATAATATGTATTCATCGAAGACACTGCTGTGGCCTGGATAAAAGAACAGGCTCAAGCTATTGGAATAGAATACAAAAAAATTGACTTTGATCCCCCGGGTTTGTTTATCATTCGTTTAAAATGGCCAGGATCCGATCCAATGGAACGGTCATCGCTGCTGTTAAATTCTCACATTGACGTGGTACCAGTTGATTCTGTAGGTTTCACTTTCTTTTCTTTTTGGTAGTTTCAACCTAATAAAATATTTACTTTTAATATTACAAATGTCAGTCCAAGTGGACCTATGATGCATTTGCCGCCGTGAAGGATGACAAGGGAAATATATACGGACGTGGTGCACAAGATCGGAAGTCACAGGGTGCACAGTATCTCGAAGCAATTCGGAGACTAAAGATGCGGGGATTTTCACCACGGCGTACGGTTTATGTCACATTTGTTCCTGGTAAAATATATTTAAGTATAATTTCATTTCTTGAAATAAATGATATGGATAAATGCACATACTTTTGCAAATGCAGATGAGGAAGTTGGTGGTGATCGTGGAATGGCGACTTTTCTGAAAGCTTCGGAATTCATGGACATGAATGTTTCTCTAGCACTTGATGAAGGTGCTGCTACAATGGATGATGTATACCCCATTTTCTATGGGGAAAGATCGGTTTTTCGTAAATTGAGAACATATTTTATTTTTATTGTTTGATCGTTTTTGACGTTTGTGTCATCATAACGTCCCAATTTTTGAAAGGGGTTCGGATAACTGCAACCGGTCGTTCATCACACACGGCGATGATGCTGAAGGATAATGCAGCCACCAAATTAAACAAAGCTCTTGGACTGCTCTTTGTTTTCCGAGATGAACAGATTAATGCGTCAAATCCTGATGGGAACATTGAAAATGTGACTTCAATTAACCTATCACAGATCGGAGTATGGAGAAAAAGAACTTAAAATATAATGCAGAAAAAATAAATCCATAAATAGTCTTATCTTCTTCATCAAGGGTGGCACCTCTCCCAACGCAGTACCCTCCGAAATTTGGGCAATTGTGGACATGCGATTGCGACTTCGACCAACTTGGACATTCTCAAATTTGACCAATTTATTAGACTCCATTTGCAATCAGTCTGGCAATGGTGTGAGCTACAAAGTGTTGCTTAATCTCGAGATTAAAGAAGAGTCGAGCTTAAGCGAGTCAGATTTCTGGTGGAGAACGATCCGTAAAAGTTTTGATGAAATGTGAGACACAAATAAGAATATCTAGCTGATTGATTGACTGAATTTAAACATTCCGTTGTAGATTGTTGAATGCCAAATGACGTTTAATTGTTATTGGTTTGCTAAATATTAGGGGATGGAAAATGAAACCACAAATATTTGCTGGAGCCTCCGACGCAAGACATTTGAGAAAAGCTGGAATTCAAGCTTATGGATTTTCTCCCCTGTTATTTACAGAGCAGTTGGGCCATCAAGATAATGAATTTTTGAATGAAAATACGTTTCTCAATGGTATTACAGTTTATGAAAAGCTCATCCCAAAATTGGCGAATGCTCGAGAATAAAATGTCACACCAAGTATTTATTCAAATTGTAAGTACCAAGTTAGTTAATCACTTGTTCACTAGTGACAATTTCTCAAGTCTTGACCAGCTTTATTCATTAAAATATACTACGTCGTAGATAAATTATTATCTTTCAGTCGTCTTTCATCGTATACGCAAATTCTTACTACTTGCTATACCGATAAATACATATCTATGTACAAGTAACACCCTATGAAAATAAGTATATAAATGTATGTAGGTCAAACCCACCTACTTCTGGATTTGCTTGATTTGAATTGATATAAATAAATCAACCCTGCATAACACTCACAGTTCCACGCCAACGTACTCCGTATATATGCATTACCATTCATAGCCCGAGCCAGAAATTATGGAATCGTCATGTTCGTCTGTCATCCTGTATGCATGTACTTATGCATGTTTGGACACACATATGCATATGTACAAGTTTTCAAATTGGAGCATTTCGTTATTAAAAAAAGCTACTACAATAGTGAATAATAAGCTAATGACGAGGAGAAATGACCACTCGAATCATTATATTTGCATGTCAATGGCTAACGAATTTGTCTTTACTACTTTAAAAATCAATATGGAAGTCCCCAAAAGTTTCAGGCCAATGTTCCCCCTGGAAAAAGTGGCTTGCTCGGGCTCGGGCGATATCAAGTCTTCAGTGTAAAATGTGCATTCATACCCCCACTTATAACAGCGCACGAGGATTCATATTTGCCCTGTTTGACTTCCAATGTTTTGTCAACACACGTAAAATGTCTCATACGGAGGACGAGGATGAGTTTGGGTTATAATTTTCTGCTCTATATTATCATAAACACAGTATGCTTTCATTGAGTTTTATGACTCCAATTGTCGCGAATGTGACCTCAATTATGTCACGATAGTGTTACGGAAATGGATATTCGATTTATGCAATGATAGTACATATATCATACATATATAGAATTATTTTACAAAAATATGAAAGACAAGGAAAGTATGAGCTCTAAATTCCTAAAAAAAATCTGGAAATCATGCATTTACACATGATCTGATTTTATCCTGCAAGTCACCACTTCTCCGTATAAACAGTAACGTCGTAACGTTTTTTCAATTACTTGTCTCTAATCTTATACTTCCTCGCACATTGACTAAATCATTGCTGGAATAGAAACGCTGCATTTCAATTAAAATGTATCTTCCCCGTAGAGCGAGGGGACAAAGGCAGCCACAAAATATTGGTGGATGAAAGGATACGAGAAAGTGAGACAAATTGAGACGACCACAACTAACATGAGACCATATGCCATCCAGTAAGTATAATGAATGTTATGCTACGTAATGTTACCAAAGATTGAGATTGTCATTTGCTAACTTGGTTAAGTTGCATGTCTCATTTCTTTGCAAATAAGTATGTAACTTGGTTTCAGTCTTCATTGCAGTGCAGCAACACCAGTATTGTAGCAGTTCTTTTGTTATTGTCTGTTTTTTTGTACTCTGGAATCCAGAGTCTGGATTCACTCTTCTACAGTAGAAGTTCTACTGTTTAGAAATCAGAAATTCAGCAGCTGGCAGGTCGTAGGAAGGGAGTCATCTCGCAATAGAATTCTAGAGTCCAGCGTTTGAAAAAGTTAAAATTCTACAATTCATGTAGCAAATAGTTGTCAATATTTGTATTAAATACAAAATTTTACTGTAGAATTGTGGCTTTGAAACTCCGAATAACAGCGTAACAGGACAATATTTTAGCACTTTTAATTCAGACGATTCCAAGTGAAAAGTGGTCGCTTAAAAAACAAACCAATTAAGGTAAGATTACTAAAATATTTTCGTAATTATAAGTTGACTTTGAAGTATGAGAGCATAGTTCCATGATGTATGTAGAAACTATTTGAATATCATTTAATATCGTCGGGCAATGAGGTTTTAGACGTAAATACGTGTTGCGAATTCAAAAATCAATTGCATTCCGTATAACTTTCACTCTACATTATTTTTCTTTCCTTGGAAAGGAAGTGTTTTGCGTTATACGTTGGTTGACACTGACCTGACCTTTTAATCACAGCGTCACAAAAACATGCCATCATATAAATATGTAAGTATATTTGTATGTATCTGTATGTCTGATTTGCCATACGTGCCCACTAACTACCTACGCATTATAAACCAAATGTGTGTTGTGTCCAAGCCAAGATTATCAAAATGTAACAATGTCATCATTATGTAAGTGGTTTAGTAATCAGCTTTGCAAGGAATTCCTGTTTCACTTTTATTAGCAAATGATGATACGTACATATAATCGCATCATCACCACGATTCCATTTCCATTGTCATTCCACCCAGCACTTGTTTTAGTTGTTTTGCTGATATTATATCAAATGTAAAAATTGAGGTCTAGGTCGTCTGGTTCGTTTGCTTTCTGAAGTTTTAGGCTGGATCGCTTGATCATGTCATCCCTTATTTTTTTGCACGTTGAACTTTTAGGCTTAGGTAATATTATCATTGTCGGAATATAAATATATGTATATGGAATTAACTTCCAACTTCGTAAGATTTGAAGATTTCAAGAAATGTAACGTTGTCAAAAAAATTGCAAAAAAGGTTTAGTCAATAAGCTATGTTTGAGCAGGCTTGGCTTATCATCAATGTATGAGTATCATTTATTTTGATTTTGAAGTAAAAGGGCTGGGCTGTTGCTAGCCTTGGCTTAAAATTACATATAAAAATATGTCGCAGTTGTATAAGTAGTATGTTTGTATGTGTACATGTTGTACAGTCGTATGTAATGACAAGGAAGCAGTGCTGCATAATACCACTAATACCAGAATAAATTACGCAAATAAAAATCAATGCGAATTATTACTTGCAGACGTATTACTTTATTTATCTATGAATGGACACATGACCAAACACTTGAAGACTTGTTATTAGCAAGATTGCTAAGTATACACGAAGTTATTGAGCTTGGGTTCAGTCGATAATAGTTTTCTGAGATCAGTCATCAATTTTACTTCACATTTCCTTGTTCGATGAAATTTTAACACTGTTCGCTTTGTTTCACAAGTATTGACTTTTAGGAGCACTTGTCTTCTCTTCTGTGGTTTTTATAAACAATTCATCAAGTAGATACCTAGTTAGCAAGTCTGCGTTTTATTATTAGCTAAGTATTTGCATATATATCACATGCAGACAGAATTGCATGGGAAGATTTTCTACAGTCACGCCAACGTTATTAAGTTCATTATAGTTCATGCCAAATCTCCCACAGAATTTTGGCCATATAGTACAAGTACATATTATGTACGTTTCAGGCCTAGCATTATCAGATTCAAAGTCGAAGCATGGTCAAAGCCAAATTGTGAAAATGATGATTTGCACTCATTTGCAGTATTCGAAGTATCATTATGCTAAATTGAAAAATAATGAATATAAAATAATAATATCCAGTTAATGACGATGGAGCACTGGAATTAATCAGAAATAAAAGAGTTTACTTTATTTATTCCCTCTGATTTTTAAGTACTTTATCATTGAAGATTTATGTATGTGCATTACATAGGACTATATATTACATAGGCAGATATATTCATTTCTCTCCTCGGTTTTAATTCTTCATAAATTTTCTGTTTTATTGAGCAATGAATACAGTATTTAAAGTGTTATGTACATGAAAGTATGAAAATAATGGTAGCAAAATTAATATTTTCCTATATACTTTTTACTGCAATAATACCTATAGAGTTGTGTGCAACATACAACTTCTTAGAATTGTTTAACAGCAGAAACCTCATGTATTTATGTTTTTTCATTAAAATCTCACAGATAAAGCATAAAATTAATAGACTTTTCTACATTGCTTGAGCAAACACTTGACAATATGTATACTTTTAATTTATTTGCTGCTGAGACGGAATAGCCAACAGGAAAATCCTCTGGTTGGGTAATTTGCATAGTGCTCTGCGTCACTATATTTAGAGATTAAGTTAATGTTTGACTGCGTTATGACGCGTTGCGTTGCACGCGTTGTTTGCCACACATGATTAAAAGTGTTGTGATATAAGCTCTTGTCGTGAGAATTAGAGGCTCGCCGTTTTACAGTGGTCATCCACTAGCCGACTTGACACAGGGGCAGCAGGACCACGTGCAGCAATATAAAATATCTTTATTTTTAAGAAACCAGAGTTTTACAGATTTTAATATAAACAGAGAATAAGCAAGTTGACAAACTAATATAATTGAATCAAGAGTGGGGCTTATCAATTTCTGGAACACATTTATTAAGGATGGAGTTTTTGATATCTCATGTCAATACGATCTAGGATTTTCTTACTTATTAAAAGTGAGTTAAATTTTACTGGATCAGTCAATTTATTGTTATCATCATTTCCTTCTGACTCATCATCATTATTATTAGGCAAACTAAATATCTACCTGTAATGTTTGGTGGTCAGTGTGGTCATCACTTTTAAACGGCTTATGCACATACGTATGTACGTATGTACATACATTAAGAACTTACATATCTACGAACGCAAGTGCAACCATAATTATACACCTGCATCCATGAAATGTACGAGGTAGCATCAACTCCACTTTACCTGGTTACACTATAGCAAATTTAGGAAGATATGTGCATACATGCATCGTTCATTCATTTTTCCTTATCATTACCTCTAACTACTTATGGTACGCTGGTTGGTGAAGCATTATTTCAGTGATTAATAACAAGCAGACCTTTAAACTTTATTCTTTTCAAATTAAAATCGCATACTCGTTCAAATGGAGTGTTGAACTCAAGTTCAGTGAATTGGAGAGGATACCTCAACTTGTTGTATGTAAAGTTCTTTTAGCTAATTTGAAGTATGTGTGTAAATCCAATACACAAACAAGGAGAAATTCGTATCATTATTCAAAGGTTTCGGTTTCATTCCTATGCTCTAGTTTTTACGCAGTTTTGACTTTATTTTATGTTCTCCTTCTGTGTTTATTGTGTATATAAAGAACGTCCGGGAATGAATGGGAATGGCCTGAAAATGTGGTCATAAAATCACAATGAGTTATCGGAATTTTAAACCTTTTGCATATGTATAATACCAAATACGTACCTACATAATTTAATTAATAGCTAAGGCCGCCACACCCCCGTTGGCGACTAGTTCGATTTTCTTGCGAAGATTTTTCATTAAATTTTTTCCCGAAGTTTTTGCCACTTCCGAGGTGATTTTCTTCCATCGTCCTTTGAATTTTCGAAAGGTGTCAGGCACATCTTGAAGCCGGGAGTATACTGACTTAGAACGTGCCCAGAATTTTTCGATTGGGCGGAGTTGGGGTACATTAGGTGGGTTGATATCTTTTGGTACGAAATCAATATTTTTCTTTCTGAGGTACTCGGTCACTTTCTTTGCATAGTGACAAGTGGCGAGGTCAGGCCAAAACAAAACTTTATCATTTTTGTGAAACCTATTAATAAATGCTTCCAATCCAGCCTTGACGCAATTTTTCAGATAAATATCTTGATTGATATTCCCTTCGAGAACTACCGGGTCTGATACATGTCCGTGACTGGAGAAGCATTGCCAAATGCAATATTTCTTTGGAAATTTGTCTTTTTTTCGTACTTTTTCTTCATAAGCCACTTCAGAGGGATCCGAGCTATGAAAAAAATGACGCCCTGGAAGATTTGAAGGGTCAACCGGAACATACGTTTCGTCATCCAGGATCACTACTTTTCCACGCATTTTCTTCAACAATTTTTGACATCAATCCTTGATCCGACTTTCTTGTACGGGCTTGTAATTTGGTGCAGGTTTTTTGGTCCTTGCTTTGATTCCTAGTTTATGGACCTTAATTTCCCCCACGTAGCTTTTGGAAATTTTGACTTTCCTGGCAGCTACAGCTACTGACGTTGATGGCTTGGTTTTGAAAATTTTTTCAATTCTATTTTTCACTCGAGTGGTCGCTAGCTTCGCCGGACGACCAGCTGGCTTCTTGAATTGCACATTTTCGGAATCCTTGAACTTTTTTATGTAGGAATACACATTTGAACTTGGAATTCCTTCCTGCTTAAAAAAGTTCCAGGTCACCTTGGAGTCTCGGTTGGCTGTCGTGTTGTAGAACTCCATCACTCGTTTTGCTAACAGCTCCCTTTCAAACAAGCTTCTTCTACCCTTATCCATTTTTGAAATTTAAGAGTGATATACCAAATTGACCCTAATGAAGTGGGCTTTCAGAAATTTAAATTATTATAGTTCGCGGGTTTATTGATTTGTCAATATACTCGCTAGAGCGCGCATTCCCATTCATTCCCGGACGTTCTTTATATGTACTAAAGCTTGTTATGTTACTCTTTTTTTGCAGTAAAATTCCCAAGCATTTAAGCAGTTCGTAGTGAGCAAGCCAAGCAAGTACCAAGAAAACGATTAATCCTGTGAAATCTCGTCCACTCCCGTCGTGATAGAAATATGGATCTGGAAATTCAAGAACTGGCAGTTCCCTATGCTGCTCGGAAATCGATGGAATTTTGTGTGAAGAAGAATCTAACTAACACCACCAACAACACCTCAAATAATAGGAACATCATGGGGGCGGGGGCGATTTCTTCACCCAGGAAATCTATCGTCGAACTTATAACGGATGCCGACCTGGAGGAAGAATTTCATTCTTGTCCTAATGCAGACATCTCTGCTTGTGAATACTGTAAACTACTTAATAATCTTGTCATTCTTAATAGAACCTTTAAAACGAGGTGAGTCTTTTTGAAAATGTGAACGCAAACGGTTTTTACTAGTGCTTAATTCTCAACTTTCGTCTTAGGAATGATCCCGAAGCTGTGAAAATGCTGGAAGAATGCATAACAAATGTGGAGGGATGTCGGCGCTATATTGACAAGTTGAAACCACATCTTCACTGTTTCGATTTTAGTGAAGAGCTCCAATGTAAGATTCATGAAACTATGCTAAATCTTAAGTTAGATTTCCCGAACGATAACACCTTTGAGGTTACGTTTAAAGTAAAATGATTTCGAGGCCAGAACTGCAGAGTGCAGAGGAGAAGGTCGATCTCTACCTCGATTTGAGAGATTTTAGTGAAAATATTCAATTTGGTACTCGTACTATTGATTGTGATTTGGAATTTCGAGACTACTTTTCACCACTAATGACAACTTCACTTATTGATCAACACCGCTGTGTTCACACAAGAATTTGACCCGAATCTAAACGTTAAATTATTTTCTTTTTATAGATAATGGTTACCGGAGTTTCGTAGCTCTGTGCAAAATCACAGTGATTAAGTGTCTCTATACCGTAGATGATATAAACCATATTGGAAGACTTTTCTCCCAGCAAACGCATTACGTTTTACAGGAGTAAGTGAAAATACTTATATAATTTAGGGTTTCATTTTAGTAATTATGTATATCTATTGTATAGAATGTTGAAATTTAAAATTCAATAATTTTAGGAAGCTATTGGACTGGACCAGAATTTTTCGCTTGCTAAACGTCGTCCTACAATGTCTTTTTGATTTTGCGGTGTCTGCTAAGAATGCCAGCCTTTTCACGTCTAACCGTGAAGCATTGGCCAAACTTTTGTCATTTTCAAAAGAAAGGAGCAATGTGGTTGGATTTCATGGACGACTTTTGGGATATCAATTTTCAAAATCAGTCCGAGCCCCAATCCGCCTGATAGGTTGTATGATGGCAGCTTTCTCCCACGTGTACAACACAGACTCTATTTTCCGTCATACCATCATCTGCCCTCCAGATTTTGTCAACTATTGGAGGAAACCGGGGGATAGGGCAGAGAGAATTGCCGAAGTTTGCGAACAAGACCCACTTGATTTCTTTATGAATTTCTGGCGAGTTCAAGAGAAAGGTCAGTTTATTGTTTGTTAGCTACACGAACGACCAATATGCCTCATAGTACTACATTTACATATGACTAAATGTTCGGTTAAATGATTTGTGCATTGTTTTCAGGCTTACTTCGAATACTATCCAACTGCTTGGGAGATCCGGTAGAAACTAATCTGGAGATCTCAATACCTCCTACTAAATTAGTGGTAGATTCAACGTTAACGCCTTCGGGAACTCTTACCATTCTACCTCCAACAGAGTATCTCGGAATTAAGCCCATTATGGTACGACTCGTGTCTCATAAAGTGCGACATGGATCGGTAGGGAGTGGTCACGGTCACTCCTCTCAAACTCCCACTCGTCTATACGGAAACAAAGTGGAGGAGATGTCCAAGTGTTTGGTCATTCATTGTCATGGTGGGGGATTCGTTGCTCAATCTTCTTGTTCTCATTTGGTCTACCTTAAGCATTGGGGTTTGTTTAGTACACAAGCTAACTTAGCAAGTTAAAAGTTATAGTGTTATACATAGTTTGTTTGTTTGTTTACTATAACTTAGCAAGGGGTTTGGGAGTTCCAATACTGTCCATCGATTACAGTCTCTCCCCAGAGGTAGCTTATCCAAGGTGAAAACGAGTGCTTTTACATTATTACATTATTATATGTAACTATGTATGTAATAATAATGCCTCTTTATAGGGCGATTCATGAATGCTTCTACGCATATTTGTGGGCAGTTCGGGTTAGTATTTATTAGTCCAGACTTCATCAAATTATACAAGTCTATATTTTATTAATATTGTATTAATTTCTCGCGAATCTCACTTAGAATGCGCACTTGCTGGGTTCTACGGGAGAACGAGTTATCGTTGTCGGAGATTCAGCAGGTACTGTGTAAATGAAATATTTTGTCATTTTGTAGATTTGATGATAAGGTTTTTGATAAATTCAACCTCAGGTGGGATTCTGCTCTCTGGAGTAGTTCTACTCTGCATCGAACTGGGAATTCGTCCCCCTAATGGTGCACTGTTGGTGTACAGTCCAACCATAATGGCGTCTGCAATATCCGTAGGTTACCAACGATCTAGAGCAGACGCAACATGTTGCGTACTCATTATGTATTCATTATTATTTATGTCACTATGTCCCCTAGCCTTCAAGATTATTGAGTTTGGCGGACCCGTTGATACCTTATCCGGCACTGGCGGTAATAATTTGATTTAGTTTACAAAATTTAAATCTAAAGTCTAAAATTGATTGGTTATTAAATTTCAGGCTTGCATGGGAGGTATGTACAAATATATATTTACATTCTAACTAGAATGTAATCTGATAACTAACGTGGAAAAATGCAGTACTTGAAATTTTTATTCTTTCAGCATATCTTGGAAAAAAGTTTGATTCTAAACTCGCTCAACTCCCTAGTGCTTTTGTGGAAGGAGGATGGGAGCCCGAGGAAGGAAATACTGAGGATTGTATTAGAAAATTTGAAACTCTAGATCTGGAAGAATTAGAAGGTGTCACCGTACCAAGCGATGACTTCCACTTGTCTCCACTCATTGCTCCAGACGCAATTCTGAGGAAGTTTCCACCCACCGCATTTGCTGTAATTTTACTATCATTATTATGAATCTGTGAGGACTCATTAATTATCATTTTATTTGTTCCATACAATTTCAGACTTCGAATTTTGATCCGTGCCTTGATGACTGCATAGAATTCGCCAAACGACTAAAAGAGCTCGGTGTTCCCACTACAGTTGATGTACAAAATTCTATTCCGCATGGATATCTCAATTTTGGAAAGGTATGCAACATCTTTACTTACATATATATTATTTAGCCCTCCTATATATGCATTTAAACGTACTCTTTGACATAATTTTTCTCTATGCAGATAAGTGGCGAATGCTTTCAGGGGACAAACGTTTGCCTACGTCGACTTCGAGAGTTATTGGGACTAACCCACTGATAAAGTCTGAGGGGATTGGTATCATCAGTACCATATGATGGCGTCGCAAACAGCTTCTGCCGGACTGTAAAATAACACACATTCTGTAAATTAATGATTCATCTATGGTCACAAAACTACTATGATATGTTGATCAACTAATCATACATATGTTTACCAAAGTACCAGTGATAAATTATAACCTACCTTGTCACACGCACATTTTTAAATACGCACAAATGAATTATGATTATCCTAAACGTTTTACATGTGTAGCACAGTTTCAGACTATTTAAAACTTTTTAGTTCCACAGAATTTGTACTGAAATTCGTAGATGTACATTAGTTCTTCACTTTTTTGTAATTGTCAATGTTCTGTTAACGAGTATTTGTGATTTTGGTTGTCATTTTCCATCGATCCAACTTTAACTATTATGTGTAAGAATGGTTGATTGTTACTTTTTAATTTAGACCTACCCTTGATTTTGGGTTAGAGACTGTAATAAATAAATAGGTACTTGAACAGAATTGATGTATTCAGGATGATCATTTATTTAAATTAGTTTTTCTGCATTGTTAAAAATATAAACGATATGGACGAATATGTATGGATTTCAGTGGTGATGCATGTGATGTTCAGGGACACATGTACATGCATGGAAGTCAGCCATGAGACCGTCCGCACAACGCAAGGTGCAGTCCCCATGTTCTCCAGAATCTAGGACAGAAAATTCAGCAATGAGTAATTATTGGAGAACTGTGTAAAATTAATAACTAAAAGTCTCTTACCAAAAGCACCAACAACGTTCATGCTCACAAGAACGAGAGCCAACATGATGCACACGAGCATAAAGTTACGAGTTGCCGACATTTTTCTCAGCTCAAATGGCCAAAGATTAATATGTTCTTTTCCGTCGGAATTTCTATTAAGTTGAGAGTGAATTTCACCTCTGATGTGCATTTCTTTTATATTACTTGAGTTTACGGTGTCATTTAAACTAAATGGTTGAGAGTAATTAGTTTCTACTTAAACCGCCGGGTTAATTACGTAACAAATGTTCGACCATCCTTGTTATTCTTAGAAGTGTGAATTGAACCAGGATTTGAAAAGCAATTAGCAGAAATCGTTAGGATTTAAAATCGATTTAACCTCGATGCGCACTTGACACATTTACTGCTCTCTTTACATTTTTCTAAATAATCCCATTATAGAATTCATCAAATGATTACGTATGTAGGTACATAATTTCATTAATCAATTCATATCCTCCATCCACTTAAGCCCATTTAAGAAGTCGTACTGCCAATTCTACATCAAGAAATCTGTCTCAGGTCTCAATGAAAAAATCAGTTTATATAAATTATTATTTTTAAGACGTAGGGTTGTCGAGAATTTATCAGGGGACAAGTGAAATGTTATGTACCAATTTAGGTACATACTTACATTCTCCACACTTGTCCCTCCTCGTGATCTAAATTTTTGAGCTTGTCAAAAAAGGTGAACCCTTTTAATGTTGAAATATTATGTCATGTCGTCCAGTGTAAAAATCAAGTGACCAAGATTCGTTTATTTGCACGAGAATGTTGAGTTGCATTGCATCACACCCATCATTCATCACGCTTTCTTTCTATGCACACTCGAGGCAGGCACGAAGAAAACTAGAATGAATGATGAATATGTTTAAGAAGCGAGTAATTTCAAAAACAAAATGACAAATATGTACGACATGGAATAATTCCAGGATGGATGATGAAAGCCAAACGAGCGTGTGTTCTTCAGCTTATCTTTTAAGAGGCATCTAATTCTTTCCCTTTATCGAAACAATATTTACTAAATTCAAACTGACAGGTCAAATATTTATGACATATTACACGCTGTTGTCTTTAATAATATCAACGACCCGAACGACGACTCATCCTGCTGAATGTCATTTTGTTATGAATAGAGTGACATATGTATGCATGATGATAATCTCTCACTCACTCAACCGTAAAGAATGGATATGTACATCAGTACGTACATCAATAAATATCCTATAATCACCAGTCCCACCACAAGTTACACTTCATCCAAAGCAGACGACACATAATAATCATTAATTCGTGTCATATGTATTCTAATCTCTCACAATTATTCATTCTAGCTCTTGTATAATCCTATATATTTTTTCGTCCAGACCAGATTTGGCATGTGCAGACTTTTCATTGCATGCATGGAGGAGTAAACAATGATTAAATACATATTATTACAAGTCTCAAGAAACAAATACATACACACTCACGATACCGAAATGAAATGAAATTTGCTGGCTTCTAAATAAATAGGATAATGTCTGCCTGTCATTTCTCAACCTTGAACGAAAGTCACGAGGACACCTTTTTTCACCGAAAGTGATGAACCAATTTGATTAATACCAACCAATTGATCAAAGTTAATGTATGTAACCTTGTAAGGAGTCATGTAATATGTAAGCAATTAAGAGTGCAAACCAGTATGCAATATTTATCAGCATATTATTATTATCGAAAGAAAGGACGATTAAAGAGAAACACGTCCCTCTTCGCCTCCCGGCCCGCATACGAAATAATAATTCTATATAGTAGCTAAATGTTAATAATAATGCTCCAATGTTCGTGGACTTGGCACTTTGACAGAATGGGCTGGGTCATCCTCATCTATAGACACACAAAATATATCTTTCCTATAATAAACGTTATTTGCTGTGTCATGTGTAATCGCTTCGTTAAGGGTAGAATAATTAAAAAAATGTGTGAATAGTTAATAAACCCAGCACGTACATACAAGATTGATAATAAATTGCTTGGAATTGATCATCGCATAATATCAAATAAAAAAGGGCGACGATGAATAGCTCGGGGTTATCTAAGCATGAGAATGGGAGTCAACATTATAGTAAATTGGTCACGAAGTCAAGTTGTGGTTACGTTATTTAGCCAGTGTCCTCTCTTTGTGGTCGTGGTGGTGGCGTTGTTGGGGGTTTGTTTAGTTTGTTGAATTTAACTGGAATCAATTGAAGCCGACAACTGAAGGAGATGAGAGACGACGATAAACCGAGATAATTTATGGGTCGCATTCACGCTAGAACGTCTCAGTCTCCGTTTGGCCTTCGCCCAGTGATATTGTTCTGAAAACAAGAAAATACTCCAATCAATTTAATAATGGGTATGTTTTCATATCTTCATTGTTGCTTTCTTGTCTAGACGTTGCATGCAAATTTTAATGCACAAAAAATTGAGTAGTGCTAGTATATGCACGGAATCATTGTTACTCGTTTTTATAATTAAGTACAATGTAAAATAGTATGCGTTCTAGTAACCAGTGCCAAAACTTATTACTCATTCCCTCCATATTATGTATCTCGTACTTTATTTTAGCTTCCACGCGCTTCCCAAGTTGTACAAAAACCCCGATTGATGAGCAAATCCAGAAATTGTACGACAGAGTGAAAGCTAGAGATCCAGAACAAAAAGAATTTTTGCAGGTATTTTAGTTGTCCACAATGAAATAATAATAATATTCAAAGTTGCCCAAGTATGTACTTACGATACCTTTGTAAATATTAGGCGTTTGGTGAGATTCTCTGGACTTTAAAGCCGGTTTTTGAGAAAGATCCCAAGTACATTAAGGTTCTTGAGACAATTGCTGAGCCAGAGAGGGTCATAACTTTCCGAGTCCCTTGGATCGACGATGCTGGGGTGCAACAGGTCAATCGAGGCTACCGGGTGCAATTCTCCTCAGGTTTGTGTTAAATTATGTAATTCCCGAGGAGATTTTCTAATATTGTTAAATTATCTTAACCAATTCAGCCCTGGGTCCCTACAAGGGCGGACTCCGCCTCCATCCCAGCGTCCATTTAGGAATAATCAAATTTCTCGGCTTTGAACAGATTTTGAAGAATTCACTCACTGGTCTACCTCTCGGAGGCGGGAAAGGGGGCAGTGACTTTGACCCTAAAGGTCATGCATAGGCAGAAAATGCATTAACCTATAGCTTAAAATAAAATAAATATTCATATTTATGTCTGTAACAGGCAAAAGCGACAATGAGGTTATGAAGTTTTGCCAGGTTAGCTTGCATAATTTTTTATTTCGTCTCATTCAGTGTATACCTTGCAATTGAAATAATGTGCATATGAATATTACATAGAGCTTCATGACTGCACTCTACAAACACATTGGAGCTGATGTTGACGTACCAGCAGGTAATGTACATTTTTAAAAAGAGGGAAGACTTTTGAAATACGACTTTTAAATACTAAAATAGGTGACATTGGCGTCGGGGGACGAGAAATTGGGTTCCTCTACGGTCAGTATAAAAGGATCACTGGGCAATTTGAGGGCGTCTTAACTGGAAAACACACCCGCTGGGGTAAAGCAATACTCATAGTTCTTAACTAGCAACCCTCCATATTTACAGCAAATTAATCTGTTACTATTATTGGTTGGTCGAATAGGTGGTTCGCTAATTCGATCAGAAGCTACTGGATATGGAGCCGTCTATTTTGCTGAAAACTGGGCTGCAGATAACTCCCTTCCCATCAAGGGGGCTCGGTGTCTTATCAGTGGAAGTGGAAATGTAGCACAATACACGGTCGAGAAACTGCTTCACCTTGGAGCAATTCCACTCACACTGTCAGACTCTTCTGGCTATGTCTTGGAGCCAAATGGGTTCACACAAGACCAGTTGGAAAAAATTATGGAGCTCAAGAATGTGACCAGAGGAAGAATTTCGGACTACTGCAAAGTACGAAATTATTATGAATGCTATCTGGATTTACCCATTTAAATTTAAGCAAATCTTGGATAATTCATATACTTCATAATTTTACAGATGTCCTCCACTGCCCAATTCTTTGCAGGAAAGAAACCATGGGAAGTCAAGAACTGTGTATTGGCATTCCCATCAGCAACTCAGAACGAGATTGATGAAAATGACGCTACCCAGCTCGCAGCAAACGGTTGTCGTCTCGTCGTTGAAGGGGCCAACATGCCTTCGTCCAATGAAGCTATTGAGGTTTACAAGAAGAAGGGGGTTGGTTTCTGTCCTGGCAAAGCAGCGAATGCCGGTGGAGTCGCTGTTTCTGGTCTGGAAATGTCCCAAAACTCTTCAAGAACTAGCTGGTCTCGGGAAGAGGTGGATGCGCGACTAAAGCAAATCATGAAGCACATTTACACGTCGTGCAAAAACGCGAGCGAGGAATATGGCGTCAAAGGCGACATTCAGAGTGGAGCAAATATTGCAGGCTTCCTCAAGGTCGCGGACTCAGTCATTGATCAGGGTTGTGTTTAAAATGGATGCAAACCATGTATTCAATAGAATTTTATGAATATTACGTATGAATTGAGTAGTCATATTTCATAAAAGAGTAATTTGAATACCAAATTGTATAACCTATTGTAATAAGTCTCATAAGAAAAAGTAAAGAATGGTAATAAATTTTGTTTCCTTTTCGGTTCAGTTAATCCATTATTGAATATTTGTCGGATTTATTGGATATTTATGCATACATAAATATGTACGTGTTCAAATGTGTGTGCATACATCTTGTCTCACTCACTCGTCTTTATATTAAAATTTTTGACTTAACGTATTACTTATTACGTATTTATTAGTATTTAGAAGCTGAAATATTGCATAAAATTAATAATTCCCACAATCGGTTTTGTCTGTTCTTTCATCCTGCACGAAGGAAACCATAAGGAACGTTTTTTGTTATGCTTTATGAAACTGCATGAAAACGATGAATTGCGTAAAGATTTGTTGAAACACCTTTGTGTGGAATGTAAAATTATTTAGTTTGTTTTCCGATTGAGAGTATAAATTTATCGACTTACCCCCAAAATCAATTGGTTGTTCAACTTTACGTAATCATTCAAAGAAATCTCCGTAGGGTGGTTGATTAACATGTCGTGGATATTTTTGAGCTGGAAGAAACCAAGAAAAAATTCTCTTTACTATGGATGTAGTTCAGCACAAGAATTGTGCTGCTATTTTAAATTTTGTAGCATAAATTGCTGCACTATTGTTGTACAGTGCAATATTGTTGTTAAATTACCTCTGCCTTCTGTTCCGCCAAATTATATAGTTCGTTCCCAAGCTCAATCTTCTTTATCTCAACTGCGATGCATTTTTCCTACCCACACCGAAAAGTAATTACAAATAATTCATCTAAAAACTCGACGATATCTCTAGACTATTTTGTAATTGTTAAAGTACATGTGTACTTATGCACTATTACCTTCTTTGAAATCCCGACAGCCACACCGATTTTATAGTACAGCTTCGTCATAGATAAACATGCGCTGACACCGACCATTGCAACCAACGTCAATTCTTCCCTCGAGTTCCCCACTGGTCCACTCAAAATAGTGACAATTGCAAAAATAGAAGATGTAGAAAAATAGATTGTTACCAAAATCAGTAACAATTGCTGAAATGCTATATAGCTCCCGCAGTGATGAGCTTGGAATCGAATTTTAGAAAGAATTTGTTCCAATTTTTGGGGACTCAATGTTGTTGGGTTGGATTTGAGGTGAATTAGGATCTGTAAATTATTCATATTATTAATTATTATATATGTACCTGAGATTTCAGTGCAATTCAAGATCTAGCGGATTATGGAATATCTGTATTTGTGAGATATCTCACAAATACAGTTATGGTACAAAATATAATCTCACAATGTCAAACCCCACCTCCACCCACTTAAACATGATAATTGCCTTCGCATCTTCCAGGGTATAGCACACCATAGATAAATACGAATACATCATCAAAAGTATGCAGTGAATTGGATAATCCAGGTCAAATTGCCATGATGCGATCAGTGTTCCGAACATAAATGAGGGTAACATCACGTAACATAAAGTTAAGTATTTCTGGAATTGTGAAATCCGAGGTTTTTTCTTAGTTTGTTTGTCATCAAGATTCGAGAACAGTTTGTTAATTCCACACCACTCTTCAATTTCGTCTTCAATGCAGTTCCAGTTATTCAGCCATTTAGCCAAATCTGGTGCTTTCACCCAAGCGATTACGTAGTCGATCAGAACATGGATTATGGAAACGACCTCAAATGACAAGACGATTGTGTAGGTGAATGTCGACATTTGGAGAATGTTTGAGGATGGAGCGTGAGGATTTTCGTGTGTCTCTGGGTGTGGGAAACTATAAAACAAATACAAAAATATGTATATTTAGTCCAAAAATTATTTTACCAGTGCAAGTCACAAATAAATATGTACATATGTGCATACATACATCCCACCAGTGGAAAATGCTCTGAACCCTAAGGTCCCATCTTGCAGAATGGATACGATGCAAATGCCACATATCACCAGAGCGGAAGTTAAGGAGCAGCAGAATGGGAGGTTCAACCATTTGAAGACGTATTCGACTTGTCGACCTTGACGTGGGTGTGGCTGGATAGTTAATGGACATCGACCCAGGAGTCGCAGGAGCTTTACGAACGTGGAGAATTGGAGGGTCAATGAAGGGGTGGGTAGGTGTGGGCGTTTTAGGTGCAACGTGGTTGTTGGGTTTTTTTGCAAGAGTTTCATTGTAAAATTCTAGATGATAAATGATTGCTTTGTTGGTTGGTTCTTTCTGTAGAGCTGAGAAAACTATTAGGATATAACACTAATTACGAATGAAAAGTCAATAATACTTGCTTGGGTGGGGTAAATAATTTTAGCTGATTGATTTATGTAGGAAAATTAAGATAAGAAAGTCATACATTTTCCAATGCATTTCTAAACACTTGTAAAGAGCTTCGAGCTATAATGAATAAGTACGTGTTAACTCCTTTATTATTTTAGAAAATAATGTATCTATTTATAAAATACTTAACTTATTAAAAGTTAATAGATTGATACATATTTAATTTGCTTGAAAGAACGAACTTTTTTCTTTCGATGAAAACTATGCGAAAGTTAATTATTTAAATGCAGTTTATATTTTATTGTAATAACCTAGTGTTAGAGAAAAGACCAATCTACGGTGGATGCCAGTTGTCCGCTGTCAATGCTGTTATTACCATGTTCCAAAACATGGTTTGAGTTATTGGGATCCGACGATTTATCAGAGGACAGGTCGTCAGTGTTTTCCCTTGTTTCTTCTTGATCGCTTGGATGATCTGCTTTTCTCGGTTGCAGTCTCTTTTCTTTAGCCTTGTTAGCATTATTTTTATACATTGTATACTTATATTTCATAGCCGGATCATGTGACCACATATGAATCGTCAAGTAGTTGGCAATCTTAAATCCTTTTCCGCAAACTGTGCATAGAAATGGCGTCTCTGGGTTGTGAAGTTTTTCGTGCCTTCTCAACCGACCTTTAACATTGAACACTTTTCCACAGGTTTCACACCGATATTCTGCTGCTCCTTCTTTTTTAGATTCGTGTACTTGTTTGATGTGTTCATTTAGCCGATTATTGGTTTTGAATACCGATGTGCAATTTGGACGATCACACTAAAAATAGTAATTTATAACAATTAGTTAACGATGAATACACAATTTTAGATCATGGAATATTACCTTAATATTACGATCTGAGTGTTTGTCCATATGTTTTTTTAGTGTGTGCTTGGAGGTGAACGCTTTATTGCACTGGATACATTTATTTGTCGGTGGACGTAAAGTACTGTGTCGAATCTTGATATGAAGTTGCAAAGCTGCTTCGCTGTTCGCAATGGCTGATCGACATTCGTTTGTATGAGGACATTTTAAAGCCAATTTTGTACAATCCGAACCTGGAGTTGCTGCTCTAAGGTGCTTTCGATAATCCTCCATCTTAAGTAATCAATAATGAAAACATATTAACTAACCATCGCTTTAAGCAGAATTAATTTTTATATGAATACCAATTATTGATACCTTTCTACATTCGAGGGAACATCCTCGACAATTCAGGATCTCAGGAGTTGCACAATGGGCAGTTCGGAAATGATCTTCCAGGACATGCACGTTACCAACCGGTTTTCCACATTCTTCGCAATTAATTCTGTTTACTACGACAGGGCCATATTTTCTCAGGGTGTGGCCGCTATTCTTTTCGCAACCCGTAATATTGGCGTGAGCATTCCAATCACAGAACCTAAATCCAAGAGTTCATATCGTAAGTTATTAAATGAAACAATTGCGTTTCTTTTCACTCACTTTGTAAAGACTTGAGGACAAGTTGAACATGGAAACTTTTGCACCTGGTGGCGTAAACAGAATTGTTTCAACGTTCGTTCTTTTAATAAGCGTCGCCTTTTTTCCTTTTCTTCTGTCGTACTGGACGCTGATAATGGAGGTAAAGACAGAATGTAGCTCTTCTGTAACTCGACAACTTTTTCAAACATAAGAGTTTCATACTTGTGTGACTTTCCACGTCTTCTAGATTTTTGTTCAGGATCTTTTATTAAACTTGGTCGGGTTCGAGGCAATTTCGGTTTAACAAAGTTTTTAGCCTTTAAACTTGCTGCTAACTGAGTTTTTCTTCTCGTTTTCTTGCTAGCTGAAGGTACATAGCCACAACTTTGATCAGAGTCGCAATAATATTGATCTTGAGTATTCAATGAATCATCATTCCAATCTGAGTCTAATTCATTGGAGGGTTCCTCAATCATAGTTTCCTGATCTGACATATTTTCAGCGTTGATGTAACACTCATCTTTTCGGATTTTGCTTTGTCGCGTACGGCGCCCTAGGTTAGTATCATCATTCTTTGAAATTATCACTGGAACATCCAGATGGCCCGACTTTCTTTGCATGGATGTATCTGGGTAAATAAAATCTGTTTTAACTACAATTTTGTTTAATTCAAGTTAACAATTAACACCTATTTATTACCTGGGCACGTTTTTGAGGGGTGCACAATGGGCTTTAATCTTGATTTAGTCACTTTGGCCGTTCGTCGAGGTGTGGAGGTTTTGTTTGAACGTTTATGAGGGGTTTCATTTACAGTGGCGACGGCCTGAGATCCAATATAATTCTTGGTATTTTCATCTTGCTGATTACATTGTGTTTCAGTTTTGTGCTCAGTTTCCAAGTTTTCTAAAAATACAAGGAACAGAGTCGAGTTTGTATTGTTCACTACTCTGTTTATAAAGGATGGGATCTATTTATATTTTAATTGCATATAGTATACCAATTGCATCGAGAAACCGTCTGATATCAATTGCAGCAGCCTCTTGGTCGTTCTCACTTCCTTCTACCTCCGCCTTGACCTTCATCCTATCCTTCACTGCCGCCCTGACCTTTGCATGTTCTGCCTCCAGCCTCCTAATTTGGCGAAAGAGGGTCATGCCCTGTGCAACGAGGATGTTACACCATTCGCAAACGTTAGCCCACTCATCGGGATGACCATAAACGGTGAGAAATCGGGCGCACATTTCGCCAGGCACCTCCAACAAACCCGACACCAAGTAAAGGGCCGACACTTGGCGATCCAACATACAACTCACCCTCGACTCGTCTGACTCTGTAATGAAAATGAATAAATTGCTTGTGATTACTTCATATCTATTATTTTTTTATTGTTAGCGAAGAGAAATTTGCAAGCTATTGCAACTAAATAAAACAAATACCTTCGCCACTCAGGAATGAGGTTGACGTAGACTTTGGTGACCATGATGAGCAAATTAGGCAGCGTTGGCTAAATGCAGAGGACATGATGGCTTTGTAGGAAAATGATAACCAAAAACATAAGATGTGTTGTTGTGTGCTTAATTTTCTGCATGTGTTTATTATGAGAGAAAGTTTACCGGTGGAGTTGGAAAGCGAATTGGGCGAATTGAATCATTATACAGCTACAAGTCAAATCATTTTATTGTAGGGAAAATGAGAAAAGTCTGAGAATGTTTGCATACGACTCGAGTCATCTATTTAGATACGTTAGAAAATTCGCTTGTAGAATCCAATTAATTCTCCAATTAATTTTTCTAATTAAGTAGGTGCCTATATAACGAGCAAACTCCTTTGGCAAACAAAATTTTTGTACATGAAGACATGCATCGTTGTTCTAGTTGAATAAGGGCTTATTTAAATACGTTGTTCATTGTAAAAAAGACAAAATGAAGTCCATGGCAGAACAACCAAGTGTTTCTTTAGAATTTCAAGTAATTTCAACTAGTTCTCAAATTTCTACTATTGATAAACAAGTCAACCTAAAAATAACAGCCTCTTATCGACAAAATCTGGTAAGCAAGCAACTTCTCCCGTTGTTTCAACTTCTCCGAATCATGGGAAGATGTCCACTAATTTTCCAATTGTCACTAAAGCATCATTATTATTCCGCACAAGAGAAATTCATTAATTCAGATCAAGAAGATCTATCATTCATTACTAATGAAGTAGTAGCCTACAAATTTCTGGATGGAACTGCAACATCATTTTCCTTAGTCTTATGGAATCTTCTTATTGTTGCGTACTTGATATTTGGATTATTTCAATTTGGTGCACTGGACATGCAAATAATTCCTCCGGATGATGCGTGCGTATTTTTCATTTTTGTATCACTTATTACTAACATTTTCAAAACTATGCACAATTTTTTATTATGGAACTTTGCAGTTGGCCGGACAAGGTTGCCTATAAAAATAATCCAAATGCCATCAATATTTCCCCTGTTTCCACTATAATGCTTCGGAGTTTCGAGTTGATTTTTGTATTACAAGCCATTCTGGACTATTTTATGGCCTTGTGGTCAGCCCCGGTATTGAGCAAGTGGCTAAACGCTTGGGAGAAAATCGAAACTGGTTTGGACTCATTCGAATTACTCAGCAATCATCAGCGGCCCAGATTTTCAGGAATTAACACTCGCAGAACTTTACAAAGATTCATTCTGCTTCCATCCATCTTGTTTGCATCTCTTGTAATTGGGACCGACTTTGATCCAAGCTATTTTATGGCATCATGTGCAGATTTAGTCTACACTTTCATCTCAATTTCTTGTAGCTTTGCCGAAGATGCGAAATGTCTACTCCTTTTTAAGAGTATCGAGATAAGTTTTAATAAGGTTCTTTAAATTCCTAATTACACATAAAACATAAATTTTGCAAATATGGAAAAATATTATTCTGCTTATCTATGCAGATGGTTACATCAGTTGAAGCGATGTGCACGCATAACCCAACCGGCGTAGCACCGGCGGAGATTCGCCGTTGGCAGAGCATCATCTACGATATTCGACAACAAGCCGAACTGTGTGGACAATTGTTATCCCTTCAACAACTAATGTCCCTCCTGATTTCAATTCATTTTGTCTCATCTGCATTATATGTATTCGTGACGTTGATTCAAACTACGGTCCTGGACAGGGAATACATCTTAATTATGTTCTCAGTGGTTTCTCTTGCGTTATTGACTGTTGGGAAGATTTTGTTAAAAGTCCAAATGGCTGTTAGGATTACAGAGGAGGTGAAATAGTATTTTGTTATTTTTTTAAAGGTTCGTCAAATATGCTTTAAAATATTAACCAATTACAGGAAAAGCGCTTCACAGAGTGCATAAGAAAGCTAAACTTTACGGAAAACAGGCCAGATTGTAAAGTTGAATTGAGAAGCATTGACAATTTATTGACTGATCATCCTACTCAGATTTCACTGAATAATTATGTGAAATTAAACAACTCTTTGATTCTGGGGGTAAGATTTTTACTAAGTATTTTTATTACTTTATAATACTGCAGAGGCCTGTATTAATGTTTAAAGTTTACAAAACTATAACCTTCAACTTACAGATATTGGGTCAAGTATGCACTATTTTTATTGTGTTTATGCAACTTGAGAATAATAAATGAAGACATAAATAACTGTTGGTTAGAGCATTTTTATGTGGAGTTGTATAAAATCTCACTTTCTCGTCTCATTCATCCTCAGTCGTCTCGACTTTTCTCATTTTCCCTACAAAATGCAGGCTTGCATAAAAATGATTCAATTCGCCCAATTCGCTTTCCTACTCCACCGGTAAACTTTCTGCCATAATAAACACATGCAGAAAATTAAACACACAACATCATAAACACATCGTATGTTTTTGGTTATCATTTTCCTACAAAGCCATCATGTCCTCTGCATTTAGCCAACGCTGCCTAATTTGCTCATCATGGTCACCAAAGTCTACGTCAACCTCATTCCTGAGTGGCGAAGGTATTTGCTTTATTTAGTTGCAATAGCTTAGCAAATTTCTCTTCGCTAACAATAAGAAAAAAATAATAGATGTGAAGTAATCACAGATTCACAAGCAATTTATTCATATTCATTACAGAGTCTGACGAGTCGAGGGTGAGTTGCATGTTGGATCGCCAAGTGTCGGCCCTTTACTTGGTGTCGGGTTTGTTGGAGGTGCCTGGCGAAATGTGCGCCCGATTTCTCACCGTTTATGGTCATCCCGATGAGTGGGCTAACGTTTGCGAATGGTGTAACATCCTCGTTGCACAGGGCATGACCCTCTTTCGCCAAATTAGGAGGCTGGAGGCAGAACATGCAAAGGTCAGGGCGGCAGTGAAGGATAGGATGAAGGTCAAGGTGGAAGTAGAAGGAAGTGGGAACGACCAAGAGGCTGCTGCAATTGATATCAGACGGTTTCTGGATGCAATTGGTATATGTTCTTTACAATTAAAATATCTTATAGGTAAATGCAGTAGTGAACAAAGCAAACTCAATTCAATAAGCCGTTCTTTATATTTTTAGATAACTTGGAAGCTGAGCACAAATCTGAAACACAATGTAATCAGCAAGATATCAAGAATTATATTGGCTCTCAGGCCGTCGCCACTGTAAATGAAACCCCTCATAAACGTTCAAGCAAAGGTTCCACACCTCGACGGACGGCCAAAGTGACTAAATCAAGATTAAAGCCCATGGTGCAACCCTCAAAACCATGCCCAGGTAGTTAATTAGTAGGTGTTTATGAAAAACCTATTTTTAACTAGAATTTAATGATATTCTATTTAAACCCGATTTTTTTACCGGTAGATTCATCGTCCGAAAACATAATGTTTCCATCACCTTCAAAAAGCGATGGTTCTCCTCATCAAGGCATTATTTCAGATACGAAAGGACGTGCTACAGCTAAATTGAAAAAGAAACCCAAGGGAATTACTAAATCATACGTAAAACCTAAAGGCTTGTACTTGTCAGGTGAAGAAATTATGAATTACAATTCGCTTCAAACATGCCGAGTAATAACATTACAAATGGTGTGATTTGTGAATTTAGAGGACGCTGACACTCTTTCATCAAGTCACGGAGTAAGACGAAGTGGACGACAAGTCACTAAGAAAGTTCAGTTTGACAATGACATAAAAAATGAAGATCACCAGAATATGCTAGAAGATACAAATGTACAACATAATATAATGGAAGAACAAAAAGATTTCGACTTGGGCGCAGAAGAAAGGGATTCCGATCCGGATTGGGAGTCTGAGGATTTGTCATATTCTTTTCAAAAACACACAGCCAAATCCGAACAGTCAATAAAATTTAATAGCGAATTGGAGAGAGATATTATTTGTAATGACAATTCGTCCTCTAATAATTCCGAAGACAATTCACATGAACTAAATGACGCACCTTCAAGTTCGAACAAGAACAAGCTGGCGGAATCAAGAAAGAAATATGGTTATACTTCCAACAAATTGATGGACAATGGAAGATTAAAGCCAGAATTTAGAAAGTTTCCAATCCGAGAAACTCTTACATTTCAGCAAGTTATTGAACTCCAAAAGAAAACTGCATTGCCTCCAGTATTGGGCCGCATAACGAAAGAAGAACGACAAGAGCGGCGACTGTTACAAAAAGGAAATTCGCTAGCCGCCCTATGTCGACGACACCGAGTAAAAGAATTCCCCTGCTCAACCTGTGGTCATGTCTTTTCCATGCAAGTTTTAAGTGCATATTCATTCGCGTGTAAATAGATGTATGATATATTTAATAATCATTCATTCGTAGGTACAAGGACTGGAATATTCACGCGAATATTAATGAATGTGAAAAAAGTAACAACACTTTAAGAAAATTTGGCCCTGTCGTAATAGAGAGGATGAAGTGCGAACAATGTGGGAAACCTGTTGGGAGTGCGACCGCGCTCGAAGATCACCACAGAACTGCTCATGATGGTTCAGACCTGATTTTAAATTGCAGGGGCTGCTCGGTTGTTTTTAGACAGGTATGCGATCGATCAATCAGGTGTAAGAGAATACATGTAAAATATTTAAATTTTGATGATTCTAATATAAATTTTTCGCCTTTCAGGCAGGAGATTATCAAAAACATTATTTTGAACTTTTAGAGTCCAACCCGGATTCCGATTGTGTTAAGTTTGCCCTACAATGTCCATATAAAGAAGGATGTAGGAAAGCCATTCGAAATAGCGATGAGGCTCTTCGACTTCATATACGAATTCGACACATTGATCCAATACCCAGGACACACCTTTGTGTTCAATGCAACAAATCATTTCCTTCCAAATATTTATTGAGGCGACATGTCGAGTTACATGCACCTCGTGATTTCAAGGTAAGTAAAGCACATAACGATAATCAATCCAAAATTATTTTAACCACTGTATTGTCTTAATTATTATTGATTAGTGTGACCGTCTCAACTGTACATCTGCATTCAGTACTAAAATCAGACTCAGAGATCACATCAAGCATGTTCACGAATCCAAAAAAGATGGAGCAAAAGAATATCCTTGTTCAATATGTAACAAAGTATTTTATGTAAAGGCGCAGACGACACGACATGAGAAAATTCACAATCCGGACTCGCCATTCCTATGCACAGTTTGCGGAAAAGGATTTAAGCTTGCCAACTACTTGACGATTCATATGTGGTCACATGACCCTGCCATGAAGGCTAGATATGCACGATATAAACAAGCAGCAGAACAAAGGCGACAACAGAAAGAAGATCTATTAAACCATCAAGGATCAGAAATTCAACAAGATGCTACCAATCCTCCTAATGATTTCATGCAAAGTATCGGAAACTCGTTGGGTTAATTACAACAATTTACTGCATGTTGTTTCCTCACATTAGAATTTGTCTGTTTTTATACTGCAGAAGAGTTAGTTCCTTAATAAAGTCAGTTTGAAAAAATCTACTAGTCCAGACATTTGCGAAATATTAGTGTTCCATGTAATTGACACCTTCCTACAGATTATGAAATGCCAGTATCAGCTTTCAGGTTTTAGTTGAATACTTCTTAATGCGTATGTATCAGTATAATACTGCATTGCTTGATAAACTTAAAACCACCCTCTCTAATTCATAGAATAGACATTCTCAATGCAAGAGTCTTAATCGTGAATAATTTCATTCAAGTAAATGTGAAGCAATGAACACGCAGGACCGGTCAATATGTAGCACTCATCCATTATTTAAAATTTACATGGAATCGTGCCATTAAAAACTGAAACCTGACATCCATCGTCACTCTTCATATAATTGTGTGCATTATAAATGTTATCATGAATTCTTGTAAGACCCATCCACTCCATGTGCTCTTTACTCTTACATAAAAATCAAGTTGTAAAAAGCAGGTTGCAGTTAATAAGAACAACGTGGTCCTCGGCAAGCTTATAGATTTTATATTATTCTCCGGGCTTCCGTTCCACGCAACCAGGCTTTATTCATAATCACCGTCTGTCAAGCCAACTTGTCCCAGAATTTCATCAGAATTTTCATTCTTCAGATAGACGCATTACTAAAAATATTAAATATTTGTTTAGGATTACTTTCCGTGGCCTTCATTTTATGGTAAGTATAATTTCACTATAATTCTAAAAGTCATAAAATTGTTTTCCAGTTGTTTTCTCGCTACGTACTTGTTACAAAACGAATTGAGGTTACGCCGGCACTATAGTAGGGGAAGCATAACTTCCATCAAAATTTGGCTCCCGCGTTCGTATCCCTACCATGCTAATAGTATGGGAAGGATACGAGCGCGGGATGATGGAGGTTATGCTTCCCCAGTATTAATAATCCCAGCAATATTTTTGGAGTAGTAAATATTTAGCTTGTTAAAATTGGTATGCTCCATATTCCTGCATGTATGTAGCGTATGTGAGTTGTACGTATCTATCTAGATAATTAAGGAGTTATGGATTTCATGGCATATTGCACTCATCGATTGGTTCTGAGCATGGTGTGTGTTCAGAGGCGTGCCATGCTATGATTAAATACTTGTATTTAATTCCACATCTCCAACCTGTCTTTTACGGTGGGTTTATCAACCACAGCGACCACGATAAGAGCAACTATTGAGCATTAATTTCATTCGCACCACAAAGAATATCCCCTTCGCCACAGGACAGGACTTGAACTAGTGTCAATATTTAATTTTGTATGCATTCAAAAAAATCCCTATTTTATGCATTTTATGTATCTGAAAACATATACTTTGAAAGTATGCATGTATGCCAACCATTATTCTTTGTGACATTAGGATTTTATTTTTTCAAGTTTTGTATTGCTAAAAATACACTTTGGCACATTCTGTGCAATCCAGAATCCAGATTATTTATCATATAACTGACTATTATACATACGCAACACTCGACCTTGCACTCCAGAAGCACCGCAATAACCTAACCTGGAAATGTGGCACTATCCAGCGATGCTCACAATAAATGGTTTCGACTCTCACAAGTTTATCACAAGTCTAGTTTATGCTTGTACATATGTACATGTATTCGAATCTCAACCCTAAAGCCACATACTAATGCATATAACATAATAACTAACTTTGTTCGCATCCCAATCGCATCATCATAAAAAATTACACCCGACAACCAAACTATAAACTGATCCAACGAGTTGGATATGTCTGTGTGAGTACCTAACTAAGGAGCATAGTAACCTTTGATTATAACATTTATCCAGCAGTTTGCTTAAAAAATCACGCCATTGCATTCCTCGCTTCTCAGGCACACGTCTTCAGTAGCAAAGATTGCGAATCTAAGCTGAGATCAAATTTTTGTCGAATAACTGAAATCGTTTTTTTCGTCCTTCGAAATGTATAAATTAGCCATGAGTTCGGTGCCGAATGGTGGAGCTGGTCCTTCTGAAATACCTGCGGACATTGTCTGGCCCGATCTTCCAAGCAAGTGCACATGGCATTTAGGAACAAAAGACAAATCTCCTCACAGTTTGGATGCCAGGTAAATTAAGACAAAATATTAAAACATGGAAATGTTATCTATAATTTACGTATAATTATCTAGGGAAAAACTACCTGGAATTTTACCAAACATTTTGTCTCACATTGGTAACACTCCACTCGTCCGATTGAATAAATTACCACTGGCGAAAGGCATCAAGTGTGAAGTCTGTAAGTGTAGAAATTACGTGCTTACATAATTATAGGATTCTTTAGCTGGATATATTGTATGAATATATACAAATATTTGTATATCTGTAGTGGCAAAATGTGAGTTTTTTAATGCGGGAGGAAGCATAAAAGATCGCATTGCGCTTAGAATGGTTGAAGATGCAGAAAAGTCGGGACTTTTACATTCTGAATCCACAATTATTGAGCCCACCTCAGGAAACACGGGTACTTTAAAATTTTACTAAAATTATTTCTACGGTGGTATTAACAGAAACGACATAATTATTTACAGGAATTGGTCTGGCTCTTGCGGCTGCCGTAAAAGGATATAAATGCATCATTGTAATGCCTGAAAAAATGTCAAATGAAAAAGTGGATGTACTTCATGCTTTGGGTAATTAAACGATCGTAAAGCTTTAATTGACTATGCAAATTTTCTACAAGTATGAATCAATTTTGCAAAATCAGGCGCTAAAATTGTTAGAACACCAACGTCTGCAATGTTCAACTCTCCTGAAAGTCACATCTCTGTGGCGTGGAGACTGAAAAAGGAAATTCCTCACGCCGTAATTTTAGATCAGGTATACACATTGCAATTATTACATTTGATTATATTAGTACTACCATACTAATGATCAACAAGAAATATTAATATATAATAATTTATGACTGATAGTACCGCAATGCTGGCAACCCTTTAGCCCATTATGACACCACGGCCGACGAGATTTTGGAACAATGTTCTGGAAAGGTCGACATGGTCGTCGTAGGGGCTGGTACTGGTGGATCCGTGTCTGGGATTGGGAGGAAAATCAAGGAAAAATGTCCCTCTTGCATTGTCGTCGGCGTGGACCCTGAAGGCTCAATTTTGGCCCAGCCAGAAAATTTAAACAAGAGCGATGTTAGCTCATACGAAGTAGAAGGCATTGGTTACGACTTCATTCCAACAGTTTTGGGTAAATTGGCCAAAACTTAAATTGTGCATTTCAAAATAATGTCAACAATTCACACAAAAACAAACCCCATCCATGGTCCCCTTGTAGATCGTTCCGTGGTAGATAAGTGGTACAAGAGCAACGATCGCGAATCTCTGCCCACTGCCCGCGCCCTGATTCGAGAAGAGGGTCTTCTCTGTGGGGGCAGCAGTGGCGCCGCACTTTCCTGTGCTTTCAAAGCCATTCAGGACGCAGGGTTGAAAGAAAACGCCCGCGTCGTGGTCATCCTTCCGGACGGAGTTCGGAATTACATGACCAAATTTTTATCTGATCAGTGGATGATTGAGAGGGATTTGTTACCCCTGCACAACCTTAAGGACCAGTATTGGTGGTGGGACACACCGGTATTCAATCGTACATAACTAATCTAACCAAAAATTAAATGAAATTTACTTTTTAATTAGGTCTCCTCCCTCCATTTGGCCTCGCCACTCACTGTTTTACCAGACGTTCCAGTGCAGGTAAGATTAATGGTTTTAGGATAATTTAGGTAGTAATAAAAGACATTTTCTTACTTTTACATATAACAGGAAGCGATCGACATTATGAAAAGAAAAGGTTTTGACCAAATGCCAGTGGTGGATAAGGATGGGTAACTATCTAAAATAAGATTTATTTCTTCCCGATTCAGTGTCTCACTTATGAATTTTCGATACAGAAACGTGTTGGGAATGGTCACCTTAGGATCTTTGCTGGCCCGTGTGCTTTCCAAGAAGCTAGACAAAAGTGACAGCGTTGATGCTGCCATTTATCGCCAGTTTAAGAAAGTTACGCTAAACATGACATTGGGGAAGTTAACCAACATTTTACATAAAGACCACTTTGCGCTTGTCGTACACACGCAAGTTCAATGTAAGTTTAATACTACAGTATTTTATTATTTCTTAATTTAATGCACGACTTTTGACATGTTTGACTTTACTTCAGATGCTGGAGTAGATAAGGAGGACAAAAAGAAGGAAGTCATCATTGGTGTTGTGACACAAATCGACTTGCTGCACTACATTTCACAAGTTGAAGAAGTTGTCAGACAACGGTGAGCAATTTTAACATCATAATAATTGCATATGTGTTTGCGGTTATGCTTAACTCTTACATAAGAGAATTGTCATATTTAAATTTATTATCTATCTGGTCGATTTCTAGAAAAATGTCTGAAGTCGGTGACTTGTCGGAACTTGCTATAAAATGACGGAATAACATTCAAGTATATATAATTTTATTATCATCCAGAGGTAACTTGTTGCATATCGTAAAATTGAATGAATAAAAAGAGTATATAATTGACCTTGGCAAATTTATTACTGGTTCATGTTCAAAGCCTTCGGCACTATTAGATATACATTGATATGTATAATATATATAAACCACTGAATAAATATTACTCGTACAGCAACTTCTTATAACGATGTAAATCTGTTTCGAATCTTCATTTGGACCTCCTTCAGAGAGTAATAATTCCCAGTGTAAGTGATCCATACGATCCCCGTACCAAACTCATGAGAACCGTTCGTATTTGTGGCGTATATTCCGTTTAAGTTGGACTACAAATAAATAATTTCGTATTATCCGACTATACAAACATTACAGGATGAGCAAGATATGTATGTGTAAGTTGAAACCTCGTGACATCCATAAAACCACCAAGAACCTTTCCACGTTTGAGCGCAATTTCGTTGTGAATCTGTATCTTGATCCTGGTCATAAGTACTAAAGGACATGCCATCATGACGAGATAGGGAGTCACCTATGGATGCAAATTGTTTAAAACCGTAACGGAATATCAGCGAATATTTAAAAGGCCAAACTTTTTTGTACCAGCAGTTCCAGAATAATTGGATACATGTAGTCGATAAAATGTTGTGGCGTCACCCAACCGGAAGTGCTTGTACGATGCAATCGCCGTGCTACTTCCATCCCATTTGGTGAGTTCAATACGCAACTCGTGATCATTTAATTTTGTTAATGCAGCGATATTGGACAGACCTAAGGATTTGGGGAAAACATCAGAAATGCATGCATTATTATTTTAGCCTCTATGTCCTTACGTAAAATTCTATCTTCGTTGCATACCTAACCAATAATCACCATCTGTAGAACCAAAACCTTGTTCATACGTAGTCCAATTTTGATAAAAGTTTGTTCTGCGACTTCCATTTAGATTGGGGGATCCTCGTCGTTGGATTACAGTCCAACCACCCCCGTCTGAATCAGCACTAAGGTCACAAATTACCTGGACCGGTTCATTCTGCTTCGGAAATATTGTGAATTTTCTATTCGAGTTTTTCAAATTATTATTAGGTGGACGCTTATTTCCTTGAGTAGAATTTTTCCTATTGTCCACAATTTGTTGAAGTAGCTGAATTTCTGAACAGTCCTTTGGTCTAACTTTATATAGATAATTATAAATAAAGATAATGCACTTATAAAATCAAGCTCAAGTTAATTTTCTTACTGGTCCGCTGCAAATAAATGAAAAAATGTTTTTATAAATGTTAGCTTTAATGTGGCCATTTAAATTATCTACTTTTAAGGTTTCATCATCCATTGTCCGCAACAGAAGAACATGAGATACGTTCACCTTAGTCAATTCGGAAGACAATTTTTCGATCTAGACAAGAAATTTAAAATTATTCTCACTCCAAAAATATGTATTAAAAATTACTCGTTTCTTTTGATGGCCTAATTGTTTCGTTAGATTTTTCATTATCCTTGTTAAAATTGAAAAATCTCGTGTCACTCTTCCATTCGGGCGATGAGTTCCTTCATCGCTTTGCACACTTTGGAGCGATTTCAGCATTCCTTTCGACGACCTAGAAAAAGATTGGGATTGTGGATCCCGAAGAAATGCATAAGTTGCGAAATCAATTGTCTCTGGATCAGGTTCACTGCGTTCCGCTGACCAATTGTCATTGCTGCTGGATTGCTAAATATTATATAATAATACGCAATTAATTAATGTATCCCACTAACTACTTGGCGCTTATGATATTTGCATTATTACACGGTTGTAAGTATTTCTATCTGTGTGGGATTCTTCGCCATAGTCATCCTCATTATTTTCAAATTCGCGTCCATAATCGGCAAAGTTATAAGGGGCTGAAGTTGTAATGATGACCTGTTCATCAGGATCAGTACTACTTACACCATATTGATAATCCTGGCCATGTTGGTAAGGATTAATTCGACTGTTAATTTGCGAGTCGATAGGATTTTCAGATGAGCTTGTGAGACCCCAATTAAAAGAGTATGGTTCTGAAGTGCTAGTCGTTGAAAGTGAAGTTGTTTTTTGCGTTGGAAGAAACCGTGGTAAAGTCGTAGCAACGTCCCAATCATCATAATGAACAGCTTGGGTACCATTTTGAGGGTGGCAAGAACACTGGTCAATTTTCTGTTCAACATTTTCCAGAGCTCGGAATATCCCTGAAAAATGGATCAGGACAGTGTCAACAGCCCGTTGGAGTTGGCCCTGCTTTTCCTTTATGTCGACGATTTCTCCAGTTCCAGTATTCTATTTAGATAATGATTGTATACAATCGTTGATCCAGAATTTAAAAAAATTGACTTTAATTTGATTATGAACCTGCGTATATGCACGATTCATATGCACAGAATGCCCATAGGAATCAGAAATATTTTGCTCAATTTCTGAAACCGTTCTCTCCAGGTGTAAAAGCTGGAAACACACAGGATTACGATTTTAGTGTAATGTCCATCAAATGGTAGACCCAAGGTAGATGTATTTATTGTGTAAATACCTTTCTCCAAATTGTGTCCATGTCGCTTGCTTGTCGTTTTTCCTGATCATTGGTACCCAAACTCGCCACTGTTGTTGAACTCATCACTGTTTCGTCCGACTGCGACACGGTTAAATCAGCTTTATCCTGAATTGGTGGTGGTGAAGTGAAAAAACCGTCGTAGTTATGATGATCACTGCTCTGTCGTAGTTGACGCGTTGGGGGCAATGAGGAGTAGACTCGGGCGTTACTCCCACCACCACCAACGCTGCTCCCTGCTGACGACGAGCCAAAAATAAAACTTGGCGTTGCATCTCTAGAGCTTCTTATGGGATAGAGTGGAGGTGGTGTGAAGGGTTGCTCGATTTGGAAAATCGGTCTTAATTGTTGAGGTGGTAGTGGTGGCGGTGGCGGTGGTGGAGTAAACTGGGTAGTTGTCACCGATGACATAGTTGTCGATGGTACTGTGGACGCGATAGGCGTAATTTTTGGCTTAAATTGAAATTGAAGCATTTATAAGGAATCCTTACATAGTGGGTGATTTTAAAAATTCATTACCTGAACAGAATTGCTTCTAAAAGTTACAGGTTCCAAAACAACTTCTTCTTGTCGAACTTGCAAAGATGAGAGCTTTTGCTGAATGAGGGTTTCAATTTTTTCTGGAATGCTGCGTTCAAAGTCCAGCATCTTGATTATAAAGAAATAGCTTAAGATTAAAAAAAAATTACGCAATATTTGAACTCAATTAAAAATGTGTCAAATCGGACCCTATTCTCCAATGCAGATAACTTCTTATCGTGTTTTCTCGATTTGGAACGAGTTCCTCCTTGTTTATCGATAAACTTAACAGAGTTTGCTAAAGCTTCAATCTATCATAAGACATCAAATGTAACGTGTACATATATTACGATGCAATATGCATACATACTTTTTGAAACATATCGTCTTGAGATTTTTTCATGGTTTGGACAAACTCCATAATGTGGTTCACATTGATAAGGATGCTGTATAATTAAATATTTAATGATTATTATGTGTATACATATGATCAGTAATGAATTATAAAGTTATTTGCAAATTTTTAGCCAAACTGACTGTTGTTCTTGAGTCGTAAGTTTTGTTTTATCCACATTTAAAAGCGATTTCTCCAATGACAAACTTTCTTGTGATTCAGACTCCGAAAAATCTGATGAACACAAGTCTCCACAGTTTAGCACGAACCAGATATAAACGTAAAACACCAAATTTGTCTTATAATTGAAAATCGTTCTGAAAATCATTATTGCAGAATTAAGATTAAGATAAGAGATATCAAAAATAAATATGTCACATGAAAATTATTACGCCAATTTATATTTTAAATCAACAAAACAATTTATGCACACATGTAATTTTAATATTATTAATTACGTTATATACGCATTATTGACTCAAATATTATTATGTTGCTTGCTCTTTAAGTATAACTTTTTTCACTTCGATACGATATACATAAGTACTTATGTATGCACAGATGAATGAATGACCGATGAGCTTATTAATTAATAATTGGTATGCATCTACAATAATCTACATACATGTCATATGTGCATAATTGCGTGTGTCAAGGACGAGATTCAAGAAAAATGCCAATTTAAGATAACTTTATTCAGTTTTTGGAATGTTATCGTCTGAAATGTTTTGAATTCAAAATGAAAATAGCTACATATTTTATTTCTTAGATGAAGCTACTACATCAAGACGCCCATAACCGAACACATGATTCGGGAAAGTATCGTCGTTTAATCCACCACATGTTTGACTACTTCCGGTTAACGTAGTAGTTTCTGCTCCTTCGAAAAGTGCAGTTCGAACGGCATCATAGTCCCCTTGAAGTAAGGGATTTTTTTGTATGAGTAAAGCCACACCCCCGGTCACGTGTGGGGACGCCATAGATGTCCCACTTAGTCTGTCGAAGTGGTCATCAGCTGCATTCATGGAAGATAATACGTCCACCCCAGGTGCTGACATTTCTGGCTTTAATAGGACATAAATATATAGAGTTAAGGGACATTTAACCTCTTAACGACGAAGTACACACATTTGTGTAGTATTTTATTTTCCGTTCACGACGAAGTACACACATTTGTGTAGTATTTTATTTTCCGTTCACGGCGAAGTACACACATTTGTGTAGTATTTTATTTTCCGTTCACGACGAAGTACACACATTTGTGTAGTATTTTATTTTCCGTTCACGGCGAAGTACACACATTTGTGTAGTATTTTATTTTTCCGTTGACGACGAAATACACAAATGTGTGTACTGCAGAAATTTCCTTGACACCAAAATTTCTTTAAAAAAAGAATATTTCTTCGGTATTTTGTGGAAAACTCGATGGTGAAAAGTGGATTTTTTTCGATATTTTTCACCCAAAATTTTGGAATTTTCCCTATACCGACCAATGTTAAAAAATGTTTTTTTCGTATTTTTCGTCAAAAACTCGAATATTGCAAACTGGTGGAAAATTTTAATTGGTTGCTATCAGGTATAATTATGAAATCAAAATCGTACCGAAGGGAAATTTTATTTAAAAATCAGTAGTACGAAAGAGGTTAATTACGCTCATACGTAGTCCAATGAAATTATTAGTCATTGAGCCAATTGCACAGTTTCTTACCTTGTGTCCACCGTTTCCTGTTGCAGGGCCCCTAGAAGAGAACGATGCTATGACATCACTCATGTCTGTCGCAGCAACGCCTATGACCCCCTGACGATCTCCAGGAGAACCCACGCTACCACAACTAGACCCGGCATTTCCAGCTGAATTTAAATATTATTAATGACGTGTGATGAATTTTTACACCTAATACGTGACATATTTTATACTATACCAGAAAACACAGGGATCACACCGGCAGAATGCCACCCTGTAATCACATCATCATACCAGTCTTGACCTCCAAGTGATGAGCCCCAACTGTTACCTACCACATGGGGGGCTTTCGTGCAGTTCGCTCCCGTTCCATCGGTCAGGGTGGGGCATGCAATAAATTGACCACAACCGAGAAGATCGGATTCTGCGCAGGAAGATGTTGCACATCCCTTGCATGCCATCCAGCGAGAATCTAGAATTTAAAAAGTAATTGAGCTGAAAAGTTCAAATTTTGTAAGGACATCCATTTACCAGGAGCCATGCCGAATCCCTCCCGTCCTGAAATAATTTTTGTTCGTAACAAAATCTGAATAAATTAGAAGTATATTTAAAATATTCACCTGCAATTGTCCCCATCGTGTGAGTCTTTATAAATTAAAAAATAGTAACTTTTAAAATTTTATAATATAAATTAACTTTTATTCGGAATATTCATTTAAAATTACTCGCCCCATGTCCATTCCCGTCATTTGGAGAACTGGTTCTAAACGAAGGGTCATACCAACCATATTCCCCCAGAAAATTATCCCTCAAAATCATGTGCGTTCCACGCACTCCTGTGTCAATATTTGATGTAACTATTCCTTCCCCGGTAATGTTTTCAGCCCAGAGTTCATGCCCTTTAACAATCCAAACTCCACGCACGGGATTATTTTGCTTTACTGAAAAAAAGTGACACTAAAATATTTCTGGATTTTTCTGTGTATCATAAATGCTTACCCTCCTCATCGATTACTGCTTCAGACCTGGTCAAAGGTTCCAGGGGGATGACAATTTCTTCCCGGACCTGCACAACGTCTGGATGTGAGGACAATAATTTCACGAGCTCAGCATCGGCGGCGGAGACAATGATCCTGTTCGTAATCCAGAACGTTTTGTAGGCGACATTGCGTCCGTCTAATAAGGATCGGATATTTGCCTGGGACTGTGAAGTGTATTCGATAAGGGCAGCACGAATAGCGGCCATTCGTTCGCCACGAACAGAAAAGACCAATCCACTTGAAGCAATTTCGTCATAGATTGAACTAACATCTGTAAATTGAGTACAGCACGTAATAGGTCAAGTTACCAAATGACATGTATTATTTTCAGAGACGCTTAAAATTTGTACTGTTAAAAAACAACTTACCTGATTTTAGGATTATTGCAACATCAGCGTTTCCGCGTTCATTAAGCGTTTTTAAGAGTGAGTTGCTTAGTACGGAGTTTGGATAAGCTACAGCAGCCCCTAGGGCGCAAACCGCAATTAGCAACGAAGCCAATTGCGCCATTCTAGTTCAATAATATTAATATGAAATAAGTAAAAGTGGAATATTGTAAAATGTGCCAAAATGGACTGAAATGCAGTGGAAAATATGTCTTGTATTTGTACCTTTTGAAGCTGAAGGTTATCTACTTTGATTGAATATTCACTTATCAATTACTGCGGACGATAATCATTCAATGAAACTTTTACATGATATTATAATTGCAGACAAATTGTCTAGGGTTCGATATGTGCTGATTTTAAAAAAAGAGAAAAAGTAGGTTATCTCCAAATTCTGCATTATTTTAAGTCAATATCATGGATTAATTTATATCCTTTAAGACCTATCTGTCCCACATTTAAATTTAACACAAAATGATGAACTAGTTTGATTTAATTTGTTTGACTAAGACGAAACCCTATACTCATCAATTATTCTGCGAACTGTACCTGAAAATGGGCACGTTATCAATAATGAAATAAGTATGTAATAAAAATGTCAATCACTATTTAATTGTCACCGAACCGATGAGAATATATAGGTGCATGTAGAGATATGCACAAGGTGCAGATAAGTTGAAACTACATTACGCCTTACATAAAATCCTTTATATTGAAAACTATGATAAAGAATTGATGCTGTCATGAGTTGAAACTGTGGTTGTTATTGATGTGTCTTTGTAGTTTTTTAGCATCAATTATTAATTATACATTTGGAACCACCTATAATAGGGGAGGGAGGGGGTTTATATAACACGGACAAATGATGGGGACATCTAATAACCGTGGGGACATTGCAGGACAGATCTGATGAATAAGAAAATGTGGACTTCAAACAATAAATTTGTTGACCTGCCCGACGAGGATCTTAGAAACCTAGTGGAGTAAGAGCTCCGGCCGCAACAATCCATGCAATATCCGATGAAGCTGTTCTAGCTATTAACGTGGGCTTATGGTCATCATGTATATAGTAAATTAAAGCCAATTTACTGTATAGATGTGTTTGAAAATGTGCTAATCAAAAACGATCCTAAAATACAGTAATTGTCAAAAAATAACTGAAACCAACTGTCCAAAAATCTTTGAACAAAAGTGAATGAGTATGAAATAAATGAATTTGAATTGTTCAAATTCATTATGTCTGATGTTGACCTATGTACGTACATATGTGCGTGCATAGCAAAAAAAAGTGGCAGAGCAGTGTTTCCGCATTTTGTATTCTCATTTTTGGACAATTTGAGGTACAGACTTCTAGTTTTCAGATTTTTGTAGACAATTACATTTGTCAGAAAACCATGTTACCGTAGTGGTAACATGGATTTGGGATTCTTTTCATCTATCTAATACAACGTATGAATGCTCATACGATTCCGAACTGAAACGACCTATGTATGTATTGCTTGGTAGTTTGTGGCATTGCAATTAAGGAAAACAAGTGAGTTATAGTTAACATCTGTTCTCGTAAATATTTTTTATTCATTAGGCGCATTAACAAAGTGTACAGCATTATCATTTTACATCATCAATAAAAAAAGCTAAACGACCAGTGCGGTACAAAATTAATATCATATGTACATATGAAATTAATGACTGATTATGCACATAAGTAAATATTGAAATAAATGTAACACATATTTATATACTTTGTCAATTCCATACAATTTATTGCACCAAAACCTAAATTATCAACCCTTTACCACGTACTCAAAGTCACATTATACATTTAAAAAATCTGTAAAAAACAACTCGTAAACATGTCAAGTTACCGTATTTTAAGCTGACAAACAAAAGCTAAGTACTCGAGTACAGCAATTCCAGCTTTAGATCGAATCCACCCATTTCGCAGTAAATCCTTGCTGGGTATAATGTCGTTTTCAATAAATTCTTTCGTTTTATTCGCAATTTGTTCCCAATTCTTCTGGTCTTGTTACTGCCAAACATATTTAAAAGCAAACGGGGACACAGACTCGACCTATGACCTTATCGCCAAAGTTTTGGGTGGGGGAAAAGAAGCAGTGGAAACGCCTGACTGTGCCCACCCATCATTTCCTCACCATATTTCCCAAGTCCAAGATGACGACTTGAATCGCCCAGTCTTTGCATTTTACATCCATGTCACACCAGATAATGATCGATGCGAGAAGACGGACAGGTATAAATAAATATAGAAACAACCATTATGTAATAGGTCTTAAGCGAGCCATCACATTTTAATAAAATTTCGCAGGCAACGCACCGAAATAAAAACGTTTGGCCCATCTCCAAAAGAACTCAAGGGATTCGAAGGAGAAAGCGTCTCTTTCTCTTGGAACTTTAAACTCGACACCGGATTTAAAGCTTCTACGGCCTTTACTCACATTCATCAAATTAAAGCAGGCGATGGTCCAAATGCTGGATCCCCAATTATCACTCTCACTCCAAGATTTGTAAAAAATTCAAACAAGGTTTTATACACAACAAATACAATTCATTCATACAATTATATATGCATTAAGATGATGTAATTAAGTATTCCGTGGTTTCCAGCAATTGCTTCAAGTACTTCATGTAGGAGACACCGAAACCACTGTTAACAGGTTGAAGGAAGTGGATCTGTCGCCATTTATTGGAGAATGGGTTCATGTCAGCGAGCTTATCACGTACGGAAGTAGTGGCAAATATCAATTGGCCATCAAACGGTTGAAGGCAAGCACATATTTACTTATCGCTCTGACGCTCATATTATTATTATAAATACTACATAAGATTTATCTAAATAAGTTGTTTCAAATAGGATGGCAAATCGTTGCTGTCTGTAAATAAAGATCAAATTGATTTGTGGCGACAAGGAACGATATTTGTTCGCCCAAAATGGGGAATTTACCGAAGCCTGGGGGATAAGTCGAGATTGAGGGACGAGACTGTTTTATTCGATAATTTCTGTCTTGGAAAAGGTAGCAAAAAATGTACCTAAATATTTTCCTTCATTAATATTGTCATTTGAATAAAACACATATTACCGGAATTTGTTTTTTCTTTTATTTATTACACCCTCGTAAAGTATAGCAATTCTCGTGCTAAAAAATTTATTCACAATTAACGCACATTTATATATTCAATTTAAATTAACAACATCATAGGATTTGTATCAAACCATAAAAAATACTTCGAAGTGTGATTAATTAAAATGGATCCTAGCAAGGGGTCAGTTGTCATCTTACTGCTTCAAACAAATTTGTTCTTGCTTCCTACTTTAATAAAAGAGTCAATTTGCGCCACTGACGAATAATTTGAAACAAACAGATCATACAGTTTAACCTGAAACAAAATCTATCAGGCATTGTACAATTCATGGAATACCAAAGACGCTCGTACCACAGTTTTATGTAATAGAAAAGTGTATTTTAAATATGTACTGATAATCGGATTAAATGTCCTTTTGCAAAATGACAAATTACAACTGCCAATTCAAACAGCATACATAAATTCTTAAACTCAACTGATATTTAAAATACGTGAAGCATCTTCTTATATACATTTTCTATCTGCAAATGATCATAAATCAACGGAACCATTATTCCTCTCAAGGATCCTTTGCTGCGTATTTGATGAAAAACATAGCATAATCCTGGTAGCAACAGAATCCGTTTTCCTGCTGCCCCCCGATCAAGTTTTTGGGAAATGATTGGAAATTTCTCTCGTTGGGGGAAATTGTTCTAGAACATTTGTGCAAAAGTGCATATAGCGAAGGCTGGTTTTATCACTCTCTCTCTGCTCAAATAGCATCATCATCTCGTCACCTACTGCATTAAAATGCTCGATTCTCTTTTTTACTGCCACCACAACAACATCGCCCAGTTTGATGAGTGCGTCCTTTTTCTGCGTTGAGAGGAATAGTCCAACGACAATGTTTGTCCTAGAAGACACCAATTTTCTCGCCTTGATTTATTAAAGTATGTCGTGTTCATTGAATAACTGAGAAAATGAGGACATGTCCCAGTATGAAAATGAACATTATATTTTCTTCTTCTTTCACCGGTGGTGGCAGTGGGTGGCTTGGCTTTTCTCCTCTTCCAGTTTCATCCAGTTTTAGGAGAGATCGATGTTGATGCTTTGAACAAAGTGCATAAATACCCTCGCCCGGATCCTTCTTCTTCGCAGTTTTGTTTCCAAACAAGTTGACGTGTCAAAAAAAACGATATCAAAACCAGGTAAGAATTTTTATCCTCCAAATTTTTATGCAAATGAGTGCATTTCACAGATACATATATTGATATATATATATTTACTTATTTATTGGCAGAATTCAACAGCAGTATTACCGGAAATACAGACTTTAATACTTACATATAATCCTCCATAATTAAATAAACTCACCGTCATCATGGCAGACGCAAAAGTAATTCCAAAGGTCACAGCCCCAGCCGCACCAGCTCACAAGGACTCCTCCTCCAATAAGGACTCGAAATCCAAACATGGAACTAAAAATGGGGGCACGGGCAGTGGTGAGGAGAACAAGGACAAGGACAAGAAGGACAAGAATTCCAAGAAGGGGGGCGGTGACTCGAAGGGGGGGTCGAAAGATGGTGGGGGCAAGAAGTCATCCAAAAAATGATTGCATATTATTGCGTATTGATATTCAATAAATAAATACAACTTTTTTTCTCATGTAAAATTTGTGTCTACCTGCATACTTGTATTAACGTTGTTGTCCATCTGGGCTACAAATTCATAATAAATCATATCTAAATAATTGCCAATGCATGCATAAATCAAATCATCAATGCATAAATTTGCTTAACCACCACCACAGATGAAGAAACTGCAGGTCATCCAAAGTTCAAAATATTAAGGATAATATACGACGAATATTTTTGGTCAACTGCCACATAGAATTAGCCGTGAGTCAATTGGCTCAAGAGGAGAGTCACGCTATGTGGCAGTTGAACAGCGAAAATCCCCATAAAAATTGCCACTCCAAAGTCTTCTCTCGACGTCCGCAAATTACATTACAATCTGATTAAACTTTGAAGCAAGTTATCATTTGATGATACCAAACCTATTAAAATTCAGTCATCACAAGCATTTTTCAATGGCAAACTGTAGTTTTCTCTCGACTACACATACCTCTTCCCGAATTAGCCAGATAATGCTGACATTGATGTGCTGAACTTGGGTCACAATTATTCAACTCACTGCCACATGTAAACACGATAAGATAAGGATTCTCGCCTTTTTTTAATTTCGGGGTCTTCCAAACATACCTCACTCTGATTGACGGATGTATATTATCAATTCCTTATTATAAGGGTATGTTCAGCACATTAATGCAGCAACCACGCCGAATTTCATCACCAATAAGTTACAATGCACATAACTAAGGATAAGTACTACTACGTGAGAAATAAAAAAATATGTATACAGGAAAATCAATGCATGTCTGCAAACTATTTATTTTTGCAAATGGTCAATTAGCAAAACTGCTTGTTGGCAAATTAAATTGTTTTAAAGTTTTCGTCTGTAATTTCATTTTTTGATTTATGCACAAGATTATTTGCTTCTGTACGTATGTATCAATGATTATGACTCTAGGCCAATGCCTTATTCACTCGATTCCTACATATTGTATGGAAAATTACTGAGTCCAGTTGTTTAATAACTGTCAACTGTATATTCACAATTCTCCTTATGTTAACATGTACAATCATCACCCTTTTCATATATCCATAAGAATATATACATATGTACATAATCCAAATACGATTTGATTTTACCAAAGTTTCCACAGACGGTTAGTCTATGGCCCCTGAGTCTAGATTGGCTGGAAATGAAGGAGTGTATGTATGTATGTCCTAATGCTTTATAAACATAATAATGATTGCTTTACCACCTTAATCTTAATCCATAAAACTACTGACTGTCCAGTTATGTGTTTGTAAATAAAGTGCTGATGAGAAATGACAACCAAACCAGACACACACCCAAATCAATTAAATAAACATAAACTAGGCCAAAGGGAATTGAACTGGCTGAATTTGGAATAATAACTAGATTTCAAAGTCGTTGTAAGTTTCCAGACCATCCATTTCCTATATAAATATGTGCGTATTTGGTATTTGTCGAATAATGTTAATTATTTTTTATTATGGAATTGCGCCTGTGCATTTTGCTAATATCAACTTTGACATATTCGTCTTTAGCAGAAGTTGTCCCATGAAAAGGATGACTGTATTGGGATGTCCCATGAATTAAATAAGTATGTACATACGTGTGAAGCAAGTAATCATGATTTGGTCCCGTGTGTCCCCAATTCAGTTAGTTAGCGTAGTGCAATAAAACTAATGTATATGTAAGCATTACAAAGCCTTAATAATACGGGAATTTCCACTCATGTCCAATAAATAGGACAGAATCTTCAAACTTTGGTTCAGTTTTCGAGGAACTTTCATCTCTACAACAATTCAATAATCCTAATAGCTTCCAAACTCCATAGCTAAAGAACAATAGAAACATGGGTCCAGTAAGACGAGAGGAAGAACATGTCGAAGTAATTGACCACACCAACAACAATAATTCCACCACCAATGGGGTGCACCCATTAAAGAATGGGCTCAAAAACTGCAACGGCTACATCCCTTGGGTTCAGAGCCAACCACCAAAGATCTTGCCCTCCATCCTCCACCACATTGGACACACCCCAATGGTCAGGCTTAACCGCATTCCGAAAGAAGAGGGGATCGAGTGTGAAATATGTAAGCAAAAAAGTCTTACCAAAGTTATAAATATGTTGTATCAATCTTGAGCTATTTAAACAGAACGTCTCATTTTGCCTCAATATTGAATAATTGTTTAACTCATTTTACAGTCGCCAAATGTGAGCTATATGCCCCAGGAGGCTCTCACAAGGATAGAATCGCCCTCCGAATGATTGAAGAAGCAGAAGCCGATGGGCGACTTGTACCTGGGTCGACGGTAATTGAGCCAACGTCTGGGAACACAGGAATAGGCGTAGCTCTCGTTTGCGCCGTCAAAGGATACAAATGCATCCTGGTCATGCCTGAAAAAATGAGTGCAGAAAAACACGAGACGATGGCTGCTTTAGGTGCAAAGGTTGTCCGAACGCCAAAAACCGTACTTCACACCACGGTCGCCCAACAGATTCAGAAGGAAACACCAAACTCGATCCTTTTGGACCAAGTAATAATAATACTAATCATAATATTTACAATCTTGTCGCAATGCTATCTTGTATATTGGATTATAAAACTGATTTTACAACTTTTCACAGTATGGAAATAATGACAACCCCCGCATCCATTATGAGACGACTGCTGAAGAAATTATCGAGCAATGTGATGGCAAATTAGACATGATAGTCATGGGCGTGGGAACTGGTGAGTGATTTTGTCTATTTAGTTAATTGCACAAAGTGTAGAAAATATTATTAATTTGCTCATTATTTCATCCGCCATTGTCTTTCACCGTTCCAGGTGGGATAATTTCTGGCATTGGGAAGAAGATCAAAGAGAAACTACCATCATGCAAAGTAGTCGGAGTTGATCCTGAAGGCTCGATCATGGCTCTACCAGAATCGATCAATCAGTGCAACACAAATTTTTGGGAAGTTGAAGGCATCGGTCATGATTGGCTGCCAAATGTTTTGGGTAAGTTTTTTTGCAATAAAACGTTACAATTAGTGAATCAAGTCATGATTATTGAATTATTAATAATTATTTAACTATAGACCGATCCGTTGTTGACTCGTGGGTCAAGTGCAATGACAAGGAAACTTTCAATATGGCACGAAGGTTGATCAAGGATGAAGGTCTCTTAGTTGGTGGATCCTGTGGATCCGCACTTGTCGGCGCTATTGCGGCCATTAAACAGGCTGGATTAAAACGAGGTCAACGTGTCGTTATCGTCCTTCCAGACTCTGTCCGAAACTACATGACCAAATTTCTATCTGATCAATGGATGCATGAGCGAGGATTCCTCCCTGATGTCACCGAAGTCACGGGAAAATATAGCTGGTGGAATAAACAAGTCTCATCTCTGCCAAACTCTAAAGTGATTACGCCAACTCTTGGTCGTGACGCGACAGTGGGCGAAGCTATTTCCATCATGAGGCAAGGACGATACGATCAACTCCCTGTCGTGGACAGTGAAGGGTATGAATACATAAATCCGATATTTTAGAGTAAAAAATAGAAATTAAACATTTGTATATGTAATAATTTTGCTATTATTTGCAGTTTCATGCTGGGCATGGCTACATTGAACCACCTCTTAAATTCACTACCCTCCACGGAAATTACGTCTTCCACAAAACTCGACAAATTCCTCTTTAGCCAGTACAAACGAGTGGCAGAAACAGACTCATTAGGAAAACTTGTATGTATTTTACAATTATGATGATGTAGTGAATAAGAATTTTCTTTACAAGATTTAAATTTAAATCCTAGAACTACCTTCTACAAGGGGCCCATTTTGCCGTTGTAGTGGAACCAGTGTCCAGAGGTAGGTATTAAATTAAGTACTTGAATGGTTGAGTTTTACAGTGTACATTTAACATCAATTTTATTTCCCATTGCAGTTAACCAAGATGGAAAGACAGTTGTTTTAGAAAGATTAAAAGGGATTTTGACTTCAATGGACCTCGCGGAAGTTACCCTTCTTTAGATGTTCGTTGGTTTATACTTATTACAAAACTCGCTTATTTCATACAGCTAATCCGCCTATTTTGGTAAATAATTAATTGTGAATATTTTTTATAAATTATTGTGTATATAAACTGTATATTGTAGAAGTACATAAATATTATATGATAGTTTTTACTAACACATTGATGAAATATAAAATGCACTTATCCTTAGTAGTTGGCTTATGATAGTTAAGAAATGCCAAGTAATTCTAAATAGTTTAGTTTCAGGATAGAATTATAATCAATATAAAATAAAATTGTGTGATATAAAGCTGGCTGATACGTAATACAAATTTGTGCATACTTTATATTCCGACTACTCCGAGCTACTTATATTCGGCATATTATTATGTAATCATAACTCAAAGTTATGTACATAGATGAGGCATGCGATAAAAAATTTGGTGCATAAATACCCAGGGTGCATAAACTTTTTTGTCCGTGGTTTCTCCTTAGGAGAAACCACGGACAACAAAAAAGTTTATGCACCCTGATAAATACCAATAAGACAAGCGACAGCGCTATGACTACAATGGCTTGTGTCAATGTTATTAAAGTTTCCCAAAACGATCATAATTTTATTTTTTAGCATAAATAAATATATTTATTGCACATTATAATTTTGTTTACCCTTCTATTTACTTTAAAATGTTTGCCGTAACGGTAAGAATAATACATTCATCACTTCAAAACCATGCATTTATAATTATATTTACATATAATTGACAGGATACAATGGCTGCTGTCTGCGGCCGATACAGCGTTCATCTTCATCCGATCACGTAACTTTCGTTGTGGTAAAACTTCATTATTTATGTTCATAAACATGAATACTTTTCCACCCACAGATTTGTACCACTGGTGGAGCTTGGGCCCTTGGATATTGCCACAAATCTACCCCGTGGAAGCCAGTATGCCTTATGCATTTTGTATCCTTCGTTCACATTTCATCTAACATAGCAAATCTATTCAACTATTTACTTGTTGTGTTTCATCCAGAGCAACCCCCAACAAGCTGTCCTTGATTTGCCTTGATCTTTCCGCTGATTCACGCTACCTCGTCACTGCGGACTCTGGTCGCAACATCTACCTGTTTGAATTTACGCCTCACACCTGGGACCATGTCACTAGCTGGACAATGGACAAACGAACTGCAAAAGTTCAATTTGATCAAAGTGGCAACCATATCGTTATTACCGGTACGCTGAGGATCAGTAAACTGACTAATATCTAAGTACTTGGCATACGCATCCATGCATATAGGGACAAGAAAACTATTAAATTATGTTGTCATTTCTCAGACAAAGGTGGGGATGTTTTTGTCACAACAATTGGCTCGTTGTCCGCGAACCGTCCTGGCGAACCAGTAACAATTTCAACCCCAAAACGGATTTTAAAGCACAGTCACCATGTTCTAGATGTGGTAATACATATTGTTGACCAAACAAGCTGCTTACTCAATACATAAATAATAATCCAACTTCATGTTAATTAATGTCCAGATTTTCAGTCAAGACAAAATCTTGACTTGTTGCAGTGATGAAATGGTTCGAGTTTGCACTTACCCTACAATCGTGGAACTTATCGGTCTCGGCTTTAAACTGGCCCACAAGGAGTCAGTGGTCAACATTGCCCTCGTCAACAGGGATACCAACCTCCTGTCCATCTCTGCCGAAGGGACGTTGAAATTTTGGCGTATTTGGCTTGATTTTCTTGAACATCAGCATAACGTCCTGGAGGACAGTTCCAGTCAGAGTGCGAAAAGCCATCGTTGTATAAAATCCTGGAATATTTTCTCCATCTTAGACACCGAAAGAGCGCATGCGAACGAAGTTGTGCGAATGGCTGCCTCGAGCTTTGAGGGGAGGATTTATGTTGCTGTTTTAATTTCAGGGTAAGTATGAATGAAAGCATATCTCAAAATGCATGTCACTACAATTATTTACTATTATAGCTTCAAACAACTTCCCGTTTTCGAACTGAGACCTTTGGAAACTACGTTACGATTGTTTGGTCAATGCCGCCTAGCAAACGACTTTGTTGACCTCGCCTGGCGTGGAAAGAATCTTTTTGTCTTCAACCCTGCAGAAGCTAATCTCTCGAAATATGTCATCTCAAGTCATGGGGGTCTCATGAAAGAAGAGTTTCCACTCCGGTTCAGCTCCAGCGTAAAGAAGGATGTGATTGGTAAAAATTGACTGTCAACCAATTTCTAATCATCGTACTAAAATCTTGTAGTTTAATTGTATGAATTACATTATATACAGCTTTTGGAGCCTACAATCGTCCCTTTTTCCCAGTCAAGAAACGAGTTCCTTCACACATTTTGGAAACTGTTGAGGAAACTAAGAAAGTTTTGCTCAACGAGTTTGGACCATTACCCTCAGAAGAAGAAAAGGAAGCTGCAGAAGCGTTATTGCTTGCTCAAGAAAAGATTATTGAAGAGACGCCAGAGGAACGACATGCTCGTTTGGCCGAGTTTACATCCAAACTAATGTTGAAAAAGAGAGAAAACAAGGTGGTCAAAGTAGTAATGACCCCACAGACACCTGAAATATATCCTTCAATATTGATGTCGCCGATGGACAGGCATGGGCAGTCTTCTGTGGAGAAGGTAGTAATGGATGCTGAAAATGTTTCTGTTGCAAACAATGGAGTGAAGAATGCTGTCAAAGAAATTGTAAAACTGGATGGTAAATTGATGCATATGACAAATTAAGAAAATGTTAATATATGCAAATTGCATAATTGTAAATAGAAATCTCCTCTACGCAAGAAACGGAAGCCATCCAAACAGATGCTGTTAGTTTGGAAGAAGATGACGATAACGACTTCGATCTTGAGGATCGGGATGCAGAAGAAGATTTATCTGCGAATTGAATAATATCCAAAATTCTACATATTTAAATAGGGAATCTAAATATGACCCATGTTATACAATTCGGGCGTACGCTAATTTCAGCTAATTGGCAATCACAATTAGTACCAAATTCGTTCCTAAAATGCGAGCAATGTCAATTATTACGCAATTGTTGGTATATATGAAATAAACTTACTGAATGATAGGTTTATTGTTTTGTCAATTATTATATTAATAGATTTTGTAACTGTTTTATACTTTTGCAATGTTGTCTCTGTAATGATTTTGTATAATATTTACTCTTCTGCATGTTAACTCCGAAGTTCATCCAGTAGTTGGGAAGAAACATTCATCTTTATCAAAACTAATCAACTTTAATCGGGCTGGATTTATATCACACAGATTTGGCATTTGGCATAGTATAAATGTTTTTCATTTTTACAAGCCAACACGATAGTAAACGTGCTATAGATGATGATAGAGTTTTTGGTGTTGCTCACATTTTCATGTTACATGACCAACAAAGCATCACGTAAACCTATCTCACGTTCTCCGTTGAGTTCGTGCTCGTTGTCACATCGACACAACACAAACTTGAGACTACCCAAAATGAGCGTGCTGTTGCATCTGCATTGCATTTTTGACCGTTAGTGACTTCACTTCTTCCCACATTTCCTCACTACGAATTTGCTACTATAACAGTTACCATCTCTCTCGTCTTTGTTGAATAATACAGAAATTAAACTTGTCTCAATTTCGTCCAGTTTAATAAACAAGTTGCAATAATTATTACTTGATCTACTTGATAAACCATGTTCTCGATTTGGAGCGGAACCCACCAGGGGATGGACCATCGTTACCAGCACCCACACTTATCGCCGTATCCACATCCTAACTACCACCCCGTTCCAAGTGTTGATGATATTGGAGGCTCTTCAGAAGTTCACACATCCAAGGAAAACTTTCTGGTAAAAGTGGATACTCGCAATTTTGGCCCGGAACAACTTTTGGTGAAAACCTTGGACGGATTTCTTATCGTGGAGGGCGAGCATGAAGAAAGGTCGGAAGCAGCCGGTCATCGATTCACAACAAGAAAATTTGCTCGTCGTTTCCTTCTTCCGGTGAATTGTAAGGAGGACGAACTACGGTGTGAAATTCATTCATTCAGGAATTCACCACCTTCAAGGAAGTGTCGGCCATCACGGTCATCAACATGGCGACGCACCCTTGGACGCCACTACCTGGGTTTCAGGGATTAATTGTAACAAGCATCAATTTGTGGTAAGTTGAGACGATATCACAAATATGTCAAAGAGAGAGATGTGTCCTTATCAGTAGCAGTCATACTGATAGAGCTATTATTGTATATTATTATAGGTACGACTCGAATTGGCACAATTCTCACCGGATGAAATTCTTGTGAAAACCGTGGACGACTTTTTGGTAATTGAAGGAAAGCATGAAGAGAAGGAGGATGGCCAAGGCTTCATTACACGCCACTTTAACCGTCGTTATCTCCTGCCATTAAATGTCAACAAGGACGAAGTCGTTTGTGAAATTAATGCAGAGGGCATTTTGAAGGTTACCGTTCCTCGAGTCGAATCGGAGAAAGGTGGACATGAGAAAGTGCACAAGCTTGTCCGAGTGAGCAAGTAGTATTATTATTTATAAGTATACCACATACATATTTGCTTTTGAAAACTTTGTTTTATATGGAATAAAGCATACAAATTATCAATAATTATAACGTATTACACTTGTGTATTTATGTATATTCATCCCGTCGTCATTTCGAAATTAATTATCACAACCCCTTCAATTTTTGAGACACTTTACTCTTTTCATATCTTGTAGTGGCACTTTTTTTCATGGAACTGATACTTGGACAAAGATCCACTCTTGCACAATATTTTTTGCGGCATAAGATTATTCGTTTTCCAATAAAGAGCGATGCAGCAATAATGACTGAACCCATTACAATTGTCCAGAACGGAAAGGTTGACCCTTCCTCTTGAAATGGGACCTATTTAGTCTTGTAAATAAGTATTTTTTTTCAAATCAAGAATTTTTGTATGCAAATCTTGCCTTAACGTTCATCCCTAAAAATCCTGCGATCGCTTGGACAGGTAGAAATATCATTGCAATTTCTGAAATTCTTTTCATGATTTCCCCCATCTCATTTGCTTCCAGACTTTGTTGCACACTTGCCAAAGCAAGGAAAGTGTCTTGTGAACGTTCCACTACTCTTGACAAATTATCTAATTCATCCAAAAGTTCGTCAAACTCTGAACCCACGTTTGCCAAAAATCTCACGACGCCTGGAACGTTTGGAAAGCGTCGTCTCCCTTTTTTGAATGAATTTAATTAGCCTTTAACTAAATTGCTTTAGCTGAATTGTTTTGCTTTACCCTTTAACTGGATTGCACGAAGTACTTGGAGTTTGGGCTTAATGAATCTATAAATAATGAGCTAGTGTAATAAATTATCTGAACATTTACTGTGTCATAAACACGAATCTAATTTAATTTATTTGTATGTACTTACATACCTGCAAATCTTGTGAAGTTCAAACTCGAACTGGAAATTTTGTCGGAGAACGTTCGATAATTTGAAGACATCGACCCCAAGTCCACCCTCTTGTCTCAACTGGGCCGCACGCATGCTTAAAATTGTTGGCGTTAATTTTCTCACAGCAAGTTTAGCTTCTTGGGCCAATTCGACAAAGATGGAGAAAAGCACCCACTCGGGCATGGGTGGCGTAGAGCCTCCATAATCAAGGAGAATTGACAAGAACCCCAGGACATCTTTAACACTTTCCCATTTAACCTTGTGAATGGTGATGATAAAGTCGGCAAAAACGAGTATCTTTAGATCAGCATCGGATTCCACATAGTCCGAATGGGTTGGAAGATAAAAGGAGTCGGATTCTTCTTGATCATTTGACGACGCACAAGTATTTGAAGTTTCTTCATTGCTTATTTCATCTTCCAAATCCAAATTTAGGTATTCCTTTTCCTCGTCCTTCTCCTCATCGTCCTCTGGCCCACCACATGAGCAGGACGACGAATATTTTTGATGTTTCTTAGAATTAGGACAAAACGGCTGTTGGTGGAATGATGACGTTTCTTCTGCAGCTGGATTTTTCTTAAGTAAAAAACGAAGGTGAAGTAGGACTTTTAATAATTCGGTACAGTTACAATATTACTATAAAGCAGCTGAATACCGGTTAAATACCTTAGAATTAGTAGTATTATACTTCATTTCTTTGTTGTTGGGTTCTTTCATCAACTTCAGAGAGACAAACGTGTAATGATTATACATTTCCAGTTTCTCTTCCGTATTTCCCCTAATGTCACGAATGGTGAGTTCATGAACTCCAAATGCAGATGATAGAAGCGTCAAATCGTTATCCGTTGGGTTCACAACATCCAACCTGTCGACCCCAAAAAGAACATTTAAAAGGGTCAATAGTTTAAAAACAATGATTCACTAATACATATTTCTAAAACTGAATAATTCCGAAAAAAATTACGAACCAATATTTTTTGGAGAGTAATAACTCTTTATAGTTCATTTCCTCTTCTTCTTCCGAGAGCCCTTCTAACGTTTGGGACTGTATCAACCCTAAAAATTAAACCTGCGCAGTTTTTTAATTGTCTTAAGGCTGAATTTTTCAATATCCATCATCTACCAGTCTCTGCAGAGAAATAAAGATAATTCGCATCCTGAAGGTTAATATCTTTATATTTTGAGTACGCCATTAGCTCTCTGTTTTCGTCCATGACATGGTCAAAATTTGGGCTGAATGGGTCCAGTGGCAATGGTTCTTCAGCTTCGAGTTGCAATTTGTGATCATTGGCAGACTTTGAGTCAAAAATATCTAAATGTTTTTTTTTTATTTCGTAAAATTATTAGTAATTATGTGTAATTATACTCATCTATGTGCATTGCATGTGTAATTCTTTTAATTTGAAACGTGTTAAGCAAGAACCTTGTTGATTATTATGGTCTCCCCTAAATTCGTGATTCTGTTCTAACCCAGAGTCCAGCTCTTGGTCCTCTTCTTGACACCGTTTCAATTTTTCATAAATGGTCAGGGCTTCCAATATTTTAGGATTTTCTAGTGACATTGCCCTAGGTCGGTAGTATCTCGACCTGTTGGAGTGGGTCATCGCCCTCACCAGGATATGGGGCACAGGGTGCATGGTAGTTTTCTTAGTTTTTATTTAAAAATAAGTCACAAACAGCAAAAATGGCAGCCAGCAAACTGCTGCGACTGATACGCTGATCCTCCTCGACTCCTCCTTAACAAGTATAAAGTACAAATGAACTGGATGGATGGATAAGTAAATTGAAATAAAATAAATCTGGCTCCTCTAGAAAATAAAATGAATGCGCAAAATGAACGACTGGTGTTCAGATTATTGACGACTCTGTCACTTAAACAGGATACTTAATTGTGATTAATAAAGGAGGGCATGGTAAATTTTGATCTTGAATATTCTTCTGAAGCTACATGCATGTATATAATCTTGGCACTAAAATATAAATCATGCCATGACTGGATAACTTTAATTCAAATACTACACAAGACTAAATACATACATATGTAGATATATACATATTTGTATTTATATGTACATGGATATATGCATTTTCTAATGGTGTGACGGTTGGTTGTCAATTCGTCATATCGCAATAATATATTTCGATTGCGATACTATTATAATAGTCATGAAAGAAAGGAGGAGATGCACCCCATAAATTATAATTATGAATTATAAGACATGGACGAAAACAGACATGCCTTCAGACATGTACAGCATATGGCATATATGCATTTTCTGAGTATGTAAGAAGGGTATAAAATACACAAATCTGACACGAATATATGAAGACGGTTATAAATATAAATACGAATCTTTGTTCTGCTTTAAATTTTTTGTATGCGAAACAGCAAATCAGATTAGTTTACAAATGGAAATTTAATTGCAGGCAAAGAATCCGACCCGTGAACATCTTTATTTTAGCTTCAATGTCACACAAACATATTTAATGAGTTCAGCTCAGTGATTCTGGTTTGTTGTTTTGTTATTTGAGATGCCCTCAATACTCTTGGAAAAAGACGGAAAATTAAAAGGTTTTTCAGAAATTTTTGCAACACTATCCATAAGCATACAATTCAGATGAACGTTTTTCCGGGTTACATGGATGGAAAGCTACAATTATCAATCTGAAAAATATGCATAGCCGTTATGCACAACAACACACTACCTTAATTTACTGAGGATAAATTGCTTTGTTATATTTGGCAACTTTATACTCATACCTATGTACTCTCTGTTTTTATGTAGAGTAAACATTCACTTGATCTGGCTTGTGACATTGGTTTGGTGATGGCAGAATATTGTAGTATTTAATAGTATGTGGCACATGTGTCAAAATGATATAAATATTTATATAATGCATGTCTTGGTCATCTAATAAAATGAAAGCTTTATAAAAGATGTTGAGTGCCAATTTATGTAATGCAACTTTTCCTCAAGTGCTCGCTGGCCACAATGCCACGGGTTCATTAAAATCAAGGTTATTTTGGTTATTTTGGTAACAAATGTAACATGTATTTGTTAATGTCGGCGGTTGTAATCCGTTGAAAACATAAAAGTTAATTATGATTTGAATTTGATGGTAAAAGTCAACCCTAAAAAACAGATATACATATGTTCTTAAGCATAAATTACATGTAGTTGACCAACCTGACCAAATTGACTTTGTCCAAAGCCATCAAAACTTAACTTAGTTATAACGAAATGTCTGATTGCGTATAACAAAGAACAATTGAAGAAGTAGTTGTTGTGATGATAAATAATACATAAATGTTAGACCCTCGTGTCATCACATCACCATCGTACTTACTTAAAATCTAAATTTTTTTCAGATGAAATATTCCTGAATTGAAATATTATGTAATTTAATTATCTGGTATAATGATGGTATGTATGATTGTTGTGCGTCATAGTTCTAATTATTTAAACCTTTGTACGATGTAAATTTAGCAGAATTAATCTTACGTGACCGATCATTAGCTGCTTCGCTTAACCTTATGAATTTCCAAAAGAACGTTGGAGTCATACCGCCAATTTGACTAAGGGGACGGTTAAACATTTCAATATATCAATCAAACTTGATTGATGGATTTAACGGCAATGAAATGCTCTAGCCCTACGATTACACGAAAGTCAGATTTATTTTCTAGACATTTTATAATTGCAATGTATATTTTATTATAAAACGGTAATTCAATATCTCAGCATTATTACCTTCTCTCATCATGGAACGTTTAACAAATAAAATTAGAGAATATATAATACTTTTAGTTCATCAAGAAGTCATTCAATTAAGACATGTACGTATTACTTGGATTTAAAAGAACCTACTCTAATAGTATGTTTACATAAGTAGGTACATAGTACATACTACTATTACTATTATTATCATGGTACAATCACTTCAAATTCCAACTCGGCGTGATCTATTGGTTCTCTTTCTTCGTTTGATTCTAGTGTTTTACAGTTCTCATCCTCTGATTCCGAATCATTCTTCTCTAATAATGAGTAGTGATCAGGGTGGACATGTTTAATGTGAAGTTTAAGTCTCCACTGTCCGTGAAGAACTTCATTGCAATGTGGACAATGGACGGGAAGCAAATGTCTCTTTTTACTAAATTGTCTCCTCCTCCTGCTCTTGCAGGTTCCTTCCTGCATGTGGGTCTCAAATCTTTTGAGGTTAGAAAACTCCTGGCCACAGATAGAACATTTGTTGTGGGTAGCTGTCTTGTGCGTTTTTTCATGCTTTTTTAAGGGGATATAATTTTCGACCCCCATAAAAATATGGTTTTCCCCGATAAAGTATGGAGTTTGGCCCAAAATGATATTTGCCCAAACATATTACTTTTTTTGCCTCATAATAATCTTTGGAATCCCATTGATAAAATGACTGGCCGCATAATTAAAAGCAAGTGTAAATACACATATCTAACAGTAATTAGAGTTCGCTGATCAAAAAAATTATATTTCCACTCAAGTCACAAAACCATATCACCTTGTCTGGTTAACCATTAGTAAGTTTTAATCTCATCGTGTACGCCAAACAATTCGATTTTGATTCCGCCAGTAGTGACAAGAAATCCAGTGATACTAAAATTGAAAATCAGCCCACTAAAAGTATAAAATTATTGGATTCGCAGTTAAAACATTTTTGACTACCCAGGAAGCTAATACAGCATTCGTCTATACGGTTTTCATTATGAAAAATTTAGGCTATGAAAATTTCATAGCCTAAATTTTTAGGCTTGGAAGATTTTTGCTTAATATTGGGTGGTGGGGATATTATGTGCTAAAATTTAAAAATAGTTGTAAAGAGCTGAAATTTGGGATGAAGATAGATATTGAATTATAGTAGAAGAATATGGATTGAACTTAAGAAAACTTTCATCTGTGGGATCATATGGGGTGACTCACACCTATTTTTCATATTCATCCAATAGAGAGGAGATTTGGCATTTAAGTTGCTAATGATTAACAAGGTAGAGCGATGAAGTCAAATTGCAAAATAAATTCACCAGAGGTACCCTAAGTTTTTGTGTTAAAGACCGGTGATTTTGTTTAATTCTGAAAGTCTATATGTAAAATTTTTACGAATTTAATTGTAAAAGGGTGACTCATACCGATTTATAAAAGTTGTTAGATTTATTTGGCATTTTGTATTATGATAATTCGAATCCATATTCTTCCATTGTAATCCAATAGCTACCTTCATGCTAAGTTTCAGCTCTCTGCAACTATTTTGAAATTGTAGCAAATATTTAATACCCCCACTACTCTATTTAGTAACCAAAAATCTTTCAAGTCTTAGGCTATGAGAACCGTATAGAGCAATGCTGAATTTTGAGTTTTGAGCTCAATGACCAAATGCTGCGGATTACCTTATTTAAAACTTAATAATCTAATGCTTGGTACTTTCTTTATATACCAATTGATTCTCACTTTCAACAACTTCTTCTGATTCCCGTGCGGTTAAATAATGTTTTAACAAACTGACAATGTGATATGATTTTGTGACTTGACTGGAAATATAATTTTTTGATCAGTGAACTTAAATTACTGTTAAATATGTGTATTTATACTTACTTTTAATTATGTGGCCAGTCATTTTATTAATGGGATTCCAAAGATTATTATGGGGCAAAAAAAGTAATATGTTCGGGTAAATATCATTTAGGGCCAAACCACACAGCCAAATAATCCAAAATCTTCGGAAATAATTCCACGAGCACTTTTTTGATGAAATTTTTGCGCATTCCGAGCTCTTGGGGGCCAAGGCCCAGTAAAAATTTCATCTAAATCCGTTCACAAACAAAAAAGATATTCAATGGCACAGCTCGGCGACAGTCAAAAGACGACGACTTTAGGGGCGTGGTTCTCCGAAAGGGGCAAGTACCATGCTCTGAAAATCATTGTAAATTGTAGTCCCCAACGATATCAACGTATTCAAAGAAAAACGGAGATCTGGATTCTGCCCCTTTCAAAGTTATAGCCCCGGGAACATTGGGAACATTCATGGCGAAATTGTCCAAAAAGGGTGAAATTTGACATGTCGCATCGCAGTAAAAATCGATATCTAGCTTCAGCTAGGTCTAAAAAGTGGGTCGCAGGTGAAATTGACCCATGTCGTAAGGGAACCATGTCGACGTGTCGAAATTTCGACATGGAGCTAGAGAGCTGAAATTCAACACTAATACTCCCCTCCCCTCCAAAATACATATGCAAACACTTTTGATCGTGTCGACACCCCATGTCGACAGATATCGACCTTTGAATGTCGAAATTTAAAAATTTGTCGACATGGGGTGTCGACATGATCAAGTATTTGCATATGTATTTTGGAGGGGAGGGGAGTATTAGTGTTGAATTTCAGCTCTCTAGCTCCATGTCGAAATTTCGACACGTCGACATGGTTCCCTTACGACATGGGTCAATTTCACCTGCGACCCACTTTTTAGACCTAGCTGAAGCTAGATATCGATTTTTACTGCGATGCGACATGTCAAATTTCACCCTTTTTGGACAATTTCGCCATGAATGTTCCCAATGTTCCCGGGGCTATAACTTTGAAAGGGGCAGAATCCAGATCTCCGTTTTTCTTTGAATACGTTGATATCGTTGGGGACTACAATTTACAATGATTTTCAGAGCATGGTACTTGCCCCTTTCGGAGAACCACGCCCCTAAAGTCGTCGTCTTTTGACTGTCGCCGAGCTTCGCCATTGAATCTTTTTTGTTTGTGAACGGATTTAGATGAAATTTTTACTGGAGATGTACAATCGCATTAGCTACAATTTTAGATATGACATTTGGCTCTAACCCTGCTAGGAAAAAACCACACCCAAAGTGGGCGTGGCTCTTAAATTTTTTTATGGGTTTGGCCTTGGCCCCCAAGAGCTCGGAATGCGCAAAAATTTCATCAAAAAAGTGCTCGTGGAATTATTTCCGAAGATTTTGGATTATTTCGCTGTGTGCAAACGGCTCCCCGAATCATGTGCGCCGAAAAGAGTGCTCCGCGAAGATAGTGCTCACAGAAAAGCGTTTTAATCAAAAAATGTATACGCTAAACACGAATATAAATGCATTTTGATTAGTTCAATTTACTAATCCTAAGGTGAAAAATATATTAAATGAATTAAATAATTGTACTTAAATCATTAAAACATCAGGAAAATTAACCTTCAAACCCAATAACAACTTGTAAAAACGAAACAAGAATAAATTAAACTCATATAAAATATAAAATTGATTTAAGTATTACATATACTAATTTAATATATATACATATATATATATTGTCAAAATTGTACTTAAATCATTTAAAAAAATCAGATCAGATTAGAAAAATTAAGTAGTAAACCCAACAAAAGCCCGTAAAAATGAAATAAAAATAAATTAAACTCTTGTATAAAATATAGAATTCATTGAAAGTATAATATTAACTTTTAATGAAATATACTATTATATTAAATTGTTAAATATATATTATGACAATATATATGTATATATATATATATATGTATATATTAAATTAGTATATGTAATACTTAAATCAATTCTATATTTTATACGAGTTTAATTTATTCTTGTTTCGCTTTTACAAGTTGTTATTGGGTTTGAAGGTTAATTTTCCTGATGTTTTAATGATTTAAGTACAATTATTTAATTCATTTAATATATTTTTCACCTTAGGATTAGTAAATTGAACTAATCAAAATGCATTTATATTCGTGTTTAGCGTATACATTTTTTGATTAAAACGCTTTTCTGTGAGCACTCTTTTCGAGAGCACTATCTTCACGGAGCACTCTCTTCGGCGCACATCTTTCGGGAGCACATCTTTCACCAACTCGGGCCAAACTCCATATTTTATCGGGCAAAATCCATATTTTTATGGCGGCGTTTAATTACATGCCTTTTTTAAGTCAGATCTTGCGTAAAACTTATATTGACAAATTTGGCACTGAAACCTTCTAATCTTGAGATGTACGTTCTTCCTATGGTGCATCAATCCGTCATGATGGTAGGATTTTCCACATTGATTGCACTTGATTTTTTGAGGATGTTTTTCCTGATTCTTTTTATCCATATGGACGTTTCTTATATGCATTTTAAGGTCCTTATTTTCAAAAAACCCTTTTCCACACTGTGAACAAAAAACGTTCAGTTTCTTTTCATGCACCCGCAGGACATGCCTTCCAAGAGCACTTTGATTTAACGATATTCCACAAATGTCACATAAAATTTTTTGAGATTGATTACTGGTTGGTGACAATTCATGTGCTTTTAAATGCGTTGTCAATTTGGCCACCGACGCATATCTTTTGCTACACTTTGGACATTTGTAGATGAGTTGACTAAGATTAAAAAGCCTTTTCTCATGTACTTTTTTTCTCAATTCTGGATCGATATTTACAGCTTCACAATAAATCCGTTGATGTTGGGACAAGGTACAGGACTGGCTAAAAGATTTACCACATTTTTCACACTTCCATAATTTGAGTACTCCGATGTGAGTTTGCATGTGCCTAGAAAGAGCATAGTCAATAGCATGCATTATTTTGTCATTTCGAAAATATTATTCAAAAAATTTGTTCATTACCTTTTCAAGTCTTTCGCATAGAGAAATTTACGATCACAGGTTTCACATGCGTGTAAATGAACGTTCAGTCGTCTTAGCTTCTCGTCACTATATTCAATGCCACACACGGTAATTTCGTGGAATATCAAACTTCCGTGCTTGCCCAGTACTTTCCCACATTTTGAGCATTTAAGGTCAATTTTCTTGGTTTTATTTCCAACATCATCATCAGAGTCGGCTAAATCTACTGTTTCTTTGGCGTTGGGCGATTTGTCCTTAATGTTCTTGATATCTGGCTCATTTCTAATAATCAGTTGACGAAAATAAATACACACAATTCCCTTCTTTATATTTCTTAAATATATTTATCATAATTTTTATAGTGTAGTGTGACTTACTCATTTCCATCTGAGGGACGTGTGGTTAACAACTTGCCTTTGCATTTTTTACAATATTTTTCTTCCTCGTATTTTGTTCTATACGATGAACCACATCCAGGGCATTTTGATGGCTGGTCACCCGTGTGAAGCAAACCGTGCCTTCAGAATGCCAGAGTAAGAACATTCAGAGTTACATTGTATGACTATTATTGCATAATTTACTGTACATGTATTTAATGTACCTAATCAAGTCACTGTTGTAAGCAAATTTACGGTCGCACAGATCGCAAGGATGAAATTTTATTTGCAGTTCTTCCAGCTTGCTTTCTTCATACTGAATATTACAAACTAGAACTTCGTGGTATACCAAACGGTTCAATAATCCGAAAGCCTTTCCACAGTTGGAACAATTGAACTTCCCATCGACCTTTTGGTGGCTGTGTTCCTGAAATTTCTTTTGGGATTTGCTTTTCAGCGATTCATCCTCATCATCCGAACTAGGAATAAAAAGCAATAGAATAATGAAAAATATAATAAATTCATACTGTTCGAATTGAAATGATTAGAAAATAATATATGTAATACTCTTACTTGTCCACTTCCTTATACTTATTACTATGTCCATTTCTTCTCTGTCTAGGCGAAGATCTGCTTGCTAGATTCTTGGAAGGGGTTCTCTTGCTTTGTCGTAAGGACCGAGTGATTCTCTTTACTGGTGCTATGTACACGTCGTCATCCTGATGCTGATCAACCTCAGGATAAAACTCCATTGAATATTCCGTATCGGTGTTATCACTGACAACTTCGTCCTTTGTCTCAATCTTTATATTCTGACATGTTCTCGGTGAAGCACTCTTTGGCGACTTAGAGATTCCGGGTTTTATTGGTGAGATGAGTGTTTGTTGCTTTCCTAGAAATTTGTAAATGTAAATTTTTATAGTTAATAAAGGAAGAAAACTGATATATGATGGTGTCATGGTCATGGTCAGTACCGCTCTTGCACAATTTGGTACACGTTTGAACAATTTGGTAGGGTCACCCGGCCACCGTTGTATTTTTCAAGCATGTACCAAATTGTCCACACCAGTGGTCTATATCAAATTGTTCACACATTATTATAAATTCACTTACTTTGCGATAGTACATATTCCGCGGCGATGTTCTCCCTTGCATTTTCCACCAATTTATCCAATTCGCCCTGAATAGAAATAATTTCTTGATGAAGAGTCCAGACCTCTTTTATCATCGCTAAACAGCTACTACAACTTCGAATGTTGGTCGAAAATTTGTTGTACATTGGTGGTGAAATTTTTTTCCTCAACTCTGAGCTCAAGACGAGATGTTTGAATTGGGTAGTCTGCTGCTTATAAAGTCGTCGAGCTTGATATTCCGACGCCAACTCTGGTTTCCCACAGACAAAACATTGACCCTTGCCGTCGTCCTCGTCGTCATTGCTTATCACCACGGATTCAACGTCAATGGTCCGCTCTTTCTCCAATGATGTTGATTGCTGAAATTTTGCATGACCTCGTCGAGTCTTCATTGTTGTTTTGTTAATCTGCCTGTTGATAGTCAATACACATTATAATAAATATAATTCAAACAACCTGTGTTAAAACTTGAAATTATAGGGATACCCTTTAGGAAAGTACAAATTTACAACTCACTTTTAAGGCTTAAAATTTAAGCACCTTATTCTCTTTAATGACTGCTCGCCTTGTTTGTTATGTACTGCAGACTCAGTTGAAGGAAAATTGTGTAAATAATTAAAAACAAGAACAAAAATAGTAAAACGAAACCGATTTTGTCATTCATTTAATCTACTATCTGTAGATTAATTAAATGAGAGTGAGAGATTATATTTTAATTAATTCTCCAATTTATGTAGGAATTTTACTTTACAAATTGTAAATTACAATGTACAATGTACAACAGCCCTTTTTCTGTTGAGCTGATTCCCTCTCATTTTCCAGTCGCAACATGGCTAAGCTCATGCCTCAAGCGTTGATGTGCATAAAATAGAAATATTTAGAGAATCAATTCATATGAAAATTTCATAATGAAATGTCGAACTTATATTATTAATTAATGTGCATTTAAAATCTAAAAAAATGCAATATGCGAATACATGAAAAGATTCGTACAAATTAAAAAAATGACTAAAGCATGGATTATACTGTCAACTGTTATATCAGTTCATTATTAGGTAAATAGGTGACAGGTGCGTACAAAATCAGTACATATGCATAAATGCGTACACATCTATGAGTATTGAAGAAAATAAATCAATTTCACAAGATTCTGATATGCGACTAAAATTGAATCATTGCCCGCAACGGAGAATGCTAGGCTTGGTTTCGACAAAAAGAACACGGTCAACATTACAGACAGAAGTTATTAGCTATAAAGGCCACATTATAAATTTTCAAAAAATAATAAACACAACTCGAAAGCGCATTTTTAAATCAAGCAAGTAAATAATTCTTGGAATATATGTTTTCAAATTTCAAACTTCAGCCAAACTCGAAGAGTTCGAGGATTTTTTAAAACAAGATTTTGATTAAATTCCGCTATAAACTCAAGAAATGTAGAAATATGAGTTTGGTTGTTTTGTTGTTCCGAACAGTACATTGCATTGGTCCCACCAAAGTCAGAGTTACATATACTTTTATGGTCCGTTTTGGAACGCAGGTAAATGTCGTCGTGTTGTGAGAGGATTGGAGGGAGGGGAAAGTGTAATAAAAACCCAGAGACGTTTAGAATTGGATAATTTAAAATATTCCATATAAGATTTATTCTATCCTGTCGTCGTTCATACGTATGGAGGGGTTTAGTAATATGTAGATCACTATCACTGCTATTACGTTTTTCATTCCGTCAGAACAAAATTCATTAGAAACCAGTCCAGTCAAACGAATATGCGTCCTTGGAAGACCATTGTCTCACAACTGTGCGGTGGGTGTGGTGAACTCAAACGGAGAAAATAATTTAGTCATTAAATGTTCATTTTTTTCCTTAAAATCTATATGAGTAACTGACCAAGATCAATCAATACATGTGCATAATTTTTAGTTTGTTTGACATGCATGTACCATTTCTTCAATTGCATTCAGTTCTCATCATGGAATTTAACCATATTTCATCACTCTGTTCATGTCATCCAACATGTAACTTGATAAGAAACGAATACCACCGCCAGGCGGAAATAAAACGTCAATTGGCGGCGATTAGATCGATGTTACTACAATATATACATACGTCAAACCATGTATATGTAGATAATTTGTCATAGCTAAAAAATTCAGCAATTGAACATTGAGATACACGTGTGTGATACTCTCAAGTTAAAAAATAGGAACAGTGGACAGATTCTGCGGTTTAACAACGCCACATAACTTTGGTATTATATGGTACATGCATATTGCTGATTAGTATAAATCATAGAAACTTAATATTACATAAATACACATCTACATATGTACGTATGTGATCGCATTATTCAGATTCAGAGAAATGTTTGTTCATGCAACGTTTTTTTGATTCGGGCTTATCACCATCAAGACTAGCGATTACAGATTTTGTCTGCCTCAGATCCACTCGACCATAAATTAAAATATGCCGTGTTAATAATATATGCAGAATTGGTAAATAAGCATAAGCGAAGTATGCATGAGTGATGCTGCGTCTACCTGAATGAATTCCATCGTTTCATTCCATCTTTTGACATTGACAGATATTGTTGTCTCTGAACTTAAGCTGAACTTGTTAAAATCTGTCAATATCGTCATGTTAAATCAAGAGGACGATGAAAAGAATTGTCCAGGGTCAAGGCTATTGTCAGTCCCCAACGGAGGCGATGGGGGTGCCAGACATCACACTTCAGAATTAAGTAACCCTCCACCTCAAATATTATCGTCTTCAAAAAGGAGAGCAAGTGACCAGGAAGGAGGCTGCCGTTTTGGAACGAAAGAAGTTTTAGGAACGGTGGCGATATGCGGCCTACTAATTGTTGTTAGTTTAGTAATTGCCCTGGTCTTCAAAGTGGGAGGCAAAACTACTCCGTCGCCCAATTTGTTTCCAACTACTCCTGCTAATAATGATACTTTGGGAAGTTTTAAGTACCATTATCCTACAACGAAACAAATCCCCGTGACCACTTCTACTGTTCCTACCCCCAGCACGACCAAACATCGTCCGACGCATCGCCGTACTATGATTCCAACCACGACCAAGCCTCCTCGAAGAACTTGGACAACTCAAATCCCCATCGAGGTACACATGACGAGTATTTAGTTACCCATACGAAAATATATGCATGCATCGCAAAATAATAAGGTTGATCTAATTTGTAAGCATTTTAAAAGGAGGAATATTACCCATATACTTCCTGCCGGACTTCTACTTGTAAAGCTGTGGCACGGTTGAAATCCTCCATGGATGAGTCATTCAACCCGTGCAGTGACTTTTATCAGGTGAGATTAAAAAAAATTTTTTAATCTTCAAAAATCGCCAAATATAAATACATATGTTCAAAATATAATCGATTGCTTATGTACATTCGACATACATATTCTTGTATTCTATTCGTTCTAGTATTCTTGTCGTGGGTGGATCGTAGAACATGCTGCCGAATTGAAGAAGGAGAAAGCAAATTCAACCACCGTTTTGAGCGAGCTTGACAAACAAAATACAAAATTCGTTACGAAATTGATTGGTAAGTGGATAGATTCATATACATAGAATCACTGCAAGACTTAAAAACAGCATGTTAAATACATACATATAGTAATATTATATGAAGTTATATGTACATATGTCAAAATTTTACAGAAGGTATCCGGACCCGTTATGGTGCCGAAGGAAAAGCTAAACGATTCTACTCTTCGTGCAACAACAACCCAAATCTGATGCTGATTATGGACATACTGATGTCCATAGTGAATAGTAATTCTTCCACATCCACTCGTCCAGAGTCGGAAGCACTAGACAGAATTGGCAATAGTGAAGATATTAACACTTGGGGTTGGATGTTTAAGGATTTACTCGAACCTCAATTCCCATTTTTTGATAATGATGTCAAACAGCTTTCATTTCTGGTTGGGCAAAAACGATCCAACCCCCAAGTGTGCACCACCCTGACGCGTGAACTCTTTCCCGAAGTTGTGGCCAAGCTTTTTGCTCTACACCATTACGACATAGATCAAGATGAAAGTGTGACGGATTTGACAAGCAAAATTTGGAGGACGTTTAAATCAAAGATGGTCTACTCTACAGATTGGATTGATGGTATCAATTCCAAGTTGAATATTAGCATAAGTATCGGCAGTTTGGATACAATCGTAGGATTCCTTGGTCACATTATGAACGAAACTGCGATGGATGTCAGATATGAGAATGTATCAATTTCTGAATACTCTTCCCAGTTTTTGATTAACTTGAAAGAACTCCTGCTTATGAGAGCTGAGCGGAAGTTGAACATTAAATTGGAGCTAGAACGACAATTTGACGAGTCTACGCCGCGAGCTAATGCATTTTACCACCAAATTCTGGACCTTATCTTTATACCTGTGGGCATTATCCAAATGCCGATATTTGATCACGAGCTTCCCGATTTATTAAAATTCTCAAAGTTGGGCAGCACGTATGGGCACGAATTGGCACATTCTTTGCATCCTTACATTAACGGAGTCACACTCGAAGGTATGTATAAATACTTCTTAAATTTACATTCCTAAACCTAAAGCTATTATTTAAAGTTACTAATCTACGTATATGCTGTTTCCGGTATCACTCATTTGAATCATACGTAATTTGGGATTCAACAGGAATTTTTGTTTGAAACTAATATGTAGAATTTTGACTTAATTTACAGATCGGTCAGGAAACTCTATCGAATTCAGCAATACTGTTGTAAACCAACGTACCAGAGACAATTATGCTGAAAAATGTGCATGTGTGGAACAACAATATGGTGCTTTTCAAGTACCTCTTCCCCCGGGATACGAGAACACCACACTCGTGATGAACGGAACATTCACCTTAAATGAAAATGTGGCGGATATTCTGGGGGTGCAGGTTGCATTTGACTCGTTTATTGAAAATATGGGGTCGTCCGTGCCACGAGTCCTGCCAGGACTGGAAAAATTTACTTGGCAGCAAATATTCTTTATAGCAAGTGCTCAGGTACAAAGTGCAGTCATTAAAAAAATATATACCGATCTATTCATTATGTACATAAGTGCATTTGCGATGTGTGTTTATTTCCGTACAGGAAAGATGTCGATCTTTCGTAAACGATGAGACTGAAGTGCGTCTTTTGAAGGAGCAGCTAGAAACGGATCTTCACAGTCCTAGTTCCATCCGAGTCCTTGGTGCCTTCAGCAACAATGACGAGTTTGCAAAAGCCTTCAACTGCCCAGTAGGATCACGATATAATCCGGAAAAGAAGTGCAAATTCTTCGTGCCCCCTACGCATTAATGACGAGAGAATCTCTGGAGGAGATACATATACATACGCAAGAGTATTAACAAGGACGCGTCGGTAAACTGACTGATATATATTTACATGCATACAATATTGCAGCCATAAACTATTAATTTCTGAGCATGTTTTTTTAATATTCATAGTACAATGCAAGTAGTGCTTAGTAAACGCCATTTTTAATTTCCCGTTATTTAGTAGTATTCCGAATTTATCCATTAATGAACTAAATACGTTGTTGATTTATCCGTTGTATACCGCAATAAATGTTTTAATAAAAATGACAATAAATACAAACTATGGTATCTTTCAATATCTACATACACTTTGTTTCAATTAATTTTTTTTCTAGTAAGGATTTAGTATGCAGTTATTCTAGTGATTTAAAAAAGTATTCGTCATGTTACAACATGTGCAAGAATTTTTTAAATGCATATATATTATGATTGCCGTACTTTAGCACAAGAAATGCAAAAATTTAGTATGCATTAATCTGGTCGTTTGACTACTACCTTCTATTAAAGGTAGAAGAGCAACAAAATATGCATATAAATACTTTTAAATAAAAAGTCCTAAGTTACGGGTTCTGACTAGTCCGACAAAAATATCGAAGTAAAACATACAACAGGATTCTAAATTATCAAAATTATTGATTGAATAAGTAAATATTTTATACATGCATAAATATGTTTGGTTGACAGTCCAACTCCAACTTTCAGTACCAGCTAAATACTCTGCATTTCGTGTCGACATGGTTTATGTATGTATTAACCAACTCGGTTCGGAGTCGGATTCCCTTCATTTTATTTTATAGCATGAAATACAAAATAACATATTTACATGGATCGATAAGTGGTAATAAACCAGTTGATCGCGTGTCTGCACTCATACACGTGCCTCTACATACTCTAAGTATACATATGTATGTAACTTATGCAAGTAAAGTATATATTTATGTATGTGTTGTATGTATTGTGTTTGCGGTTGAAATGCATACAATTTTGGAGAAAGTAAAAGAGATCCCTGGATATCACACTACATTGCAGTGGTTGCTTACCCAGACAAAAAAATATAATGGCTGCATAAAACTGGTCATACCTCAAAACATACATACGCCTTGTGTAGCAGTATATGTACATTAATTGATTCGAACTTGAAAAGAGAAGTTACCCTGAACATAAGTATCCTTGTTTTGCATTTTCATTAACTAAAATTACGTAATATGTGTCAATTAAACTGGACAAAGTCCCACGGCAATCCTCTGCCGCAAATGACTTGCGAAATTGTCCTGAACGAAGATTCGTCGTATTCTGCCGGAGACTTAGTATCCGGCGAAGTGATCTTCAACGCCTCAAAATCTTTCTACACGTGGGGTAACACTTTACATTGATACTGATATTATACATACATATTGATCCTTTGTTGAGAATGCCACTTCAAATATACATATATATTTTTCCACCTTTTTAAATAGCTGTACGAGTCGCATTGGAGGGATGCGCCGTTGTAAAGCTTGGTCAAGGGCCAGCGCAAATGAAATCTGAAACATTTATGGATGTTGGAGAAAACATATTTGGCAAAGGTATGCGTATGGCTTTGTATTAATACATATAACGTAGTATCTAAAAGTTGTACTACTTACATATGTATAGTTTGTTGTATTATGTACTAAGCAATTATACGGTGCCTTTGAAACTTTATGATACAGGTGAAAAGATAGCATTCCCCGCAGGCGAGAAGAAATTCAAGTTTTCTTTAAATTTGTCCCCATTAAATGGCGAGTTACCGGGTACCATGAAAAATTCGTACGGATTTATTTTGTACCAAGTCATTATTTACATGAAACAAGAGCTAAGAACTTTCAAACAAGCGGAGAAAGTTATTACAGTTGGGAGCTTTTACAGCTTGAGCCACCAGGGGAAAGGAATCTTCGCCCCAGTGGTTTGCGAAAATTTGGGGAAATCGCCTTCGATGCTGCAGTTCTTAGGAATTGGCAGTAGCAAAGGATCTTCTGATCGGCTTGGTGTCACATTTCGCATGAATCGCTCAGGATACGTTCGGGGTATTAGCTGCTATTTGCATATATGTCATTAAGTTACCAAATGACTTACCCTAATTTACATATATTTTCAACTGAAAATAGGAGAAGAAATTCCATTCCAACTCGACTTCAAGAATGGGAGCAACCAGCTAATATCCTCAGCCCTGGTATGTCTTCTGCAAAAGACAGTCTACAGTGTCGGAACTACACAAAAGGTTTTACTTGTTGAGCTGCACCGAGTGGAGAGGAAAGAAATTAGTGGTGATGAAACCAAGTGGATTCAAAAATTGGTTTGTCCTGAGGAAAATGTGTGTCCCAGCCAAAGTGGAATTATTGATGTATCTTACAGTGTCACGGTACTTACACGATTTCTAAATCATACATGCTTACATATCCTTGAGTACACTTTAAATATGCATTAATTATTCTTGATAGATCAACGTAAGTGTGGCAGGAAAAGAGGAACCATACATTCTTGAAACACCAATCAAAATTGGCACGATTAAATAGATACACATTATTTTTCGTATAATAACTTTCACATGCACCAAATTCACTCCATTGCTTTCTGTATAAAACTATGTATATGTATAAACTATTTGCAAGCCAGTTAAACCAAGAAAAACATGACATAACTACTTTAAAGTTTGTAATTTTTCTCCTGTCTTGACCCCATTATCTTTCGAACAATAGTTTCGCAATTTGCCACTAAGAAAACTAAATAACTTAATATACATGCATATGATAATAATAATAATGATACGTAATATTAATGACGTATGTAGCTTAATTCAAACATTCACGCTTAGCTTGATTTTTACCTTTAACTTTCGCTTTACTAAATCATGTCATTTTATAAATACATTGTATGTACAAATTATGTAAATATGAATATGTATGAAAGCATTCCTATTCACTTTTCAACGTCATATTAGAAGAAACTCCCTTAATTTCCGTCTCAAGCAAATTATCCTTATTCTGCAGAGTAGCTTTGCTTCCTACGAAAATATAAATAAATTACTTTCACGCTAATATTTACACAAGTGATTTAGTTATCTACTTTGTTGCGGATTTTCTCCTTCGTCATGAAAAAGACGTTCTTCTTCAAAGTCACCTCTCATATCTCTCCTCATAGCTCGCAAACTCAGTCTGTAGATCCAAATGAGAATGAAAAAAATCACACACTGCGCCAAACTCCCCCATCGAACGATCCCTATCAGCCAGTTCAGTTGGAACATGGAGTTGGACATAACGGTTTCGTATTTTTCAAAACATCCCTGAACATAATTTATAGAAAAAAACTATATAAAAATCCGTTCTAAGTGTTTAAAAGATGATAACACTGTTCCATACTCCAGTCACATTGTTAACAATCCTGACCGCATTTGGATGGCTCTTGGTCACATTGGGTTTTGTGTACTCGACACGACTGTACTCTACGAATCTTCCACAATGCTTGTACTTGATCCTTCGCCCATATTTGCAGCAGGTATTTGGGACGTTAAAATATAAATGTTTTCTCAACTTGGGATCTTCGTCTTTCTTGGTTCTACTCAGCTCTTCAATTAGTTCCTCCTGATTCGCTGTCCACGCCGCGTCGTCTGCAAAAATAATAATTTGGAATAATTTTTCCGAATTCTTCAACTCATTATGATACCTACGAATGAATGTATGTGACTTATTATTCTATTATCACCTGCATTCAGCTCAGCGTATACTACTCTTGCGCGAATTTCCTTTGTTCCAAAGATGCCGGGATCATTGTAATCTTTGTAATTGTTGATGCCACAACATTGCTAATTGTTTTCACCATATCTTTCAAAATTTTGTTTTTATAATGAAATTAATTTAAATTACGGCAGTACGTATTGTTCCTGAAACTTGTTGATGAATCTGGGTATCTGGTGCAATGTGTGAAATAATGTTATTTAGTACATACATACATTCATATATCGTAGATTTTTGTAATTAGAATTATCAAGTATGAAATGCAAAATATTGCAAAAAACTGACTATCCAAGAGTCGCCTAATTTATTTTCTAACCTCACGAAATTAAAATAAAATACCTGCTTGTTGGTACGATTGTACCAGCGAGAATATTCAATCATTCGACTTTTTGATACGGGCACAAAGAAGCAAATAGATCCGGCCAGGTACATGATGATTACAGCAATTATCAGTATGAAACACTACGCATTTCACAAGATGAACATGGAAATCTTAATAAAATAGAAATGGGAAAACTCACATATCTTGGGGTCCAAGTAGTAAATAATCCTTTACCCAAGACACGTACAACGTAGAATGTTAAGTAAATTGACAACCATCCTACAGCATACTGTATCCAGAAATTGGTCAATTATTATTATATTTTAATAGAATTTAGAGTAATCGAGGAGGCGATCTCTTTGTTGTAATCTAAATAGTACCTGAATCCAAAATCCAATGGCCATAGCAAAAGTGGGCCTTTTTATGGACAACTTTGGTTAAACTAAGGAACTTGAATAAACTTTTGTAGATACAACTTACGGCATTCCTCCGTAAATATAGAAGATCGAGGTCACCGTCAACATCATACCAGCAGAACCGATCTAATCATAATGGGTACAACACTTACATGCATTATCTGTACATAGACTGCGTATAGAACGAATTAAAATATTATGTATGCATACGGCCGCAATCTGGAAGATGCCCATGCAAAATTTACACGTTCCGCACATACTTAAATTTAAAGCGTTTTGTTAAAGCAAAAGTTGTTGGACAATCCAATTTAATTCATGCAATGAAAGCATAAATGTCTAAATGAGTTGGATCCTGAGAAAGTTTCGGTTGTATTGGTCACTTTACCAATATCATTTGACGCTTTATCATTCTATGGGGCACCACGCCATAGAAACGGTGTCCAGCTTCAGTACCTGCTGCGTTATTGGCAACAACAATTTCGAACCTTGCAAGCCAGATGCAAATAATTACTTGACAAACTTTATCATTCTATTCGTCCTACATCCTCAAGTAGATAGTTCAAACAGTACTGCTTTAAATGAACCAACAATATAACGTTCAAAATGCCACTGTTCATTAGACCACCGCAATGTCGTCAGCTATGCCCCAACCCTCTACTAACTGTAAATAACGCTACAATGCAAGTTTTAGATTCACCTGTTTCGACTCATGATGAAACATCCCGATCCACCCAGTTAGATGCCTACAGTTCAATAAGAAACCGAGAAAGTATGTTACCTGACGTGAATCTAAACATGCAATGGCAAGGAATATAAATTATAACCAGACAAATCCCACATGTCCTTATATCTTTCTCCATATTACTAATTTTATTTATCGCCAATTTCAGCGATACCAATAATAATCCTGATATTTCTGTTAAAGAAGAATTTAAAGGAATCATGCTAAAACCGATCACGACAGAACCAAATTTCGCGTAAGTACATATTTCATGACAGCAGTGCATGCATAACATAAATATGTACACATGAAGAATGCTAGTCGAATTAGACAATGAAATATGTATATTGTTTAATTCTCCACATATGTAGTTCCAATCTCCGACACTTCACAGTATTCAATTTGTTTTCCGACCTTGCCCGATTTATAGGATTAAAATCGAGAAAGAAAACGGTTCACTTTCCTGATGAAGGTTTGAAAATGACCATTAATCACATACTCTTAAAAAATTGAAAGGCTCAAATCTAGAAAATTTGTAGTAATCAGGCTTGCCGAAGATAAAGGGGAGACGAGCCCCGATGGGAACATCCCGCTTACAAATTTCCCCTATCGTGCGACCTATTCTCAGAAAAAGCCAAAAGTTGTCAGAGTCACCAGGGGTGCCGAATTTAAGCCCAGACTTGCATGGATAGAGTACTTACCATTAAGATTTCAAAAACTTGTGATGATGGTTAAAAAATGCAAATGTTCCATGTCGTTTAGAGACACGAGTAAATGTGAGGTGCAGTATGAGCGTTTGGTGACGTCTTGCAACTGTGTCAGCGAGTATCAGGACCCCAAAACTGTATTGTACGACAAGGAATAATTATTGCCCATAAATAATTTTTTACCAAGTCCTTTTCTGATCTATTCAACAGGAAAGAAAAAGCAAAGAAAAAGAAGCAGCATAAAGATGCCCAACCAAAACTTACGAAAGTGACAGAATCTTTCATGTACCATGTAAACATTGCTGATTTCTTTCTAATTGGTTAGACTGCAAATTTTACGTTGCATTGAATTATCTCATTTACCATGTTATTTATCAATTTGATCAAGTATTCATAATCTACAGGTCATAAAACGAGAACTCTTGAGTCTGCTTTGGTGGACGTGGACGGTGTTCAGAATTTGAAACGTAATCATAGTGGAAAGGAACTTCTGGCAACTCCATCACCAGGGAGTATAGGTAGACATGCATTAATGTAATTGATAAGACAAGTACTTAGCATAAAACTGGAGACAAAACATGATAGCTATGCATTTCTCTAGGCGGAGGAGCAGTAGCTCAATGTGTAGACGAGACGAAATCAAAATCAGCTACAGAACTGTACGAGTACACTGATGAATTGCCCCCACTCTCGAAATCAAGATTAGGAAAATTGTCCCTAAATGTTTGGATTTTCGGGGCTTGCATCCCACTTTTATTCATGTCGGATGATGTACCAACGGAGGCAAGTTATCGGAGAATAATGGGACATTTTGCTGGGTTGGCCATGTCAGGTAATTCAAAGTCTATTTTTGTATTCAAACTCAATCTCTAAATACAAATCTTAATCCATGTCAGCGAATGAAGCTGCTCGTGATCTTATTCAGCAATCAAAAGATTTCCACAATTATGCTTTTGAAGCAATGCGAGTCATAAGAGCGTTACAAATTAAAATATTTCTTCAGGTACTTATAAATGACATCGTTACATATATTTGTTACGTACTAATTTTTCTCTTATCAGGGGGAAACCTCTATTAAACAACCTCTCAGTATGGGAAGTGGTCTTCAGATTTCCCGTAAAGCGAATCTCTCCTCCCCTCCTCCATTTCATATATTTGTTGCAAAAATTACCAATATGGATGAACCCCTTCAATTCAAATTGTTTGAGGACTTGGGAAGTACTCAAAAAATAAATGCCCTCAAGAATCTTGTCACCTCAACTTTAGTGGAATTTGACCATGCCAAGCATCAAATTGACTTTTTAGTTGACGATGTGAAAGAAACGACGTATGATTCCAAAAATGATACAGATTTGCTTTATCGGTTGAGTGAAATGTATCATTGCGTTGTAAATATTAGTAGTAAGATATGCAAATAATTTTAATTCATTTCAATTCAAAAGCATATTTACAAATTTCCACTAATTAGTCTACAAATTATTAATCTTTCAGCTAAATCTCAAACTAATCCAACTGAGAGGACTATGGCCGAGTTGAAAGTGATTTGTGAAACAATGTCGAAATTTGTACTGTCCCTCAACTCATTTATTAACGCATCGGAACATATAATGGAAAAAATTATGGAAGTATGAAGAATATTCTAATGTCTAAGCAATATACAGATATATACAAATACCATTGATATGCATGCCAGCCACTTGTTTCAAAGGTTCGCGACGTTGTGCAACTGACGTACATTTATCTGCAAGAAGAGGTCAAAATCGACCTCTCCAAACTTATGCCGCCGGACACCCCCGTTCGTATCGTGTCAAAAATGGGACTGTCAGTCAATAAAAAAACTGGTTGTTGCAGTGGACGTAATGCAAAGAAACGTTTAAAGAAAGATTTACAGACCCCACATTACAATGGGTCTGATTTTCATCGCGTATATTATGAGGATAGCTTCAAGGATGGGGATGATACTGTCGTGGATGGTTATGTATTCCGCGTGAGGTGAGACAAAGCACGTTTTATTTTACGTACTTGTTAAATCAGAAATTGTTGGTCCAAACTCTCCTAAAACCACTTATAAGCAGTTAATTTCTAATTTCCCTGCTGACAGACCTGCCGTCCAACAGAAGGATTCAGAGCGGAGGAGTAAGGACTACAATGTTTACCCGCAGATAAGGTTCCGGCACAGTGAACCAAACGCGGTGGGGATATTTGGAGGGGGCGGAAACAGTCATACGACGATTTCAGGAGAAAGTTTGCCTGGAGGTGGTCGAGCCGATAACAGCACGGGCGGCACATCAAACACCCTCGCAGTGGAAGAAACTCCTCTAAAGCCAATTCTTAAAGATGTTCCCGTCAACAGTACACCGTCCCCGGTTGGAAAGTTACCACGCAGCCCAGCAGGTTGCGTCCTCATTATAAAAATCATTCGTCTACAAAATGATACAGTGCAATTTTTTATAACGTCACGAAATTCTATACAGGATCGATTGAAATGATGCCGTCGTTGACGAAGTCGAAACAACTGGAAGAAGACGACGAACCCATGTTGGAAAGGAAGGGAAAGGATTCCATCATTTTTAAGAAAGATAAGGATGGCAGTAGAAAAGGGTCCGGGGGTTCTAATCATTCATGACTCTTTAACTGACTGAGACTTCATATAAATATATATAGCGACACTGTTCATATTTCTACATAAGTAAGTGCACAATATACCACACCAGACCTGACTGACTAAAATAAATACTTTTGTCTCTGCCAAACCAGTTTACCTCTATAGTGCTTTATGTAAATGTCATTTGTCTCCACTCGATCTTCTTTTATAACTACAATGTTCCTTTACTAAATAACCTGTATATTTATATATAAAATAAACACAGGTGACAAAAGTCTTTGAGTTGATTAAAAAATGACCACTGCTTTATTTATGCTGCCAGAGAACTTTCGCGTTTTAATTTCGTTATGGTTTTGTGGTGCGAATTCTTTTCAGGATGGATTTCTGGTAATCAAAAGGAAGGATATCTTGAATAATTTTACACATAAATACTTCTTGATTGTACTACATATCCATGTAAATCTGTAGGGATGGCTGGGATATCTGTGGGTCACCCCATCGATACGGTGAAAGTTCGGCAACAAATTGAGACTGGTTCATTGATCAGGACTATTGCATACATAAGAAGTCATGGTGGTATTTTTGGTAAGAACCGTAAATTTCGCCTGCTAATTATTTTTTATTTTTTGGAAATTATATTACTTCGGGTTGATTCTATAGCATTTTTTCGAGGAATGGGGGCACCCCTGCTGACCAATGGCGTCATCAATTCTGTCTATTTCGGATTTTATGGTGGATCCTTGGATCAAATTGTCCGATGGAGATATGAACAAGATTCACAAGATAAGTCCGTGTGTAACAAATTCCAGTAATCCCCTAGCTCACATTTTTTTATTTGATGCACATATGAAAATGTAATTGAGTACATAGTTAATGTATTTATATGGTTTCCAGACGTACGCCCACAAACACGAAGCCTTCTATTCCGAGCATTTTGCAGCGGGGTGTATCGGGGGATTAGCTCAATTATGCATCGGATGTCCTGTAGATTTGGTGAAGGTTCAATTACAAAGTAGACTTCAAAAGGCAGAAGTGAAAGGTCCAGTAGATTGCGTTAAACAAATTATAAAAACTCACGGTATTTTTGGGCTGTACAAAGGAATCGTTCCACAGTTCTTTAGGTGCAAATGCAAACAATAAATATAATCACTAGAAATGGATTTAACGATTTTATACTAGTTTCGACGGAATGTTTTATATTTATTCACTTAGAGATGTGCCAGCCTCGGGTGGATACTTTGTGATTTATGAATTTTCAAAGCGAACACTTGGTTCAGGTGACCAGCAGTCTAACAAATTGGTTCAATTTGTAGCTGGGGGTATTGCAGGTAAGTCATAACTAAATAATACGCCACTTTAATTGATGTGCAAAACCTAAAAATAAATACATATGGGAATATGTACATACACCCTTTTTCAAGGAATGTTGTCTTGGTGGTCAATTTTGCCTTTGGACGTCATAAAGTCTCGAGTGCAGGGAGACTGTCCTCACAATCCTCAGTATAAGGGAATGATCCACTGCGCAACCATAATTTGGAAGAGTCAAGGTGTTCGGTTTACTTTCCTATACTCGTACACAATTTGAAAACACATGAACTGTTAGGCAATTATATACTTGACATCAACAGAAATTTTATTGCATCTTTAGGGGTTCGAGGTCTGTTCCGAGGGTTCCTACCACTTTCTCTGCGAGCATTTCTGGTCAATGGGACCACTTTCTTAGTCTACGAGCATCTGTTCCAACACTGTAGGGAACATCACCATAAAAATAATGGGAATAATAATTGTAATGTGGAAATTAGTAGCATTATGAATAATGATAATGTGTTTAATAAAGATGATTTCTAGAAATATTTTAACTAGATAAATATTCACTACGGCATAAATACATATGTACATATCCTCCTTATGCACATGCAGATTATACATGCACATACATATATGTACATAACATTGATTTGTTGAATTATAAATGTAGAATGATTGGAGTAACATTTATAATTTAGTGCATATTGATAAATATTATTTAAAATATTATTTTTAAAGTCAATACAATTTATCGTTCACGTGACTTGACAAATAAATTTTTTCTCCATAATGGATTTTAGGCATGTCTTGTTATATTTTGCTATCCCACCGTGTTCATTTTCTTGCTTTATCATAATTTTGGACAAACCAAGAAACAGATTCAGCAATGGCTTCTTCTAATGGAGTGAACTTAAAATCTGGCAGGTATTGACGAAGTTTTGCATTGCTTGCAGTTTTCTTGTATTGTCCATCCGCTTTCGTTTCATCCAATTTTAGAGGCTGTTCAAACCCCAAGTTTGTAGCTATAAGGTCCGCCACTGCTTTGATGGATACTTCATCTTTTTCATCCACAGATAAAATGATGGGAGCCACTTCATCATAATCTCGCAACACCCAAAGGAACAGCTTCGCGAGGTCCAAAGAATAAATAAATTGCCGAAGTGGCCTAAAAAACATCAAATATTTTTTACCAATTTTGCAAATATATAGGAGATCCCTATGATATGAAAATCGTAATCGATCATACTTTCCAGTCCCCATAACTGTCCCCACATCGCCACATTTCTTCGCCAAATAAAACTTGTGAATCAACCCTTGAATAGATAAAAATCAGTCATTTTTAATGTAATTTTTATATGTAAATGTCAGTAATGTCAAAACCTGGAATAACATGACTATCCTTCAAATTATAGTTATCCCACGGTCCGAACACCTGTACAGGAAAATTTTTAAATTACAGATTCTAATGAAAATGAACAGGAAAAAGGATTTGTCGAAATACGAAATCTAATAAAAATCAAATACAAATACACACATTACAAGGTATCACAGCTGTATATTTTTTCCCATGTTGTTCAAAATATCCACGGTTTTGGACATCAATCAGTCGTTTGGCGTAGCTAAAGGTGTGAATAAATTGACATTTTACTAAGCATAGCAGTAAATGTGATGGTCACTTACCTATATCCAAAATTGGAATCATGGGGTGGTCCATTATGAATCATAGTTTCGTCTATTGGATAGCTGGTCTTATCAGGAAAGATGCATGTTGATAAACATGATATCACTTTGATTACACCCGTCTCAAAGCTTGTATTCAAGACGTTATCATTGATTAACAAATTATTCCGGAGAAAGTCCAGATTCTAAGGATCAAATAAGCAATAAAACGATTTAAAGGTTATCAACGCATGCTTCACTGACGTATTCTATTACAGAATTTCTATACAGCAAGTCATAATTCCAATAAATATTAGCGTTGCATGCAATACACCTAATACTAATTTGCTAATTTTACAGAAATTGTACATTTGTAACAATTAATGTGTAATGCACAATCAAGTTTTCAATAAAATGACGAGTTCATTTGTGAAATACCTTTGCCATATTGTGGAACAAGCCTCCAACCTAAAAGTTCAAAACATGGTGATATGTATTAGTTAATAATTTGTTTTAAAAATGTTACTTGGCAAATGAATCATCTATCATACCATCGCAGCCAAATGTATGACATGTGTTGGCTTGTGCTTATCAAAGATTGCCTTCACTTCAACCGGATTCCTCAAGTCGGCATCTTTCGAGGAGAGAAAAATCCATTCCTCATTGTCCCGTTTGTATTCCGGATCCTCCAACACCTTCGCAATCGCCTTCCCAACTAAACCAGATCCGCCCGTGACTACGATACGTTTAGTAGACGACATAACGACAAACCGTTAACCAACTAGCGAATGTTTTCTCTCCTCCCGTAATCTGAAAATGAAACATATTGACTGATGATAAAATTATGCATTAATAAAAATAATTAATAGTGTATGATTAATACCACACCCTTAACCTTCCTGTTGCTATTTTTGGGTACTTACGATTTACTTTGAAGAATAATTGTGTTTAGTGTTATGTGCTACAAATTATTAAACTGCTGTTGTTGATTTAGTGACGTTGATACTTTAGCAGCTGAGCACACGTGGAGCCGGCTGAGAAATTCCGACTCTGCCCAACAAGTCAGATTGGAGAGCGTCAAATATTTAAAAATAAAATAAAGTCATCGGCAAGAATTCAAACTTAAGGTTGAAAATAAACAAATATTTCAATTTAGATAACATTGTTACTCTAATTACAAATTAATAGCCGGATTAATAATCTAATCGATTACCACTGGCAAGCAAGCTGTGAACGCCTGTGTAAACAAAACAATTTTGCCATGTCGTCCTCGTCGTCGTCACTTTCGACAAAAACTGTCTTCTTGCTCGACCATTCTCACTGGATGCGGGACGTTAGTGGTGTTCAAGTCGAGATTGACTGGGGTGGAAATGGGGGTTCTTCAGGTTGACTTTACGTATATTCGTTATTATTGACATCTTCATATTCGTTATTCTTAAAAGGAATCGATTCTTATTTCCTCGTAATATAATATTTATTAAAGAGTTAATGTACGAAATAGGTCGTGGGGGTGGAAACTCGAGTAGCCGATCGTCTTACTACCCATCATTTATCCCTCCTGTGACCAAATCCTTATGGACCTGTGTTACTGAGACTGTACTTGAATATGCCAGAGTCGTGACGGACCTCTTTGCAAATGAGCGACTACTCCGAATTGGTCTTTGCGAGGGTGCAAAGGGAACAAATTGGCTCAACAACTGGGACGTTTTCGCTGCAGGTGACGGTGTTCAACAACAACAGAGTGTCACATTTGTACGAAATCATGATAAATTATTGATAATTTTATTGATTGAATTATTTATTAAAGAAATGATAAATTCACTTGCAGTTTGCTGAGAAACTTGGAAATGCGGGGCCACCACCACACATACCATTGCCACATGTCAAGTCCACAGTGTCCACAGTTGGGTCAATGCAAATCGGTATTAAGGAAGGGATTGAGGCTTTGGCGCAGCCGATACCAGCTCAAGCGGCGTTTATGCAAGGGCATGGCAAGTCTACACTTAAGGTGAGAACAATTAAGTTATCTATCCGAGCCAGGTCACGGGGGTCGGGTGTGGTAATTTATGTAGAACATTCGACACGGTCATATACGGCTGACACTGATATACATGAATTTTTGATAACGATCAGTTATCAAATTTTGAATAAACAATTCATTAAACAAAACATATTTCAACAGTATAACTTTGTATGGTTATGTAGGCAATCAACAAGGGAAGAATAGTTTGTATCACAACATTAACTCCACAGTCTGTGGGAAAAGGCTCTGTCGATTTACAAGAATTTTTTGCAAGCGCACTTGACCAACATAATCGAATGGTGGCCCCGTCAAGTGATCAGTAAGTTTTGTCTATTGCTAATTTTCAGTCTCCGTACGTAACTTACTGATCTTGAATCTTATTGTATGAATCGATGATTAAATTTGCAGTCTGTTGCCAATTCTGGAATGTGAATTTGTTCTTATTTCCGTCCATCCTATGGGGAAGAATAAGTTTTCTATCATCACACCGACCGAAACGGTGGAGGTGAGTGATAAATCACCATCAGCTCCCATTATAACATCTACAAATACATTCTACATGGCTTTTATGCATATTTAGCTTTCTCCAGTACTTCGATACATTTCGCACGTCGTGGATGCTGAACAGATTGTGCAGACCATGATTGAATTGTAAACAGTTTGTCATATGTAATTTTATAAAACTATGTATTAGATTACATTAGATAATTGTCGTAGGTGTATTTTTCATCACGACCTGGTCTCGACCGTGGTTACAGGTATACCAATGAAGGTAACGATGATTAATGAAACGTGACGAAACAATATTAGTACCTATTCTATTCATATTAAAAATTTACTCATTATAGGAGGAACAAAATGCTCAACATAGTTCCAACTATGATGTTAAGCTATGGCACCCCCGCATGGTGACTGCGGTACAGGTAACTAAACAGATTAATAAGTCTAATCAACTGAGTTCAATGAGAGATGGGAATAAGATTGGGTTAAATTATTTATGTTTTCTCGTAAAGGACCATCAAGTTCTCAAATGGTCTTCTCCACTTACGCCAAAGACAACAGGACTGGTAATCCACCATTGCACCTCTGCAGTGAGAATTACTCCCGTGGACGTGAATGGGTTTGTCCATAATAATTCTCAATAGAAAATTAGTCTATGCATTTGTATCTTATATTTTGTTTGTTGATTTAGTCGGCCTACCACATGTCTGACCAGGTATATAGCTATATAGTACTTGTAGTGCTTCTTTCTTTATTTTTTTATGTGCAGTTGAATAATTATAATTAATCTGTCAGTTTCCTCATGAATGGACGATCTGTTTGGTTAGAAACCCTTAAAAAAGGAGCAGGTATGTAGAAAAGCAAGAAACGCTGAGCTGTGTAAATATTTGCTAAGTATTCAATAACATAGGAAAAACCACTTCCAACCTGCTAACATCACACGGAGGTGAGGCTATCTGTTGGTTATTTATTATAATACACATAGAATAAGAGTATATATTCTAAATTATGATAATCTCCGAGTTTATCACCAAATGCATTGTGCTGTACCAAAATAATTGTTCTTAATAATTACTCTCTACAGGTGAAATGTGGTTACACATGATTGAGACGGCACGCAATGTGTTGGAAGATCCTCCTTCCATCTCAGAAGGGGTTGGTGGCCGCGTCACAGATTATAGGATACCTGTATGTGAAACTTAATCTATTGTACATAAATACTTTGACTCTGATGATCGAATACTAATTGTACTTGAATTATTTCTCGTTAAGGACTTTGCTGACCTAATACGAATGAACATACTAAGTCCTTACCCTAAGAATTACTATGAACACGTCGCCAAAAAACCAGAAGTACGGGACAGTGGAAACCCTTTCGTCCGTAGAAGAAGCAGCGCAGAAGATTTAAAGAAACCTGTCGAAATGGCAAAGGATCGACTCCTTAGAAAGACTAGTTTTTGGCCAATGACGATCGGACGTTCAGTATTATTTCAAATGGCAGTTGTACGTTAAAAACAAGTTGACATGGGTTTTATTATGTGGTACTCACGCAAAAATTATAATTTTTCAGCACATTGACAGCTTGTTGCGACTTATGCCTCAAGACAAAATGTCCGACATGGAAAAAATTGAGTGTGATAAGTGTATTTGGTCTCTTATGTCAGTCGAGTCTCGAGGTGAGGGTCCAGTTCCATCCGGATATCATAAAAAAGGGCAAAAAAGGTCAGTTCCAGCCAAAAAATAATTTTAGTACATATTGCGTCGGGATAATAGCAATTAATAATAATTATTATAAAAATTATAATTATTATAATTTTCTATAATTGAGGACGTGAATCGAAAAACAACTTGTAAACAAATTTAAATTAATTTAAATTAGTATAGTCATGCAATTTGCACCATGGATATCAAAAAAGGTACAGAAATTTGTAATATTCAATATTAAAAAAACTCGTTTTTCATTATTTTTTGCACTTTATCGCTTATCGCTTATCAAACTTAAAATGGCCGTAAATCAAACTCTGATAATCTCCATATCCGAGAAAAAAGTTATCAATATTAACCAGAACAGAAAACGTCAATTTCGTCCAGAGACTTGGAAAGATAATGTAGCAAAACGTCGCCGTAATCGAGGTGAACCTTACGTGTCTCGCAATAACATTCCCAGGGCTGGCAAAAATGCGCCGACAATGGTATGAACTCAAGTGTTGTTTAAAGTGACATATTAATAATAAGTGCACTGTTCAGGTTAAAGTTTGCTCTGCTCGATGCCCACATAATGGTTGCGTCCTTCTCACCCTGCCAGAAAAATTGCAGCTATTTCAAGAGTATTATAATATGGGGACTTACGAATTGCAGAGAACCTATCTCTTAGGTTTGATGGATAACCTAGGCCACAACGGGAATGGGAACATATTCGAGTGAGCATGCATATAAACTGCACAATTTCATAACGAAAGACAATAATGTAACTGTTACACAGATATCACATAAAGATTGGTGGAATACGGCGAACGGTTTGCAAGAGGACGTGGCAAGATACTTTCCAAATTTCAGAGGCAGTTGTAAAATCAATGCAGGAAAAATGTGAGCGTGGTCACAACAGTGTGTTCGATGGAAGGGGACGCCATACAAACCACACAGTTAATCCAGCCGCCCTTAATGTCGCAATTATGGCGCACATTAACACATACCCAAGATATGAGCATCACTATTGCACTGCAAAGCTTGGACAATTCTACTTGTCGCCGGACCTAACTTTGGATGCTATGTTTGCCGATTTTGTTATCAAGCATCCTATGATTGCCGACGCCCACAGAAAGGAACAAGTCTATAGAAGATGTTTCCGGGATAGTAACTTGACCATTGGACACACGTACACTGATACTTGCCGAAAATGTGACATTCTTGATGTGGAACTTAAAATAGCTCGGAGAAATAATAACGTGCGTCAGATTGATGTGGCGGTGGACGCAAGGCGTGTACATCTCGATTTCGCTGCTATTGCCAGAAATCAGCTTATTCAGGACGAATTGCGAAGCCAGAATGACCCTGAATTTGTCATGATATGTGGTGATATGCAGAAGGTAACATGCCCTGTTATATCCGAAACTATGTAACATTTACTAGTTTTTGAAACATGCATACTATTGCCACAGGTTCTTACAAGAGAACATTCTTACATTGATTGATTCATTCATTGATTCTTACAAGAGAACATTTCGCCCCTGGATTTTGGACGGAGCACATAATAAGACAACCTCATATCAGTGGACCAATTGGTCGTCGCCCGCATTGGAACGGTCAATGTTTAGCTCCCTTTGTTCTTGTAGTTAAATACAATCATCCTATTCCTATTTCAAGAGAAAAACATGACGACCTCATGTCTATGCTCCCATTACTTATGCCAGAGTATCGCCAATTTTACAGGAATTTGCCTCGCGCATGAGGAAGTTCAAGTATTTATATTTTTTAAGCTTGTCCTTGCGTTACATACATCATTTCCACCTGTTACCTCGTAAATGTATGATTATTTAAAAAGATGCGAGTAAACTTTAAACCATGTTAAAGAAAAGTTATAATAATTTAGAGTTTCTGTACCGTATTTGATATCCATGGTGCAAATTGCATGACTACACTAAATTTAAATTTGTTTACAAGTTGTTTTTCGATTCACGTCCTCAATTTTGAATATATTAATTAGAGATGAACAATGGCGATCTGTCTACAACGAGCTGGAGAATTTTATTAGAGCAAACCAACACTCTGAAAACCACAAAAAAGTTTTAGAATGTTTCCTTGAAAGTCGAAGGGCCGATTCAAAAATTGACTCTAGAAGCGATAACGAAAAAGGGAATAAACAAAAAGTACAAGACATGGAAAAAGCATTAGCAGCTTTGGCAAGTTTTGGAACTACAAATACAACTGCGACCGGCAACAGCACAGGAGCCACCCTTCCCCCAACTCCTATCTCAGACTCGCCAGCGTCTCCAACGTCAGCAGCAGACACGGGAAAGGATTTTTCGTCATCATCTGGAAGTACCTCAAATTCAACTACTACTCCCGCAACAAAGACATTGTTGTCTTTGTGGACTGCGAAGACAGAAAAAAAGAATCTAAGAGTTATAACAAACACTAAATTGTACTCCCATTTAACGAGCGGAAAAGACGCCAGCAATACAGCCAGTGAGGATAACGGAAAACCAACAAATAACGGGAACTTGAAGAAACTTGACGCTCCTACCAAGGCCTAGCTGAATATTATATCTACTTGATTATGTTATTATTATTAGCGTTAACATACGATTTTTTTTATGCTTGATGTCCTGCTCAATATTTTTAAGTTTGGACGTTTCCTTATATTAATACACGGCCAATAATTTTATACAGTTGCCAAACTGACCATCATTTAATTGCGCCATAAAATAATCTACACAACCATATCATATCCCATCTGAAATTGTTCCAGAAGACAACGGTGGCAAACTGTCCTCCTTTTCTTCCAAAACTTGCTTGACAATTTGTGGAACCGATGAGCGAAAGCTTTGATTAACTTTTCGACTCGTTTCGGGGACCTCTTCAATCTTTGTAACTTGGCCAACTTGAGGTTGTCTGTGCCTTCTTCTTGCTGATGTAGTTTTCCGTTTCGACTTCGGTATATCCTCATTTTCGGAATCCTCATGTTCAGAAGATGATGTTTCACCTGTACAACGGGGGAGAAATGTGTATAACCCAGTTAAATAAATAAAATTTTAATGGTAACATATCATGTAATGGTTGAAATGAGACCTTTATAATTAGTGGACTTTCGGATATCGTCAAGCGTTGGCAGGGATGGTGGACCAGGATAATACGCATTATTAACCAATTGGGAAGGCCCAGTCTGTTGAACGTGAAGTCCTGGACAATTGTTTGGGCTAAGATAACACGGAGGAGCTGTACAGTTTACGACGGGTCGAAATCCACATCGCATCATGGAAAGCCATGGTTGTTTCTTTGGCTCAACTGTTACGGTCATTTCCGTCCTGCCGTTGGGTCGAGGTTTGTAAGAAAAAGCGACACCGTCTTCAAGTTCGTCTTCTTCGCCACTACTGCTTTCTTCAACCTCACCATTATCTGGCATAAACAATTAATAAAATAAGAAGGACGTCATCATTTATGAAGTGCATTTTACATGTGTAGATACATTTGTACCTTAAAATGTACATACATACACACATATTACATAATAATATTAAATACATGGAACTGCAAGTGCGATCTAGCTTACTCGTGCAGCAAACTGGTCTCGCTTCGCATATGTCGACATTCGCCGGGACGAAAGCGGCACTCTTCATGGGTGACATTTTTAGTTGATCACAAGTAACGTTCTGATTACAGTTTGCGCTTTGATAAGCATGTTGCTGCTGATAGTAGTAATTGTAGTATTGAGCTTGTTGGTATTGCATTAGCATCATGTCATATGGTGAAAATGCACCCCCACCACCACCCATCATTCCTCCCATTCCTTGATACATCCCAAGTTTTCCCATCTTTTTCATCTGTCGTTTCATATTTTTGGACATTTTTTTCCTATTTTTCAAATCATCTTCACTGTCGTCATCAGAACTGGACGAATCATCTTCCGAGCTTGAGTCTTTTTTCTTATGTTTCGACTTTTTGCCCAACTCGGCGACGTCACCTCCTGGAGCGAGGGCTTCATCCACTGCCAGAGGTGGTAACTCTTCATCCAGCGGGGCCATGGACTCGTTAAGTTGATCTTCCATGGCTGCAGCTTGCGCCCTTAGAGTATCTCGAACTTTGAGAATGGAACGCTTATTCGCCATTGCAGATCTAGCCAGAGTTCGTCTTATCTGACTATTAGGAAGATTTGCTGGAGATTGTTCTTGTCTCAAAGGAGGAGTTGCTCCCTCTAAATCTGCCAGAACGGTCGTGTTGAACGCGGAGAGAGACTTGTGTTCCCCTGTACCGAAATCAATATTCCCCTCGTCGTGGGGTTTATGATGACCGTCCCGGTGAAAGTGATGTACGTGGCCTTGTGCGTCACCTTCCTTCTACGAACGTACATTTGCAGGTAAAATATGAGAATAATTAATTAGAGTAAAATCTGCTGCGTAATGATAAGATTCTTTGAGACAGAATGATGAGACATACTTTGGGTGGACTATTAATTTCTAGTGACCCACTAGCTGTCGATGCAGAAGGGGTTCTAACCAAGAGACCCTGCTCCATGTGCAGTTTATGTAAATAGTTGTGCAGGGCATTATTAGCACTAGTGGGAGGACCAGTTGGCTTTGACATTTTTTCAAGCAAATGTGACGTGACGCTATGAATTTAGTTTAAAAAACCTTTGATTTATTTGAGAATTTTGATTTACTAATTGCTTCCTGGCCACGTCCCACGATTGCTTGGCATTATAAATATGCAGCCCTTAGATACTAACTGTCAAGCGATCGCGGCCATGTTCATATTGGGTAGGACAGCTTTGTTCTGAATTGAATTGTGTGCAAATTTACAAAAAGTTATGCTTAAGTAATATAATATATACATATGTAGTAGACTGATGTCACGAATAAAATAAATAAACCATTTTGACAATTTTAAATAAATATTTATTTAATGAGCTTTATACCAAACATGTATGTAACATTACGCAGTATTACATACTTAATTAATACTCGTTATATAATCTGACGAAATAATTGTCTCATGTCTTTTGGCAAACATAAATTATTCTAGTAATGTGTTGATATTCATTTTAGCAATTATCAAAATTTTTTCATCTAGTCAACTATTTATGAAAGAGATAATTTCATATAAAGGAAAGTATAAGGAAGCGAGATTCAATATAGTCTCATTACTATTGTAAAAACGATAATCATTCATTTTCATGACATTTTCAAGTCGAAATAAAGATTGAAAAGGATTGTATCTTTGCATAAATATATTTTTAATCTAGTCTTACATACCGTAAAATCTCTATTTATGCCCTCGGCCAAAATTAAATTTTAAGTATCTTAACCAACTGAAATTTGTCTGGTTTGAAACAAACCACGGTCATAACCCAGATTATATTTCAAAATGCAATCCTTGTACCCTTAATGCTTAGCATGATTTAATTCTCTGATTTTTACAGGGTGCATTAAAAATTTAAACTTCAGACCCAGAAATAATTAAGGCTAAAGTGTTTGGTTTAAAAAAACAACTTATAGCCCACAAATTTAAAGTTTTCGAATTTTGGCGCAATTTAGGTAATTATTTAGATGAAAACATGATACGGATATTTCAGTACATACAACAATCGTTATTTTAAAATTTTAATTTTTGAAAGTACAACTTTTTAGGATTCGTGAAAGTTAACATATCTTTGAAATTCTCAAGTCGATGGCTTTCTTTCCAGCGACCAAGAAAAATATGACACCCAACTAAAATTAGAGACCGTTCGGTCAATAAAGAAAATATTGACGTTGACTTGACCCGGCCATAAATAGAAATTTTACGGTAAAAAATAGACCTAGAAGTAGAGAAATTCTTCCATCTACAATATTATAGCTAACGTCTAATAATTGAGCATTCCTCGTCATAAATTTCCACCATTCTCATTTTCACCACCTTTTTTCCCTACCTTACTTTTTTCCTCATTCTTGCAGCGAGTGTCAAGCATTTTTAACTTTTTTACTAATATGGAAGGAATGGGATAATAGTTATTCCCATGCGGCGTGGAGTTTAGCGATGGCTTAAAGTCTTCTCGAGATGAAGGAGTATCCGCAAGAGGTTCCAAATCAACGTCAAATTCAATCCCAGAATCACTATTAATGCTGCCCGCTGTGTTTGAGCCTGTACAATTCTAAAAAAACATCAAAAATTAGTCAGCAAACAGCAAAGACTTGTACTTAGCTGTCTTATAAAAATATTCATGCATAATATAAACTACCTGAGAATCACTGTAGCATCTGTTTCGCATCTTTTTATTGACATCGTGGACTCGAGGCTCCCCAATACTGCCGCAGTACTTGAGAAATGGGTTGAACACTGGCCCGTCTGGCCCATGTGTGGCAGTTATAGAAGTCATAGGAACAGAGCCACACATAAGTTCATCCTTCTCGTTGAGAATCCATGTTCCTCGAGTGGCAAGAAGAACATGACCATTTCCATCGTCATAAACCACGTCACGAGTATCTTGACCTAATGAAAATGTACATACAATATGAACCACCTAAACAATAAGTAGCTAATTTATGATGGGCATAGGATAACTGAAGTATTCAAACATACGGTAATGAAATCCTGGAAGTGTTTGCGGGGCTGATGCAAGGACTTGTTGCTCGCCAGACTCCTCTGAAGCATCCGTCATGGCGTCCTTCTCTTTACCAGCGGATTGTGCATTTTTCTTCTGCATCTCCATCTTGGTACAATAACGTATCCACATTTTATAAGTGTTAGGAGAATATGGCTCGCCATTTTCATCGAAAGTGTCCACGATGAGTTCTGAGACACATAAAACAAAAATATTATAGTACGTTTCTCTTGTATAACATTTGCATGTTTACAAAATCTGTAATAATTACCAGATCTATATAACCTTCTCCGAAACTCGAAAAAACTAAGGTGGTCAGAGTCGTCAGACGTCTCAGTTTTTTGGGGAGTCGACTGAAGCGAGTCACTGCTGCCACAGGAAGAGTCGTCCCCCGCCATCGCCACCGTTGTCGGTTGTTCAATCTCCATCTTATCCTCTACACCTATTGAAAGATTAACTAGCAAGATTATAGCACTGGGAGTTGGGAGACCAAAGCCATTACATGGAGTACTCCTCTCGATGCAAATAAATGGACGATAAATTAAAATCTAATCAACAGATAACGGTACTCGCTTACCTCTTTTTGATGATTAACTAGGCGATTTCTTACAGCTAAACCAATGGTGGCAGGAGTCGTTGTCAGTCTTATCGGTGTTGGAGGAAACTTTATGTGGTCATAAGTAAATTAAATTTCCAGGAAATATAAATTGTAGCCTACGAGGGAAAGTAGACGACCCACCCAGACGATGATCCTGTAGTGTCTGATGCCTGTCTGTCAGTCTACCTCAGCTCCGCACGTGCAGCCAATAAAATCCCTCCACTTACTCCCTCGCTCCACCAAATTCCCACCGGTTTTTGTATTTTTTCTTGGTCCTTTGAGAAGTGAGAAACCTTTTGAGAAACCTTTTTATAATTCAGTTTTTTTTCAAGTTTATCATACATATGTATTTTTTGTATATTTTTTTAATGACCAACATGTAATACTAATATTACGGCATATTATGCAGTTCATTACATTATTTACTGCTTGCCACAAGTTTAAAGCAGAGATTGTATAAAATAGGGACAAATAAAATGTTCAAGTTAAAGTTTCACAAAATTGTCTCATTTTGTAATAGCCACTACAAATGCAAGCCATTTTTGAGGCGTAAATTGCATGGTAGTGAAGTTGAAATATATGTATATATACCCAATGCAATGAAAATGATGCGTTATAAAGTGAGATTTTCTTAATTTAAATCAGGCAGAATAATGAGCTATGCATAATCATGACATTTTTTATTGCGGAGTCTTCAATGCGGACAACAATTTCAGTGAAATTTTGAAACCATGACTAGCCTACTACTACTCTTGCTGGGGTAGTCGGCTGAGGTCTGGGTGTGGTTGGCATAGTGGAGGGAGGAATCGGGTACGTGGGCAGTTTGAGACCTGAAGCACCCTCGCATAGCCTCAGAAATGGGATTCGGCAAATAATGTCTTGGACAATTCCAGAGGTCACGTTTAAAGCTGTGTTCAGATTGGTGTAGATCTGTTCCGGGGACACGGTCACTGGAGGTATTGTGGTAGCTGGAAGGAATTATTGTTATTAGTTCGAGAGATTCAAAGCGAGGGTATTATTTATATTAGAAATAATTATTATTTTAATAATATTACTCTCGTCATCCTCATCTTCCAACTGCCTCTGAGGAGCACTTTCGAAAGATGAAGTCTCATTTTGCAGCTGAGCGTGTATTCCTGCAAGTATGAAAACTAAACTGCTCAAGATTATCAATAACTTTGGGTTTCCTTTAATAATCGCCATCACTTTAATGAGTTGAGGTGAGCATACGATGAGATTGAGCTATATTTTCGATCTGATTGGAAAAGCTTGGGTTACGGTAGCCTATGTATATGTAGAATTCAGAGATCCGTGATTAATGAATTTTTTTCTGGGATTAAGGATTAAGGATTAATGTTATTCCGGGATTAGATTAATCCGGGATTAATTAAATAATTCAATTTGGTGGGATTAAGGATTAAGGATTAATTCAAAATTCTCTGAGATTCGGGATTAAGGATTAAGGATTAATTAATCCTGATTAATTCTTGATTAAGGATTAATATTATTATTATATTACTCCATTTAATGCAGTTTAATTGTTTATTGTAGCACATAGGAATATTGAAACATCAAATACATACAAAACAGACAATGTATAGGACTTTTGCATGTCAAATGTGAAGTAAAATTTGATGTTGGCCTAATATTAACACCAATTATGGCACACATTGGTGCAAAAGCTATGCGCCTGGCCTATAAAGAGCCGCTGAATTTGTCAATTTGTTCGACATCAAACAATCTACCGGTGAAGATGAACGGCAAATTTTTCAGCTCAGTCAGATCACTGTTAACCATGATTAACGACTGAATCAGTATTTTTACGGAAGCAACAATTTAAAGTTAAAGAATTCAACACATCTTAATTTCGGGAGAGGACAGTAGAAAGAGTGGAAAAATATCGTATGTTTGAGAATATGTAATGTTAGTGTTACTTCACTCCATTCTCAGTGATTATTCTCTTGCGAGGCTTAATCCTAATCGTGATTAAGAATTAATAATTTGGATACGCTTTGTCGGGATTAAGGATTAAGGATTAATGGCGTGGAAATATTTCGTCGGGATTAATGATTAAGGATTAATTGCATACAATTTTTTGTCGGGATTAAGCATTAAGGATTATTAATCCTTAATCCCAATCCTTAATCCGTTAATCACGATTAATTAATCACGGATCTCTACTAGAATTGCATCTGCAAAACTTTCTATGATATGAAATTCATACGTGATGACCTCCTTCTTTCATACATATCGCGAATAATCAGAATATTAATTAATGACGTTATTAACTATTGGCTAGGAACTAATTAGTCCCATCCTCTATGATATTATTGCTCATGAATTTTCATTTTTAACGGCTTTATCCATATAATAGAAAGAAACGGCTTTATCTAACTCTCTGTGCTTGTGGTCCTGAGTGCGAGGTGATCCGAGACCGAGCGGGTTTTCAGCTTGAATTGTTCAACAACGTGCTCAATATCACTTCACATAAAATCAATTCCACAGATTGCAGATTAAATTGTTTCGTTCCTTCGTTCTTTAATTGTGAATTGTTGTCGCCATTCGCCAATCATATGCACGATACGATGGAGGAAGAATCTACCCCAAAATCCACCACGGTGGAGAGACCGCTCCATGTGGACGTAGATTTAGGCAACCTGCTACTTTCAGACACAAATGAAATTGCAGTGAAATCTCTCAGGTTTGTATAATAAACTTTAACTTAAATAGTGGTGGTATTTGGTGATATCAAAAACATTGTCCATGACCCTTAGAGCAAACCCAGACGAATACCTCAGGACATTGGCGAGAGACAATGCTCAACTTTTGATCAATGAGATTTGGAAGCTTCCGTTTGAACGAGTGGACGATGTTATCATTACAAAATTACCGAAAGCTACGTACATTCTTCCAAGAGAGAAACCAGCACCAAAGGCAAAAACATTGACCAAATGGGAAAGTTATGCTAAAGAAAAAGGAATTACGAAGAGGAAAAAAACTAAACTTGTGTGGGACGAGTTGGTTAAGGTGTGTGGAAGAAATAATGACAATAATTATATAATAGCTGAATTCAAAATGATTAGTGATGAGAATCATTATTACTAATTCGATACATGGTTTTACAGAAATGGGTTCCTCGCTTTGGGTATAAAAAAGTTGATGCTGAAGCAGAAAAGGATTGGGTTCTAGAAGTTCCAGGGAATGTTGATCCAATGGAAGATCAGTTTGAGAGAAAATCAGAAGCGAAGGCGGAACGTGTCTCGAAAAATGAATTACAAAGATTAAGGAATCTTGCTAAAGCTAAAAAGGTGGACATTCCTGGAGGTAGTGGACTTACGTCAAAGGAAAAACCATCCAAAATTGAGGTATGTATAAGGTTAACATGAAATAAGTTGGTTCAATTTAAAATTATACGTTTTATATTGTTTGTATAGTTGCATCAAGCCGTTCACGTAGCAAAGAAAGCCACCGCTTCATTAGGAAAGTTCCAGGCAAAGCTTCCAAAAGAAAAACCACTAAAAGGAACCGGTAAAAAACGACAATTCGAACCCCTAGTTATTGATTCAACCAAGGAAAAGAACAAGAACTTAGACGTTTTGGCCAGAGTTATGAGTAAGAAGCCTAAAATCGACATAGCGTCAGCGGTCAATAAACAAGTTGACATTCGAGAAATGGAGTAAGTTCAAGAAAGGGATTAAATATAATATACAAATTACGACAGACTACCTCTGGCCCAAATTGTGACCATTTTTTATCACTACTTTGTATAGAAAATCATCATTTCGAAGCAAATCGCACGGCCCTAAGCAGGGTAGCGGTGGTGGCCGTAGTGGATCGAAGCGAAGTGATGGGAAACGTCGAAGTGGGCCTGGGAAGCCGACGGCTGGGAGACCTCGCACCGGGGACGGAGAGGGGATGAGGCGCGGTCGGAGCGGCGGTGCTCGCGGAGGAGGACGAAACGGACCTGCGACCGGAAGATCTGCATTCGGCGGAGCCAAGTCTGGTCCCGGTGGTGGTGGTGCAAGAGGAGGGCGTGGAGGAGGCCGTGGGGGAGGGGGTAGAAGAGGCCGCTCATAGAATAATATACTATCATTTTAGAATTTAGTTTTATCTTATTGTCATTAAAGTTAGGATGTACGCCTAATTATGAAAATAACTATAACTATATTTTAATTTTAAATAAATCGTTTCGCATTGTATTCGAAATATAAAAAAATTATAATATGAACTTTATACACACTTACATCGTCTCTTTTGATAAATTTATTCTCATCGTTCTAGTATAAAAACAGTACGAAAGGTTGTTTAGGGGATTTACGTGAATCATATCATATCCCTCAAATGCAATAACCTTGTTCTCAAACAAAAGTGAGAATCTCATAATTCTCATCTCACTACTTTGCTGTATATGACTTCACAGCTGCAAGGTGCAAGGTGAGATGAGTCAGAGTTCAGCAGAAATCAAGTTGTTCCTTCTGTTTGCTCTCTAGTTTAGTTATTTGTTTATAAATAATATCGTGTGACTTTCAGTAATTAATTTGTAACTCCTTCGAAAATGGCTAACATTCAAGGGTTCGGCGAAATCATTGGCAATCTTTCTCGCTCCGTGATAAACACTGCATTCAATGCAGCAGCAAATTCGGCCAGCAGGGCGATGGATGGTTTCACGGTCCAGGAAATTACTGGAGCTGGAAACATTGATGACGTAAGTAATAAGTAAACACTTTTTCTGTACATTATCGAACTACGAATTGATGTCTTTTAAAAATTAATAACGTTCAACGTCATCAGTGTACATATTTGATATGACCTCGTTTTTTGCCAATATTGTAGAATTCCCTAATTAATTTCTCAAATACTAAGTTTAGTAAGTTCATGCTTAATTTTTTAGGTCACTCATTATCCCGTGTTGAACAGAACCATGCCTCTTCTTCTCTACGGTCCGGTCCCACCTGGCAGATTCCTCGGCACTCGGCCTGCTTATCATGTCATTCTTCATGCCACAAACTCGTCCAGAATGTTTAGTATGCTCAGATCTGACAACCGAAAGGAGGCTGAAGATACGTTTGTCTTGTACAAAGAATCATTTCCCCTCTTGGTGGAGTGTGATCCCATGGTACGATAGAAATACAGTATTTGTTTTCTAATATAATTTTAAATTAAATTCGAACGGCAATTACTAATTGCCGTTGATGTAAATAGATTTGCGATACGAACAAACTGGACGCGATGGCCAGAAAATTACGAGAAAATCCAGGCTAGTCAAATTATTATTTAAAATATTTTAGGCAAGAGTCACTTTTTCTTCCCTAACTCGCTCCTACCATTTCTTGAGGGAAACGCCGCATTGACTCGTCATAAATGGCTCTCCGAACAGCTTTGAGAATAGATTTTGGCGGAGGATGAGATGATGAAGGGAGTGGTGGAGATGGCTCCATTGTTGTGGAAATTAAGCGGAAATCCAACTGAGGAGCAAGTTGAATGACCCAACAAATTTTCCTTTTTCAGGCTGGACTGCTCCGCATCTGGCATCCTCGTCCGGGTTACTTAACTGCTTGAAGCATGAGAAAATGAAGGTCAAGCTAAATGAACAAGAGGGGACGATGCTCCGAACCCCATTGCAGATTGCTATTGATCAAGGGAACATTGGAGTCATATCGACTTTATTGGAGCTTGGGGTGGACGTGACAATTGCTGACATCAAAGGGAATTCCGTTTTTCATGTGGCTGCTACCAAGTCGCTTCCAGCTTTTCAAGTTAGTAGTAGTAATGTGATGATATAACTCCATAATTTTTGAATGGACATAATAATAAATAATTATTATTACTACTAATTGCAGTTACTTTTGGATAAATTGCCAATACGTCATCATGAACTTTTAAACCACATTAATGCAGAGGGTTTTACCCCTTTGCATTCTGCCTGTAAAAATAATAACGCAGAAATAGTCAAGGTATATGCGATTATTTTTTTATTATTAAAAATTCTGAGTGTGTTTGTTGATTTTTTTGTTAATCGACTTGTTATTTTATTTGTGTTGTCTTTTTTATTTCATTAAAATTAGACGTTGTTGGCTGCTGGTGCAAACTCTAATGTGTCATCCCAATTGCAAGGATTTCCTATTCATGTTGCTGTTAAAGCTCAATCTGTTTTATGTCTGCAGGAATTAGTTGCGCATAATCCCAGTCAGCTTCAAATGAAGGTGTGTAAACATATTCGAAAATTTGTAACAAATACTAACTACGTAGATTATAATATAGATAATAATGTAAATTACCCAATACCATATTGACCCACGTCATATTGACCCACGTCATATTGACCCACGACAAATTGACCCGCACAGATTGACCCGGCACCATATTGACCCAACGACAAATTGACCCACGTCATATTGACCCACGTCATATTGACCCACGTCATATTGACCCACGTCATATTGACCCACGTCATATTGACCCCATGCTATACCTGGACATACCGCATTTTTCATACAAAAAAACTTAATTTTATTTCATATTTCAATTCTTGTCAAATATTCCAATCAAAAATCCGAGTTCGAAAATGGGGTCAATCGGACCACACCCCACTGCGCCAGTGGGTGTGGTCCAGATTAAATGCAACTTTAATTTTCGAGGTCATATACCAAGAAACCTTAAAGGAAACTGGAATCGCTCTGACGCTACTTATTTACATTCGTTTGGAGGGTTTATTGGACCTCCCTTTGTCAAATTTCTTAATCTATTGCACTGTGTAGCACAGTGTCGTCGTCCAAGCAGTGTGTGCAAAGAAGGCAGCCTTTTTACTATTGCTTCATGCCTTTTTCAACGCCCTTTTACCTTTTTGCGTGCCGTTTTGGCTTCTTGATTCCTTTTGTCTCTTTTATGCCTCTTTGCTCGATTTTTGACGATGGCACCCAAGTTTCTTGTCGTTTATAACGTATTAAAGAAATTACAGAATATATTTTATGTTTTTGAAATTGTATCGGAGGATTCTGGCTTTCATCAAAACTTCAAACTAGTCTCACAACAGAAAAAGAAAACCAATAATTATTAGAACAATTCAATTTTTGATTGGAATATTTGACGAGAATTGAAATGTGAAATAAAATTAAGTTTTTTTTGTATGAAAAATGCAGTATGTCCAGGTATAGCATGGGGTCAATATGACGTGGGTCAATATGGTATTGGGTCAATTTGTCGTTGGGTCAATATGGTGCTGGGTCAATCTGTCGTTGGGTCAATATGGGCGGGTCAATTTGTCGTGGGTCAATATGACTGGGTCAATTTGACATGCAATCATGTAAAACACTTTTATGGTTTAAGGATTTGCAAGAGGGAGGGTCTCCACTGCATTGGGCTGCTGGTCCAGAGACGTTGATTCCACTCCTAGATCTAGGCTGTGATCCTAACACGACTGACGCCAACGGTTTGACGCCACTTCATAATGCGGTGCGTTGAAAAAATACACATTTTCATATAATTTTATATTAACATTTTTAGTAATATGTTTTTGATTCCTTTGTTTTCCAGGTACGTCGTGGTTGCTTGAAGAGTACGATATATCTATTATGTCACGGAGCATTCCCAGATATGAAAGGTGGTGAGGATGACGATACGCCGCTCCATGTTGCTTCTCGATTATGTTCAAAGACTTTGATGCAGGTACATTAATGCATGGTCAATAAAGACAAAATAGTTAAAAATATATTTGGTTTCATGATTTTATTCTTAAATCACAGGCCTTGATAGTGTTCGGATGCGATGTCAATCTTTTAAATAAAAGGGGTGACAATTCGCGACATTTAGTTTGTACATCACAAAGGTCGGACAAGGACCAGGTGCTTTACATTTTATCTGCTATCGGTGCCATGCGGTAATAAATTAGAAAATTCAAATAATTATATATGTATGTATGGTGGAAATTCGCAACTTCTTAATTACCATGAGTCGTTACTGCAGGTGCTCCCCATCTAAAGCTAGCAGTTGTGTTGATGGTTGTAAATTCTCGGGTTCCTTCGAGGGTTCTCAACCACCAAATTTTCCAACCCATGGGGCAGTGAATTTGATGCATGAGGCGTTGTCTGCCCTTGGAAATATTCAAGCTGGAGGAAGTGGACATCACAACAATAACAACAAGACTGACTCTGCTGCAACCTCATCATTTGCAGACTCCTTAGACCCGATCAATTTGGGCGGAAGATTACTGTGTTTAGATGGGGGTGGGATCCGAGGAATGGTTCTAACACAGATGCTAGCAGTGATTCAAAAGGTGTGTATTACTGTTCTTGCTACATACTTATCCTTCCATCTACCATATAATTGGTGCAATACATGTATTAATAATTTTGCTTCAAATTCCTGTTGCAGGAACTGGATTTACCAGTGATTGAAATGTTTGATTGGATAGCTGGGACAAGCACTGGGGGGATATTGGCATTGGCTCTTTCAGTCGGCAAAACTCCATTGGAAACCCAGTGCATATACATGAGACTTAAAGATAAAGTGTTTGTCGGCGAACGACCGTATAGTGCCACCGTGATGGAGGAATTCCTTAAACAAGAATTTGGTTGTGAAACTACGATGGGAAGCATTCATCGTCCAAAGTATATAATACATAAATGGTCAGTGTGGTTAAATAGGATTCTAATCTATTTTATTATGTCTATTATTTAGAGTTATGATAATGACCGCTCTTGTTGACCGAAGACCTGTTGATCTACACATCTTTCGTAATTACATCTCCCCTAGTGTACTGATGGGAGAGACTGAGGTATGTGAAGTAGATCATAGTTCTCAGTGCGTTTGGGAAGCTGCAAAAGTTACCGGTGCTGCACCGTCATATTTTCGTCTGGATAATGACAAGTTTATTGACGGAGGACTGATATCCAATAATCCAACTTTGGACGCAATGACAGAAATGCAACGGTTTAAAACAGCCATGAAAAAGTTGGGTTATTTCCGTAATGGAGAGAAGGTAATTTTGTATTGGAAAACCTACTCTACCAAAGAGAAATATACACACATTTGGCTAATCATCGATTTTCTTTCTTAGTTCCCAACAACTGTTGTTTCTCTTGGGACAGGAATACCTCCAAAGACATCATCAACAGCATCAGCAATTGATATAACTTGGCCATCTGGGATTTTTGATACAATTACCAAAGTTCCACGTCTAGCTTCTCTCGTCAACCTTCTTATTGATCAGGCCACACAATCTGAGGGACAGGTGGTTGAACGTGCCAGAGCCTGGTGCTCTTCCATTGACGTCCCTTTCTTCAGATTTTCACCTCAGATGACTGTGGATGTTGGCCTTGACGAGAAAAATGATGTTACCCTAATTAATTTGTTGTGGGAAACTCGATGTTTCATGATGTCAAACAAAGACACGATTCTTAAAATGAAACACATTTTAGTACAGCAACAACAATCTCGAGTTCCTACTAGATAAATAGCTTTCAATCATTTTGTCATTCCTCCAATTGTGTGATATCTTTTAAATTTTAAAAATTGTGTGTATGTATGCAACTTTTGAATATTGTGAATAGAAAGTTTTAATATAAATATTTAGTTTATTTAAACAAAGTTCTTATTATGCTACGTATAACTCGATTCATAAATTACTATAATCATTGCAGAATATTGACTTGTGTGTTCTCGTACATCCATCCATACAACTTCATTCATGTCACGTATTAAGAGAAGATGGGATGTTCACAAATTCCAATGTCTGTGTTTGGTTTACAAGAGTAGAAGCAACACTTTTTAGTACCTGTGTGCACATAATGAAATGCAGGCATCAAGTCATCAAAGTTACCAACTTTTACATAAATATTCACGTGCATGTATACATATGTGCATTACCTTCACACACCGAATCTTGCTTGCACTGGGCTGCATCGTCCTTACCGAGTGGGACACATTGCAAGCCCTGTGACAAAGGTCGACACCGACCTGGCTTGGACTGATCAGGATTTAACGTTGGTAATGATACTGGTGACGGTCGGATCATGATAACCCATACATTCTTTTATAGTTTGGCTAACATGATGTATTTAAATAAAATAATACCTTGGGGTTGTGATTCGTCTGGAGATGACAAGTTCGAATGTGGCGATTGAATCGATTTGTTGCTTATGTTGAGTGAAAAATCTATATTCACTGACCCAGGAGCACGAATTGGAATATCCACATCATCAGAGTTTGTAGATTGGTTTCGGATCCCAACTTTTCCAGAATTTGGTTTTATTGTCGAGTCTAAATAGTATTTCGAACCGCAAAATTCATGCAATACTTATGCTTCAGTTTGTACATACTTACTTATTTATGCTGTGACTATTATTTTTCTCATGCAGTAATAGAAATTACAAATTCTAAAGCACAAGCTGCAAAATCTTTGATTATAACATGCTTTAATAATCTACTTATATATTACAAGGAACTACATGAATATGATATACAAATTAAGAACATGCACATGCAGAAGTTCAAACCTTCTTCGTCGCATCACCTTCATTTTCGGAGGCAGCACTATTGCTGGGACTCAGCTCATTGCTGTCCTGACCGTGCTTCTTATCTCTCCGTCTTCGCTCCCGACTCTCGTTTTGAGGGGGAGGAGACGTTGTGGTTCGCATATTTTGAGAGTTGGAGGGAGGACCGGCTCGTTTGTGCCTTTCAACCTTACTTTCTGCGTCGCCAGCAGATCTCATTGACCGTTTATGACCTACAAGAGATCATAAATACTGAAGTCTCATGTTTCTAATTTGAACATAAATACAAATACTTAAGGAGATTTACTTTCACTCGTCATTTCTGGCATTGTTGTAGAGGCCATTGTCTCAATTTCCCCATGTTTCTTATTTCTCATTGCCATCATCCCAGGTGGAACATCTCGTTTTTTCTTCAATGTTTTTCGTTCATTAATAAAATTGTTTTTTGACAGCCTAGGAGCAGAAGCAGCAATCAGATCAGAAGATTCTTGCTGCACATCGCGACGTCTTTTTGGCATTGATGGATTGTCAGTAGTAATTTTTGTACCGTCCTCCTCATCTACTGTGCTTGACATGTTATCAGAGTCTCCGAATGTTGTGCAGGTGTTGTTGTCTGAATAATAAGAAGAATGCATTTAAGGTTTAGCTATGTATGTGTAATAAATAATAATAAATGATGGATGAACTCGAAATGAGGCAAAATGAGACAGGGACATTTTCTCCTAATCTCCATATCGTAGATTATGGTAATAATTTCATAATTTAAAGAATTCTATATTGTCTTCCACCCACCTTTGCACATATCCTTGTTACTCCCATCCGTATGATTTTTTACCCAGTTGGCCCCCGAGTTGATTCCTTTTCGAACTGACTCTTTAACAGTGTTTGCAGTAGTTTTGACCTTGTCCCAACCCGAACTCACGCCTTGCTTTATATTCTGTCCCACGTCTTTAAAAAATCCTTGCACCTTGCCTGCAGCATCCTTGATTTGTTTTTTCACATCTGTGGCTGATGGTGTCGTAGTGATTGCATTTCGGGTTGAATTTGTATCAATTTCCATATTCATTGAAGAACTGCTGGAAGAATTTTGTTCAGAGGAACAACAAGTCTGCAGGCATTCACAACATTTGTCAACCGTTTCGTCATCGATTGGACACGATTCTTCCTTTAATGAACATGATTATTGAGAAATTAATAATTGTTTTCTTCTCTTCATGTTAAAACTTGTAATAATTACCTTGCAAATGGGCCTGATTTGCTCAACAAGCATATCACAATTTACTTTCTCGTCGGTGGCAGATTTTTCAGGTTGAGTCCCATCTTCAATGCTCGGGGTAGCATTCTCTGTTGCCGCATCTGTGGTCAATGAGAGGGTCTGACGCCTTGCTCGTGGTACCACCACATTACTCCAAATTGAAGGAATCGATTCAGTTTGAGGAAGGAATGTTCCCACAAAGAGAATAAAAATCCCGAATGACGATATCTTTGAATTTATATGCATACATATAAACTAAATTTTGATTAATAATTCATTTGTGATCTATAAATGATGGCCCGGAAAAATCTGCATTTTACACTTTGCTTCTTTCCTTGCTTGTTATGGGTTGTATCTATCCAATTTTGTGGCGCAAATGGATCTGTCCTGGGAACAGTCAAGCCCTCCCCTCACTCTCTTCCGGGATATCATTTATAATCACTCCTCACTGATGACGAAGATTTTATTAATTTTCAGTTTCAAAACTTACCACATTTCTCCGCATTTTACAAGCCCGTTTAGATTCCAGTTGTACTTCTATTACTGGTTTGACAAGGTATCCCTTAACTTACAAAAATTCTACTTCATAGGTCAATAACAGTACGAAATATGCAATTTTCGACGTAGGAACAACAATTTCCACAACTTCCCACGGCTACCGCATCCTGCAATAAGACTTTCCTGATTAAAGTCATGTCATCCAATTATCTTTGGATCTATTTATAAATATTGCATAGACCATGTCATCAGCCATCATGAGGGATTCAAACATGTCGAGAGACTTCCGGTCCTTTCACAAATGACAATGGCAATGAGAAAAAGATCCATTATTGTCGTCATCTCACTTGCTGTGGTCAGTTTCATTAAATTAATGCCCGCTTTAATTGGCATACGTATATGTAAATACATATAAATAGCATCCAGTTGAACTTGGAAAGACCAGATTTTCATTCGATTGGGTTGGACAGGAATGAAAAATATTTTTGTAAGTTTCGATAAATTGTGAATTTGGTGATTCTCTTCTCTGTTTATTGATAAATATGTGTGTACAGTAAGTAACTGCATACTACACAATGAACTTTTTGAATCATGCTTACATCGCATGATGCATATGTATATTATGATCTTCTTGAAATGCAATTAGCTATAATGGGATGATGCCACGTAAATGTTGAGCCAGGTCTCTCATGAATATATAATGATGTCGCATGTTGAATTTGAAAACGATCCTATTGTAGTCCGTTTCCTTAATTTGCCTGATTGTTATGTAAGTAACTCCAGTATACTCACTCATTGAGGTATACGGGCATTATATAAAAAGAACAATTTTCTGCCTAAATAATGATGAATGATCCAAACCGATTGTTACGATGGAGGTCCATCAATGAATGATGGATAAACTAAAAAAGCTCGTAACTTAACTGCAATCATTTGATATACACTTACATGGAGTAAAATTGACAAGGTCACAATGATCTGATAGATTTTGCATGTTATCAATACTATAACTTGCACATATTATGTATCATGTTATTAATAGTGAATGAATAGTTTATTTAATTGTCATTCAATTTATTGTTAATTTTCGTTTAATTATGAATATCTTGCAGGTAAAACTGTGAAAAAGTGCACACATTAAATAAAAGCTAGAAGGCGTTTTGTTAAAACATTTAAAGCTATACTACGGAACGACTCTATTGAATTAGTCCGAATTAAGTGCTTATTGTTTTTCTACAAATATCTTCAATCTTAGAGCAAAGTAGGCTAACACTCGACAGAGAAGAACAAGTGCAAATAGGCACAGTGTTTGCTCCATCACGTCGACATCTTTGCAATCCAACTGTTCCAGAAATTTCCTAATTAAAACAATATTATTTAGTTGGATAAACCCAAATTATATATTAAGTAAAACTATAGTCGTTTTCATCATATTTGTACCTCGGATTTTTGAAGTGACAATATGGCTGATGGCACTTTAAGTCTGCTCTGTCGAAACCATACACTGCAGTTATGGCGGATTGGAAGGCATATTTTGCATACGAGCCATAAGACATCCATCGCAGATAAGCTGGAACGCTGCTGAGCGTTACAAAGAAGCCTCCAAACAAAAATACTGGAATCGCTGTAATACGTGCATACAATCGTTAGAGGTATGTATGTATGTATATATAATCGCTGTTATGTGTTTATCGGTGATAAGTTCATACCTGTGATTGGTGCGACAAATACCGCAGACTAAACAAAATATTATATATGTTACCAAGTTATTTATCCTGATTCATACAAATGTTCGTATACTGCATCTTCAGTCAAATTTACCTGGATATGACAAGCAGCCCCAATCAGGAGACCGAGAGATTGTGCTACCAAACTTATCATTGTGTTCATCGCAACGATGATCCAAAAACGGAATGCTTCATGTGGCTGTAGGTAATCAGGAGAGGTATTTATTTTAAGTAAATACGTATGTGCAAATAAATACTCTAAGAAACGAGCAAAACGCTAACCTGATCCGTCATAAAGTAGGTAATCACAGTGTACAGCAAAGGAAAGAATAACTGTTGAGGAATTATAGAATGTATCACGTTTTTTAAGTTTTAATTATCGAGTTTTAATTTACGCACCTGAAATGGCATGTCGGCCAGTGTTCTGGCCAAGTAATACGATTTGAGAGAATACCAGCAATTCAAATGTTCTCGTACCAAGACCCCACGTTCAAGAGGAACTGCATATGTGAAAGAACCATTGAAGGTTTAGAATGGCTTTAAAAATCGTCAAAAATCAAATAGTAAACTAAATATATGTAATGCTTACAAGTAAGAACCGTGCTCATCATGGCAGAAAATACCATGAAAAGTAATCCGAAGAAAATGTTTCCTGCATTGTTGAAAGTTTGGTCTGCATTATTTCCACTATCGTGAAAAATTGCTCCAATGAGTAGACCCACCAATACAGTTGAGGCGAATCTTAAATGCGTCAACATCTGCGATTTTTCGTAAAAATATTTACAATTTTTTTTAGCAAAGGTCATATCTATAAACTTTCTCATGCATATTTCTCTATTCCCCGTACTCACCAAATCTCGATAAATACAGAGAAAAGAACGCTTTAACAAAACGGTAAACTGGTTACAAAACTTGTACACGCGCCCATCATCAGACGAAATTGTTTCCTCAGAGTCTCCATCCGGCGACATTAGTGCAACGGAAACATCCTTATCTTTACTGCTGCCAATTCTATCAAGTCCCTTGTTATCTTTTTGGTAGGCACTGAGTGAACTGTTTTCTACTTGATGATGACTGTCTTCGGCATCAGAAATGTCATTAGCTAAGCCTGAATCTGATTCTGAGCTTAAAGCTGTCGCCTTCTTTAGCATGGAGATCCAATGGTCCCCGTAGTCACCAGAGGCGACTTCAATTGCTGCAAAAAAGACGCCACATCCGCAATTAATTAAACCAACTATTTACAAGTTCAAAATCCTGTCGAACTAATTATATGCAACCTACCAAAATCTGCTGGATTATGATAAGCTGGACAATGAAGACCTTGAAAGGACAGCAAAGCATCATTTAGATGTGATTTTTAAATATTTATAGTTCTCCGATAATTAATAACAGACCCTGTTTTGCCATGAATGGAACAAGAGATGAAACTGGTCCTCGATACAAGCACATTCCACCAGAGAGAAGATACAGAGCGTCAAACTGTTCAAAAATACGGGCAGAAGGCTGATGAATAGTTGCAATTATTGTCCTCCCTCCCATTGCCAACGCTTTAAGAAGTGCGACACAACTGTAACATGAGGCCGAGTCCAGACCTAAGTGAATATGTGTATGCACGTGCCATCAAAAATTGAAACATGAAAAACAATTACGATAATAATTTAAATTGATATTTTACCCGAAGTTGGTTCGCTATTAATTAAAATAAATAAATAAATAAAATTAAACTTAAAAAAATCTTTAATTTAATTAACTTATTTAACTTCTTTAATTTAATATGAATGAAAACTTACTCGAAAAACATCAGCTCGGCTATAAAATGAATGGTTTAAGTAAGATAATTTCAGAAAATCAGCAATTGGAAAAAAATGCAAAAAACACTTACGGTTATTTACAAGCTCTAGTGCAATTGCGAGTCGCTTTCTCTGGCCACCAGAAATATTTGAGGTTCTTACATTCTTGCATTCTGATAATCCGATCATATCCAGGATTTCTGTGACCTATAAATAAATAAGCCTAATTTTTAGCCTTTAGTGCGTGCAGATCTATGTATTTTGATAAATAATAAAATTGACTAACCACAAGTTCTCTTCTTTCTTTGCTTGTACGCCTTGGAAGCTTTAGCTGTGCCGCATATCGCATGGCTTCCAGGACGGTAAGGTGAGGAAGTAAAACATCGTCTTGCATAATGTAACATGCCATCTTCCTGAACTGTGCGAGGTCTCGACGCTTGCCGTTCACATTGACTGTCCCTTGAATATTATGTGTCCTGAAAAGTTTTCCCAAAATTCAGTTGATTAAACTATGCACGATAAAACGATTTTCTCCTTATTCATGATTGTACATAAGATCGTACTTGTATCCTGCTAAAATGTTCATTAGTGTGGATTTTCCTGCCCCTGACGGCCCCATTATTGCTGTAAATATATATGCAATGAGTGACACCAGTGTGCACTTATATATTTATTTGAGGTTATTTTAATGGTCCATACCTGTAAGTTGTCCAGGCTTAAATACACCAGAAACATCTTTCAAAATATATTTCATTTGTTTAGAAATATTGGATCCAAAGCTAGAACTTCCTTTCGAGGACGCCACATCGCGAACCGAGTAACGCAAGTCGGAAAACTCCAGTGAAACTGGGGGGTGAAAGGGAAGATGAGAAACCAACATTTTTCGGGCGTTGGAAGCTCTGAAAATGTCAAAGGGACAAATTTTTTATTTGCACTATGTACAACATGGAAGTGTCATCTCATTTACATATTCTGAGGAAGAAATTGGTAGAATTTGTCAATTCTCACGTTTCATTCATAACTGGCGAAGCGGAACAAATTGAGATTCACAAAAAACAGAGTTTCCATTCATTCATCTCCATTCTAAATATTTTCCATGCAATATATTAATTGTCGACTACATTTCTTACGGTTCTACTTATAAACATATTCAGACTTCATTCAGATACAAACCAAGTCAGCCATGGGTACGTATAACTCTCCCTAAATGATTCGTATGCAATATACACATTCTGTCAAAAATATTTAAAGATTGGAAAAGTTGAGACATTAACCAAAATTTCCAACAATATGTATGCCAAATAGGCTTGAAAAATAACATCCAGATCTGGTGCTTGAATTGATTTACATAGGTTAAAATACAAAATCCTGGTAAAATAAGTAGTTGATGTTACCCGCAAAGGCCACAAACCATGAAACCTTAACGTTCTGCCCAATATATGTACAGATGCATTTCTAAAACCTCATACTTACACTGGTAGTGGTGGTTGTGCCGTCGTATTATTGGTATTTGGTTGTTGCATAACCACATTTGTTGATAATAATGGTAACCCATCAGCGTAATTCACATTCAGCTCGTCATCCCCCTTGGCCGCACGTGGAGACGCATGATAATTATTTGTTCCGCCACCATCATCGTGGTGCTGATGAGGCGTACTTTGTTTCACGATTTGATCTTGGTTGACATTATTATAATTGTTGAGACCAGCACTGCTGGACTTTGTAACGTCATTGAAATGTCCTTCATTGCGATTTGTCTCATTAATAAGAATGCCGCAATTGGCTGTGCTCCTTCCTTCTGCGGTCAAGGTCAGCCCTTTGTCTGCCTGGGAGGTGTTAGTATTCATCTTCTTTCTTATTTTTACAACGTATACACGTGATCAGTAGTGAAATTTGACGAAAAAACGTTACGGACTAGCGAGATAAAGTTATTGTAGATTATGCAAAATATCACAGGCAGATGAATATGATGGAATGAGAATTCTTAGCACTTTATATACACGAGTTGCATGTCTTTGAAACTTTACATTTTTAATTCCACAAGTAATCAATAAGGCAAATGCTTATGATCGATATTTGTTTTGTCCCAGTTGTATTGAAGGAAAAGCGTTAGTTGTGCGCTTGTATATGTAAGACCACTTTCACCAAGGAACTAGTTTATTTAGCACAATATTATTTACCGTCAGAAATGGAAGAGTCACTCACTGCCTAAAGAAATGTCTCATGTATGCAGCAGTTAAGTTAAATAACCTCGACAACTGCTACATACAAAATCAGAGTGAGAACGGATCAGTTGACTTGTACGAACGTTGTGAAATAATGCAATCAGCCGACTATGTTTTGTAAAACACATCTGCTTTTGGAGGGGACCGAACCGAGTGTGTAAAATTATCTGTGTAATGTTTTTTATCGCAGGAATAGTACGGTTCCGTACTTACAGATATTTTTGCACGCTCTGCTCCCTAATAACTATCACACTACTGAGCAAATATGTAAAATGGACATCTTCTGCATGGTCGTTAATGCCATGCATGCAGTATGGAACAAACTATTGTTAAGCCAGGCATGAAATTCACGCAATGAATGTTTGATTGTTCATGAATATAGAATACAAGTAATAATATGCATATCACTGAAGACCGAACTTTGGAACAGTAGATTGTACACAATCTAATCCATCCATATAATACTTACTCGCATGCATATGCACAGAGTTGGAGCACAATGGAATGGTCAAACGAGGAACTCTCAAGTGCATCGATTTGCATCCTCATTTATTGCTAATTTAATAATGATGCTGTATTGTAATGAGGATGAATGTGTAATGTAATAATACTGATGGAAGTAATTGAGTTTATGTCCATCCCAGTAAATTAAATTATATTCATAATGCACAATCAATATACTACGAGCAATATGGAGAGGAGATGAATGTTAATTGAAAGTCTGGTCACTACGTATTGAGGAATTTGGGCATATTTTCATTCATATATAAAACCGTAGATTATTATATTACTAAAACCAGACTCTTACTTAATGTAAATACTTATATGCTGGACAATAAAAACCTTTGCTAAAATGGATAGAATCGTTTTTTTTCAAGATGATTTTCAAGAATAATTGCTTAAATTAGAATAAATATATCCTTAAAAAACTCAATTAATTGTCTTTCAATTAAATGACCTATTTGCACTCCGTGCAAATATCTAAAATTGGACCAACTGAGTAAAAATTCCATTCCAGTCGGGTAGTAAAGTGTGTATGATATGTGGGTGCTTTGATTATGATAAAAGAACAAACCATTCAATTAATTTGTTAAATAAACAAAGATCTGGTTAGGTAAGCACACTTATCGCCCACTCTGCTTGTATAATATCAGTGATAATTATTTGTTTTCTCATGTAAACCGTGAGTTAATATGGTATGTAATATTTTCACAACTTGTAGTTGCTTGATAAAGACGAGAACCTTATCAATTTATTTCTTGTCTGGTGAACAAATAGGCGTTTACTGAAACAATGTTGAGAACAAACAATTTGACTCCAAAACCATTCTCATACTGAAGCTTGTGGATGACTAATCCAAGTTATGCCAATGTCCAGCAGCATCAGCAAGATAGCCATTTTTTGCATACCATTCGACTTCCTTTCTGAACTATATACTTATATTTTCACTTAATCCAATTATAATTACAACATTTAGCATTCGTCATGCGTGCACTTATTTCCCCCTCAATTAAAAAAACTAACTATTCCATAAAATATTTTGCACGGAACGTGGACTTATGGCCGTAAGCATGCGAGACTCATATTTTAATAAATAATTCAGCAAGTTTCTGTTTTATGCGATTTAGTTTCCGTTTAGGTAAACTACTGAAACCTTTTAACGAAAAAAGTAATCCACCCACTTCCCAAACAAAGCGTGCTGAGTAATGGCCACTTAAATTATGAAGCTTTGATAATAATAATTCTCCATCATTTTCTTTTGATCTGTTTGTTCACACAGGCTTTTGTGTGGCCTTTTAAGATACATGTTTAGTATGGAAGGCATACAAACCTGGAGTTTGGGCTAAATTGATACCTATTTCACCTATATATATTCATGCATATGCAGCATTATGCGTGTTGATAATAACCAATTACGATGTGATCGATGCCAATCGAATTACACACTTTTATGACTTTTAAATTGATCTCACAAATAAATGGTGCAAGTCATGAAATCGTAAATCAAGGCTCAAAAAATGCAGGCCAATTTTTTTATGAAATCCGATTTAGTAAATTATAGGTAAATAAATAAAAGATCCATGTCAGTCATATGTACATAGGTTACAATTTAACTTAAGCATTAATATGTGTAATTGTAGTTTACTATATAAAAACTAATGCTTACAATGCTTTAAATCGTATGTAAGCAGGAGTACGTAAATAGCTTAATAATATGAGTCCGATTTTTATTACTTCCAGGATGGTAAAAAAATTAAAGCTAATGTATATATGTACATAAGTTGTGCAGACTGTGAGCCTCTGTATTGTTGGTGCATATTATACTTTAGCAATTTTTGACTCTGGCAAACACATTTTTATCAGATCTTTAGCATAAAACGAGTTTGTCACTGTTTGGATAGTGTACACAGAATTTTTAAAGGCTGAAGATTAGCTATAGTTTAAAATACAAATTCATACGCTTGAATCTCGGAGTTGCGGACTGTGCCCTTTAGTACAACAATTCTTATAGGAGTGTTTCGGACCTCTGTGTATCACTTACCACTGCACAAACGTTGTCGAACAAATAAATAAATAAAATATTAATGCACCTAAAATTTTCAAAATTTGTAATTCAATCGGAACCCAATCAGATAGTATTAATATATGTAAGCCCCAATAAATATGCATATTTAAATAGATAAATTATTACGTATACTTTATTATTAAGTCATTTTTTATGCTTTAGATACTGGGCATTGTGTTTCACATACTCCAATAAAAAATTGCATTCATCCCTTAAACAAATATGTAGCGATTTATAACTGCAGACTGACCATTTGAATACTTTTTTAATGTACTTCAGAACGACACTACCCAAGCTACATGTTTTTCAAACGCTTATTTCTTCATTTGAAGTTTTATGAAGTGGTTCCATTTAAATTCAAACAAAATGAAAATCTACTGTATAGGTATCATAATTTCAGCAAGAAAAAATATTTTTGCGTTCAATATTACTTACCTTAAAAATAAATTCCCAAAACAAGAATAACAGTCACAATAAAATTACACAGTTTTTGGAATATTTTCATTCCAAGCGCTAAGTTATATCATATTAAATTGGAGCCATGAAAATGAAGACTGATGCTGAAGTGAAGAACAAAAGGAAAAGTCATCTTAAAATTTAATTAATGATGCGAAAATGAAAACTGGTTCTGCAAACATAAGTCATGCAGATAGTCAAAAGAATTGACACTGCAGCCTAAAGTGTGTTTGTCGTATATTTGGCATGCACGCTACATAAGCTTATCCATTATATTTAAGTGTTAGACTTACACTAAACTAACATTTAGACGCAAATTAAATTTTGTGATGTCTAAGGGGAAAACTATTACCAAATCAAAACAAATATTTGCATACAACTGATGTAATTAGTATATGTACATTGACTTAAGAACATACTTAGCAAAATATAAGCGTATGAAGAATGTATCAATGTATGTATGTCAAGGGTAGGGTACCCAAATAGAAACATTTAGTTTTTAAAATAAGATCCAAAAATTGTGTCAATTTATTTTATTAACATGAAGTTTATGAATTTGGTAATCTATTTGAGTAGTATACATACAAGCATAATAAATGAATGTGATTTATCAGTCTGGCAAAAGTTAGACGATCGAGACGGATGAGTCATTGTTCACAATTGACCAAAGTTGTTTTTAGTGCGTGCATATATTATACACATAATGTGAAGCTAACTTATGGGAAAATTTCCGAAAACATAATACAGGATTGCAAAATTTTGTCCCATCATCTGATAACTGAACCTAACTACACATAAATACCTAAGCCACTATTTGATTGTACCAAGTGGGATCTAGCTCACTTTAGACAATGTAAATTTGAATAACTACTACTATATATTGCCAATTAACAATTTACTACATATGTATGCATGTGTCACAAAGCAGGATTTCTGTACCTGTATTCTTTCTCCAACGCAAGGTTATTCATTTCATCGTCCTCACAAGCTACCAAGGGACCCTTGTCTCCTTTCCACATAGGCTTTGATGTCATAATGTTATACACACAATCTAAATTAACCCCAATTAAGTATTATTCCTGAGACACTCCATTGCACAATCAGATTTTAAAAATAAATATTTCACTGTTTACTAAACTCCGAAATCATTAGGATTTCTCAAATTCTGCATGCACAGAAAACTACACTGAACAACGTATGCAATTCATGCATTCATTATGGATTCGAGTATTGGTATTTAAAAGAACACTTTACACGTAACTTATTTATATCATCATAAAACTTTCAATTTTCATGTTGTGTAACTTTTCCTTTGTAACTGTCCGGTACTACCACTACCAGCTCGTTTGAAATCTTGACTAAAAAGACTTTTAAAATAGGAAGTGCATGTTTAGAATCGCGTCTTTTATTTTCAAATGTCTTTAATTATCCAGGCGTGCTGTAACCCGAAGGCATTGCATTCCACTGCCGGTCATTCTCAGTTAGCTCTTGTTGTAAAAGACGCACACGCCATTTTGTATGCCTTTTTTATTGCAGTCTTTATACCAGACAAATTTTTTCACAATAATAGGCATCAAGAGGTTATTTGAAGTCATTTGCTTCGATCCACAAAAAACAATGGGTAAATGCCCACTAGGCGTTCTTTTAGCATGAGACTATTTATTTTGTAAACTAGCTGCTTACATACATCTGTAAATACATTGTGTGTGTATTTATGTATGCAAATATGTAAATGTTCCTTAGTATTTTTATTAACAGCAGTTTTGCAATATTACATCGTTTGCTTTTGATACATATCAAATAGTATAATCTGTACAAATGTCATTTAGAAAATAATTTTGTAATTGTTTAACTCAAGTGAACCAAAAACTTAAATACAAGGACATCAAAAAGTTCACCACCAGGGTAAATTATGTAATCATGCACTGGACTAACGATCAAATTAGATTTAGTTGCCTTATTTTATTTTACTTTTTAAAAAGTCAATAAAAATAATAAATAAAATTTGACGTACAATGCGTACTTATAAAAATTAACGAAAAGAGAGCAAATGAGACAAACTTGAGACAAATCCAACGAGCTAGCTTATAAAATCTCAAGTCACCTCACCACCCTGACCGCACATTCAACATTCTGCTGATTCCATTGTTGATTTTATACACATGTTTAGATTCTGAGTCTGACAAAAATAATTCATATGTACTCAAAAATCCTCTATTTTTTGGGTTGTAGGAAAATTATATAATTTATTTACTGATTAATTACTTATTATTTTTAATTCGCACTCATTCAAAATGGAAACAAATCTATCAGAAGACAAACCATCTGCGACAGTATTGGTGCAAAAAATTTGCTCTATTTGCTCAAAACCGTGTGATTCTAGTATTTTTTCAGAAAATGAAAATAATCAACTTTTGCAATGTTTTATCAACCTCGTTAATTTATCATCTTCACAAAAAATTGTTTGGAAATTCGGCCCTCATACGAAAGAGGTGTGGTCATTATGCGGGGAAGATAACTGTGTGCAATTTGCTACCCAACTTGTTAACCTGATCCAACAGCTTTTTAACGTGAAAAAGGAAATTCGCCACAGTTTAAAGAACCTTTTTGAAAAATGGGGACCCAATTGTGATGGGGATGTTGAAGGTGAATATTTTTTAGATGTAACATTTAATGATAGTACGCAAGATAGCGTGTGAATGATGTTCAGATATTATCAAAGCAGTTACATTTTTATTTTTACAAATAAATTACAAATGGTAATGTATTCTACATATTTCTAGAATGGAGCCGTGAACTCTTGGGTGGTTTCTACAATCTGGACGAAAAGATGTTGCTCGATTTATCACTCAATGTAGAAGAATCGTTAGTGTCGTCGAATCAAGAAATGGCGATAATCTCAAACTTGAACCAAAATCTGGATAATACTATTCAAATCGATTACAGTAATGTCTTTAATTACGAGGGTCAGAAATTGGACTCTTCTTCCAGTTCTGAAAATATAATAAAAAGTAAGTATGACTTTAAAAACATTCAATGTTTTCTGCTGATGTTCTTGTTTGACGTGTTGTGATTGTTTAAGGTACAGCGAAACGTGGCACAACAGGAAGAAGGAAAACAAGTGGCACTCAAAAGACTTTGCGGAGAATAAACGAAAGAAAATCGGTTCAAGCATCAACCACTTCAGGTTTGAAATCATGTGATAAATGTGAAAAACAATTCAATTCTGCAACTTCATTACGGACACACAAAAGGGCACATGTTCGTGAGGGCAAGAGTAAGTTGAATAGTTTATTAGCTACGCAGATTGTTAAAATTCATTGCTTCATGTTTACAAATTTTATCCTGATTTAGGTGCTGACGGAACCTTTCACTGCACTCATTGCTCTTCAATCTTTCTCACTCTATCAAATTTGAAAGAACATAAAAGCAAGGAACATGAGCAACTCAGAGACTTTTGTCCAATTTGTAATAAATTTATGTCCAAGAATTTCTTACAACAGCATCTCCACTCCCACTACATGAATAATTCCACTCCAGTTCCCGTGGTCGATGTTTTTTGTGTCATTTGCACCAAACCCTTTAGCTCTGCGTTACTTCTCGCCTCGCACATGGATGTAAGCATAGTTCTACAATTAATTATCAAAATTACTGTTATTCTTAAAATTAATCAAAATTACAGGTGCACAAAGGCGACTACTCTTGCGAAGTGCCCATCTGCAGAAAAAGCTTTTATTCACGCACGGCAAAAGTTAAACATGTTGAATTTGTTCACGGTGAAGGAGAGGAACAACTTGATTGCCAGTATTGTTATCAAAATTTCAATCCTGGATCTGAAGACGAATTTCAGCGTCATATAAAAAATCATGAGGATCAAGTGATTAAGAGAACTTATTTGTGTGAGAATTGTGGATCTTATTTTAGAAGTAAGAAGACCTTACAAACTCATTTACGCCTTAATCACCCTAAAATCAATAATGATTCTGAAGAGCATAAATGCCAGGTATAGTTAATGGCCATAGCATATTTATACGTGATTTATTCTCAGGCTGTGTCTTTATGTCGATTTTTTATGTATCTAGATTTGTGAGAAATCGTTCTTAACACCACAACGTCTAAAAGTACACACGCAAATCCACAAAAATTCAGCATCTGCTTCCCCTTTCACCTGTCCAGAACCCGAATGTGGAAAAGTATTTAGTCAAAAAGTGTCCCTTGATAGTCATTTAATGGTCCATCACTCTGGGAAGATGCGATATAAATGTACACTTTGTGATCACCCTGGGTTTACGTATTCTCAAGGTTTGCGAAGTCACGTGTACAAGCATCATAACGAAATGTATACTTCCGGTGGCAAAAACCACGTGTGTCATGTTTGTTACAAGAACTTTGTTACAGAGGACGAGCTTCTTCTTCATGTAGGAAACCATGAAAAGCTCAAATGCCAGGTATTAAATATCCACCAAACTCGTAAATAAATATAACAGTTCGTCCCATATATATATGTATGACATGCGTGATTTAAATTATATTTTTTAGCTGTGTTCTAAGCAGTTTAAATCAATGAATCATCTAAAAGGTATACTTATGTTATGCATAAAAATGAAACCTCGATTACTCTAAATAATCTAGTTATATAATCTGTATAGTTAAAATCTGTAATCTGTATAGTATAAATCTTTTGTACATTTTCAGAACACACTTTGCGTCATGCTGCAATTCGGCCCTTCAAATGTCCTCAATGTCCTTCAAAAGGTTACGTCCGACAGGCGCAGTTGAACGAGCACATGAAAAAAGTTCACCAAGATTCAGAGCTTCAACAAATCCAGCATCATAATAATCTCATTAGTGTTCAACACTTAGCCGAGCGAATTACATATGTTATTCAAATACCTTAGATAATTACTCATGCTGTTTGTGTTGAAATTAAAAATAAGTTTGAGCGTAGTGTATTTTCGATAAACAAATCAAGTTGCATTTTAATGAACAATTTCATCAGCATTTAGATGTGGGCATATATTTACATTTCTTATCTTTCAAATTTATGAGAATACAATAGTGAATTCAGAATTTGCTGCTAATGTTAATCCAGTCAAATTCACCTCCCCATTTGGCTTTTGAGTAAAGCTGGTCGTTACTCCATTCACGGTGACACTCGTCACTGGTCCGAAACCAAGAAGACGAATCGTTCCCAACGTCTTCGTAGCCATATCGGGATACCCATCCATTACGACAGTGGAAGTTAAGGACCCAGACATCATGGAATATTCAACGTAAAAGTATTGTCCATTAAGATGAGTATCTATTAATCAAGAAATAAGCAGGTCCTTAAAATTATTTGCCACAAACTATGTACATAGCCTTAAATATTTATTTATGGATTTATACCGATGCCTTCTCCGTCGTCATAAAACAAAGAACCACTCGCACTTCCAGCGTCATTCAAAACTACGGTTAGTCCAAATGGATTGTTCCTCGCCGCTTCCGTGTTCCTTGCATGTTCTTGAGTCGGAATTATATTTCCTCCTGCCAAATGCACGTTGATGACTTCCTTTGGTGCAGCAAGGGTTAAAGTTCCCATTCGAGTAGTAATTTCATTTCCAGTGTAGTAGTCAAAGTGCCGATTGTCAGGAAAATAGGTTACTACAGACGTCGCTCCTTCTCGGAGCACAGGAGAAATAAGAATTCCAGAACCCCACATGAACTGCTCGTCCACGGGATAGGTCATAGAGTCGCTGACATAGTTGTACCATAATGGTCGGAAAACAGCGCTACCTCCGGTGGCGTGCTTGTAGAAAAGTGTATACAAGTATGGCAGCAGTGTGTATCTCACTTCCAATGCGGTTTTTGACGACGCCGCAACAGCAGGACCCCAAACCGCGGGATCTTGGTCCTAATTATTTATTGAAAAGTACTAAATTGATTACACTAGATGCAATTAGCCAAAATATGACCTTGTACTTACAATATTGCCTTTTCCATTGTGATTTCTGGAGAAAGGGTAGAATGCCCCAAGTTCCATCCATCGCTGGCACAAATCAGCATTAGAATAACCAATGAAGCCACAAATATCAGGTCCCACGTATGGAATGCCCCACAGATTGAATTGCATTACACCAATGATGGAATAGTGAAGGTTTGACCACCGAGACCAATTGTCTCCTAGCCAGTGAGTAGTCCATTTTCCCGAACCCAAAAATGTCGACCTCGAAAGAACAAGGCCACGTTTCCCAGTTGCTTCACGTACTCCACTACATCAAGATATAGATACATCCATAATAAGGTCAGTTTTAATTATAATATGGAATAGCATTTTCATAATAGTAAGTATTAAGAAAATCTTACACAAGGGTCGGCTTGGATTCGAACCAGCCATATAAAGAGTGCGTGTTGTAATGAATCGACACGTTGTCCACATGATCAGGACAAATTGTTTTCTCTGCAAGATTCTGTGTCGAAAAACCTGGTTTGAATGGGGGATAATTCCACCTATTCGCAGCGCAACCTTCATTAGAATCCCCACTATCAAAGTTTGCAGGTTCGTTCATATCAATCCATAGACCATCAAATGCTAAAAGTTGTTGAAACTCGACAATCAAAATTCGCCACCACTCTTGACAAGAGGGTTTGGAGTAGTCAGGGAAGAACACGGGAGCAGTTTGATCGCGGGGCCACACCCGCCCAGTTACTTAAGAAGTAATAAAACAGAATTGTTCTTGAAAATCCTTTTAAAAAACATCAGTTTAAAAAATTACCAGGGGTGCCATCGGCCTTTTTCACCCATACGTCCATCTGTTCTCCCAATGTAAAAGGGCGATAATCGGGGCCTTCGATAATACTGATGAACGGATCCAAAATGGTGACAAACTTGATGCCTTTAGCTTTTAGCTCTTGAACGTACGCTGGCAAGCCTCCAAACCGATCCTCAGACACGGTAAAGTCCAGCTCCATATGCATAATATCTATTTTATTCATAGGATAGTATAATAGACATACATAGGGCGTAATATCTCATTGAATAAAATTGAATATTAATACATACCAATATCACCATATTGAACTAAAATCATAAAAATATACATACATTATATAGAGCAAAACTCAAAATTGAATTGGATGACTTGTGTAAATTATGTTCTGTAAATTCGTAGGTACTTTTATTACTTTATTATATATAAAGTAAACTGCCTTGTAATTATTTTGCCGAAATATTATAAATACATGCAATTAACTTACCATCGTGTGGGATTCCGGCAGCTTCGGTCCGATCAACGGCAGCCTGCATTTCCGTCAAATTGTCGTAACCGTATTTGCATAGCTGGAAACCCAAACCCCTTCAAGAATAAAAAATATCCATATTTATATTTATTTAAAAATACCCATAGGTATATATAAATAGATATTATTTACCAATAAGGTGGCATTTGTGACCGTCCCACAGCCTTTGTTAAAAAATATACAGATTACACCATTGTAAAGAATGATCCATGTCTATTACTTGTAATCTTGTGCAGAAAAATGCGTTTGAATACCTCTGTATACTGAGCTACTGAATCGTCGGGAGTTGGTCCAAGGAAGAAATACATGTCGAAAATTCCTCCAATGGTAATATATTTAATCATTGGACCTGGTATGATGTGCCATTCTGTCGAAACAACATCAAAAGTGAATTGGGGACATATATTGATCTAATCCTTAGATATTTATTTGAAGATCATGATCTTTTCTAACCTTGCGAGTTGCTGTTCACAATCGCAACTGCGTGAACATTGCCATCCCTCTCAATCACGGTATAGTGAGGTTGTGTTCCATACAAGGCAGTGGTGTGCTATTTTAATTTAACAATTCAATTAATATATCAAAATATAGATTTTAAGAATTGTGTCCCTACGTAAGGAGGTTGGTCTGCCGCCCACATTGGCCATTCCATTCTTTCAGAAAAATCGTGCTTGAACTTGCGTTGCTCATTTTCACCAATACCGTACACATTTTCTATAAAATATTGTATGCATAATTAAATAAGTATACAAGTCGAATATGCCCATTCTTGGACAGGAAAAAGATTTTTGGAGACTTTTTACCTGACGGGAGATTCCATGTCATTGACAGAAATTGGTCAGCAAAGGATAATTTTCCTGCGGCCGAGTTGAAGAGCACGGTTCCAGTGGAGCGTCGTACCACCCGGAAGGAAAATGGGGAGGGCGTGAACTGAAATTCGTACAGTGGGTTTGCATTTCCTCCCGAAGCCGGCTGGATTTCTAGGGGCACCTCAAATCTTGGAGAACCATCAGTTATCTGAGAGCAAATAAGTAATTAAGTGCATGTCGATTTTGCAGGAGTTAATAAACAGATAACCTAGTGGCAAATGTGTCAGTGTGTAAGAAACATGTACCTTAACTCTCAACCTGTAATCCGATTGGAACTCGGCTTCGAATATGAGACTGCTTGCTTCTCCTTCCCAAAATCGTCTTCCATTATTAAAAGTCTTTGACAAGTTGATTACAATACCTGTTTGTATGTAACAAGCACACGCATATCAGCAAACACTAGTGTACTAAGGAGACAATTATCTATTAGACTTCACTGTACTGGAAAATACGCTGCCCCCCAAATTTTAAGTGATTTGGATTAAAAAGGCATGATATCAAATTTTTGGGAAGGGGTTCAAATGTACTTTCGCGAAATAAAGTCTCAAAGTTATGCATTTTTGGGTCATGTGATATGAAAATCTGTTAAGCTGTCATGATACCGTTTGTTGTATTCACGGGTTGTCCAACTACTTGATAACCCGTATTATCCAGCGCAGCAGATTGAAAACACCACGGAATGTTGGCATTGGGAAGTGAAGGGCACCATGTACAATTCCGGTATCGACAACTCATTTCTGAAATCAGGAACAGATACATACTTAATTTAACTAGAACCAAAATAGTTGATGATTTGGAGAAACTACATATATTTATGTAGCTCTTTACAAGTAATTCGTTGGTATTTTATAATGTTTTATATTGTTTCGTTTTTATTAAGTTAAATTTTTCTAATTATTTGAACCACAAATATTAACTATAATGTCTTTAATTAAATTAATTAATTTACCATCAATTGGTTCATCCCCGGTGGTACAGTCGACCCTATTGAGTTTTGTTAAATAAGATTAAAATTAAATTCATAATGGCAAATTTACCCGAACTCCCTCATACACTCATACATATGAACATAAATAAAAAATACTATTGAAATACCTAATTTTAGTTCTTAAAATTTAGCTTTTCCGAAATGTTAACCCTTCATACAAATACATACCTATCGAGTGCTGGGTGGTATCCAGTGTCGCATGTTAGACCGGGTGGTTCTAGAAGAAGGAAATTATTGCAGCATAGATCTAGAAATATTTACTAGGACCATAAAATTAGTGATACTCACCATAAATAGCGTCTCGGAAAAAGCATGCGGGGAATCCAGGCCAAGTTTCCGTTTTGTCACACCTTTACCGAAATATTCGTAGTTAGTTAAGTATCTAAATAATTCGAAAGTTTATTTCTCGACCGATAATTACTATCCTGAACCTACCAAACACACCCTCTCTCTCGACATGCTCCCTCTGACGCGTTGGGCTCGGGATGACAATCACGTCGAATCTCGTTGGGAAGGTCTGCTTCCCGACATCCATAGCCGAAATCAGCCTGACCAAGAACTGCATATGTGGAGAGTAATATTTTGTTAATATTTTACTCTAATATTTAAATATGCGCATTATAATTAAATGTACTATTTAACCTGAATTTAGCGATGTCGCGACGAGAATGACCACCAATAGGGTCCCTGTAAAAACTGTTTGCCTCATTGCCATAATTCTGGCTACAGTTTCAATCCGAGTTCAAACTATTGCTGGAAATCAAGTTGGTTGCCCCATTTTATTCACTCTTATTAACGTCATTTATAAACTTATCATATCATTCAGATCCAGAGATAAAATTGTACCCACCGATCAATCAATCCGATCCGACACACCTGTCAGGAATGCTAAGTTTAATTCACACACGCCTCTCACCCAGTCAAATTTCTGTATCCAAATTAAATAAGGGGCCGTCCATAAATTACGTAACGCAAAAATCGTTATTTTTCAAACCCCCCCTCCCCCCTCGTAACGGCATCGTAACGCTTCTCGACTACCCCCCCCTCCCCCTTCGTAACGTAACGTAAATTTGATTTCACCGCAGGGAATTTCTTTAGCAGCAACTTGCAAAATTTTCATTTGTTCCAGGTTGAGTAAACAAATGTCGCTTTTATTGCTTCTATTTACTTTAAATTGCTAGATAAATTAGAATTTTGTGAATTTCTTGTCCAAGAACAACCGCAATCACATAGAAAGAAAAAATGAAAATTGTAAATCTTACAGGTCTCTCAACTTTTAACAAGACTTTTGCATCTGGAAAACCATTAAAAGACGAGTTGACAACCATCATGCCTCCTCAGTGACTTCGTTCGGGCTCAGGTGATCGGCAAATTCCGATCAAATTCTCATCTTGAAGGTAAGGCTCAATTTATCGTGAAACTTACGTCACACAATTGCCATCCGAGGTCACTGTGGAGGAATGATGGTTTACAAGTAGGCAAGAATTGTACTCTGCTTTTAATGTGCGCACCATAATGCAAAAGGTATATTTAGTATTTACATGCGTACACTGAAACCTTCTGACATGAGTTCAATCCGATTTTTAGTCGCGTTTATGAAATGTGTTACGTAACAAATTTGTTATACCCCCCACCCCCTACATAACAATTCGTAACGCTCTTCCCATAACCCCCCCTCCCCCCCTCTTGCGTTACGTAATTTATGGACGGCCCCTAACAACGTGATTACTTCGTGGGGTGGCAATGAAACGTCATAAATTGATTTTATTATTTGTTACGCCATTGATGAGTTACATAATTGTTTGGCTGTGAATATTTAAATAAACAAGCGGTGTTCTTGCTTATCACCATTGCTTTGAAGTGTTCTCGATTTTTAAAATCACTTATCTTGAGTCAAAAACGTTGTGAAAGGGGTTGAATCAATAAACAAAATGCCATAAATTGCATATAATCCTGATGATACCGTGAAAGAATTCTGACTGGGGATAAACTAACAATGATTATATTTAAACACTGTAAGAATTGTTGAAGTGGTTCTTAATCCAAGTAAAAAGCTTATCGTATATTATGCCAATTGTACATAGGTAATTTACATATATAATATATAAAAGTTAACATATTATGTTAACACTTTGTCGTAATAAAGTTTATTGACATTATAAAAGTGTTTTCTGTGTAATCGTAGTATGTATTTTATGATACGAGTTTCGCATCTTCGAAATGAAGTATTAGATGTTAAAATAAATAAATAACATCATAATTGGCTAGAGCAAACAAAATTGTATCATGAACTTGGTTATAAATAAATGTCACAAATTCCAACTAACAATGGAGGTCTCCCAACGTATGCTCACAGATTTGGACGAAATTAGTATCAATCGATCACAAATATAATTAGTATGAAATTTGCAAATGGAACTATCTGCCAATGCGCAGGTTTGGCGGAGATATTTGCATAAAAAGCGGAGAAAACGCACTAAAAGGCAGGCATATTTTTCATTTTCCAAATTTCCTGAGCATTTTTTCTGCTTTTTATGCAAATATCTCCGCCAAAACTGCGTATTGGCAGATAGTTCCATTTGCAAATTTCATAATAATTATATTTGTGATCCATTGACACTAGTTTGGTCCAAATCTGTGAGCATACGTTGGGAGACCTCCATTGTAAGTAATTGACTCAAGATGTATAATGATTTGCATAAATGCACGATTGTTATTGAGGGTGAAGTATGTATGTCATGTCATAAGCAATGATTGCATTTTCCTTAGTACGTTGAGTCGCCATGGCGCCGCGTCCTCACACTGCATTTGTTGTTAGTAATTTTGATCAAGAGATTTTCAGAAAAAGGCCAACTGTACATCTTTCGTCAGAGAAAGCTAACAGCGCACGATTCGCCATGTCGCCTATCCCACTTCATGGACGATTATTTCATATACGAGGTAATATTTCGAAGCTTTGCTGTATTGATAAATATTTTTTGCACATATTCGCATTAACCCTTTTTATTTTGTTAATTGCTCAGCTTTCCTGCTACTCGTACTCCTGCCATTGTTCTTGTCTGGGCTGGAAGATGACATATTTTACTTCACTTCTTTCAATAGTGAGTCTGTACATGAGCTATTTTAACTTACTACATATATTTAAATGATCATGATCGTTTAAATTTAACACTTTGTACCGTATCGTGAATAGACGTGTCCGAGTGGGCAGATGTTTATTCAACTTGCGACATCAATTTTACTTACCAGTACCGCTTTGAGAAGGTCACTTACCTTCATTTTTCAAATGCTGATGGATATGCACCACCGTCGCCCGCACCTGATGAAAACTGGACTCCCTTGTTTCTTAGTCTGGACGTGCAAAATCTTCCAAATACGCTGTCTCCAATTGAAATCAATCACAAGGACGTGAGCAATCATTGGAATATAAATGCCAATATTTATGCCAATACAATACAGTGTCTAATGTTTCATATTCAAGACTCACTGCATGGTCGAGTCTACGAAAAGGAATTGTTTGAATTTTGACCCCCACACACAGAATGAATCTGTCCTCATGATTTACAACAATCCACCCCCACCACTCGGCTCATTTAAAGTTTCCTTTGGATTCCAAAAAAATAAAGAGTGTGTTACCAACAGTCAATTCGCACCTTGTTACGTAAATCCAGAGTTTGGTAGAATTCGTGGAGGTACACATGCACATACATAAATAGAATATTGCATTAAACTCCGCGATGGTACATATCTATAAGTAAAATCACAAATTAATAAGTTGAAAAAATTAACATGTTTTTCAGTTGTTCTAACTGCGGACCGTGAAAATCTACGCAGTGTTCGCGAACAATTCACGGTGGAGAAGCCCAACGATTACATCTCCATTATCAACGGAGGTAGCCCAAATGAAAAAAAGTTTTACGAAGCCATTTTCATGGGGTCGAGTGAACCGCTGGATTGTAAAGATAAACGAAGTAGCCACATTATTGATGGGAAATGGTTAGTTCTTATAATTTTATATGCATACTACGTAAATTTTCAAGTAAATAATTTATTTCTGTAATTATTCAGTTATCCAATGGAAATTTACATGTATTTTGTGGACGAAACAATACCTACGATGGCTCTTACAACTATACTCGTTGTGCAAGTGGAAGTAATGGAAGTCCCCATTGATAAATGTGTTATTACGGTCGTATAGATCTATATTTTTTTTTGCTACAGTTGGGTGAAACCGAGAATCCGAATATTCGACCAGTTGTTGACGCTGTATCAAATTTGTATAATGAAGAACGACTGTTTCTAGCAAAATACGATCACCAAACGCGAGATAATCGAATGTTTCATCATATGGTGATTGAGACCAGTTTGATTTCATTGCACAATTGTTGCGATTATTATATTTAGGTCATAACCAAACTGAAGCTCTAATTCTCAATTAGGGACCATCTTCCGTGCTTCGCAATACCCACAATGAAACGGATACTGACTATTTTTTCATTCCCTCGAGTATCGACGTCGAACGACAAATTACCTCGATGATGGACCATTTTGAGAGGGTAAGACGTTGTTTAATAGTCAACATTTTTAAGTTACTTTAGTCACACTATCATGCGAAAAAATTCCAAGTTGAATGAAATCTACAGGTTCAGACCTATAAGGCCAAGACATTCTTCACATTTGAGCTGTATGAAAGTACCAAGGAAATTGAAAACAAATTAGTAAGGAGTGCTGTTTTCCAAACGGTGCCGCCATTAAAAAATGAGCTACTACTAAATACAACTACAAATAAGCCAATTCAACTTCCCAAATTGCTTGACAAGTTAAATTTGACTGAATATCAAACTGAAAATCCAAGAACAGTGTCGGATTTGACTATACTGAAAATGCGACTTCAACGATACCTCGTAACTGCGGCATACAATAATCATCTTGACCATCTACTGAGAGAAAATATCACATTAAATATTCCAAAACTGGACAACGCTTGGCCAGGAGCATATGAAGGAAATCCTATGAAACCTAATTTCACTTTTACAGACCTGGTCAATAAGTTTCTCAACCACCGGTACAAAGTTGAAGAAATTCTGAAACAGGAAGGAAATGAGAGCTCGACACTCGAGGTTTGTATGCGTCATGACTCCATCCATGTGGTTTTTCCTCCCTGATTAATCAACAACCGATTGATAAATTATCGCATAAAATATCGCTTTGTTTTATCATAAATATGCAGGGCAAAATTAAACAATTCATGACTGTCAAAGACGTATTTAACGAGGAGTGGCATAAAAAAAGAACGGCTATGTTTGATGCAATGAGATATGTCATTGAGGTAAAAATAATCCATGATACATATATTCTATATTTATAATATCGATAATCGTGATGATTATTTGTATCTAAGGATGGTTGTATACATTTCAATGTTGCAAACAAAGTAACGGCTGACGAGTTAAACAACGACACACTTTATAACGAAGGTGGAGAGGTGAAGATGTTTGGTTTTTACCCAAGAGCTCTTCGGGCACGAATGGACGACGCTGTGAGCCTCGCTAAAATTCGCATGATTCAAAGTACCTTGATTTATCCTTAAAGCAGCTACAGATAACTTTTGTTATTTGAAGGGCACAAAATCTTAAATATTATTTTGTTTATTAATCTGTAGGCAATGCACTTTTTACCAAGATGGACGAAACCTATGAAGAAATGGGATATAGTCTGAGAGATGAGCTAAATGTCAAGACTCATAGTCCTACATACTTGGGAGCAACAGTACACGCAAACATATCAAATTATACATGGCAGAATATTTATATCAAGGACACTTATGTCAACGACCACTTGAGAACGTTTTTATTTCAAGATGAATTTGGGAACAGAGAAGACCACCCATTCTTGTATAGTGTGAGCTACCCTTTTTAATAACAATACGTACACACATAGTACAACGTTGGTAAATTTTTACTCGTTTTTATTACTCAATTGGTTTCATTTTTGACAGAAATACAAGAAAACGGAACCGAGATATGGGAAAATAAAGTATCCTGAAACACCCGGCTCCCCTGAAGGGTTAGAATTATTGCTCGGTAATTTGGGATTGCCTGTGAAGGATTTCGAGCACTTGGAAAAATTGACTCCAACCACTGTTAACTTACGAAATAATTTTCAAGTATGGTCACAAATATTAATAAAAAATAATTGTTTTGTTTTGTCATTTTACCATAAAACTACTTCAAATTATATCCATGTGTATGTAGGTATCCTGGTTGCTTCCCAAAGGAGGAGGTTACTATCGATATAAAGGTTCGTCGCCTGTACCCCCATGCTTCGGTGCGGAAGAAGTAATCGTATTCCGAAAACCAATTCAAGCCAATCGTGATCAAATACAAGCTTTGACCACAATTCCAACTTTCCAGTTAAAATCTCGCGATATTTTCAATACATTTGGAATTCGTCACCCAAGGCGCAATACCAACAATTATGCCTCCAAATACGTTCTGTTTGACCCACGAAATCATCAATTTCTAGTTGGTGATGGAGTGCACAAAAATACCGTTTTGGAGTATGCAATGCGTAAGAACAAAACCAACAAGGCTGGTTCTCTTTATCATTCTACATCAGTACATTACTCTAGAAGTGGGCTTATCCATGCATGTGTCAATCTTCTTATTTTTCTAATTCATGAATAACTAGTTCTGCGTAGCTTTATGAACCTGTTCGCATTTTGTTTATGAAACGTGTATTATGGATAAATCGATCTTTCACAGTTTATTGAACACCCATTTGTCTTTATATAAAATAATAAAATATGTTTAAAATATATTATTTTTTAGGTCGTTAACTAATTGAACACAAAATGTGAATTAAACCGAAAACGAAGGATTTGGTAATTTGTTAAAGGGTTTCATATTACTCTTCACCTCTAGTTTTCGTTGAACATAAGTTGCAATAGATCTCCCTTGATGTCCCCAATGAGATGGGGGGGTTGTAAATCGAAATTTCCTCCTCAGCTGTAATATATTATGTACAATCCACGTTATTTAAGAGTATTGAGAGACATTTTAATGCAAAGTTCAAATATAAAAGTAATACTGGTCATTACTTACTTTCAAGTTCTTAGAAATTTCATTTTTAATATCTTTGAAATATTTTGAAAGAAATTTGAGGTAGGCTCGTTCAACGTAAGCATTTCCATAATACTGAACAACGATTTTGTCGAAAACTTTTTTCGCCGTTTCCGGAGAGCGGCATTTAATTGTTAATTCTATAAGTTGCTCTAGATAGGTTGTAATCTCTGATTCACATTCGTTTGCGAACTCTGATAATCTTTCAAATTCTGACAGAGCGACCTCGGCACAACGATGCAGATCCGTTTCCGTACCTAAAACAATTTTTTGCAATAACAAATTTTTTGATACATCAAACCTACTTAGCATAATAATTGCTGTGAGTCCTACCAGAAAATAAACCTTTTTTATGTAAAGTCGTGTCTCTTATATACATTGCATAGGTGTGCACTGCTAAAATTAGATGAAAGACAAAGTCCACCTGGTCACGTTTTAAGCCAATCTCTTCTGAATACCCTGGTCCATGACATCTGCGTAGTCGACCAAGCTCGTCCATCTCCTTTGAAATCGTAAAGTAAGCACATTTACTTACACATCTAATATCAAATCATCTGAAGAGGATTTGTTAGTAAGTACCTTCAAAAACTTGACCCCTTCTAAAAATCGTCCTTCTTGCGTTAGCCAAATGGCAACCTCCACACCCAACCGTCTTTCATAGCATAGAGGAGTAAATAGTTCGGAAAAATGTCTAAAATCACAAATGTACTTTTATTAATCAGTAGGGTCAAATTGTAATACTGATTTTTGTAAAACCTTTCGATATGCATATGTACTTACATTGCAAGTTGTCGTGTCGCAGCTAAAGCAAGTCCAATTGTCTTTTCAAATCGTATTATTGAATAAAAGCCAGCCTGAAATATGTATCCGTTATAAAATTTCCGAATGTAAAAATGAATCATCAAAACGATAATAGTAAACAAAAGTTTTTTATGTGCATTCTTACATTCCAAAATAACCAACTTCTTCTCGAAGTGATTCCCTCCGTAGTACAAAGACCTTTAATTGTGTTTGCCACTTTGAACCACTCGTGTTTGAAAAAGGCCAACTTTAACGCCATGAGAAACTTTTCTGTTAATGGTTGATTGGTACGACGATGGGTACGGTCTAGGTTTAAGATCACAATTCATTCAGGATATAGAAGAGCTATACGACATCCTTAACTGATTAATCATATTTTAAAATATGTGCTTACAATACACCGTCATTTCTCTAAAGCACCGGTTGCTCAAAATTTCATTTACTTCCGCTGAGAAATATTCACGCCAAATAGGGTTCTGAATATGTTTTATTGTTAAGACTTAAACACACCTTTTATGTATGGATGTGATAACTCACTATGTCAGTAGCTCACCTGCCAATTCAACATCTGCCACTCCACGGTGTGCTCCATGGGGACATGTTCTTTTTCTGGTGGTGGGACATAGTCACTATCATCGTCATTAACATTATTAGATTTTATAATCTTCCGAATCTTCCGACCTCGATTGAACGGGTTGATATAAGAAGTAGCAGTGGTTACATCTGCTGACGGGGAAATACAAGTCGAATTCTGATCCTGGTCTGTCGAGTAACGATTCGCGTTCCAAATTAAGAATATCTTTGACCCAGGTTCCATGATTTGTCCATCTTCAGTAATATGCTTCAAACATTGTTCCAAATTTGGTTTCGGCATCGTTTTGATGTGTGAAATGGCTGCCAGAGCCCTATTTTCCGAAATTCCATACGTCATCAAATCTAATAAAATCATTATAAATATGAACAATTCGTTTAAAAAATGCATCCAACTAAATACGATTGTCCACAAACTCTGTTTCATAACATGGTCATCGGTTCGGACTAACTGCGTAATTCTAATTTGGCGCTGATCTACAATCAGTCTGTACGCATTCCGGTTTCTAAATTGTTCCAGCGTATTGTACCAAAGCGCTGGGGATAATTTGGGGTACTCAGGTTTATGGTCCTTCGTGTTGTGACTGAAGGCATAGTTAAACTCGAGCAGTTTACGAGACAGCGATACGCTTCGAGCATACTCCAAATTTGGAAATGGAAACCACAATTTTGTGTTAGCGATTTCAATGCATGTTGGCGTAATGGTTTGAACAGTGGGGTACTTCTTTCGCCTCCTAGTCTGCGGTCGGACATTTCTTTTATTAGCCCAACGCCATTCTTCTTGGACTGCTGCCATATTGCATAAACCTCCTGCTGGAAATACAAGAAAATTTAAAAATTCAGAAACAATCATTAGCCAAAATGACGTATTGACACTCCATACAGGAGAAGAGTTATCTTGATACTACTCAGTTATTAGTAATAGTAGTAAATATTAAGTAATCGTGATCATTGAACATTTTAAGAATGTTCCAAGGTCCTGAATTTTACTTACAAGGGAAGGTCCCCGACTGCTTATCGTGTCCAGGGTACCCACTATGTTTTTTAGAATCTACTAGGACCCCAGATGAACGATTCATTCATATTTCCGTGTAAAACTCATATTTGGCGCCATGGCGTGGCGCCAAACTTAAAAATTTGCATTTTCGACCAATTTCAAACTTTCATAACTTTTGCAGCTTATGTCGGATTTTCAAATTTCTATGCTTAAAATGATCACAAAAGTCGAAATTTTTGAGAAAAAAATAAAAATAAAAAATTTCGAATTTTTGAGGTATTTTTCGCATGTTTTCGACGAACCCCCATTTCTAAGAAAATTTCGAAATTTTGCGAAAAGTTAAAATCGATAATTTTGGAAAAAATTTCATGGAATACGAAAGTTGAACTCCTTGTCATGATTTTTGCCAAAAATTTTTAAAATCCATCTAGGATTTCAAAAGTTATGGCGGTTTCAAAAATAAAAACATTCAAATTTGGGGAATTTGGCGCCACGCCATGGCGCCAAACATGAGTTTTACACGGAAATATGAATGAATCCTACATCTGAGGTCCTAGTAGATTCTAAAAAAACATAGTGGGTACCCTGGACACGATAAGCAGTCGGGGACCTTCCCTTGTTAGTTACGTGTCTATATATACACACGTAACTAAGTAAAATTCAGGACCTTGGAATGTTCAATGAAAGAATGTAAATGTTCCCCCGCAACCAGCGGGGGTTGTCTAGTAACGTTGCAGTCAAAAAGTACTCGCTTTGATCAACCAATCAATGATTTATGAGAAACGGATTTGAATGATTTTTTGTATCTTCACGTCATCATCACACTAAAATAATGTCGTCTAATTACTCTGCCCAACAATACAATGACGCTTATCTTCCTCATCGTCTCGGAAATTGGGAAATACCGGCAGATCGAGACTACGATCAGCGACCACGATTACAACCTTGGTCTCACCATTATCATGGACTAGCACCCTATTTCTTGGTCTCTAACTTGCACGGTCGCCTACTGCCTACCATCAAGGAGAAGCTGTTATACCGTAAAGAACATGCTGCATGGGAGCAGTTATCCAAAATCTGGTTTGGAGAATGCGACTGCGCTCGTCGGAGGCAACACGCAAGGCAATCACGCGAGAAAGAGGACATGTCGAGGTCGACGGGCACTAATAATTACAGAATTCCATCCTTCTTTCGGAGGAAAGGAAACAAACAAAAGCAGCCCCGCCCACCTCCCCCCAAAAAAGAGGTCGATCCATACCTCGTATATTTAAGAGAACTCGGTCTACCAACCATTTGGATTATGGGAGTACCGAAAGCCAATATTCGCCACAAGAGGAAGCAATTATGCCGTGAAATTGCGGATGAGCTGGATTTTGCGTATGTAGATTTGGATGAATGCATCGAAAATTGGACACGACGACAAGTACGTCAACATCAACAATTATTGCCGCAGAGGGACAGATTACTAGATTCCGATACTTTGATGAACAAAAATGATCTTTTTACTGTCCCAAGCTACAGGAATTCAAAGGTATCTCACATTATGCGAAGCTACATAGTTTCAGATTTTGGTACTAAATTACATTTCAGCAGCAAATGTCTAGCCCAAAACAACCGTTGTTATTAGCTGGAGAAAATCGTGTCCAACCAGATCCTTGGTCCATTACGTTTTCAACTTCAAAGCCATTCTCCACAGAAAAAGTTTTGGATCTTCTCAAGTTCGCTATGATAGAGGCACTCCCTTCTCGAGGATTTGTGCTCGATGGATTTCCATGCAACTTGGAAGAGGCTGCCGAATTTGAACGACATTTTTATCCAGCATCACTAGCCCTTTATTTTGTCACTGGTGCAAATAAGAAGAAAAACGTAGAAGCAGACAAAAACGAATATCTCGCTTTCCCATTGAGATTCCGTCGCAGATTTCAGTTTAGTCTGGAATCGGGTGAAATGTTATGCGCCAGGAGAAACTATGGATGGAAAGTTATTAGAATTCTGGATACAGAAAACGTGGACAAGGACACGTTGTCTTTTCTTCATCAAGTTATTAGAGACAATTTGGAGAGGGATCGTGAAGATGGGGCAATTGATATCGATGTTGTTGGGGACCAAGAGTTGCCTGATCCTTTGATCAGTGAGGACGTCATCCTTGCTACCACTTCAGATGGTGAATCCAAAGTGACATCATCGCGAGGGGATATTCGAAATTTGTCAGCCACACGCGATCACAAACAACGGCAGCATAAACTCGTGTCATTGCCACCACCTCTGCTTATCGGCAGTTCCAGTATCAGCAGTCACAATGTCGCTTCCTTAAGAGATGGAAAGCAACTTCCGGAAAAGAATAATCCTACTGGCGACAACCATCTAGAAGAACAATATCCTGACGGTGGTGGCGCTGGTGACAATGGATCACCAGAAACACCTCAAATAAATAAAATTCATACAGATAGCTCTAAAAATTCGTTGTCCAGTTCTTGTTCTGCTTCCATTATTTTTCTTAAAAATCCCTCCAACACTCCTCCAAATAACGACGAAATGGCGGCGTCCCCTCTGGTATCATCAAACTGTTTGCCTTTAAAGAAAGAAAACCTTGAGGATCGACCCTTACCACTTCCCTCACACGGACAAACTGGTGGGTATTGTCATCGATTTCATCATTTTTATGCAAACTATTTGGTTCACAACTCATATTGTATATAGATGCTTGGTGGTGCAATAACTTGAAGAGTAGAACATCAGCTATACGGCAAAATCAATCTCCAAAAACACCACCTTCATCGCCTTGTGGCGACAAAATTAATAATATTAAGGAATGCGTACGGCACTCAGAGTTGTCACAACAAAAAAGTTCTCTAGAAGTTCTGAGTGACTGGTTTGACATGGGTGAAGTCGACGATAACGACAAGGAAGAAAAATGTCATGGGGATGATGCCACATCTGCCCCAACGGAAGGTATCATTTCACAACGTGACAAAGATGGACACGATGGTGATCATTACTAAACTCTAACTCAATGAATGTACATCAGAAGACAGTAATATTGCTTATTACTAAATAAGTTTTGTAATAAATACATATATAATGCGAAGTAATGCGATTTAGTATAAAACTACATTTAAAAAACAGCATTCTTCGGTGAGGGTGCGACTAAAAACTTTTAAACAAGAGCATTGAACAAATGTTAAAATTTAATATTACCAACTTTTGCCTCACCGTGGCCATTTATTTAAATACAAAATCATTTTGGACCCACGGTGAGGCAAAAGTTGGTAATATTAAATTTTAACATTTGTTCAATGCTCTTGTTTAAAAGTTTTTAGTCGCACCCTCACCGAAGAATGCTGTTTTTAGCCCGAGTCAGGGCTTATGGAACCGTCATGTCCGTCCGTCCGTCTGTCTGTCTGTCTGTCCGGCACGATAGAGCCAAAACGGCTGAACCGATCGACTTGAAATTTTTACCAAAGGTATATTGGACAAAGTTAGGAAACGAGTTCGAAGATGGGCGAAATCGGTCAAGTGGTTGACCCGTGGGGGTCATCGGAGTGGGTGGGGTATTATGCACCAAAATTTCAAAATTATCGTAGAAAGCTGAAATTTGGTACAGAGGTTGCTAATGCCTCCTAATAGATAAAAATGACTTCAAGTTGGAAAAATTTTCATCTTGAGGGACCCTGGAGGGTGACCCATACCGATTTTTCAAAATCATCATATCGAGCTGAAATTTGGTACACAGGTTACGTGTGGGTCTTAATGGAAGAATATGAAATGACATTTGTAAAATTTTTATCTAGAGCGAGCCTATGGGGTGACCCATACCGATTTTTAGAAATTGCTTTAAAAAGATGAAATCCAGCACGGTGATACTTAATGGCTTCTCATGAAATAATATGAAGTTAAAAGTTTGCAAAATGCAACCAGACTGACCCTGGGGGGTGACCCATACTGATTTTTCGAAATCTTCATATCGAGGTGAAATTTGGCATGGAGGCTAAAAACCACTTCTGGACTATATCAAGCTTTAGTATGTATTTCAATTCGGACAAGAAGCGGCCATACCCCTCATCATCCACGAGCACCTCCACAAACTGGCTCCTCTCGCCCCTCCACCCCTCCCCCATTAACTCGGACTTATCGAGTCAAGGACTCTGTTCCTGACTCGGGCTATATGGAGTCTGCACTGTAGGTTTTTAAATGTAGTTTTATTTTCTGGTTTTTGGGTGGGAATTTTTTTGTTGGTTACCAATAGCAATAAGATAGGTAAGGTGCAATTTTCATATGCGATTAAGCAGCTTAAACGGCTGCAGATACCTCCATCAAAAGTTTCTCATTTTTCAACCGATTTTGATCGAACGTATCTTAAATGGTGCGTAATCAGTGCCCGCACAATAAAATCAATAGCTGGCATGATCATTATATGGCAAAATTGAATTTCCGGCTCATTTTAAAGTTGCGAAGATCCTAAAATTCTTTTAATATTAGACTTTCGACACGAGAAAGATGAAAAGACACTAGATTTCGTAATTGTCTGATTTTTTTGTTTCAACAATTTTTCAATCGTTCGACCTGTGGCCGTGGCGGAAGTTTTAGGACCCTGTCTTGAAAGCATACCTTGGCTTCGCCGTAACCATGCGCTTTTCTGTCGTGAGGGTAGCCCTTGGTTACTTTCCTCACCTCAGAAAAATCCATGAAAACATTATTCACAAACCCTGGAGCCACGATTAACTGACATCGTTTCTATGGGGTGGTGCCCCATACGGTTGCGACAAATGAATTATTTCGAAATAAAATTTTCATTTTTTAAATTGTTGGTTCAAAAGTGTCATATTTGAACCAACAACTTTGACCCTGAATAACTTTTGAACAGGCAGACATAGGGACTTAATTCTTGAGGAGGAAATCATCCTAATTTTTAGCCTGATTTTTTAAGCTAAAAATCTCGAGTGTACTATTTCGGAAAACTAAAACGTTGATTTTGAAGAATATCTCCAAAATATAAGTTTTTCAGGAATTTCACAGCCAATTCTTATTTCACAAAATTCTATAATATACCAAAGTGATCGTATGATCTAGACCGATCGATTGACACCCCACTGGAGGGTGTGAGATCACTTGGTCCGGATTTGACCTAGGGGGTCATCTTAATCCTCCAACTTAGCAACGGTCCACTCACACCATTTTTTCAGTACATAATAATTAAAATTTAATTTCTTCAAAAATGAAAGTTTGTGTTGGAAACGATTCATTTGTCGCAACATGTATAGAATGATAAAGTGTCAAATAATATTGCCCTGGAGCCGAAATTAAATTCCACAATAAAATTATGTAATTCGACAACACCAAATCATTCATATCTACCAAATCAAAATAAATCTTACTCGGATTAGGTTAATTTTTATAAGGTTAGTTAAATTCTAAGTAAAATCAGAATGCATTGTTCAACAAGTCTTCCAACCTGTCCCCCGTTTACACAAGCAGTTCTCCAGTATCCCTGTTCGGCAACTCATGTAACACAAATATTACGGATATTATAAAAAATATATTTAACTCGTTATTACTGTCCTTATTGTTTAAGAGATTTTTCAACACAAAGCCCTTTGACTACTCCATTCACAACCGTGAAATATGCTCCTGCCTTTGTGAAACAGCTCCAAGTTCCGAACCGTACTTCATCTCTGATATAAAAGGTCGACTTTTGGCCAGGTCTTCCTGCTGCAGGCGACCCCACAGAATATTTCCTTGGTCCAATTATCTATTGAATTTAACTAGAAACTGTGGACAAAAACATTACCGCATCAATGTCTCTAGTAATGCATACTCAACTACATGAGTTAACATGTATTCACATCGTGCTTACATATTTCTTGTTTTACAAAATTATCATCTATGCAGATATTCCGCGCTACTTTACGAAATCCAGATTGAAGAAAGTGCAGCCACCTCCTCCTGCAAATTTTGTTGGCACCTCGGAATTTGGCACATGTGATTGTACAGACCACTTGGCCAAAAAGTTGGAGACTGACCCAATGCTTCTAGACATTGACCCCTACCTCACTCCAATCCAACTTCAGTTGGAAATTGGTCTACGGAAATTAAGAAAGGTTCTACTCATTGTTTTTAAATAATATTAAATCGATACAATCTTCGTCACAATGTCAGTAAATTTTGTCCTCAGATTCAACCCCCAACTATCTGGATAATAGGTCACGCACACGAAACTACGATTCGGGAACGAGAAACGTTTGCTCGGTCTCTGGCTGCTATATTGGATTACACTTACATCAACATGGACACTGAAATTTGGAAGAGAACTGAAGCGTCTTCCGAAGAACTGACCAATATTAACAATGAGTTTGCCAGAAAGGGAGATCATGTGGGCAAATCGGCCCATTCCAGGCTGGTCGTCATGTCGTGGAAGCTTACGTCAAATCCCTCCGTCACTTTGAGTGAAGAAGGCGTCCTTGAAATGCTTAAATTAATCTTGGTCCACAACGCGAACGGTTTCGTGATTGATTCTTTTCCGTGCAATGAAATTGAGGCATCCGGATTTGAAGCAATGTTTTACCCAGTTACGTTTTCCATTTATATTCGTCCTCCAGCCATGAAAAGGTATAAACCACGAAGTAAGAATGCAACTCGTCCTAACGATAATAATGACGGACATAAGAAGATTGAGACCCGTGCCAGTTATGAGAGCGTTTTAGAACCCTCAAATTTTCGTCGAAGTCATTCCTACCACGAGGTTGAAGTACAAAATATCGCACACAAGTATAAGGATCAGCTCCGAGCACTAATTTTTGACCATGGGATAGATCTTGGACATCACGAGGCCGAACTGGCTAGCGCTCTGATTTTGGAAGAGGTTTTTTTTGCAATTATTGTTGAAATTGAATTTCTTCACATCTTCTTAGAGCGTGCAATTCATAATTGAAACCATTTCCTACTTTTCAGTTATCACGTAAAACCAAGGAGAAGGAAGACTTTCTCCAAATTCATCATCCACCAGCCAATTATCACGATATGGTTGGGCTAGCCAAGTGTTACAATCCATACTGCGATTGTCATATTTTGGAGGATGAGACCAAGAACCCTCTCCTCGCACGGGACGAACAAGCCATGGATCACATCATACAAAGAATGCGTGCCGACCAGGAAGAATTTCGCCCATCTTTGCTACGACTTCTCGACCAACGGGACCAGAAAGAGGGTAGTTATCAACTACGAGAAGATAACAGTGTCACAAGAAATATGCAAGAAGATGATGCAGACGAAATTTTTGGTGGAGCTTGGACTGAAGCGTCATCAACAACACAAGAAGATTTCACTCCAAAATTTAGGTTTCATGAAGTCAGTTCTGGTCAAAGTAAGTGGAAAATAATTACTGCAATAAATACATTCTTTGGCAATGCTAGTATATATATATTCATGATTGCTACTTTTTAATTGCCAGTTGGTCATGGACATCACAGCGATCACCACGCCTTGAGGGACATTTGTTCTCGTGGACGACTCTTTGAATGGGACGAATCGTCTGTCCAATTCCTGCTCAAACCCAACAACAAGGCGACGGCGGGGCAGCCCCCAAGCGATGTGAACGACAGGGGCGGAATTGTGAGTAAAATTGGATGGGGTATAAATGATATCACAACTGATGATGAAACAAGTGAAGCTGCCTCTTTTGAATATAAACTGATTGACCACCCAAAACTCGTTGGCGATGATGACGACGAGTTTTTGGAAGACGTTGGTGATGAAGATGATCAGGATTACGACGACGACGACAATTCTGGGGAAGAAGAAGTTTTAGAAAATAGCGAGGATGAGGAAAATGATGATAATAACGATGTACCAGCCGGTGTAAATCAAAATGTCCATGCACAACATAACGATGATGTTGACGAAGAAGCACGACAGAGAACAAGTGGAGGTGGCGACGGGGGTAGACCGCCGCCACAGCATTAATAATGACCAAAATATTAAAAAACACGAGTAAAACACAGATACAGGCGATAATACATAATAAGTATGAAGTAAGTGAGTTGACAGGAAATTGCTTACCTGCTTGTATTGTTCCTTTCAGCTAAAATGGCAACCACCCTTACACAAAATGTACATGACTGGCTAATTTCAATAACACGTTGAACCTATTTAGCTGTCCTTAACACATTTATAAAACTCATAAAGTTTAAAACTTTTTGCTACTTATTAGCTGAATAAAATCCGAGAGTAATGTGCAAATTTCCTATGGCATGTACAAACACAAAACACGTGTGCTGCAAACCACCCTCGGTACTCACTCCCACCACAAAATAGAATGGGGTATGTTGCTCAATTCTTTGTCAAAAGAAAAATCATATTATGCAAAATGAAAATGAATAATTTTCTTAGCCTTGTAATAATACAAGGCTGGCAATGTCATAATTTCGCGTCCTTTTGTAACGTATGAGAGTATACTAGTAAGTAAAATAACTATGAGGCAAGAAATATAACAAAAATTCAAAAAAGTGAGTTTAATATTTGATTTCTTGAGCTCAATTACTATACAGTTTGACCAAGACGCTATGAATTTTTAAAATTCAAGCAAAAATGGATTTTGGGAAGACTTCAGATCTTAACCTCAAAGTGATTCCTTAAGTCAAAGTAATGTGTCAATCGAGACTACATACAATCAATGGACAGACATTTTCATTCATGGCTCATCACAACTCACATATTTACTATTATTTACGAATGTTTTCTTCAGTAATTTTAAAATAACTATAAAGAATTTGTTGTTTATTACTTGAAGGATGATAGATATTTATCAAAACAGATTTTTAATAATTAAGTTAAGCTAAATTGCTATCGACTCGCGTCCCAATGTGGATGAGTAATTGTAAATATTGTCCGTGTAGTAAGGATCATCATTTGCCAAAACCCCCCATGCATTTCGGACTGGGGTCAACGGGGCCGCTCATCTTGGCCCACTCGGCCTATATTTAAATTAAACCAAATATAAAATGTTTGATTATAATTTTCTTCACTTCAAATTATTACCTCCGTCTTGGCGATTATGGACAGGGCGTGCAACCCAGATTCCAGTTCCTCCTTGAGCAACTCCTGAACCTGGATTTGAAGAAAAAAACTACAATTATAAAAAAATCATAAATCGCAAAGTCTATTTAGTCTATCTAAGTACCTTTTGATGGCGTTTGAGTAATGAAAGTCCGTCAAATTGTGGCGACACTACGACCACCTAAATCAAATTATTTACAGAAAATATGTATCTGCGTTCAACTTAATTATGGACCTTTCCCTTCACTTTCAATTTGTAATTGATGATTTTGTAACAAAATTTTTGTTAATTAACCAACCTTCAAATGTGTTTCGGAATCTGGAGGCACTCCATGCATGTGGCTCTCATTAATGATATCGACATGAGACGCGGAAAGGGGTCCTTGCATCAAAGTTCGAATTCGCAAAACACGCGTTGCCATCTTCAACATTTATTAAGTTTCACAAGACCAATTTATGAGATAATTTTTATTTTATTCAACCACCGGTGAAGAATCCGTAGAATTTATTTATTGTGTATGTGTGCATATCTCGCGCTGTAATCCACAGCTGAAACTTCGCCTTAATTTAGCGTCAGGTATTTGATGATACAAAATATGTACTTCGCATTTCATGCATACAAAATTTATAACCTTTTGACCGTCTTGTCCATCTAAAAAATTGAATTCCTGAAATTCTCGATATCTGAATAATACGCACGTACATAAAACAATAAACTTTGATTCATTCAACATGCTGCACCTGCAAACCACAGTGCGTTTCAATTGCATGAATTCATTCGTAACCGTCAACTTTCGATCTGCTCCGAAACCGAATTACGTAATACGACTGTTAATACTGATTTTTTTCTTAGAGTAGTGTAAAACCATGCAATGTGTGTCTATATATGCAACGTAGTAGTGAAACGTAGTATATTGATCCGTGTGTACATTCCTGTAATATTATACATGACGATCAAAGATGCTCCTCTCACACTTTCTGTTCTTCTGCAATATTTTTTAATTTTAAAATTTTAAAAGCAAGTTATCTTTATTGTACGTAAGGTAGAAATGGATGGATGAGCCTTCGTGCCCTCTGAATGCCCGACGTGCAAAAGATGTACTGAAAAGTCAGATCTTTCTCTTATAAACAGTACTAAACGGTAACGGTACACAAAACTCCATAAGCCTTTGCCCTTTCTTTCTTTGCTTGTAAATAAAGTCGGCAGAGAATGGCCCAGTTTCATTGCCACGATTTTCTGCCCAGAAACTGAATTTGTTCACTAGTATGGAGTCAGAAAATTACTACGTAGTTGACAGAATAATACGATAATTGTCCTGTATTATGCGGTAGTGAGAGAATAAAAACAATCAGAATGGACAAAAATTATAAATTACTTTGTTTAATCACTTGATATATGGAATAAAGGATTTTCCAGTTTTCAACAATCTTTGCTCAACGATTGACTTCCGTGATTGACATTCGACTTTCTGGAAACTTTATAAAGGTAAATAAGGCAATGCAACATTTAATACAATTTTAGTCTTTTTCAGGATTCGTGTAATCTCGTTTTGGTTATTAAAAAATGCATACTATTTCAAACTAGACAATTGCGTGTACAATACTTATAACCTGTTATAAGATGTAATACATAATAATTTCATAAATATCTAATCATGCACATCCAGAAAAACAGAACACCAACCGGCGCCAGACAACAAACAATTAATGAGAATAACATTACCAACCTAAACTAAATAGATACACATCGTTGTTGTTATTGCACGGAGTAGATTATCAAAAAAATAAGACAACGTGCGTGATGCGATACTATCATTTATTTTGTGGTGTTGCCTTCTTGCTTTGTTATTGAAATATTGAATGACTGAAATATGTATGTATGGGTATGCAAAAAGTTAGTGCAAATTGCTCAGGGCTATTTTTTATCTCGTAAAGGCAACACGACATTAGACAGGTAGGTTTCTAACACCTCATCATGATCAGCCATGGGTGGACGACAGGTAAACAAACTGCGACTTAGCCAAACTCATTTGACACCAAGAACCAAGTGAACCATCCAAAAGATTTATAAATTGTAAAGTATTAATTATCATTAAAATCAGCATCAAGAATCCAAACTTTTTCAGTCCGACTAACGATAAATGGCATCAAAATTACAATTATTAAAAAGTTCACAGTTTTGCTGTTAGAGTTTGACGGTAAGCCTTTGTTTCCCAGCTCCAGTGATATACGCTTTTACTTTGGTTTGGTAGGTAGGAAATGTAGCTCCTGCATTATCCAAGGTTTAAATATTATTATCGATATCGATTAATTTGCTAATTTTCTATTAGTATTGATTATTGGTTTTCATGATAGCGGATCAATCACTGAACCATTCCGCATAACTTCAAACTAATAAATCAGCCAGCCACGTTTCATTGAGGACCATACCATACCATAATTGGTCTTGGTTATGTATTTGCTGTACTACCGAGACTACCGACCGATATCAGAGCGTATTGAATCAATACACTGTTTACTGGCATTTGATATGCGTGCATATAAATGCAGATTATATTTTTCGGATATGTCCGCACGTAAATACTTTTACGTTATTGGTAATATGTATGTACGATTCATCTAATTGTAGATCACGAATAATCATGATGATACACAAAAATAAATCAGTGCTCAGTATGGACGACAAATTTTCAAAAATATATAACACAACACATGTAGTCTTAGATCATAAATATTTACTATACGTGCACAGATTGTATTTTTACTCACTATTACTACTATTTTAGAACAAAACAGGTTATATGTGGAGAGAATATTGCATGATTGCATGTTATCCTAAATATGTATACCAGGAGTACATTTTATTGCATATATCGGCATGTGTCATTCGTTGATATACAGTTTTTACAGGCTGCATTTTCCGAAATTACATTTGCTGGGTGTCTGGTTACGTGTCCTTCAACAGAGGATGAATTTTTATCATGCAAATATGTAAAGCATAAATCTCTATTATTGATACGCTAAACTAGTTTTGCTACACGCTATAAATTTAGTCAGACTGAACTAGAAGCATCAGACCAAAGGTAAATAAGGATGGGGACAGTCTAAAAGCAATAATAGAATAACACGTAGACTCGAATTTTTATTTAGTTTTTGACATGATTAGATTAACAAATATGTATTACAAATTCCCATATTTTTCAACGGCGCAAGTGAATTTTAATCGATATTTATCTAACGCTAAACGCTAGTACCATTGTCATTGGTCGATGTAGCAATTAATGTAATTTGCTTTCTCTAGTAGTGTTATTAATACTGATAAATTCATTCGGGAGACGACATAAAAAACACGTCGACTATTATCATAAATTTCATTAGTGCTCTTATGATATACGTGCATATACGTCGTACATATCGTATTTCAAGTCGTGTCCTTCAGTTTCCAATCACTTTACTTTCTTTCATTATTCCTGACCACGACCTTATGTTATTCCCTGATGGGGCTTTACTTTCCGCTTTTAATCTCGTAGTAAAAAGACCGACCATGGACATGGCCGTCGTTGAGCCATTCAATAAGTAGCTTCACTTTGAGAGCCAGCAAAAAAGCTATAAATACCGCATCCTTTCAGAACTATGTATATGCCATAAGGAGTCTCAGCGTCATCATCATGAGCATATGCATATAATATGTACAGATCTTAAGTATGCATGCACCAGCCACTGTATTTGACTATGGACATTAGCTAAATAAACAAAGCATATTAATGTCAAGTATAAAGCACAAAAATCCTTATGCAAAGTAAAGCTTCTGTATAGCGACAGTTTTTTAGCAGCAACATGTTTTAGAAATCTTGTTGGAGAAAGAGCACTGCAAAACTGCAAAATCAAGATGATGCTGGTTTCCAACTTCCAAATTCTATCTTCTATGTGAGTGAAGTGAATGCAATTCCAGCGTATTCTGTATTACCGTCACAGACTATTCTGCATGCACTATGTATGTAAGATACGCTTCTCTATTCACGTAACATAACCATGCACGAGACTCAAACAATTTAGGGTATAAACATTGAGAACTTTTTCACCGTGCCAGTCAGTCACCATATTTATCTCTTTGAGTGAACAGCAGATGTGTTATTGATGTCATTTATTTGTCCCTCTTTCGTGAGTCGCCTGTGGATTTAATTCATGAGAGTTCGCATACTCTTCTTTTGTCCAAGGTAAATAATCGTGTAATTGCATCATTTACATGAAGCAATCTGGTAAATTGTTTGCAACTTCCGGGAATAATCGATACCTCGCACTATTATCCAAATTGTATCCTATCTACCAAGGAAAAAATTTGAGTTTCAGCCCAGTTTTGTATATTTTTTCAGATTCAGATTTTAGAAAGACAAGAAACCATACCTATTGAATTTTGGTGTCAAGTGGTGTTTGCAAGAATACAAATTTCATCATGGCGTTTATGATGCCAGTTGTGAAGAAGAACTACAACATTTATGGCGATCGTGCCCGTAATCAGTCCGGCCCGGATGGCGGCGGAGGTCTTGTAAGGAAAACATCGCAAGGAAGTGGGTCCGTTGGTGGTTCGTCAAATATTGGAGGTTCCAGAAGAAAAGTGAGATCAGAGGGTCCAAGTTTGAGTACGTCGCCCAAACACTCTCAGGCCGATGTCATTATCCACCGGATTCCCATTCCTAGAAATAACAGCGCAAGTCATCCTCCAGTGTCGATGGCAAGGTCGGTGCCGATGCCGATGCGAACGGGACGAGGATCTGCGCCAATGTTGGGAAGTGGACCCTCTCCTTTTGTGAGGCATAAGTAAGTCAATTTTAAGAAAACAAATTCTAACTAATTCACAAGTTTTTGTTAGATTATGGAAAGATTTTTCCTCTCATACTCTCATAATTTTGCTATCACTGTGCATGTAGATTTTCATGTCGAATTGCACAAATTCTTTTTATTTTTTGAATGAACCATTGACACGTATGCATAAATGTCATGTGTATGTATATTTTTAGTAATAACAACCAACACATGTGTAAGTTGATTGTTATTACTAATTTACGATCCAGTACTTTTCCACTTGGTTAGTGTGTGTCATTCTTTCATGTTAATTGCAATTCTGCCGACTATTATTTTATGTCCCACTGCTTGAATGTTTGTGTGACATCTCCCATTCTCTGTCCACCAAATTGCAATTTTACGATCCTCTCGTTCTCTTAATTGCAGTAGTCTACCCGAGGGGCCCAACTCCGTCCCACTAAAGGTACCACTATCTCCGACCCATTCGACGGGTTCGACATCCTCGACATCCTCGACTGAGGACCACCCCCATCAGCACCGTTTCCACATCAAGTTATTGAATCGGCTTAAAAAATCTTTTAGAATCAAAGACCCAGCTCCAGCAGCGTCATAGTTGTGGTGATGAGAAGTAATGTGCATAAAACTGGCCAAAATAGTAAACACTATAGAATGCAAACAAGTGTATAAATTTATAGTAGTTATCATCACCAATCTTTGTGTATGACATTACTACACCATAAGCACATACGTACATGTGTATGCACACAATATCTAGGTTATGAAGATGTTGGGGAAATCCTCTGTAAAGGAAAAGACTGATTATGGCAATTCTTTACTAATAATTAAAACTATTTTGACTTTATTGTTATTCATTATTGTTGCTTAAAAATAAACATATTTAGGTGGCGATAGGCGCCGATAACTGACTATACGAATAAATGACGCTGTTGTTACAATATACATAAATACTAATATTTCGATGGGTGGATAAGAATGTGCCTGATTTTCGAAGTAGAGTAATTCCTGCTGGTGCCTGAATTACAAAGTTGGACTAATAGCCAAGTGCTTCATCATATTTATGAAAAAGTGTGAATTGTACATAACGTTAGAAAAATATACCTAGACCTAATTTTGTATATGGAATTTATATAGACATTCAATAAATCGTGTAAAAATAACTTAATTTTTTTCTTTTACGCATATATAAAATGTTATTCGTATCTATTTATTGTGCTTGTTTGATAAATTATCGAATATGATTGATGTGTGTTTATTTATATTATACGCTTGTATTGTTATTGCAACAGAATATTACATCGTATTATTGGTTGCTGGTCGTATTATTTGAAATGTTTGGAACTAAATTTTTTACAATAATTGAAATTGGACGATGATATTATTCAATAAATATTATTTTTCATCACTCATCTTGTTTTCGCAGTGCATTTTGATTCCATTCCATGATTTGCAAATGCGTAAATTTCACATGAACATTTGGATTATGCAAGGTCACGTTGTACATACATACATATAACTTGAATGGAAGGAGGTTTTTACAACGGGTTATATTTATTTATTACGAATTATGCTACAGAATATCTACAATGTTCATTCATGACTTGAATGAATCACGTTCAGTCGTGCCATAATAATTTGACGAAGGTCCAGGTTCCATAAATATACTTATTTTCCGTTCTTCAAGCAAGAGCAAATTAATTGCGAGTCACACCTAAATGTTTCCACATTGGTGTCGGATTGTGACTAATTAATTGCCTTATCAATGATGAATGAGGTTGGTTGAGTTAGGCCCTTATCTGCTGCATTGCGAAATGAAATCATCGTAAATTCTGAACATCATCGACAACTTGGCGATGATTTAATTTTATTGATGCTAAATTCGATCTGCGTGGAATATATTTATTTGATTCCAGAAAAAAATTTTATACGGATGGAAAATTTTATGCAATTACTATTACAGCACCGGAAGAAACTGCAGCACATATAAAAAGATATTTTTCCCAGAAACAAAGTTGAGTCTTGGCTCTCTATACATTTTCGTATGAATGTACATACATATGTATAAATGTACATAGGCATGTAAGTACATCCCTGCATATACACATACGTACTTAGGTACTTACTTTGTCCAGTGAGAATTAGGACAGACGACTGACATGACTGAGATGTCACTCTTCGTGTTGATAAGTAAGATTGATGTCTGGCTATTTTTATATGTATTAATAGACACCTACATAATACCCCACGACTCCAACATATGAAATGAAACAATTTATAAGTAGGCAATGCTCGCCTATAAAAAAAAGTGACGCTGAGTCCAAGAGACGTACAATTACATGAGGATAACTATACATTTATATGTCTATGTACATACTTATGGATTTTATTATTATACAAAATTTAATCAAACCGCAGGGTTAAAAACATTAATAAAATGGGTGTGCACCTCATGCTGACTCCCATTGGCTGGAACTATGGGCAGAACAACAAGTTAATCTTCTGGACAATATTGACCATTTATATGGAGGAGCTTATCTCCATTTATGAGAAATAATAAGTCGTTGACTAGGGTGGTCGGCTTAATTTATTCTTATCGCTCATATTTACAAAGTTCAAGGGTCAAGTTAATAAACAATATTCTTCCGACTCTTTTCAAGTTGTAATAAAAATGAAATAATGTGTTTCGCATCTTCAAGCTGAAATTCAATGATTGAATTAAAGATCAATTCATGAGAATCAATGTGCATATTGGTTATGGGTTGATATTCACAATCACAAGTCCGACTACTCCAATTACAAATTTTTCCTTAATGCACAATTCACTAGATAGTCTGGAAACATTATGTACTTACATACATACATACATTATGTTTGTTAACGACTGTTTGAAATGTAAGCAGTTCGAACCAGTAGCTAAAATAATGCTAATGTGGAGCAAAATGCAATTAGAATTTATTATGCATCTAGCGTCGCCTAGATTTTTACTTGGATCAGACGTGCGAATATAGTGCATAGTATGTACATATACATAGATACATACATATGTACATACATACGTGGAGACAGAGCTGTAAATTTTTAAGGTCTTCCGTCGGTTCTTGACTTATTTATGAATGCGATCCAAACGAAAACACAAATGGCTGTATGTTGTATATTCATGAGAATTTTAATGAGTTTGGCTAACTCTCCGTGATAAAAAAAGTGCAAAGATTTCCGTCTGGAGCCATTCTCTTTCAGTTGGATCTATTGTTTATTTATGACTGAATGGATGGTATTGGTATGTTTTACAACTTTTAGTTGACAAAGTGCCAATGAACTAATTGCCAGGATTAGAATATTTCCCAGTGTGATAATTAAGAAAAAAATAGACCAAAGAGGAAATGGGATTTGCTCAAATATGCATTCAAGATTTAGTAGCAAAAGGAAATGTATGGAAATTATAATTCAAGCGACGAATATTAGGATCAGCCAAATAAATATATTTGTAGCACTCTTTTTACAGTAATGCACGTAATTACCCGATATAATTTGCATAATACATTAGGTTAAATATATCACACATTTATTCCGAAACGGTAAATGGGCGGTGAATGGTGTCATCCGCGTGTATGTAGATGAACTTCAGACGCCTCGAAGCCGGAAAATTCTGGCATCCGTCCATCAAATGTTGGCATTTTTTCTTGCCTTTCGGCAAGGTTAAATAGCTTGACGCAAGTCCATCAGTAATACATATATATTTCTACGTACTCTTTGTTATAGTCAAAATGGTAACGAGAAATATTTTTCTGGTTTCGTATGACTAACAAAGTTAACTTTCGCCAGTTGGGAGTAATTGATAAGTCACGGCCGATCGGGTGTAAAAGACAAAACACACCAAACGTTACAACGGTTAGCCCAGGCCATGTTTTCCCGTTTTTGATCTATATCTTCCAGTATTTATTTAGAAACATTAAATTAAATAACACAGCTGTATATTTGTCACGTATGACTTACTACTACGTGTACTAAGTAATCAGTTTTAAAGTTTATTATGCATAATTAAGTACGCAAAAATTATGCAAAAATTAAATACTTAAGTAATCAAAAGTTAAAATGATACTGGAAATGCTTGCATTGGAACGGGCTCACCATAAAATACACCTGCAAAGATTACACAAATACAATTACTTAATATTAAACCAAATTAATAAATTATTTTTCGTCATATTTACTTGGTGTCCACTGTTGTTCTTGTTGCAACACGTCGGCGTCTCTCCTAGCCCGGAGGTTATAAAATGAAGATACATCTGTCGGTCCCCACGGACCCACCCCCCATCCATCCACGGGGAAAAATGGTCCCACGTTTCTGTTAAAACGAGGAAATTGAGGGCCTAGCATGTTCAACATCATGAAGGGTGGTGGAGGAAGTAGTGGTTGTGGTTGTGGTTGAAATGGTCCTGTCATCGGATATTGGACCAGTGGACTTAGTTCTTGTTGCGGTTTTTGAGATGGGGGGAAAATACCAAGGAAGGTTTCTGAAAACGGTTGTTGAGCCACAGTCTGAGTGGCTGGAGGAATTTCGTTGTGATTGATCTTTGTATTTTCAGAATCTTGAAGTTGTTGCGGGTTATTTTTAATGTTCACTTGTTCCACTGGTCTTTCAATTCCTGATTAGCAAAACCATTATTAACCACATTTTACAGATTTTTTCATCATGGCTTCATTTAATTATTTCTATACGCTTGCTACTAGCTTACTTACCATAGTGAGTAAATTGGGATCCATCATGTCGAATGCAGATGTGAACAGGGCTGCAATCAATCCACTTATCAATTAATCCGTTTTGGTCAAATTTTATTTATTGGTACTTACCAGCAGTCGAGCTTAGACCCCATAACTGGCAGGACGGGATTGATGCTTGTGGTCCATGTTTCTTGACAGCTTAGCACAACATCATCATGGCCAAATGAGGGGAAAGAACAAACAACTCCGGGACAGTAGAGTGACTCTCCTAATTTATTTTTGCCACTTTGGACTCCAGACTTTGCGGTCATGTCGTCAGGAGAAAGTGGTTCAATCAATGATAACTGCATGATTTTTATTCTCATTGCATAGGCAATTATTCCTAAATATGGTTATAGTTTACCTCATCTTCATTCTCTTCGTCGTGCCCATCACCCTTCTCCAAATCATTTTCAATATGAGTTGCACCCATTTTTGTCCTCTCTGTAGTTCTTGGAGGCACTGCGGTGGAGCCCTTGGTAGTCACTTTGGGTGTAGCAGTAGTGATTTTCTGACCGTTGACTTTTTTGGTCACCAACCCTGCTTCTTTGTTACCCGGTTTCACAGCTTCTTTAGGATAAGCTTCAACAATAACAATGACGAAAGTCAAACAGACGAAAAGTCGAAGGGCTGAAAATATGAACATTTTAAAATAATTTTCTGACAATTTAATTACTTTAAATCAGACAACTCGGGACTAGTTCGAAAATTAAAATGAAACAAATTCCCAGCATGACAGCATCCATATATTTAGCTTTCGTTTTCTCATTATCAGGTTAACAATGGTCCTCTTCAAAATAAAAAAAAGGTTACGACAAAAGAAATCGGCTTCACAAAGTACCTTGAGATAAATGTAAGTATTCATTGCACCCATCATCGCAGACTATGTGCACATAAATTTGCACATGTATTTAGGTAGATTTAATTCGATCAATATGTATTATATCCATATTATTTGCATATGTTTGTAAGTATATGTAGCTGCATGAGTCATTTCAGGATAAGGTATTTTCGTCGAACGGTAGAATTTGGATAAATAACTCGGCAATGAACAATTAAAGATCGCATAATAAACTGGCTTTAACGATGGTTTATCTGATGCACATAAATAAAAATATGTGAAAGTGGTGTTATATAATAAGCATCAATTTAATTGTTTCGCATTCATTCTTGCACAACTATTCTTGTCGATTCAAGTTAATTCTGTGGTTTGGTGTCTTTGAGGTTTTAGTTTATCTTGAAATCTTTGCAATAATGTGGTTTTTATCGTTAGCTTCTTCAACTCCGTGGACGAATTGTAGATACTTTTATGTCATCTTATTCTATTTTAATGCAATTGGTACAAGGAGGCACGAGTTTCGTCTACAAGCACGAAAAAAATGCAAAAATGAAATAAATGAATGACAGTAATGTTTCCTCTGCCGATCAGTCGACGGTCCTTCTTTTCGAGTTATAAATATCCCGTTTTATGTATAACTACTAAATATCTTAAAAGTTATCCATGCAACTTTGATTTTTACTTCTAAAAAACTCATGATTTTTATAGTTATTATTGCACGTGATATTTTTTAAGAAAATTTATTGCTAAACTATGGACGTCTTTTGTCACAATTTGGTATGTGTCATTGAAAAATAATCTTAATTCTGCTTCGTACCGTCAATAATATATTGTATTAAATGGCAGTCATTGGTCATCCTCATAAGCATAACGCTGTGGAAGTCTGGGATATCTGAACCCCCTCAATTCTTTAATCCAGAGCAGGATTTACAACAATGGAATCCCTCCACAGACCAGAACAATTATCCTCCCACATTCCTACCAACAACGTCCCTCTCCTCGTCTTCTTCTTGTCCACCAAACGACCCCGTAAGAAACGAGCAGCTTGTGATTCATGCCTACATTGGTCTCGCCACTAATCCGAAACGAGTCGAAAATTCCTTTCATCCAGATTACATCCAACATAATCCAACCATTGCAGATGGAAGAGACGCCGTAATTCAAGATCCTGATCCCATTCAAGGAGTAGAATTCATGAAAACGGCGGCTGATGCGGACCTAGTTTGGACATTGGCCCGGTTAAAAGTGTTTAATCAGTCGTATATTGCTGCTGACATTTTTCGGGTGGAATGTGGACAGATTAAAGAGCATTGGGATGTTCTCGAATTGGAAGGAGAAAAACAAATTCGCACTTCCGGTGCATTCATTCAAAAATGAGTTTGTTTCCTTACAGAAAATATAAATTTAATTATTATACAATTTTTTGATATGATTACCACACGATTTTCTCATTGGCTTTTCATTTTTATTTAATTTATTTTATATAACATTCAATTTTCATATCATTTTTCATATCATTTCTGTAAGCAATTATTCTTATCCTCTATGTATGTATATTGTTCAGCATTTAGTTATTACAAATGGCAATTAACAATTAGAACTGTCGATAAAATAAACTTAAAGGTTCCACTTTTGCAAAAATGAAATAGCATTGTGGAAACGACATCGTGTGTGCATAAATATGTATGGCACATAAAAAGAGCGTCGTATGTATAATGCATTGAAGGACCTGCACCAACCAAAGCATACAAAATTACATGCACGCACGTCATGAACAATAGCATTAATTTTCAACCCAGTTACATTCTAAAATCCAAGGACATTCCCTTGATATGAAAGAGAAAAATCGTTTTCTTAAACATAAAATCGAGTCTAATTTCATAATTTTTGCAGATTTTTTTAATACATTTTAGGAATTTAGTACCAGTCTTATCTAACAATTACAAGAAGTTTGGCCTATCTCCTACCAAAGAATGGGAATCCTTGAAGACCACCACCTCCAAAACCCGGGAGTCCTCCAAATCCAGGAAGCCCTGGAAGTTTCCCAGGTGGCGACCCGAAAGAAAATGAAGACGAACTTCCAGAGAAACTGGACGAAGACGAAGATTTTCCTGTAATAAGTCCATATTCCAATTATATTCTGTATTTTTGATAATTTTATTTATATTTCGAGATGCAAGTTACCATAAGCAGTTTGTCCATTAGCGCAATGCCAAACAGGACAACAGCCATCATCCCGTTCATACTTTGGCTCACATGTTGTCCCTCCAGGGGCTGGGGTACAATTTGTTCCCTGGCACTTGGACCCACCTTCCCCATCCCCTTGCACGCTCCCAACAATGGCCACAGATACGACAAGTATAGCGAGGCAGTTCATCTGTAAAAATTGACAAGTTTTGTTTTAGAAACTAATTATTGTAGTCTTTTGACGGAAGGAAGAAGTGTTAAAAGTTGAGACAAACCTTAAATATTTTGGGAAGTTATAAATATATTTTCAGTTTTCGCCTTGAATTGGTTGATCGGAAGCTTATGATGATGATGGAACAATAATGCTGTGATTTTTGTTATTACGATTGCTTTTCATTGTTCTTGGTCCCAAGTCTGTTCTACTCGTTTATTTTATAGCCAGAATGCCATTTGTCAACTGCAGGATTTTTGATGGTGACGGGTTCAATTTCTTGTTCGTAGTTAGTCAGAAGTCATTACGACCAGATTTTATGCTTTTTCAGCTGAACATTAAATTTCAAATCAAATAGCAGATGGATGGTCATGTTGTGTAAAGCTACATATTTTCACTGTGTAAATACATACATACGTTTGTTTGTTAGGCTACTATTTCAATTGATGTGATTTGTCACTAACATCCAGCAAATTTCATACTGTGACACATAAAGTAGGTTAAGACTTATGTATAACGCTTGTTTTTTTAGCATGAATAGGACCCATTTGGCAGGTGATTAAACACGGGAATCATGGGAAGAGAAGTTAAAAGTTCTAGGAACGTGACATAACTCTGTGATATAATTTATTTGATATTCTTGTTTATTCCCCTTGATTTGAGTCATTGAGGAGAAAAAGTAATCATCGACTTTTGACGAGGTTAAGCTATTGACAGATTAAAGATTTGATTGCATGCACTTACTAGAAAATTTCAGATAATATCCAGAAACAAGTGACTCACTTCCTCCATGACTAATATTGATTCATAACAGCCAAGCATTTTATTTTTTTGACTTGTTACGTATCACTAAGATTTAAGGAATGACTTCAACTCTGGAAAAGTGCACCGAGCTTGTGGATCAATTTCCCAGCATTTTAGTATCATTTGGTAGCTGCATTAGAAAACAAATACTGATTTTATGAAATTTGTTTGCATAAATGTAAAAGCTAAATTTTATTAGCTCACATTTCATCACTAGCCAAATCATGTCGACTAAGACGCAGTCCGTCTTTAAGGAGTTTCGGAAAATCCAGCGTCCAGCCAAGCCCGGGGTATGGAATTTCGCCCAGGCTAAATAATTCCCACAGTGTTACTCCATATGACCAGACATCAGTGGCGGATGAAAACTGCATGCAAGTCAGCGACTCGCAAGACATCCATTTCCACGGTAAGGGGCACTAAAGAAGAGTTAAATTGGCTTATAAATTTTAGTTTATAATAGTTATAAAACAAGATGAGCCATGTAGTAATTGCTGAATATTTATATTTACTTGCTCAGTTTTTAAGTAATTGTAATCCACCAAAAGCCGTGCCAGGCCGAAATCACATATTTTTGCCATTCCAGAGTATGTTACAAGCACGTTTCTTAAACTAAATCACCATGAACCACCTATAAAAAGTTAATTATTTTGCATTTTATGAACCAACTTGAGAAATTCTTCTTTATTATATACATAATATACTTATTTACTTTGCAATCAGCAATGTATGCCATCCCATCTGCAATTTGATAACTCCATAGTGTTAAGTCTTGCACCAAAAATTCACCTCGTGGGATGTTTTCATAACTGGAGTAATAATACAGATTGCATTAAATCACTGATTTCGTAGTGGAATGCTGTTAATTGCTATAAAGACGGATATGTACCTTAGGTTATCGCATAGGTTGGTCATTTTTTCATTTACAGGTTTTTTCATTGCGTCGGTTTGCACAATGTTAGCATATTGTTGGGGCTCAAGAATCCCACCCGTATTTCTAATTGCTCTAACAACTTGGAGAAGATTTGATTTGCAAAGTTCAAAGGCAATGAAGATCTCTCCTAAATATTAAAAAGTTTAATGTGAACTAAATATTTCAGAGTGTCTGCATGAATTTTAGACGTCAATAAATGCTCCATAATCTCACCATTTTTTATGCCCTCGGTGCAAGCAGCTTTCAAATGGACAAGATTTTCGTGACCATTTCCCAAAAAAGCCATCACTTTCAGTTCAGAAAGTAACGCTTTAAAGTAAATTACATCCACGCCAGGACGGATCGTTTTAATGGCAACGTCTAAACTTTCTTTCGCTGGTAATGAGGTTAACACTCCTTTGAATACTCGACCGTAGGCTCCAGCCCCTAAAATGTCATTTTCCTCTGAATACATTAAACCAAGATTAATATTTGCATACGTTTCCTGTTGTAAACGATAACTATAATAACGATAATACCAAAATGAAGGCTAGTTTTTGGAACTTCATACATATTATTGTAAGGAAGTGATTCCCAGGTTTTGCAAGCTTCGTCATATGAAGTCGATGATTGAACTAGTACAACGCCTTCCAGAAACTCTTGGATTTCTGCTTCTGACAATTGAATAATGACTCTTTTCAGTCTTTTTATCCGAATGTGGGATACGACAGCAATAATTATTAAAAGTATGCTCATTCCTGCCACTATCCCTGAAATAACAACATTAGCATTTACGCTGCTTCTTCCTCAAATTATGCATATACTGGTCATTACTGGTTTAGAGGAAAGCAAGTTCATACATACGCACCTGTTATGGTTATCCACCCAATGGAACTCGTACTATTGGACTTATTCAATCGTTTTTTCAACCTCGATATGTTTTTTAGGTACGCAGCCTCGTAATCGTAATAATAATAGTAATAATCATCTGCGGCTGAAAGATGCATGCATGTAAATGTATGAAAATTCGCTTAGTTGTTTAATGGATAATATTTAAAATAATTTCACCTAATACGTTCACAGAAACTGACTTGTTAATCCACTCTGTCGAATTTATAACGGGGGCAAAACAGTAAACTTTGGTGGTCCCTGTTTCTCGAAATGTGATTTTCTCTTTGACAATCCTCGCATTTGTGAGTTCATGGTGTTGGTAAGGACCACCTATATACACACATGCATAAGCATACACATCTTACAATTAAGTATACTTCCCGATTCATTCCTTCTGAAGTTATCAGAAAACAAACCCTCCTGAAGAAACATAATTGTTCCATTTTCCACTTGGATTCCAAATATATAGCCGAACGAGAAGTAGTGTTGGACCCCGTGACATTCAAATTCTGCACTTTGATTAACTTTAAACTCTGTCTTTTTTGGTGGAAAAATAAATAGCATTTCGTTCTCTGGATGAATTACTTCGGACCAGGACAAATCTGACAACCAAAACAAAATCCTTGTTTAGGTGTATTAAAATGCTGTACGTATTTGTGTACCCATTTTGAGTCATTTTCTTAAGCGATGAAATTTTAGTTTTTACATAATTTGTGGTTATCCGTAGTTCCTTTCGGACCAAATCCAAAGAAAAATACGACCGCCGCAGTTGCTTCTTGTCCGTCGGCGCAAATTGCCAGTTGGGAATGAAATTGCTTTAATTTCGATACTTCCAGATGGGATTCTCTACACCTTTCACAAGTTTCGATTAACGCAATTCGCGTAACACACGTTTCCTATGAATTACGAGGAATAAAATGATCAGGAACAAAAAATAATAATTCGTTATTGTGACAGTCGAAATTTGCATACCTTGTTTTGTACACTTCGTAAAATGTTTGCACAATCTACGGCAGAGTAACAATAAGCGAATTTAGTTGGTAGCAAACGATCATCAATTTTTGACTGGCAGCCCCATTGGGTCCCATTTCCTGTCGTTTTTACAAAAATCTGTGCTCCACAGCTTTTGTTGTGAGATTCTTCTATAAAACATTGTTTTGATGTGCATATAATTTTTCTAGGTCTAATTAATGTCCTTATGTATTTATATGCAGAGTTACCGGTATGTTTCACATTTCTCTGAGAAATCCACGCCTTGAAAATTGTTAAAGTGTGATTTACTCTCTGAAAGTGAAAGTTTGCACGTTCTTCTGAGTCTGCATTTTCGCAATAAATGTTTCCCAATTCTACGAACATCTTTTTCTTTGTCTTCATCAATGCTTTAAACGTATATGTTGACGTGTTCCAAAAGTCTGTAAAAGTACGGTGAATGTACTGATCTACTTGCGGAATGTAGACTTTTTCAAGGTTTCTAAGCTGAAATATGTATATCATGATAAGTTAAAAATTTGTAATTGCATTCAAATGATAAATATGTACACAGCTTATGCCTAGTTTCACATACTCCATAATCATACACCATTAACACAGGTGAGGAAGAAACGCAGGTCACAGTTATTAAAGTATTATCATTAAATTTGTAATCTAATTCTAATTCTGTGAAATTACGATGGGATGAGACTATTCCAGTAACCAGTTCAAATGATGGAAATTGTAAAATTTCAAGTTTAATATGCTTGCTCTCGGAAATAATAATCGTAAAACTGAGGATGAGTAATATAAAAGTATAATAAAAATAAATCATAACTTTAAATTCTGCCATTTTGGAAAGAAATGCCAAATTAAATTTGAACATTGAACACACAATTTTTTTTTCTGCATTTTAAGTTTTGCTGTCTAACCTAACTACATATATAGACACCAATCTAAAAAAAAGCAGCATATTTGCTGACCAAATATGGTAACCACATTGTCGGTTTTACATACATCCGTATTTTTATTCGTTTCACATTTTTCACCACAATATTGAAGTTGTGTCGAAGATGGCATATGTACTATGGAACAATTTTTTACTGATGACCAAATGGAAGTATGTATCATACATAAAAACTTTTCGTTTACGAAAATAAATCATTTTTATTCTGAGCAGTTTAGATAGTTCACAAACAATTATCACATAAATACAGCCGCATAAAAATCACTCCGACTAGAAAGAAAAAGTGTAAAAGACAAGGGATGAAGAGACAGGAGAAAATGAGACTGAAAATAAACTCAATAAAATCTTAACTATCAAGATAAGCGTATCACAAGGAGAAAACAAAACAGAATTTTTAGAGACATGAAAAGGAATCATAGAAAGTGAAAATAAGATGAAAGACTTTGGATAAGTTGTTGCTATTAATTGTTTAAATTCAAATTTGTCCTTGAATTTAAAAGGGGGCTCCGTAAACTGGTCGGGATTCAGTGGTACCTCCATTGTTGGAGGAAGATGAACCACCGGAAGCTGCACCACCGTAACGGATGAAGTACACTGAAGGCTTGGCTGGTGCTTGGGCAGCGGGTTTGCGGATCTTAAGATCGGTGGAAGCGTCGAACTTCCTGTGAAGAACGTAAACCAAGGTCTTTTGTTGATCCTGTTCTGGGAGAATGACTTCAGTTTGTTGGTTGGCGGATTGGGATGGAGTTTTCACAAAGATGATGTTCACCTAATAATAATATCACAAATTTGCTCCTCACAGTATCAGAGATATTAAATATTATACGCTTTAATGCTTACGTGCTTGTCACCCTTTCCTGGGATTCGGATAACTCGGGCTTGGGAGTCTTCTGGATCATCGGGGGCAGCGTGAACGTAGCTACAATGGGAGAGAACAAGGGATAAGTTGGTCGGTCGGATTGCTTTTGTTAAAAAAGGATCACTTTATGCACGGCTTACACATGTCGGTAAGTGTTTCCTCCAGTTGAACCACCTCCGAAAGAACCACCGGAGCTGGATCCAGATTCGAACGAAGGTGCTCCGTAAGAACCTGATGGGTAGCTGTAACCGGATGGTGGCTCGGCGAATGCGAGTCCGACGAGGGTAGCGACGACCTTTAAGAAGATAAGTTCACATTAAAATTTTGCGGATGATGATTTGATTTGATTCAAAGTCCGAATTTCTTTAGTTCGCACAAAATGTTCTTTAGACTCACCAAGATAACCTTCATTTTTCTGTTGTTTTACTACTTCTCTTCTGCTGTACTTCTGTACGATTTGATGAGATTTGAGTGAATGATGCCAATTTGATAAAATGCGTACCTTTTTATACCTAAGATTCTAGACAAGAAAATCCAAGCATATTAATAATTTCTCAAATTATGCCATTCTAGAAGTTTGCATATTTCTCTAATATTTTTGTAATTTTAGGAAGACAAATGTTTGTCTAAAAGGAACCCAGAGCAGTAGGGTACCTAAAACAAAGACAGGATGCCGATTAAATCATCACACAAATTACACAACAAAACATTATACACCGCATTTGACATCATATAGCAGATGAGCATATACATACCTTCAGATGTATGTAGCTGACAATTGATATTTTGGTCAATAACGCACCCAATATGTATAAAGTAAGAAATATAATAAGTAGGTAACTTGATGTACATAATAATATGTATATAAAACCAATTAATTAGTGAGCATCTTCCCGTGTGCATACATTTGCACTACTGCCACACACACAGCTAGACTACATGTGCCTAATTTGCTATTTCATAGTTAAATCAAAACTCATTAGTGATCATAAAGATGAGACATGATAATGTGTTCCTCTGATAATCTAGTTGGTTGGTAGAAGGCTACAATTTTTTAAAAGTTGTTCATAGGTATAACTTTACAGACTGCTTGTTTACCAAATTGTGTGAGCATACATATCGTCTCATAAAATATAATGTCCCAAAGTTTGGGGAAATTACACACAAATTGTTTAAATACGTTGTGATTAATGCGTACGTAATAGAGAGAATTTGACTGCAGCTGCAATGAGATAATAGACTTGACAACTTGCCCAATGATGGTAACAAGATAGTATTCTTTAAATTTGAGACATTAATAACCACAACATTTAACTAATTCTGACAACTTTATAGTTTTCAGCATTTTTCTGTGTCGTCGTCTCTTTGTCTGGCTCATCTAGTCCGGTTTTTTTGTGCAATATTCATGTTAATGAAAAGTGCGTGTGTCGTGTATTGGATAAAATCTTGACAAGAATTGTTAGTTTTTGGCTAATCTTCAAGAAATTTCGAATACAGGTCTCATTTATTTTTCCTTGTTCTGCAGGTGCATTTGTTGATCATAATGTTTATTTTAGCATGTATTTTTATCAGAAAGTGATGGTGAAGATGTTCACCAACATGTCCATGTCTGACACATGGCATGTCATTGATTTAACTTGACATGGCTAGACACAGGTACGTATCCCTATGTCAAAAATAATTTGGTTGACTCATTTTTTAATGTGACAGAATAAATGTAAAATTAATTTTAATTTATGCAATTGTGGAATCAGAAAATTAATCTTGATATTTGTGTATTCAAAGTGTTTATAAAATTAATGCAATAATTAATGTTATTTTTGAGCAAGAAAATTCTGTACTACTCGTAGAGTCCAAAAAATTTATGATATGTACATATATAGGTATACGTATGTAGTAGGTATAAGAGCTTCTGGAGTTGACTATATATGTACGTATTTCGTTTATAATATTTTTTGTTTTTGACTTCAAGTATTGCAAAGCCTCAACAATTTTTGCAATAGCAATCCAAATTTAGAACGAGTGATTCCTTAAAGTAGTTTCTTGCATATTTGATGTTGCTGTCCTTGTTTATCTTTTCGAAATTTCGAGTACAACAATTGGACTACCAATAAAAACATTGTGATTATGGCGAAATTAAAAAAGGCAATACTTCTAGGATGGCGAAGACAATATCCTCCAGTTTCTAGAAAAAACAAACATGCTTTTCATGCAAGATGGCTTTTCATGCAAGATGGATTAGTTAATTCATGCAACTTACTTATAACATAAATTGTGTACAGAGTTCCAAACACTCCACATGTCATGTCCATTAATTCCAGGATAAGAATTAGCAGCGCAGTTTTTTCCCCTTTGAAAATGCGCCAATTCATGACCTATGACGTCCAATCACGATAAATAACTGTACTTATGCTCTACTTATGATCTCATTAATACAAATTTTGTACCCTGCATGCCATAAGTGGATAAGTCCCACAATGTTGCAGAATATTTACACACATTTGGAAATACATCAACGGTTCCCCCAGGGAGCAAGGGACGCCGTCATTAGGACCATTACGGAATGATGGAATCTACAGCAGAAACAAACGGAAAAATCTATACATGCTGTAGCGAAATATTAAATAGCGTAAAATAATTAATATATGTAGAACGCTTACACATGAAACATGGAGAGTTTCTTATTTTGTAATATATTCAGAAATGTTTCCAGCAAATGAATTGATTTCGACAGGGTATACCAAAGGGCCCAAGAAAATTCGTACAGCAAAGGTCCATCCCTTTCGATATTTCATAAATATTCAACACCTCAAATTACTTAATCAGATACATATACACATATTTGCATATGTCGTAATTGCACTAATATTCAGCTATGTGTAAGTAGGTATACGTATGGCAACAACTACCTGACACAAAGAAGACGATACACTCCATTCGTTTGATATAAAATGTCGATCGCTCTTGGAAGAACCCTGTAGGCGCATGCAATCGAAAATAGGGAATTTCCCACAAGTAGCGACACCATGAGTCCCTTCAACCTCACGAACGATTTCCTCCTAACCATCCACCATTTAAGGAATAAAATGCCCACCAAATAAAATATAACCAGGAAGGAGGCAAATGGAAACCAAACGCTCTCATAAAACCAAAACCACCAAGAAACGTTCAGATATTCAAACCAGAACCACTCCCCTTTGCTGTGTGTCACTTCCCATGCACTCCATGACGAAGGTGAAGAGGAAGGAATTGCGGAGACAGTCACGGTTTTGTTCATTTAAAAAATATTTAAATGTGCAAAGAAACTAAAATTGTGGTAAGAAAGTAGATATTACCAATTTTTAAAAAATAGATGCAATTTTTACATAGAATTGTACATAATATCACAATTTCATGCAGAAACAGCAACTTATAGGCTTGAAGCAATTTTCTAGGCTTTGTAAATTTTAGGAGATTAATACATGTTCGTAAAAAGACTACTGACATAGCGATCTGTGCATAGATATGTACTTATTCTTAGTTTCATTTAAATGCAACTTAATATTTCGCCAAATGATGCACAGTCATAGTTTAATTTTCCTTAAGAGGTACACACATAATGAGTTTAATGAAGGAAGGAACCTCTGGGAAAATAATCATGCAAATTCATTATGTCAAATGAATTGAATTGGGTATATCCTTGTGTTTTGAACTTGATGATGTGTATAGTTGGATGCCATAAAAAACCATAGCTAAATTGCATGATAAATACGTACTGCCCCAGGGCGCATAAACCCCCTTAGGAGAAACCACGGACAACAAAAAGTTTATGCGCCCTGGTACTGCCCGATAATGATTGTGCTATAATATAAATCAACTTACATAAGGTATTATACATACCTATTTCAAGCATGAGATGTGTAAGCATATTTGCAGGAAATTTTGTATCGTGAAAATTTATCAAAAAATGTGGACCTCTGTCATATTGCGTTATTCTAAATGCATAATTCTTATGAACTTTAAAATTCAAATGCTACGTAAACAGAGCGAAGTACATCCTTGTTGCGCATTATGAGAATTCCGAGAGAACAGCGATACATATCTTGTGAATTATAAGTTTTGGGCACTCACATACAACATCTTTACATACGTACATTCCTATATGTACATGATAAGTAGGATAATGTCACAAAGAGGATAATAAAGCATGTGTTTATACACTTGATAAATTAAAGGCGCAAGTAAAAAGAATTTATTTATTGAAAATGTATTTGTAAGGTTTAAAACTAGAATTCCATATTCTATCTTCGTCAACTGCTCATCATATCATATATCTCATGCGTACAATGCAGAATGTTTCTTAATTTATTTAAAATATAAACCGTTTTAAACAATAAAATATGCAGTTATTCACTTATTAATTGACTAAATAATAAAATACACTTCCGTCAATCACATTCAATTAACAAAAAATTGTTGCTAGATTGTGTAATATTTGTATACCAATAGATGGGTTATTAGTACTTAATCAACAGAAATTTCTGGATTAGAGTTTACTAGGACTTTTTTCTTGTTGACTTTTTTCACAGCAACTTCATAATCGTCAACTTCAGAATCTTCGGAATCTGACGAGGTTCCTTCATCACTTTTATTCTTTTGAAGTTTTGCATCTTTCGCTAATTCTGATGGCTGAAAATCTGTGTCAAAATGAACTCGTAAATGTTCCTTGAGTGACTCTTTTTCATTCGACGAAAAGTCGCAAAAGGGACATGTTTCCTTAAGAGAACGTCCATGAAAACTTGCGTGATCAGTGAAGGTCTTTTCATTCTCGGTTTTAAATGGGCAATGGGGACAAAGCAGCAATTTTTGTGAAATGATTGTTTTCGGCACTTTTAGGACAAGGGGAGGCACAACCTAGTACAAACATATATGGTAAAATAGAAATAATGAGCAGAAACCGTAATTTACATAGTATTTAGGTATTAAATAATATCAATACCTTTTTAATTTTTACTGCATCTTCACAATCAAAAGGAGCACCCACGGGTAAAGAAGATGCTGGTATGTTTTTACCCATCTTACTCAACGGAGTGGCAACTAATTGTTCTTTGCTAACATTTTCTTGGTTTAAATGTTTCTTCAAATGTTGAATAAAGTTGGCATAATACGTGACGGAATAGTCACAAACGGTACACTTGTAGCGTTGCATAGATCCGTGAAGCCCCATGTGCACCTTGTACTGATCTCTCTTTTCAAATGCTGATGGACATTTGAAGCATTTATACCTGCATGATTATTTAAATAAGAATGTATAAGCATCGCACAAATGAATATCAGGATATTCAAACTGCTTTCTTACCGTTTGCTTTTAACTCTCCCGTTTTTCACGAATGTAGGGTATTGAAAGTTTGGGTTTCCTTGATATGCTCGTACAACTGAAAAATCTGTTGTTCCATCATCGTGGTCACCACCATGATCATTGGCGTCTGCCCCTGGGACAACAGTAGGAATCTGCTGAGGAATGAGATTACTTACTGATTTATCAAAATTATCCACATCCGCAATTTCTGGCTCAATTGTAACTTCCGATCCTGCGTGAAGGATAGAGTGAAGTGTCAAATTATTTCGAGATTCTGCTCCAAAATCACAGTGTTTGCAATTAAACTGCGTAGTTTTCCCATGCTGTTGAGAATGGTGTAAGAAACTTGCAAATGTGTTAAATCTGGCCGGACAACTTCGGCAAGGTAGTGATGCATCACATATAAACGACATTGTGGTATCTTCTTGTCCACCGTCACCTTTTTCCGATATTGATGAATTAGTTGACGGAGAAATTGTTACTGGTTTCATTTTTCGTAGGGGAGGTGGAATGGAACTGGTGCTTTTGTTGTTGTCCTTGCAGCACTCGAATGTCAGTTTTGGAGCAGCCCTGTACTTGCCTTTGAGCAAAGAAAGCGTTCTTTCTTGGTATTCGGCAGAGTGTACATTCATGTGCGACTTTAAATGTGGAACCTCCTGTCTCGCGGTATAAGAACACAAAGAACAGGTGAACTCATATTTCCGTTCGTGGAAGGTGTGGTGAATTCGCAACTCTTTTTCATACAGGAATCTTGCAGGACATTGAGAACAAAGGTAAAGAAATGGTGTCTGGGATTGGCATGATGGTGTTGGTGAGCGTGAAAGTCTCTCAGTAACGTCTTTTTCTGAACCCACTAGTAAATTTTTAGGATCTAATTTCATACTCAAATTGAGAACTTGGTCATTGTTGTCGTTGTCATCGCCTTCATCTGAGCCGTGACCTTCATCATGCTGTTGCTCATGTTCCATAAGATCATCTCCACTAACAAAGACTTGAGGACAGAAACGGCATCGAACAACGGATAAAGGTTTTCCATCTTTCCATAAAAGAACTCGTGGGCGTTTTAGCAAAGTTTCCTCTTCAGCAGCTCCATTAAAATATTTTTCGCTGCCGAACAAGTTTTCGGCATTCTGATGGTCTTGTAATAGATGAACTCGGACATGTTGTTGTAGAAGATGCTTGTGGCTTACTCGGTATGAGCAATTGTTGCATTTATAGGGAGCGTTTGGAGAAGGAATGTGGAATTTTTTGTGGTAAATGAACTGTCCTTTACTATCCGTGACTGTAATAATAATTGAAACCAAAATTACTATATTTAGAAAATCATAACAATAGTTATTGTGCATGAGTTGTGTAGGTATTGTGGGACGCACCATAAGGACATTCCTGACAGTGATACTTCTTATATACCAAACCATCCTGTTGGGCAAGCCCTCGTGGTTTTGCACATATTTCCTCCGGAAGTATCAGGTCGGACGCATTTTCCATATCATCATCTTCGTCGTCTCCAACAGGTTGTACTGCAGCATTCACATTTACTCCATGGCACTGAATATGTTGCTGGATTTCCCTATGAAATCAATGAAAAATGAAGTGATGGGTGGATTTTGTACATTATAATTAGCCAGTTTCAATTAACTAATTAAGGCACACATACTTTCTTGAGGAGAATTCGTCTTGACAGTAGGCACAAGTATAAACTTGACCAAATTTTTCCTGATTGTCACATGATTCGGAATTTCGAGAGTTAATCTTGGCTGGTGATATTGAAATATCTTGACAATCCCAATAATCAGCATTTGTTGTTGTTTGCCTATTCAACATTCCTGTCCCCAATCGTCCCACTTGAACCAAATTATTTTGGCTCAGGATAGACATCGACTCACCAGATTTTGGTTTATGAGTGTCATTGATGTGAAAAATTACTTGTTCTTTGCTTGAATGCCTGCATAAACAACCAAAGCAATTCATGGTTATCTAAATATGAGTTCGATTTTGTGATTTAATTGCCAGCCAAACTAGCGTGTTTTATACTCACTTGAATTGACACTTTTTACATTTCCAGGTCACCGTTGGTTTATTATCGCCAGGTAGTTGATGGCTATTGCCGCTAATTATCGGTGTGACTGTAATATCGCGCCCGAGTGATTCCTGCTTAATAAAATAAATTGCAATAATTAATTAAATGCAGATGAAATGAGTTTATAGATTTTTTTTATATTCAATTCGCTTACCATATTCTGCAAAATTTCTCCACCTGCCAACATTCGTTTTTCCACAAAAGTTCTACCAGCAGAACTTTTAGAAGGCAACATTGGGGATATGGTTATAATTGGTTTCAGAATAGGAAGAGAAGGTGTAATAGCTTTTAATGAATCTGAATTCAACGCTTGTCTTAGACTTGTGTAAGTTCCCTCCAGAGATGAAAGCGTAGGTGCTTTTATCAGTTTTGGCATTGATATCAATCCCCCCAGGAGATTTTGCGATGACCTTGTCAAGGAATTACTATTAGACTTTGCGCTGGGACTAGATTTTGGTGGTGAAGGCGAATGGGCAACTTCTACGTCGGATCTTTTACTCGCCACCGTTGAACAATCCGGCAACTTGGAATCTGCATTGTAAGTCACCGCCATAGGGACCAAATATCGGTCATACTTTCGGTAGTTGCGTTCCCCACTTTCGTGAGTAAGAAGAACTTTAGCTTTAATATGGCCCGGATCTCGCATTGTTTTTAGTTTAATATGTTTGGTAATGTCCCATCTCCAATTGGATCTGCCAAAAAATTGAACAATAGAGACCAAGTTTAAATATCTCCATTAACCTCAAAAATAAAATTGCAAGTTAAGTTTGCTTTACCTGTAGGAGCATTGTGAACATTCGAACGGTTTCGTGTTATAATGTCCAACAACATGGACATGAAATCTCGAAGCCGTAATTGACCAAAATTTACAATCCTTTTGCGGACATTGATAAACTTTTCTAGACTTGGTAACAGCACCTCTTGGACTATTGATTGATGCAGGACTAGACATTTGCTCTTCATAATCTCCATCATTTTCAAGATCTACAGTTAGTCCAGAGAAACTTTCAAAGTTGTGAAAAAATTCCTGACCTTCCATGTTATCTTGCGTATCTTGCTCGTCCGCATTTTCTTCATCGACATTGGCATAATCTCCCACATTTCCTCCATTCTCGTCAGTCCACACAAATATTTGATTTTCTTCAATTTTTTCAAGTTGTTCGTTTTGTTCCTCTTCAACAAGAAAGCGTTTTGCTTCTCTACAAGATTCTAAGTGGTTTATGAGATCTGCTGAGGTTTTGCACCTATGTCTGCAATACTGGCATCTCGTCGAGTTTGACGTAATTGAAATACTGTTAATAGTGTTCCCGTTTCTACTATTCATAATACTGCTCGATGCTGTCGAAGGGTGAGGAGAAGAAGGAGGGGCAATAACTGATGAGGTCTGACTTAGATCATTACTGATTTGACTATTGTTGTTGGAGGTTAGCTTCTTGCTAAGTTTCTCAAAGAATGACGTTCTTCGTTGGGGCTGGATTCTTTTTGAACTATAATATGGTTTGATGTCATTATAAAGGGATCCTAAGGATTCATGCACTTCCGGTCGTGGTTTCGGATTCAATCCTAACTGAAGGAGAAACTGGACCTTTGATATATCCTCGTATACTTGGTTTTTATCGTCATGAGCAGAATCACAATCCGATTTTTCTGCATTGGAAGGACTAGATTTTGTTTGATATGATGATACCCCTTTTGGTATTGGAATTAAACTGGGCATAGGTTTGGTCTTCACTACAGTTGGTGAACAACCAGAGATTTCAGACGAATTTTTTAACAAGACTGGCATCGGAGATCGGATTTTTATCTTTTGTAGCAGATTAGGAATTTTTGTTAACGCAGAAGAGGCTACAGCCGACGATGGATGACTTTGAATAACATGTCTGTTTAGACTCATCTCTGACAGAGCGTTAAAATTGCACAACTTGCACTTGTAAAACTTTTTCATGAAAAGGCTTCGATCTTCTTGTTCGTTTGATTTCTTTAAACGCTTGAGATCAGGTGGACAGGAGCCGTGGTCCTTGTTCTGTTGATCTTGATAACCGTCAAGTTCTGAGGACTCTGGAGATTTTCTCGGCGAGGAGGCACCATTAGTGCGAAACTGAGCCAGAACTTCTTCCGGTACATTGTTATGATGATTTTGCACATGGCTGCCGTGTCAAATAAATACATTGTAATGATTAACTCCTGTATTAAACTCATACCTCCATGACTTCTTGTAATTTGCATACCTGGTTAAACTCTGCTTCATATCGCACGTAAAATTGCAGAGAGGACACTCCATTTTCCCCAACGAGTTGTGATTTTTCATATGCCGATCCAAATTCCACGTGTATTGCGTACGGAAGTCGCAAAATTCACATTTGATATAAGGCATGGAATGATACTTAACATGCTGCAGAGGAGAAAATAAAATTTCATGTTGAGTACAAAAATAGAAAATTTTACATTTTGGCGTAATTACTTTGGTGAAGCGGGCTTTCAATACGGTGGCATAGCCGCAAGATTCACAAACGAATTTCCGGGACGAAGAAGAAAATAAGGAGGAGGAAGATTTCTGCTTACTACACGCCTTTTTCTTCCCTACCATCACGGTCAGCCTTCACCTTCTGAAAAAAAAGAGGGCAACCAAAAAAAATTAGACCTTGGGTACATAGGAGATATCAGCAAGCAGCAGTGTTGCAGTCATTTGATCCACCTTATCATCAAGTTTAAAAGAGTATATACGCCATTCATATCAAGCTATGTGCATGGGTAAATATGTGCTAAGCGAATGCCATCAAACTCACATAATTCAGAACAGTTCAGTCGTCGTCCAATCCGGGGAAATGAATAAATATATGTGCTTATTTTTTACTTCTCACTTTGTCCAGCCGGAGAGAAATCTCCCTGAGCTTTCAAGAATTTGCAGGTGGAGAGACGTAGATGATGATGAAATACTAAAGGGAACCAAGGCTTTTTTCGTGTTAGTAAAGTTTGGTCTCTCTGGTTCGTTCTTCTGCGTCTTCCTCACTGGTAGATTTAGGTAATATTAGAGTCGGGTGTTCTTTCAGAGAAAATCTTCCACTTCTTCCCAACACAGACTTGGCCAACTCTATGAAACCACTCTTCTTGCTTTTCCTGCTTATCGATCGCTTCTTGTTCTTCTTCGTCTTGGTTGTCGTCACGGGAGCAGTCCACAAGGTGAGATGGAGGTGAACACCGCACCAGAGAGGAGGATGTCAGATCACGAGCTGCTTCCAGTGGCAGCAGCTGTCATTCTCATTCCTTTTGGTCTTTGTACGTTTGAGATCCTCTGTAGCAAGTTGTTCTTCTGGAAAGTACAGAAATGTCACATTTCTTTTTACACGTCCTGCCCAACTGCTTATGATTACGATTTCCATAATGGTTACATTACTGGTGGCAGCTCTCGAACTACGAGTGATGAAGTTGCAGAACAGAGAAACTCGTCAATTTGATCCGAGTAGTGCGTTCAACAACTATTATGTATTATTATTAGTATTATTATTATTATATGCATGTAACCACCACCCGCGAGGTAACCAAACCGAGTACCTCACTCTCACCATCAATGCAGTAGTATTACCAAGTAAAAGCACGAGTTATCGACTACCACGACCAACAACGCTCGTAATGATGAAGGAAGATGGTGAAGAAACTAGGTCACCCACGACTCGTCCGTCCGTGTCCTTCTTCCCATCTGCCAAATGCCACAATCACGCTACCAACCATACAGTACTGCACACACATACACGCCATCAAAATCTCACTTGATTCGTCTTCTTCTCCGACTATAGTTTCCATTCGTAAATGCCAGCCAACTTATCCGAAACCTTAATACTCTTTTGCAGAAGAAGAGAGAAAAGAAGTTGAAGCTCCGGCAAAAATCCAAGAATTCTCTTCCTCTTGCCTTACATAAATTCGTACATGTGTTCTTTGTCGATCCGAATCTCCACATATGATAAGAAACAAGATGAAATCCCTGCCAACAAGTTTTAGAATTTGCAAAAGTTGGACCAAGCAAAAGAAGTGGAGGAAGAAGATTCGCGAGGAATTTTGCAGGCAACTCTAATTTTAGATTGACAGGCAGCAGCGACGACGACGAAGAAGAAGAAACAAGAAAAGTGAGACGAAGAAGATGAGACGAACGAGAGTGCGTAGATCTCCTTGGATGGATGCATAGGGTGGAACATTAACATTGTTAGAGATTCAGAGACACGAACGACCCAGCCAAAAGCAGGCATGAAGATTCTTCTTTCATTTCTGCTCCAAAAAATTGTGTTCCACTTTTACGATAAGGATATGCAACATTTCGGGAGAGTCATTTCAATGAAAGAGATTGTGATCAAAATAAATGCGTAGCACAGGTGATTTCATTTCATATCATGATCGGGATGAGATGCCGATGCCGAGCTTCTCGTGGGTAGAATAATCGAAATTGGGTTGAAAGATGGTGAACAAAACAACAACACGACACACAATGCCTGGATATGCATAATTCTAATGTACATTTGCACAAATTCCAAGAATTTCAATTGTTTCAGAAATTCTTAATGCTACCGCAAGCACAAATACCACAAGAACCATCGTACCGCTTTTATAGCAAGCAAGCAACATAGCAAGCAACATCTTCATTTACCACAGACCTTGTCCTCTCTTGGAAAACATAACCATCTATGGATGTATGCATATCCATCATTATACATCCTCCTAGATAGACATGTGTACGTCAAATAGTACGAAGCTAAAAACTAGCAAGAAGGATCCGGGAAATTGCTATAATACAGACCTTGCTGAAGGATGACAAGTATTGGTGGGTGGGTGGGTGGGCATGAGCTCGCTGCTGGGCGACTTGGCTTTAATGATACCAATCCAACAACATTACGTGGACATGACATCAAATCCATGCACTCACTAAACTGAGTCATCTATCCCAGCAACAACTACGACCGGACATGAAATTGGATACCCGAGTTTTGCTCAACCGGGCATTATTACAGACCTCTGGAGAAGAAGCGAAGAAGAAGAGCAGCCTCACACACGGGCGAAATCGACCCCGAAGAACAGACAACGTTGCTGCTGCTGCTCGATGGGTTTCAGAGTCCAGGAGGATTCGTCTCGTTGGTTCGGTCGTGTTCCATACTGAAGGAGACGTAGGAGGAAGGAAAAAGGTGACAAAGGCGGAGGACGAACTATCGATTCTTTCTCCCTGGCAGCAAACCAGAGCAATAACAAGAACTCCAGACACGTCATCTAAAACCCGACGACGACTTTGACTGCGGAGCCATAACACTTTTTTTTAACTTGATGTAAGATTTAGGAGGACGTTCATGCAAAAAAAAAAATACTTTTGTATACATGATGACTAATACTCAAATTATTGATAAAAGTTACAGAATGGTCATGTAATGTACTCATGGGTAGTATTCATTACATGTCAAATAAGCTCAATATTAATGACTCTGATTTCTCCATAAAACAAAATCGAATACTTTTCAAGGAAAATGCACATTTTATCCTGTAGTTTCCTATTCTCTTCCAGGAAGTGAGCAACAATTTTGTAAATACTTAATAACTCAACCATCGCGGATTATATTGACTCGTGTACGAAGAGGAGTTGTCCCTCTAACCATTTCACTAGTCATTTAATTTTGTGACCAGACGCGCCTGGCAAAAAAAAATATCCACATCCGTCATCCCATCTCTTCACCTCTTGCAGAAAACCACATCACAAGTGCTGTCGAATTCCAGTTACTTCCAAAACGAAAAGTGACAAGAATGATTTTCATGCAAGCTTAACAGAGCAGAACCACAAACTAATTGGTAACCACCGAACCAACCAAGTACGCCATAACATGATCACCATATCGGTCTTAATACTCAATGAGAAGCCAAGACTACATTATTACCAGAACAATTTCCAATTTTACTAATTACTTGGTAATAATGATATGAGAAATGAGAATGACACACGTCCTTCTATAGCAAACTCAGCCAGCAGCCATTACCATCACATGACATTACGACGATTAGGTATATGTAATACGTATATCCTCCGTCATCGTATAGCAAAATCTTCCAGGTCTTTTCCTCTTCAACATTTATCTCTCTGTTTAAGCAAACAATAAAAAACAGCACAACTCCAACATGGATGAGGAGAAATGAGATATGATGTCGGATTTTTACAAATACTGTCTCTTCTCTTATTAATATTGGATGTTTACTCCACCTCATCTCTCATGAAGATTAGTCACCCATCATCATCCAGCAGCCGTAATAATACTCAACACTTCTTGTGGAGCATGGAGACCTAGACGTTAATTTATATACACACCTTTTACCTTAGCTGTGTGTCTGCATCATCTCGCTATTTATGTAGTTAGTCCCCTCATCAAACTTATTATTATGCATGCAAGATAGGCAGGTGAATAGTGCACAGAAGAAGAGTTTTAGTCCTCGTTACTTACTTAAAAACTTTACGTGCCCAAATATATAATACAAAGTTTTTCTTGCCGGATCGCACCGGATACGCTCTCATCTTCTTCATCTTCTTCTTCATCTTCGTCGTCTCAACTATGATCTGGTCCATCCAGCCAATGTGCAATAATGTATTTTCTCCTTCAGGTGGGGTTGAGAAGGTGGAAATGACGCATGCAACTTGTCGCAATTAGCTGTTGCTGCCAGTGCTGATTATATGCACGTACTGGAGAATGAGACATCAGTAGTACTGGCTATAGTAGCAGAGCAGTGATATTAGTGAGTAATGGAGGTCACACATATTACCTTTTTCCTTCACAACGACGTCGTCTTTTCTTAATGTGTATTACTCTTTTCTTCGTACAATCATCATCATCATCGTGTTTAGCAATGAAAGCAGCAAGAAAGATCTCACTCTTAACTTAAGAGTCTTAAGTAAAATCCAAGAAGAGTAAAAAGATACGAAGGAGCAAGAAGAACCAAGAAGACGAAGAGGAGTGAGACAAATCTCATCATACCAAAAAATTCATCTTGCCTCACTCTCTTTTCGATCTCTCCAACGAGATACATGCGATGACGGTTTCCCAGAGAATGCCCAAAACGTATTTGTACTACAACCGACGGTACCAACCAAGATGGTACCGAGGTAATATGTGTCTGGTTATGACCTTGTAAAAGTGTACACAACATAAGATACAAGTAATTTCCCACTAACCCGAATTCATAATCTTAATGATAGTAAATCGTTTCTGTTTGTCATTCTCCATTATAGTTAAATCCATTTTCATAAAACCTGACGTTTTGCATGTCGCTGCACATTCACGATAAGCCCCTTTTATCAATTGCAGAACTTTATTAACCTATGTAGGTATTTATTATCCATCCCTGACGTGATTGGACGCGTTAATGGTTATGCTCTTGGGTAAAATATGTACATGGACACAAAAAGAGAGGAAAGTTGTGGAAATCACAATCCATCGAATAATTCAATGTGTGTGCACATCAGGTAAAAGAAAATCATGAAATTCGTATGTGTATATGAACTTAATTGCCCGTTAGATTCTATTTGGTTTCATGAGAACCTTGATAATGCAATTATATACAACATAGATACACAATGCCAGTAGCCTCATTCATTATAAATATCATGCCCATAAGAGATCAACAACAATGCGATTCTTAATCATAGAATTAGAGACATATATACTTCCTTATATATACTTGTTCTGAATCAATAAATAATATTTGCCAAGCCGATATCATCATATCGATCCGTAATGGACAAACGGATATGCAAACTTACTTCGGGGTGATATGAACGAAATTAAGCCAACCATATGCACACGTACTATTATGCGGAAACAACATATAAGAAAATCACGTACCCGTATGAAAGTCAATTCTCAAGATTTTCCTCGATGATCCGGAAGCGTGTTCCTCTGGGTACCGTAGTGGCGTTGTTGCCGACGTTTGCTGCTGGGCGAAGAGATGAAAAGATGTTGCTGACAGCCTCTTTTCAGGCGACTGACTGATTCTCCAAAACGAAAACCCTGTCTTCTTCATCGTCGAATAAAAGCTCTGCTTGCTGCTCTTCTGGCCAAGGACGTGAAGAACTCGCAATATTTCCTCTTCGTCCTAACCTCATCGCAGTCGCAAGCAACCATAAACCACCATCAGCATCATCAGCTCAGCACCAGCCAAAAATCCAATCTAGCCAAAACCCACTTTGCTCTACAATAATAATACTCACTGTTCTGTTATTTTCATGATGATAACTCTGACTGATGACGACCTCAAGCTTTCGAAGATTGTTATATTCAAAATTTCAATGACATACATTATGTCGCATAATATATGACATAATAAATACTGTATATACGTTCCTATGCATTCCCGTCACTACCGTCGGTTTCAGCTACCTGGGGATTTGTTTATAAATCATTTTGGGGGGTTAATTATTGTACCTTTTTTGTAGAGGTTCTATAAATGCTTACCTAAACTCGAATCTCGAATTAATCTCAATTTGGTTAGACTGATTAATTGAGAGTTCATCTCGCGGGAGTGCATCTTCGCTCACTAAACTCTCGAATCACCAGAATTTTATGAAACTTGCTACAAACCAAACCCAAATAGTTAATTACAGTTTGCAAACTAATTATTGTTCATTATTCAGGGGCGAATACATTTTTGACAAGCTTTCATTAGGATAAACTGTAGACAGCAGTCCTAACTGAAAATCTACCTTCAATGTTAATTTTTAGTTAAAAACTAGTGAATCAATTTCTGGATTGTTTTTTTGATTTAATTAAAAATGGAAGACGAGGCGGCATTAGCGGCGGACATTTTTGACCACTCGTTGTCCCCCACAAATTCCAGGGGTGCAGGTATTTCGCGTGGAAAATAATTGTACAAAAAGGTAAAGTAATAATGTAAAAATTTCATGTGTACCTACAGAACTTGGTGAAGGTGATGGCCCCACAATCATTCCGGAAGATAGAATTAAAATGTTGGAAGAAACAATTAGCCATTTGAATGCTGATTTCGGCTCACAACGGGCGACCTTCAAGGAAATTTATTTGAAAAAAGAAGGTAATTATACTGAATAAATTAAGCAATAATTAAATCTATGTTTACGTTAAGAAATACACATTACATTTGATTGTGTCATTAGAAGAATTAGCCACCGAGAGGAAGGAAAAAGATGACCTTTCGGTCAAAATACGAAACTTGCAGGAAGATTTGAACGAAGCCAAGAGTCAAGTGACCATCGCCCAGTTTACAAAAGAAAATGAAATTGAGGTGGAAAAGTCAAGATATCAGCATGATCTCACCTCAATGAGGGTCCGATTTGAAGGTATTTAAAGACATTTGAAAGTGTACAGGTGGTATATGGTGCGTAATATTCGTGTTGTATTAATTAGTTAGCATCGTTTGTGTTCATCGCTTGTTGAACTTGTAGACTTTATTCATTGTTGTAATCACGCGCAATTGTTTGTTGCTTTTTGCACATAACAGAGAAACTGAACAGTGTTCGAGCCAAATATGAAGATGAAATCCAACAATTGAAAGCAACTAATCTGAAACTAGAACTTAACTCGGAACATCAATCGCATCATCATCATCACCATCACAGTACCTCAACGCCTAATAGTAGTAGCAGTAATGATGGACCAGGTGCAATGTTTTCTTCCGCAGTGACCAATCTTGCCAGGAAACTAACACCGGGTGGTGGTGGAGGTGGCAGTAACGATAGTCTTTTGGAGGATGGAAATAAATCCAAGCAACAACAAGGACAAGGAAAATATGTAAGTCTAAGAGTAGTAGTAGATTCAAGTAATATACAAAGCTTAATAGCCTGTATTGGATAGAAGGGTAAACTATTATTTGATAATATTTAGGCATATGAAGACGCTGAGATACTCCGATCCCTTGTTGTACAACTTGAAGGTAGGTAACTGGCATGAACACGCAGTAAGATGTCTAGATTTTTAAGAAATTGTTGAAACATATATATACGTTTATTTACATGTATGCTCTTGAAGAAGAAGTATCTGCCCTAAAGGAAAAGTTACGCCATTCAGATGATCAGTTGGCCACTGTGCAAGGGGCACAAGCCTCATTAGTCAAGGGGAATGATGCACTTACTCATTTATTCGAAGGAGAGGATGTTCAAGGAGTTCTCTCCCACTTTGACGACAAATTGCGACACGCAAGATCTGGCCTAGAAGCTGAGAAATCTTCCAGAGCTGACCTAGAAATGTATGTGGCGTTTGCAAATGCTCAAAAAACCCTGTTAAAAGACGAGTTGGACAAGGTTAAGTTGCAGCTAAGAGAGGTCAGAGCCAGGTTAGAGAGTAGTGCTTTAATGTGTAAATATATCTTTGGTTCGTACAATTGTTTTATTGTTGTAATATTTCGAATATTTGTTTGCCAGTTATGAAGTGGAAAAGAAAAATCACGAAGAACTTAAGGAGACATGGGAAAAGGCCAATGAACATTTTGTGTCGACACACAACGAGTATATCACAGTTATCAATCAGTATCGAGAGATTTTGACTACGGACCAGTTAGATGCTTTAAGATCAAAGTCGTCCAGTTTAGATGGGTCCGTTGGCGTGGTGTCAATTGTTGTAGGTTCAACAGATCAAGTAGATTATTTTTTTGTTTCACAATATATTTGGTTAATTAAATACGATATACTTTGATAAATATACAGGAAACATCATTGTTAAAGGAAGCAGCACCTATTACCCCTTGCCAAGAATGTCAGAAATATCAAGAGGACTCTGAAAAATTGAGAAATGATTTATTGAAGGCTGCTAAACTAAGAAATGAAATGGAGGCTGGTAATTTCATCTGTATTTTGATCTGGTCAATCCAAATGGTATCATTCTCTCATTAATTTTTTGTCTCATTATTGCAGATTGGTTTAGAATATCACACGATTTTCAGGTACAATACACTACACAAAACCCTACCCTAGCTTCTATAGTTTGCACTTCAAGTATATGTACAAAAATGATAATGGTGTATTTAAATATCTGCACTAGAGTAAATTAGGATCTCTTGAAGAACAAATTGGGACTTACGAAGTTGTATTATTGGAGTTGAATACATCTTGCCAACAGTCAATGGAGGGAATGGAACACACGATAAAAAGGCTTGGATACGACAGAGAATCAATTCAGAGAAAGATTGAAAAGTTTGCTATATCTTCTTAGTTGCATATCTGTTGTTGCCAATCTATTGAGAGTAATTTTTTGTGACCAAAATTCAGGTTGGAAGCAGAAAACGATATTTTGAAAGGGAAGCATGTCGCCCATTCGCTCCAGTTGCAAAACGAATACATTTCATTACCCAACGATATTATGGCATGTTAACATTTTTTTAATAAATTACATGTACTTTATCGAAATCATAACATGTTATTTTTGTATTACAGGAACTCCAAGAAATGGTCCTCAGACTAAAGGAAGAGCTCATTAGCGTAAAAGTTGGGAAGGAACAGATCGAAGGGGAGTTTAAATTCTTGAAAGACCAAATGAGAATGATTGAGGAAGAAAAAGTTTCAGTAGAAGAAACACTCAATTCAGAGATTGCTGCTTGTCGAGAAAAAGTCAACGAATTGAGTTCGGCTCTTCATAAAAGTGAAGAGGATAGGAAGCGCCTAGATAAATCCGCAGCCGACCTCAAAAACAAACTTTTGGCTTCGGAAACACAAATTAATAAACTCAAGAGTCAAACTGGTGATTGGAGTAAGGAAAAGGTATAACTAAAGTACTGTACATATTTAATTCTTTGTTCATAAATATAGGGTTATTTTTAATCCACCAGACTTTTAATTGAAATCACATAACTAAATATATTGAAATCGCATAACTTGAATTTCCAGTGCTTTAATTCAATTTAAAAACTGTAAAATTGAAATCTGCCAGACTTTTCTGAATCATACATTTTACTCAATTTCGAAGATTTGCCTTTAGAAATTTTAGGAAAAGATGAGCCATTTCTTTGAATTTTTTTATAAAAAAATTCCGTCAACAAGTAGGCGGCCTGCCGGCCTTGGCAGGGCAGACCCCGAAGGCTCAATGTCCCAACAGGAACGGTCATGGCGTCCTCTCTCTGATGTTGAAACCTTTCCAAATTATTGCAATTCCTAGACCGCAGGAAACAACGGTCCCCGGCACCCCTTCTCACTTTTTAGGGAACTAGTTTCCGGTTAATGCTCCAGTTAACCTACATAGATAGCTTCTTTAAAGTTGGAACGAGGTCATATGTCGGTGTAGAGCATTATTTTGCAATCTAACGAGACGAAGTCCCTGTCCAACAACGCTCATATGCTTGAGGCTTACCATTATGTGGCTCACCACTGGACTCGTTTTCTAAAAGTGTTATCATTTGTTGATTCAACTATGTACATGATTTGTGCTTGGGAATCCTGGAGCTTAGGCCCCATACTTCTGGTTAACAAATTTTGTTTCGAACACCCTTAGAAATCCAAGATCCAAATAATACCAAGTATTCATTATCAGGCTATCATAAATGTATGATTCTACCAAAGTGGTATTGATAAGTAATACGGTGTAACACATCACAGTTCGTTATTAAAGTTTTACAATGTCGGTAGGAAATTATGATTTTAATACCAAGCGGTAGCAACTTTATAATACCGAGAAATCAATACCAGCCCGAGTATACCAGATTTCTGACAGTGAAGTGGTTGCAAAATTCCTTGGTGTCTCCGATTTCTACTACTGTGCACTCCTAGATTATGATTGTATGGTTTACCATTGATTAGAAGAGCAAGGGATACCTCAAGAGTAACTATTTTGATGGATTTTTGCATATCAATGAATTCATAAGTTATGAAATTCCGTGTCTGATGGATTCAGTTATAGAGGTTGTTTTAGGGCATATAAAGTACTGGAAATTCAAGTTATGGAATTTCAATATATTTAGTTATGTGATTTCAATTAAAAGTCTGGCCCATTAAATGAGACCCATAAATATATGTGTATATAATGGAATTAATTATACAGGATGGAATGCAAAAAGAAATTCATGAGCTTACTGGAAGAATCACAACACTTCGGAAAGAACTATCAAATAGTGAAGAACTTCAGAAAGACCTGATTTCCCTATCCAAATCTCTGCAAGTGAACTTGGAGAGCATTCGTCAAGCTGAGACCGAAGTTAGGTAAGGCGAATTGAAAAAGTGATAGTTTTTCATCTCATCAATTGAGTACCACCTAGATAAGTATAACCAACTTTCAGATGGCAACATCCCGATGATGTCTCTCATTGCAACTCTTGTCGCAAACATTTAACTGATTCTAAAGAAAAGGTAGTTCTCCCTATATTTAATTGTTTTATAATTTTTGCAATTTTAATATATATGAAGTATTAATTTTATTCTTTGCAGAGTAACTGTTTACATTGTGGCCGAATATTCTGCAAAAGTTGCATAAGTCGAAGCGTTCGAAGAGGAAATCGAGATTATAATGTGTGTGGTATTTGCCACACGTTACTTGCACACGACTCTGCCCCCTACTTTTCAACGGAGCCGCCACATTCCCCTGACTAATAATACTTTAATTTTAAATTAATATTATGTATTACGTGTGTAATGCATGGTCGAATATGTATGCATTCCCCCCTCAGCATTATTGAGAAATGAGTTAATTCAGACAACTCTAGTCGTCGTTTTATATTTCATGTTGACAATCTTGCCTCCCTCGCCCCTTTTTACTTATTACCAGCTTCGGTCTTTTAGACGTATGTATGTCAAGGTGACGTTGAAAATACAAAATAAAATCTTGATCATAATATCCTTGTTTTGTAGATGTATTTTGACTCTAAAGATATACCTTGTTTATTACTGCATATACATTCTTGCGAATATCCAGTTTATCCAACATACAACACAATCATCAGCATAACATTTCTCATTAAAACTATTGATCGATAAGTTATTAGAATCACAGGGATTTAAGGAAATTATAAAATTGTACTGATACAAAAACAAAAATGGGAATAGTATTATATCGGAAAATAGTAGCTAGTAATACATAATTGTATGTATAATAATTGATAGTACTAGTACTCGTGTTATTATGTGTATTATAGCAATAATAATATTGATTAATAATATTGATTGATGAGGTTCAATAATTAGAATATAACGCATCAAGTAGTAGATGTTCAAATGTACATACATATTAGTTACAGTCGAGAATATCAACTACTGCTTAACTTTGCATACATTCTATCAAGATCGCCCTGATACCATTCCTGTACGTTGCGTCGTCTCAGTTTGAAGGCGGCCGTTACCAAGTTGTTGTCTGGGGTCCAGAGTTCAGAGCAAAGCTTGAGAGCGGCTGGAATTTCGAATCGATGGAGTTTGGCTGCTGTGGAAAAGCTCTGAATTTCTTTAAGGAAAGCAGCTTCCACTTGAGGATCTGAACACATTTCTTCCAGGCTCAGATTTGGTTTTCCGATACTGCTTGAGAGCAACTCCAACTGTGAAATTGTATAAAAATCATATCAAATTAGGTATTCAAACCGTCACATCATCTAATATTATTAGCATTATTTAATGTATACGTGTTTCTGGGCAGGAACGACCAAGGCCACGCAGACGTTCTTAAATGCATCACCATAAATGCAAACGTTTTCAATGTATTTGCAAGTTTTAAGGATAGATTCTATTTTTCCCATGCTTAGGTACTCCCCCATTTGAAGTTTGACCAAGTCTTTCTTGCGGTCTATATTCACAGATTAATCAGTTAATGCTTTCAACTAAATACAAACAATACATATGTACAATATGCTCCTTATAAGAGCAAGAGCACTTTTATTACCCTTACCAATAATTCTAAAACAGCCATCAGGATCAGCTACAGCAATGTCTCCAGTTCGGAACCATCTTCGGCCATCGGCAACGAAAAAGTCTTGAGCTGTAGCTTCTGTAAGAGACATTCCGTGTTAAATTCAGGAAGCTGGACTTGCTGGAAACTCGGAACAAGTACCATTAATTAAAAGGATTTTAAATCTCACCTGGTAGTTTAAAATATCCCATTGCCACATTGTCTCCTCCGATAACAAGTTCGCCTCGAGGAAGGGGTACATCATTAACAGTGTAATTTCCTTCGTCCCAATCGACTAAGCGAAGGTCATTACAACGTAGAGGAGGACCAACCCGACCCACGCTCATGTCACCAGCTGTATATCATAAGTTATCAGAATGATAAATGCCAAGTTAATTAACTTAATAAGAACTTACGTGTAGAACAAGTTGCCGTTGCACACGTTTCTGTGAGACCTGGAAAACGCAAACACCAGAGGTTAGGTAACGGTCAAGATATACGTTATATAAGCACATTTATAAGCGTTTCACAAACCATATCCTTGAACTACGGGAAGACATAAACAGTTTCGAATGAACTCGTGAGTGTCTGTGGCAAGTGGAGCTCCTGCATAAAATATTTGGTAATAGTTAGTTCTAATTTGAACAAGGACTGGCGTATTTGATAGTGTAAGATAGTTTCCCAATTACCTCCCGAGATCATAATCCTAACTTTTCCGCCAACTGCCATTTTCGGTTTTTTCATGACAATTGCATCCACGAGTGGAGTATTGTATCCTTTATAATACCACCACAACTATAATATTAAGTAAAATAAACAAAATAAGAAAAAAAAGATTAATGATTAATATTGGATAATATTTATGTTCATATTATAATGATAATCCAGTACTTTGTAGTCGTAGGCAAAGTAGAAGAGGGCTTGCTTTATAAATCCACCTTGATTTACTTGTTCTTGGACCATTTTATATATTCTGTCCAAAGCGAAAGGAACGGCCACCATAATCTATTGAAATTATCATGTTTGAAGTTAGTAGAATTCCGAATAATCGATATTAAAAAAGAAAGTAGAACGAGCATTATTTATTTATTTTTACAGTTGGTTCGAGCACAACAGCATCTCCCTTTGAGCCAGCCTTGATCTTTGACGAGTTATTGGTAAGCGTCAATGGGGACGAGTATCCAATAGGAATTCCTTGCAGAAAGCATATACTTTCACAGGTCAATTCTAGAACGTGTGCAAGAGGAAGATATGCCACGTATATATCTGTTGAAAAAAACATGCAGGTCATACATTATTCATTCGTTCTCCAATTTTGGTTGCAAAAACAAGCATCGCATAATCATTGCTGCTATAATTATTACCATCCGAATACACGGGGCCAAGTCCATCAGTTAGTCCGAGCATAGCAGTCGCTACATTCTTATGCGATTGCAACACCCCCTTCGGTACGCCGGTCGAGCCACTCGTATACATAATTATAGCCACGTCATCCGGTTCAGGTGCTTCAAGCCCTATTTTATCACGCATCAACACATTAACATCGTGACCCACATAATAATAATAATAATATGGCAAAAGCCATTGTCAATCAATAAGATATTATGTAAAATTAGATTCACTCACGAATACTCAGTTTACTCCCACGCTCAATCACATCGCAGAATGAGTGTATGCTCACACTATCCAAATATCCTGAAGTGTCCAATTTTTTAAGTGGATGCTCCATGTAAATGAGGTGTTTCACGTGAGGAGTCTGTTTTAAAATTGACTTGAACTTGGGCATTAGTTCATCCGACGTAAGAACCACAGTGGACTCTGTCTCGTTGAGCCCTGGGAAATATAAGAAAATAGTACGTATGTAAATAAACTATTACCCTTATTACGCTAACCAGTCTCACAAATTTCAAAATGTAAATATATTCGTCTTACCGTGTACCACGGCATCTTCGCCAAGAGTGGCGTACAAGGTGACGACTATTAAAGAAAATAACAACATGCAATGAATGGAATATTTCAACTTTTCCTTTATCCTTCATTAATCCCATCTTCTTAACAATATATTCTTACTTGTAAAAGTATGCTTAAACGCTCCCACTGTTAAGAAATTCGACAAAATAAAATATTAAAAATTGTTGCAACTGTCAAATAAAGATTTTGTTACCCAAAAATACTTACCGGCAGCAATCAACCATTCGGCTCTCGTTTCGGCAAAGATGCAAATCTTTTCTTTTCGTTGAAGGTTTAGTGTCGTGAGTCCGGCAGCAAAGCATGCAGAGAGACGATCCACCTCAGCATAACTTTTCCAGTGATATTCGCCCATTTCATACTTTTTAAAGACTTTTCCATTTTCCTGATTATATAAAACAATTGATAGTTATTAGTCACACTCACCGACATTGAAATACATAATATGAACAAAGTATAAACAAATATGTTATATTTACTTGTATTTCATCCTCTTCTTTAAACAGTTCCCTTGTACCAAGACATCGTTTCAGTCCGTTTTTTCGTATGGCATGTGTATATACTTTGTGCATCGTATCAATCTTGCCCTTTTCCAGCTCTACATGAATATCTCTCACTTCTCGATCCGAACGCCATGTACAACTCCCTTCGCCACGAGATACGACTTCGGCCTGTAGCATATCCATCAATCAATTAACATGTATATTCATATACTTAATAATTTTTTTGTCCTCGCTTGCCTTGATCTCCGTGTGTAGCAGAACCTTTTCCCTCGGACTTTTCTTTTGGAACCAGTAGTATCCGAACCAGGTGACGACATCGTATGCCAAACTGATGGCTTTCAACAATGCTACGACCAAAGTCCCCCCAAATCCTAACTTCTTATCGGGCAAGAGTAACCTTACCGGAGTTCCCAACTCGGCTTCATCCCCATCAAAGAGAAAAAGATAATGTCTCACCAAATCAACTAAACTACCACTATTACTGCCACTTCGTCCACCACCAGCAGCAGAAACCGCAGAATTATTATTATTTCTACTCCCATTACTTTTTAAAACTCCGCCACTCCCACCATTCTCGACTCTTTTCGCCATGTCAAGCTTTCAACTGTGGAACAAAACAACAATTGTTAATGTAGGGTGGGAATGCGTTAACTTTTTGACACAATTTCAATTTAGAGACTATCTAATCTGCGTTTCTTTCAGCAGCTCACTCAGAAACTAATCTTTCCTGGACAAACTTCCTGTCTCTAATAACGCAACCCGGGCAGAGGGTCAGTATAAAACCCTCTCGTATCGATTTCTGCCTACTACGACTAAAACACACACACCAGTCGGTTTCATCCAAACCAGTCTTCCTTCTAAAACCTACCTATGCTTTGCTCGATGACTTTTGCCGTATAAAACCACCACCCTCGTCGTCACTATTACTCACTACACCACGACTCACTAGAAAAGAAAACCAGACACGCACCCAGCAAATTCGCGAATTGTTGTTACCAGTACGGCGAACTTCTCATTCTCCGCACTACGGACGGATAGTATGGTGGTAAGAAGCGACAAATTGCAGTCAGGCCACTTTTCTCTCAACCAATGAAATCCTAAGTCTACCCGGATCGGTCTTATTACGTGGATAGCAGTGTGTAGATGCGAGTGAATGAAATAACGAACCTTTGCCCTGCCCTTTGTTGTGAAGCCACGCTGCAACAATCAAACGCAAGATCAGGATCAGATTATTCTCTTTTTTCTGACGTGTGGTTTTGCTTGAGATCTCGTAAAATATTACCTGTCTTGAAGCAGTGGCAGTATGAATGTATTGCAGTAGCGATGCCAAGTAATTAATGTGGTGCATATACTCGTCTGATTAGATCAGGGGGCCACTACCCTATGAAAGAATGAAATTGTTATGATAACAATTTGAGGATTTCTGGGGGTTTGTTACAAAAAAGTAGTGCTAGATAGCTTTTGGTCTAGTTAGACGTTGTGGGAGCTACTGAGGTAATTTACCTGTTCAAATGTTAACTAACCAAATGTTTGTAAACTCGCTTTCGTGGAATTGTTATGCTTGCCTTTTAGTGTTGGTCGTGAATGGTTACTAGGAAATTTCTAGCATATGAAATATCTTTGACCAAGTGCATGTGTCGTATGACATTATGCACTTGGCCCTCTGTATTTATACTTTACTTTATGCAGAGTATGTATAAATAAGGCTTATGGAAAATGTGAAAATGTCGGTTATATGGGAGCGTTTATGTAAATTCTCTCATGATTGATTGCTTATTATTGTAGAATATGCAAGAGGAAATTCTTGGAGTCTCCAGAAAAATGTTTGCTATTTATTAGAATAATGCTTATTGTTACAATTATTTACAAAGGGGTTAGCTATTGACAATGTAGAGCAATTTTAGCAATGAAAGAGCGATAGAATTAAGCCAATAATACCATGAATGATATGCAAATAATAATAATAAAATACTAATAACATGCACATGTTATGATTGTCTATATTTTAGTTTTGATCAAAATTATGAAAAATGCTGGAAGAAAAAGAGATTATTGATTCATTTTCATTTATTTAAATAAGTACTTCAAACGCAGTTTAAGCAACGCTTCACTTGTTAGAGGAAAATCCAAGTCAGAATTTTACTTTGGTTTTCCCGTAGCACTTTAAAACAGGTCGGATCGATATTATTACTGTTGATCAATAACGAGCTCCTACTTCATGCATAACAATTATAAATAATTCAGTGAGCAGGTGTATGAATACCTTGAAATTATAAGCACCTCGTAAATTCCTACACTTGAAATTGTATTTGTAATTTTTAATCACAATTAATTTTGGCAATCGTTAAAACTAGGTCGACGATATGTGCATGACGTTATGAGATAAAAATGTCGAGTGCTTAACTGCACTTCAATTTATAGTTCGGATGAGTCCATATGCATCTTAATTTGTCATTTATATGTTGCTAGTAATGCTTTATATTATTGTCATACTTGTCATACATCAGAAATAGAGTATGTAGTCAAGAAGATACTATTTTTCATTTCAGAAATTTATACATGAACCTTGTATTATGCGTCATATTAGATAAGTAATGGGGTACAACAAAACTACATAATCAGAGTTAAAGCTTTTATCTATTATAAGTTACAATTTTAGAATTTTTCTACCATTACGACACAATATGCAATAAGTATGAGATAAGTAATAATTTCACTATGGCATAATTAAGTACATACATATATGCAAATACACACCAAAAATAATATACATGTACATATATTCTAAATTAAATTTTACCCAGCTCAAGGGACTTATCCCATAATCGTTTTTGTATACTTATATCTGAAACCTGGGACACTGGTTGTACAATCTCACAGCTATTAATGTAGACTCCACCCACTCCCTCCAGTTTTGGGGACAAGGCAGTATAAATCACTGTTTTTGCTCCATCCTCGGTCGTCTATAAGCATACATAAATATGTATGTATAAGTACATTAATAAGGAAAAGATACAAGTGCAACAACTCATTGTCACAAATATATCGACCCATTTTAAATAATAATTGCTCACTCGAAGCATCCACTTGAACATGTTGACAATGGCGACTACGACACTTGGCATATTGTTCCAAAGGTCGGACACGATAACTCCAGGGTGTAGCGACAATACGTTGACCTTGATATCTTCTGAACGGAGAAGCGAGTCCAAATAATAAGCGTGCAAAATTTGACATAATTTTGAATCAGAATATGCCTTGTTGGACACATAGACTTTGCTGTAATCAAGCATATAAAATTTCATATCTCCTGACGTAATGAACAGATAGTTGAAAACAAAAATAATCGTCCTTGTTCACAAATACATACCATTGTTCTAAATTATCAAAGTCGATATGTCCCCCATAATTGGCATCAGATGCAACGTTAACAATTCGACAGGCAACATGTTTATCACTTCGGCGTGAAGTTTCCTTCATTCGCGGAAGAAGTAAATTGGTAAGGACGAAGTGTGACAAATAGTTTACTTGGAATTGTGATTCACATAAATCCTCTGTTATTTCATAGGGTGCAAACATGACCCCAGCTGAAATTAATGTATGTATAGCAAATTATCACATATAAGGAATTTACTGATATTTTATCACGACTATTCATACACAAGGTACACATATACTGCTTGTTCGTGGCACAAATTTCATATTCATACCATTATTTATCAGCAAATCAATCCGAGGGGCTTCCCTCAATACGTTCTCTGCAAATCTACGCACAGATTTGAGTGATTTAAGATCCAATTCAAACACTTTACAGGATCCGGTGGTGATACCTCCATTTCGAATAGAAGTCATCACCTCTTCTCCAGCAATTAGAGAACGACAACCTGAACACAAACATAATGTAGTTTATGCAGATTTAATGTACATAAGCTTTGTCCTTTGTCAACTCTTCTTACCTATAATCACGTGAAACTTAGACTCGAGCAACTTTTTCAAAACTTCCAAACCAATCCCTTTGGTTCCTCCCGTTAGGACAGCTACTTCTCCACTTCTATTGGGAGCTTCTATTTCAAAATTTAATGCACATACATAAATTGCAATGAGACAAACTTATCAAACAATAAGGTTACAGATATACGTAATTTGTAACAAAGATGTACCCTTAAAAGTCTGTGGTCTCGTGCAAAATTCTCGGTAGAAGTTGCTCGGATGCAGTGCATAGTTGAACATTACACCCATCCAGGACCATAGAAATTTCACCAACTGGGCGCAGCACCCACCAGGGGCGGATGGTGGCCGGGCACCACTCCCACGTGCAATAGTATTTATCGCCATTGTCACCACCTCTCCTTTATTCCATGCGTTGTATTTTATTACCCAAATTAATTAGCCAGTTAAACAAATGCGAATTTGACCACAAGGATTGGTTACAAATATTAATATTATATTTCAATTTGATAAATTATCTTATTTAGATATTATTACTAGATGTCGAACGAGATGAATTTTATTTTACTTTCTTAATCTCCCCGTCCGACTGTTGGTATATTATATACGAAATTATACATAAGATGAGATAACAGAGCCGTATAGTATATTGGATGACATGCACTATATGCACAAATAGTGTAACTTAGGGTTAATAGTTTATCTTACGAAATTTCCCTCGGAAAAGTGGTTTGTGCCACTGCTTTAACCTTGTATGTACCACTATTACCATAATAATAACATTCGTATCATCTGTCATATGTATAAGACTGACCAGAGGTAAATCGTGCTTCTCCTATGCGTTTTCTACATGCAATGAATGATCAAACGATGAACCCTTCAGCCAAGGTCAATTGTGTATGTACATATACGCGTGTGTACATGCTTTCAGTATGGCATGCAACTTTTATTCATAACGAATGATCTGTTGAAAATTTTAGCACTAATTATTGGACGAATTTGGACTTATATTCTTTCTTATTTTATTATTAGTGAAGAAGACAATGCTGCTTTTGTAAAACCCTGTAAATCCAATACGGAAATGACTATATGTAACTTGCCAATAAGATTCAATTTTAGTACGAAAATTCAAGCGTTCATATTTTTACATTTCATTAAGGAACTTGTCAAACCATTAATGAATGAATTGTATGAATGACAGTTACATACACGGTGTGCACGGCGTTCTCTGCCGTGGGCTAATTGAACAAAGTCTAAATATTCACAACACTATTTAGTGTTTAGTAAATTGAGGTTGAATTAAACGTGGGAATTTATGGTAAGCATAGCTGAATAGCTGTCTAAACATTTATATTTAATATAGAGTTTACATCTGTAGTTTGAAATGCACAAAATAAGATAAATTAATTCATTTATTGCATAAAAATCTCCTACGGTAGGAAGAAATTGAAACCTCCTTATGCTAAATACTACCGACCATTCTTTATATTATATACATACTTATACAATTATCGGGTTATCCGAATTGAACTTTTAAACTAAATATGTAAGTTTTGAGTTGGATAAAAATTACCCCAAACAAACGACAAAAATGAATGCCATTTAAAGATTGCGTAATTTTTGCAGTGTGACTTTATTTGTGCACATCAATCTAGACTTTAATTTATAATTTGTAATGCAACATGCGTGCGACAAGGGTCTCATATCCATATAAAATTTAAGTATATGCATGCACTTGTCTGTTGTTTTTGAATTATAGAATTGTATCTATCCATCAAAAATGGAATTGAACCCATCTTCACGTTGGTGTAATATCACACTTTGCATTGTGCATTAAGTATACAATTACTGAATAGAATAACAATAGAAAGAAAACGTGTCATCCGCTGTCCGGCCAATCGAATCAATTACGAAAATTCACTTTTTAACAACGCAATCACGTCATCATTGCCAAATTGTAGGTATCTCAAGTCAATCCGAGGCCAATGCAGATAAATAATTAACTTAACTTGCTAGAGTCTGAGAGTCTTTACCAAATTAAAAATACGTAATACAATGCAGTGTCTGACTTTGTTCTCCCCCTCGGCTCATTTCCTATATAAACACGGACATAGGACTTGGTTTCATCTTTTCACATTTCAGACCACACGTATACATAATTATTTACTTATTTTAGCGAAACTATTAAGATCTTGAGAAATTTCGGATATTCCCAACTTATGGGATTTCTCACTCAACAATGACTAAATTATGCCAGGTATTTGAGTCACAAAATTAATTTAAGTTAAGCTACGTTTAATTTTCACTATTGTATTATCTTCTAAAGTTTCTTGTATTGGGCTTTCTCATTGGTCTCTGCTGTGGAAATCCTCGTGGTCATAGTAAGCGCTGCAATATGGTTACCCATTTTAAAATTTTGTACTATCTGCACAAATTAAATTGCACTTGACACTTTTGCCAGGGGCTGCTTTAACGCCACGGAAATTTCCAGCCCCTCGAGATCAGCGAAGTGCAGGCATACGTCCCCCTCAATCTGGTAATTGTGTTACTAACGTTCAGGACGGACGCTTCAAGGTGACATGCGATCCTCGTGCTGCCCCTTCAGTGCGTTCCGAACACATCCTCTGGCTGTCCGGACCACAAGGAAGTCAACAAATCTTGGACATTGAAATTCCAAACTATAAAATCAACGAATTAATCAAAGCCGGTTTCAAAACTTCTCCCGTGTCGAATACACAAATTAACGTTTTACTCAGAAAACCCGAACAATTTGTCGACTCTCAAGTTCAACCTATTACTTCACTCTCCGGAGCTCCTCAAGTTAATCTCCAGTACGAACCGGTGCAGTCAACACTTGTGCATTTCCCAGTGGATAAGCCCTACAGTCCTTTGCAAGGACAACTGGTTCCTCCGCCTCCGAGATATAGCGCATCCAACTTTGACATTGTTTAATTGCGGTATGATGACCAACCTCTTCTCTTCTAGTTTCAGGACTGTCCTCGTACTTTTTATATGTACTTTTTATATGTTGCATGCATACAAGCTATTTATCGATTATTTGTAACCAATGCACTAGTATAAATACTTAAAAAATGAACGAAATACTTAAATAAATTATACTGTGAATAAGATAATTAATTTAATTTTTTGCATAGTCATGTTCAGATACATACATATTTACATTTAAATAAGATTTTCTGTGAATTTTTACAGGAAAATATTAGCCACAATTATTTAATATTTAGCGAACGATAATGTTTAGGGTTTATTCGTTGCACCGGGGAAATGGGCATCCCCCACCTCCCCAAGGGAAGCAAATCATGTGATTTCCGCCATCTCTGCAATAAACGCCAGGAATATGTCCACCGTACGGGCAGTGACAATGTCCGTTGAGTTCACCTCCGCACTGACACTGACATCCTCTGTGGGGGTAATGCTTGTCGCACATGGCATCAGTTGTCGGAACAATGCAAGTCGCGGCGAAGAAGACCAGGATGATGGCCAGTGAGCAAAGTTTCAAGGGCGTCATTTTAGGATTGCTGTAAATATGTAGGTAAATATTAGAATACAAAAGTTACATTGCCAATTACAATGGGAAAGGTTAAATGTACGATTCGATGTTTATGGCTGGGCATACCAAGCTAAATTATTGGTATCGAAAGCTTTTGGTTGTTCTTTTTCTAGGCTTTTCTGCTGTTTTATATTTCGAATCCATTCCGAGGTTCCTTATATACCGACAAATTCGTCTCGATATCATCCAATTTCTTGGAAAGATATTACGAATGTTTTCGCAGTCATAAAGATGATACGGGGAAACCGTTTTTTTGCAAAATATTTAATAACAACGATAATGCCGAGAAAACGTATCTCCTTTGCATGAGGACAATATTAACAGTGCAAATGAAGTACATATGAAGTACATACATAATTGAAATTGCAAAAGGTACAAGTGATAAAGATATTTATGTAAATTTCGATGTAACCATACGCATATGTATGTATGCAGTTGCTTCGTGATTTTGTATGTATTAATTAAACATGATTTCTGAGTAAACGATGTCAATTCACTGACAGTGTATTGAAACTTCAGAAATGTTTTTAATATGATTTATAAATACAGAGATCTGCATGTTTTATGATTGGTGTTTTGTGTTTAGTTCAAAGAGCTTGCATTATCAACAGCATATTCCCCGAAACGTATTAAGTGCATATGTGTAGGTACATAATATATGTATGTATGATAGCCATACAAATAATAAATTTATATCAACACGCTCAGTGTTAATTTTAATTGCCAGCAATACGGATGTGGATTACAAAATAAACATATATGTGAAATATTTGAATTATTTATAAGTAGGCCCAGTTCATAATGTATCTAATTTTAACTATATACTTGAATCGAATTACTTGGTGCATTTCATGGCTTGTCCTTTACCATCATACAGAGACGTTATCTGTAAAGTTGAGTTTATGTATGCATACATGTATGTATATATGTATGCAATCACATACTTATGTATATAACAACTATAAAGACTGACCATTATTGTGGTAGTTTTTATTCAATTTGTCTGAAAATGGAGGTGCATAAATAGGTAATTTTAAAATTTTTAAATATGTATGTACATATATGTAGTTCGGGGTTTTTCAAAATCCTTTTGATAAAAATCATAAATCTTCTACAACTACATAATAATGGGAACAATTTTCAAATAACTTAATAATAATGTACGGACTTGAGGCACATGGTCACTATAAATTGACTTGAAAAGAGCCATATGAAATAGGATGGGTTGGAAGCTTCAATCATGTATTTGTCATTTATGAAATGTGGGTGGACAAGACAATCACCGTTCAGTAATCTTTAAATAACTATGCAAGATGCACATCTACATATTGATGAGATAATAATTTCAATTAAATTTCCCACCCCTCCCGCAAGATTGATAACGAAATTCTATATACTTTGAATTTTATTTGTACATCTATCTAACACAACTTTAAACGTGAAATAAATTTTTGGTTTATTATTCAAACTCGGCCTGAAAACAAAAGTGCGTGCAAAACTAACTAAATACATGAATAAATCCCGTTTTGTAAAAATGAATTTATCGTAATCCTGTAATCTTCAAAGTATTGCAGCATCCCACCAATGAAATAATATGAATAATTGAATTTACACAAGTGCATCAAATGGTAAATCTGACATTGATGCGATTGCTTGTTTTTTTGCCACCTGCCATCATGCCCACCCACCGAAACATGCGATCATCTTTACTGCCTTCTTAGTTGACCAAGTTGTTTGTATGCAATGTAATCGCAAATCCAAGTATTTGCAAATCATAACTTGCATGAAGGCAATCTTATTGCAAATGATGCCAGTGTCCAATACATTTCATTATCTTTCTTCATGTAAGTAAAATTGTGACCATTTCAATAACACGAGAATGGTGAATCTTCTCAGAGAAGGACGAGCTATTTTCTATAGGATGAATCGCAATCGGTTGGTCGGATGGTTGATTATAAACAAAATGAGACAAACTTGTTTGGTCATACCTTGTCCGTTGACTTTTTCTCACTGTTTCATTAATAGTTGAGAGTGTGGCACACAAAACCTTGACTGTTGACTATTGAAATCTCTTCCAAACCACCTTTTGTAAATCGGAACGTAACACTAACACATATTTAAATCGATTAAAAAATCAGTTGTTGACTACGAACTTTTGTGCATAGTCGTGTTTTCATACAGGAAAAATCAGTAAATTCGTTAACTAAATACTTACTTTCATTTTAAAAACTGTTCATGAAAAAGTGGGAAATGGATAGAAGAAAGCAGCGGTGAGTTTTTTTTTTGCATGAGTAGAAACCTTACAAAAATATCAATCAGTCAAATTACTGCATATGTACATATACTAAAATTGTGTCACAACAATACATTTTTTTAGGAATGGCAAGTTTGAAGAAGGTCTCCTGGATCACAGGATCCCACACATTCAAATGGGACCAAATCTTATCAATAAACCTGTCATAGTTGACACCGTGGCGTACAGTCCCCGCCGCCCGGCTCTTGTTCTGAAAGGTGGTATCAAGAAATACGGCACAACACTTGTGCTCCACAATCTCAACATGTTTGCTAAAGAGGGGACTATGTAAATTCGTTACGGTTATACAAACTACAAAGAAATACAACTCGAACATTTTAATTGCAGATACTGCTTGGTTGGGGCAAGTAAAACTGGAAAAAGTACAATTCTTGAATGCATTACTGGGCAAAAGCGATTGACCAAGGGAGAATTACATGTCTTTGGGTCGGTGCCAGGATCTGCATCTTCCGGTATACCGGGCAGAAGAGTGGGATATATGCCCCAGGTATTTGGCCATGTATACATTGAATCTTTGGAACAAAAACTGTACATAATTCTACCAAAATATTTACGTACACGATTAGTATTTTCGCTTTGGAAAAAATCTTAAAAATTAGTGAGAATTATTTAAGCACTCACAAAGTCCGGATTTTTACATATTTTAAAAATTCGATTTCAATGACACAACCTGTAGTAAAATCAAATTGATTCTGCAAGCAACCCCCAAGTGACTTGAACTCCCACCATGTATTTATGTGCACAAATATAGGAACTTGGACTCCACGTTGACCTCAGTATTACCGAGGTACTTGAATACCATGGACGAATGGTGGGAATGAATCTTGAACAAATTGGAGAAAGGATAGACAAATTATCGGAACTGCTAGATCTGCAACATCTCAAGACCCCACTACGCAGTTTAAGGTGTGAAAATACGAGCTGACATTAATCAATTTAATTTACATGCTTAATCACAAAATAAATTAAACTTATTTTTAACCATTTACTTGACTATGAATGTAAAGTCCTGGATTGCAAAAAAGAGCTTCTCTCGCATGTGCGCTACTTCATCAACCTGAGCTGATTGTATTAGAGTAATGTAAATTACCTTATTAATACAGATATATGGACCTTATGTGACCTTACCTTATTAATGTAAATTACAGCCAGGCAACGTCTGGGATGGATATTTTATTTCAAAAAGGGTTACCAATTTTACCAATGAAAATTACTGATGAAAATGTAAATTAAAACTCGCATGTCATTTTCACTAGAATCTGGATGCATCTCTTGAAACTGGTCTCGAATGGAAGAACTTCAGTCATTTTAACTACACAAAACTTGGAAGAAGCTCGACAAGCTCATAGAGTATGAAGTTACCATTCTTATTCTAGTCTTAATTTTTCACTTAAATTTGAAATATTTATAGTCCTCATAATCAATGTCAATATAATTTAGGTGGGCATTCTCCGAAATGGAAGACTCTTGGTCGAAGATTCACCATCATCTCTGCTCCATCGTCACAATACCCAATTGATTGCTGAAGCAGTGGCCAAGCTGAGCATCAAGGACACAATTCGGCTCAAAAAGGAAGGAGATAAAAAGAATAGTAAGAGCTACGTATATAAGAATTAAAATAGCTGCAATTCAAAAATTAATTAGTAACTAATTATTATGTCACAATAATTGCAGAAGACGAAATAGTCTGCATGGACGAGTGGAACTCATCATTTGGAATCCAGTCTTACTTGGAGGAAAGTAAAGATTCTTCTGGAGTTATTTCCGCTGTTTCTTACAAAGAATGGATGGAACAGGTGGGAAATAAAGACGAAGACCAATTTAAACTTGGACAGCAAGGCAAGGATACCAAGTCTCAAAAAACAGCATTTAAGAAGGTACTAAATAATACACACTAATTCCTAAATCAACCTTTTAACCTGCAACCTTTAATCTTTTATCAGATGAAAGATGAGAATATTCCACGATATCGAAACCCCAGCAAAATTGGCGATAGACTCAGCGCTTTGTTCTTCAAGCAACTTATCCAATGCATCCGAAATCCATGGGCATTTGTAGCGTCGTTGCTGCTTCCTCTCATCATAGTCGTCGGCTTCTGTCACTCCATCGGGAGAACTGGTCCTCTTCACAATGTCAATGTTGGAGTCGTTAATATGGACGCGGAGGAGCAGAATTTTACTTTTCTAGGATGCACTTATGTCGCAGGATGTTCAAACAAAATGTTGACATGTCGATTTCTTGATACTTTAGCTGGCCAGGATGCATTCAATTTTGTATGTGGTTCATTTTTATTATCAATTTACCATACTGTATTATCAAATAGTAAACATTTCTGAAAGTACTTAGAAGTGCATAATTCAATGTGGTGATTCAGCTGGATTTTGACACCGAAGAAGAAGCAATTCAAGAAATGAAACAACGAAAAATTTCCGCACTCCTCAAGTTTGAGAACGGTTTCGGTTCAGAGGTCTACCAAAAAGTAGCTTCAAGTGGTGACGACAACAATGACGCTTTCAATTCTACAAGATTTAAATTTGTTCATGACAAATTGAATGGTAATTATTGTTGTCTAAATCGACAAGATTAGATTAGCAGCTTAATGTGTAGTGCTTAATATGTAATGCCATTCTTTAGATATTTTCTTAAGACAGTTCATCTCAAACAAAGTGGCAACTGCAATGACCACTCTGGAACAAGAGTTAGGCAAAGACTGTTTCCAAGAATCTCAGAAGTTATTAAATGACGAGGAAGATGAAACTTCTACAGATTCAATTGTAAAGTCAACCAATGATCTGTTTATAAATATAATGAGTTTGATTTTAAAACTTATTTCATGACCTAAGGCTGACGCTGAACGGCTAATCAGTTCTGGCAACGAAACTACAAACGTACGACAGATATCCAGCCCAGGATACCCCGAATTCTACATCCCAGCCGGAATGATTTTGTAGGTCGAGGGAATTTTATAATTTCTATAAAAACTTAACATTATTTTTTCCAGAGTTGCATTCTTCACGCCACTCTTTGCAAGTGGTGGATTCCAATTTCTGCAGGAAAGGAAGGACGGCGTCCTTAATCGTGCTTTTGTTTCTGGAGCGTCGAGTTGGGAGTCACTGGTGACTCATTTACTCTTCCAGCTACCCAGCCTACTTGTAACTACAGCCGTCTTAATCCTCGTCCCAATTTTCCTTTTTGGAATTAAGGTCAATTTGTGCCTCATTTGGGAAGTAGGACTTCTCTTGGTCCTTGCAAATTTCATGGGAATATCTCTAAGTAAGAAAATATGATTTTAATAAATAGCTAAAATCATGCAGCTTTCAGTATGTAAAGTTACTTTATGGTCTGATTGTAGATTTTCTCCTCTGCACAATATACTCAAAGTTTCACAATGTTTCACTCACGGGAATATGTTTCTTCGTGGCTAGTTTGATCTTATCTGGTATTTCACACGTATTATTTGAGTACGTTATATTTATTACTAACGAAAAGGATATTCATTCAAGGGTTACTTTGGCCAATCGAATCTCAACATTGGGTGCTGCAATGGGGAAGTCACTATTTACCTTGGACCTTGCCAACGAAATCACTTAAGTCGATTATAATAAGGGATGCGGATTTATTGGACTTAAATTCCGGGGTTTGGCAAGGATTTGCAGTGCTCGCTGCGTGGACTGGGTTTATTTGGCTTCTTCTCGTTCTAGTCTTGGCGATACGCTATCTAAAAAGATAAACTCTATCCTAGTCTTTAGTTGACTTGGAGGAATGTGTTTAAATTATATGGAAATATGTATATTATATTCAATTATTTTCAGGGAAAAGTTGTATTTGAAGACAATTGCGCTATCTTTATATATGTATTTTTAACAATAAACATAATCATTTACATATCATTCGCTACAAATAAATATCTATGCGTACAGATAACTACTCAAAAAGCAAGTTTTAAATATACACAGGGCATATCCCCATAAACTTTACGGATTGCATAGATGCGATCTACAGATACTACTTTTTTAGTTGAAGGCGACCAAGAGATTCAACGTTAATTGTAGCAGCCTATCTAAGCTCATGAGAAGAATAGAGTTTTGTAACGTATACAAAGAGCCGGCTTCAGCGGAAATGTATTTCAAGATTTCGCATTTACTCGATCCTCTTTCTTCTTCCAGCCCTTTTCCCATTTTGCTAATATAGATTTGCTTTTGGAGTTTACCTTGCCAGCGACTGCCATCGGCGACAGCGATTCAAATCCACACCTGATCCAACACACTGGGAACATTATATTTGCTCTGAAGTCGAGGTACATGAGTCGGACACAGCCAAAGAGGAGCAGTGCCAAAATTATCATCATGACGGAGTGATACGTAGACAAATACAGTCGCATGCAGGAATTTATCGCGTGGGCCAACCGTTGCGATCTGATATATCTTGCAATTGTGTCCAAGTTACATTTTGTCCCATTTTTCTGCAGCGCTCGCATTTCACGAAGGACCCATCCAAACCCTAAGAAAATTACGGACCAGGCAAACGCGAATAGGAAAAGGACCACGGTGATGGCATACATTTCCACAGCGAAGAATGGCAACGTATACAAGTATGGAAGTCGATCTCGATGCGAGTTACAGGGAAGAATCAACGAAGACAGGTATTGTGGGGAACATGGAGTTTGAACAATGACGATGGCGTGGGGAAGCAGATTCGAATAGAGTAGAACCATAGCGAACAAGATGTGCTTTGAAATGTATTTCGTGAATGCAGGGTCTTCATCCGCAATCCTGGTGTTAAATACATTTCAAAATCATGAACATATAATTACATTACATACATACAGACAGTGCTGTGCTTAATTTTGTAATGTTACGAACTTTGGCTTTGTAGGTACGTTCGAATTATTTGATTCCAGATCAGTATCTCGTTCTTGTTCTTTTGAGTCTTGATTTGGATTTGGATTCTCATTACCAGCTTCAATGAAGTCCTCAACTTTTTGGAGAATATTGTTTAATGTGAACATTATTTGTTCCATCGAGATTTCCAGTTGCGCAAAGATAATGACGGTCAGCAAGCAGTCAAAGACCAAGATGATGTTCAGCACCTAATATTAAAACCAGAAGATGCACATATATATATACTTAATATCGGATTGCATATTTAAGTATGCTTTTGAATAAATATAATACCTTTGTAAACAGAGGAAATTCCTCAGCACTCTTCCTAACATTTTGTAGGAAACGAAATGTGACGAAGCAGAAGACTGTAAATACTACAGTTTTATGAAGTCTAAAGATTCGAACTGATGTGGTTGATGCGGGAAGCAACCGTCGGGTCACAACATCGAATTTGTAAGGAAAGACTCGGAACATGCATCCAAATTCGAGCATGTGGTAGTAGTAGTACCAGGCTTCTGGAGACAACATTTTGCCGAAGTTCTTTGGCACTGACTGGACCGCTCATGTACATTTCGTCGACGTATATATGGTGGATTTTCACCAAAAACATTCAATACACGCGTCCAGGTACATCAATAGCAAAAACAGTTTAATAGGAAAATGAGAGACAACGTTATATCCTTCATTATATTTCACAAAACAAGTTACTAAATAAATGCATGCTCCAGCCAGAAATTGTTTTGTTAGTTTACCAGGCTCAGGACTCGTTGGTGACCTCTCATTTCAGAAACAAGTTTGTCATTACGAACAGCAAACAGACACAGGAAGCTACAACAATAATCAAATTATTGATCTGGACCTGCTGAACGTCAAATTCCAAAAGTGGAACATTGGATTTGGCCCGTTAAAAATATTTGCAGAGTGAATTTCTAATTATTGTTCATATAATAAGGTACATAATAATGGAGCAGTTGTTCTGAAGTCTTTACTCAATTGGTGTCTCATTACGATATGCCTCATGTATGTATTAAATATCTGCACATATATAATCCTTGTGTAATAACGTAATGAACACCAAGAGTTTTATCTATACTTTGTTTAACATTAATTAGAATTAAATATGATTGGAAAATAAACTAGAACCATTAATACCATGAACAAACATGAGCATCTATGTGTTGAATTTAGGCTTGGCGAACCTTATAACCTTGCGATATTGGTCAGCCAAATTAAATAATAGTCTCCGAATCAATTTATTAAAGTGCAATGCTCAGTATTAAGTTAAATAGTTTGAAAAACTTTGTATTTTATTAGAGTGCTTATATTTTTTATACACTACTTGTTACTTTATACATACATATGCAAAGATGTAAATTATATTTACTTTAGTCTAATTAAGCACCAATTGGCACATTTGACTCCATCTTGGAAAAGAACATCATATTTGGCATAACAGCTACATAATTGAACGTAAACGAATGTATTTCCAGAGCTTAGGACTAGAGGATTACATATTTAAGTAGTTGAGAAAAAAATCTAAACGATCAGCAACCCACATCCGATTTCTACATTTCATTTTATCATGTAAAGGGTGGGCTTAAAGTTTCTGAAAAGAGTGAAATCAGGTGAGCTCGCCTCATAAAAATCAATATTATTCGGAAACCAGCAGAGTCATGTAAACAAAGCTTTTTTCCCCTTGTAGTCCAACAATATGAGGAGTCGAGAAGAGAAAAGGGTGCAGATTCAAACTCTATTGAGCGAGGGATATGGTGCCTCCCAAATTTCGAGGAAACTAGGAGTTGCTTACAATACGGTCAAACTGTGGGAAGGTCGCCGTACCGTGGTGGACAAAAAAAGGTCAGGCCGACCCACAGCACTCTCCCCTACTTCAAAATCGCAAATAACAAGAAATTTGAAGGAGAAAATTGGTGGATCCGTGAGGAAAACACTAAAGAAGCTGAACGAGTCGGCGAGGTATCAAAAGAAGGGGAAGAAAATAAGTCGTGCTGCGGTTCGAAATTACGTAAAAAAGCAAAAATGGGGCAAAACGGCTTACAAAAGACCTAAGAAACAGATTCTGACTCAAAAAAATATTCAGGACCGATTAAAATTCGGCGAAACAGTCAAGAGAACGGGATATTTGGGTGACGACAGACGGGCGCAGCAGAAACGCTCTCACATTCTTTTTACGGATGAAACCTGGCTGGAGGTGTCACCAACTGGTAACAGACAAAATCAAAGATACTATACAGCTGATCCGAAAAAAATCCCGAAAATATTGACCCCAAAACATGGTCTAAAAGTTATGGTAGCTGGTGGCTTCTGTGCTCAAGGAGTTACAAAGCTGCATATGATAAGTGGAGGTACCGTAAACGCTGCATACTACAAAGACAAGATCCTCCCACTTTACATTAAATCCATGAAGGACCCAACTTTATTCCCCCAACAACAGAAGGTCACCTTTCAGCAAGATGGAGCACCAGCACACACTGCAAAAGTGACCACCAAAGTTTTGGAGGCGCTCCCTTTGACAGTGTGGGGGAAAGGGGTGTGGCCCGGAAATTCACCAGATTTGAATCCTCTGGAGAATTTATGGTCCATTGTTAAGGATTCTGCGTACAAACCGCCATATCCAACCACAACCGCTGAGCTATTCAGAAGATTTCAACATGAGTGGGAAAGCATTCCGGTTACCGTTTTGGAAAATTTGGCACAGTCATTCAATTCACGCATTGAACAAATGTTGGAAGCTGGTGGCGGACACTCTAAATATTAGTTAATAATCGTACAAAAAATTATAATATTCTATACACGCAATAAAAAGTTTTGACTACTTATGTTTTGAAGTTAATTTTTTTTCAGAAACTTTAAGCCCACCCTTTAGCTTCTTCGTACTTTCTCCACAATATACCAACAGATCTTTCCCCAAGCGCTTTTTGCCGTTTCTGTCCACAAGTGAGGTAAAGCAGTAGCCAGCAATTCAGCCAATATTCGAATAAAGGCCTGCAGAAATTACAGCCCATATGTACATTATTATAAAAAAGTATGCGTGACAATTAATAAACAACAACCCTTTAAAAGTATGTATTATAAAAATGTATGTACCACAAATTCATTAAGTGTAACCCCGAATCGTTTGCCATGCAGGGTACCAAGGTCAATGAGGGCGTCCGATATGGTCGCCGTGTCATCCAGATTTGCTATAGCAAAGTCCAAGGCGGACACAGCTTTTACTGTGTGTGCTCGAAAAATTTCGTTGTTGGGCAATTCTTCCAAAGGAGTGGAGCAAAATTTTTTATACTTGTTTTGACAGTCAGGGTATGCGGCGAAAAACCTTGCAGAAATTAATTATGTAATTAAAAGTCGTGTACATACATAAAAGCGTATTTTGTTAATTTATTCAACCTTACATCAAGAAAACTGCAACAGAGTTCCCTTGCAAGTCCTTCGCCACTTCGGACCATATTCCTTCGAGTGCCGCACGCTCATCCGGCGTTAGCTTCATTTTCAATGGGTTCCAAAATTTTCAAAAACAAATGCTGAAACTTTAGATAATTGAATAACCCTTAAAGCATGACGTTTGGGCGTCCAAAACATAATGGGAAAAAATGTACATGAGTCTGTGCTTATAACTAAAATATGGTTTATTTAATTGCTTTCTCGGACGTCATACGCATAATTGCTGATAAGCAAACAAGAATAATGACATCTCTTATTCTCTTGTTATCAAACTCTTGGATTTTCTCCATTCACTGCAAAATACAGGACAAAAACTTGATTATCTAATAAACAGCATTACTTTTGATTGCACTGCTGCTGGTCGGATTGTCGTTACGCCGAAAATTGTCATATTATTCACCAAAAGTAAAAATAAATAACCAATAATTGTGACATCCAAGGTTAGATACCTTGGATGAAGAGTACAGAAAAACAACAATAACTGCATTCGAAAACCTTGAAATTGTTTGGTATACACATAATAATGGCATTTATTCGAGCTGTCTCGTGTGCCCAGTTAATCACGATTGTTCAGATACACAAATATGCTCACCTTCATTTAATACGGTTGAAACAAGTGTACCCTACGCCCTTCACGGGACGCACGTATTTAAAAATTCCAAATTGTCATTAAAATACATATTTACATCATCCAACAATAAGAACCGAAATTGTGATTTTCAGTATTAGCTTGATAACGTTTTATACTCGTAAGTATATTGTCTAATTTTAATTACATATGTCTGGTCTCAACCGATCGATTGGAGACATTCAGATTTAGAATAGTATATTTCTAGTAAAAATTTATTTGATAACAGTCCATTCATCTAGAGCTGCCCGTTTGTCCTCAAGCATATGAATTAGGATAAAGACTTAGAAATTATGTAGATATTGTGCGGTGTACGCTCATATCCGTGATTTTTCCATTATTATCAAAGTAGAACAAATCGGAAGGTACATGTGAATTTCACCTAATTAAAGAAGCATTACGTAATATTTATTATGTAATTATGAGCAAATAAACAACAAATATGCTAACATGATGTCTATTAGATTCACCAATAGTCTCAATTCAATCTCAGTTGGCAACTACTGCGTTCCATGTATCTGGACATGTCTATGCATATGCACTCGATCGTCGCTCTCCTCTCCCGGAGAAAGTACGGGATTCTAGGATTCTGGGTGGCCTTGAAGAGATGAGTTTCCCATTCTTATCACGTACCCAATTCCCAACTTTCTCCAGCTGGTGTAACTTTCACATGCATACTTTCACATCCCGTAGATAGAAACCAATAAATAAATAACTGTAGACAATAACGCATCAAAAATAACTATGTACATTTAACATTTGACAATACAAATTTGTGATAAAGTAAGAATAGTACAGAATGGAGCAAGATATTTTTCACCATCTTACAAACACATGTTACACCCACTGTGTAGAACTTTCTATCAACATCCGGTACAATTTTATTCTTAAATCTTATGATTTGAGATAATATTTTACATGTCTCATAATCAATTTTATAGCGATATGGACCGAGAATATTACATTGGTCCACGGTGGGGATTGGGGTCATCGACTTCATTGAGTCAACATAAGGTTCGAGTCCAGTGGAAACCCGTCGGTGCTTTGCAATGGGTTGATAAAGGTTGCACGGAAGTCTTGAGTGGGAGAAAGGAGCTCGAATTTACAACAAAGGTCGTTTAATAAAGCTGACATATATAGAAGTCAGGAATTTAAAAAATCAGCCATGAATGCTATTTATTTTCTGCACAGATCTACTTCGATATTCAACCTGAAGATGCTAGTTCGATCAAACTCAGTTTGGAGTTTATCAAAGGTTCTTGCGGTTTTGGAGTTAGTGGTGGCTGTTGGTCAAGCGTGGAAACGGATCTTGGTTATTATTTACTTTTAAAATTTCTATTCAGGAATTAGAAAGCAATTTACATATATCAAAAACTAAATTGTCCGCTTAATCTTTAGGCCGTTGTCTTGCCTCTCCTGGAGCACTTTTACTCCCACTTGCCCTAAAGCTCGGATTTGATGAGCAAAAATTCCCGAGGTATATTCAATATAAGGATAAAATTTCTGCTGACAATGAGCATTACTGAAAGTTCTGTAAAATCATGCGAAATTCTAATACCACTTTGATTAACTAGGTACTTACAAGATACGATTCAAAAGCAGTATGGTACGAGCTTAAATTAATATACATATGTAAATAGAATACTGAATAAAATTGTTAATACAAATATTGATGTGCAGGTGCACCAGAATTTGTCGCAATGGCAGACCTGCGTTCAGAGTTTGTTCGACCACAAGCACTCGAAAGATTTGGAGTAAAATATCAACCTTAAATATGATTCATTTCTGAATAATAAGTACAAATCTGATATTGAATTTTATTTTCTAAAATAAAAGATGAAATTTGGCCTAAGTTTTACCAACCCCCAAAAGAACGCGAGAATGGATAAATATTCAATCGAGTTGTACAAAATAACTCCAACACCGACAGAATCACCTTACTCACAATTGTCCCCTTTCACTCTGGTCTATCGCCAAGTACCCTCCTGGTCGACGACATACATGTACGTGAACGAGAGCAAGCTAACCAATGGAGACAATGAACGACTGCTTCAGGTTTGTATAATCATTATTCTTATGCAATCAACATGCAAATAATTTCATGCACAGAGTAGATTTGCATACAAAATATTATCATAAGAGACAGGGAAAAGTTTATTTATACAATTATACACAATAATTTTGGACTTGATTTCAGGTGACAGCGACCAAGAGAAAGTCTGGACGGAGAAAGGTCCGGTTATACATTAATTTCACGAAATATTATCGCATGCGTAACAAATCGTTACAACATAAATTTGATCCTCAAAGGGATTTGCAATCTTTACATTGGACTGCCTGCTCAACAATGGGTTTCCCCCAGAGGATAAGACAATGTTGCTGGAACTTCGCACGGCTGATGGAGTTGTAAGTTGCATCTTTTAAATTTGAATATTCAAAGCTGTAATAATAATTTTTATAACTTATTTAGCAAAATTGGCCAAAATCGAGGATTGCATTACGATTATTGCAGTCAGTATATTACAAAACTTACCAAGACTATCTGAGAATGGGCCTCAAGTTTGTGAGGTTATATGCTGTGGATTTTTCGGGTTATTAAATTTTTTTTAAATAGAAAGTGAATTTTAGAATTTTGTTTTAATATGGACATTTGTGTGTAGAATCTAACTGGGACCGAGAGCTTCATGGGGGTGAGAAATGCATTTTTAACTACATATACATTTATAATTTTGTAACAGTTTAACTGATTATAACAACAGTAATTTCCTTGTACAACTGCATATATAATTTTTCTTTTTCGTGCATGAATTATTTGTATTTCCCAAGATTAATTTATTAGTACAAAATCATAATTATTTTTTTCATGTGCAGACGTTCTTCACGAAATTGGAGCAAAAAGTGTAAAAACCCCGTATGAAGAAGCATTGGAATTACTGGCGTCATTGTTTGTTCCTTTCTCCGCTCCGGATTCATTCTTTTACGTCTTTGGAATGCCAAACGAACCAAAAGATTTTGTTGCATTGTACCAATTTCAAGGGGAAATAGGAGAAGAATGGGAAGAGAAAGATTGTGTGGATCACTACAACATGCTAAGAGAACAATATCAGTGAGTTCAAAATCCAGTACAGTTAAAAGGATGCCTTGTGCTAAAAATATTATTATCTAACTTGCTGATTATTGTGCTGCAGAACAAATTTGAGCCTCGTTAATTTCTCCAGACTAGAAATTTCTGGTTCCCAAACCGTTCCAGCCAGATCTGGCGATCCTCCCAATTATTTTTTCCCAGCATCTCCCATCCCCACTCCAAAACCTCGAAGCAGTTCCAGTTCTGGGACTACAGGATTTTTCTGTTTTCCTGAAAAAGCTCCTGCCAAACCGAAGCGATCCTTTATGTCGCGAAGCTTCTTGGGCCCATTGTTGCGCGACATTCTTTCCCTCGTCGGAGCGCAAACGCATCTTCAGAAACCTCAATATTTCACAGCGTTTGTTCTTACGGATGGAGAATTCTGTGATGTGGAAGAATCTGCACAAGTATTTTGATTTCACTTAAAAATATAGATGATTATATATTTTTTAATAAACTTGGTTCTTCTATTTTCCTTTGTTTCAGGTACTCGCCAACCTTTCGTACCATCCAGTAAGCGTAATATTTATCGGAATCGGAAACGGCGATTTTTCTCAGCTGCGTCGTTTGCTTGATTCCGAATCTTATCCTAAATTGAGAAACAACAGTCACATGCTCCACTTTCGAGGTTTTCACAAGTGGAGAAGTGCACTCGTCTTTTACAAAACAAAAACAGATGCACAATCAGTATTTTGGAAAGAAGTGACCACAGCGGTGAGAGATCACTGTGTCGCCTACTTAAGGATGAAACATCCAGAATTGTAAAATCGTACAAGCTATTCATGCAATATAAAATTGAGACAATAATATGTAACTCGCAAAGAGAAAGCAATAATGCAAAGTTTCAAGGACAATACATTCTGGCCATACAGACGACCCTTTAAGGGATAGGAAAATATATATTTATGTGTATGTATATAGTGTCATACCAATGAAATGAAGATCTGAAATAACCTATTACGAGTAAATAAATCTCCATAACTCAAAACATTGTACATCGGTCACTTTCTCTGATTAGGTCTCATTGACATTTGACCCAAATGAGATCCTTATTATTTCGTTCATGTATTAAGCATTCAAAATTTGACCTTTCTCCTGTTGCGTACAATCAGTGTGACTCATGCTGAAATAATCTTTCAATTTTTACTTACTTTATTTCAAAATTTAAAGTATATCAAATAAATTGATATCTCGATTCGATATTGTCATGAAACGTACAATGACTCCATACAGATTGTACATAGGGATTACACATGTATACATTTTAACATGTTGTAGCATGTTGAAAGTAGAGTTTATTAAAAAGTTAGATTTCAACTTCGATAAACTTGAAATAAATTGAAATAAATTGAAACAACTTGAAATAAATTACAAACGTAAGTACAGGTACATGTTTCATTGGATTAGATTGTCCTGAAAATTGATCGCCCAAAACCTATGCCAAGTGACCATTTAATAAATAATGAAAGGAAGTTCATGCGAAAACAATGAGTGGTCTACACGGATGTGAATGATGCACACAATTGATAAGCCAAATTAAAATTTATTTATATTTTAGTCTCGACTTTTCGATTGCAGCTCATTTCATACAAGTTTGTTGTCATTTTACTTAACTTATTCAACTGATGTGTTCGTTCCACTTTGTAGATATTTCGGTTATGCAGCCTCCCGTAAAAAGAAAAGCACTCCCAGCTCCCTACATTATCACAAACGAGGACATGACCAATTTTTTAACGATTATAAGTTTTTCTCGCTTTTGGTCTGGGACTCATTTTGTTTGGAATCATAAACGTCAAAAGCTACAAGTGACGAAATCACTTTGGAAGTTATTCAAGTTCGCATTTGTTTTATACGGATGGCTTGTGTACTTTGGTTTCTTGCTGGAGGTTATTTTCTATTTTGGCTGGTTTCGAGGAAACCCACTGCAAGAATATCAAAGAGCCATTCTTTTATTATCAGGAGGACTTGTTCCATCAATTGTACTGCTTGTGATGGTAGTGCATGAGCGAGACATTTGCGTGCTGATTAATTCTTGCCTCCGATTAGGGCGGTTGTGTGAAGGTATTTATAATAATTTGCTGTTCTTTGCAATTTTCTGTTCGGTAGAAAAATATGTAAGTTATATGTACATACATCTCTATTCTGATTTTCTAGCAAAGTATGGGCCGGTAAAGGCTGTTCCAATAACTGTTACCGGCGTGCCAAAACGTATAAGTAAAACTCTAGGGATGTTACTAAATGGTGTCAAATTTTATGGGATAACATGTGGCGTGTTATCTTTGATCAAACCAGACCTAAATTTTTTCTTCACGGGTACTTATTTAGTATTCTGTTAATGCTTAATATATATTTTTATTATTACAACTTGACAAATTAAAAAAATAGCATACATCCCAATGGATCTGAGACATCCGTTCATAACACTATTCCATAGTTTACTTGTTGTGCTGTTCGTATTTTCTGTCGGTGGCTCAGTTGTGACAATTACTGGAATGATGATGCTTTTTATTAACGTATTTTTTAAAATACTCGACGAGATCAAGTAAGTTAATGCACTAATAATAATACGATCATACGTAAGGATGTATCGCATCCATCAAATTAAATAAATGCTATATGTATATTATCGGCTCATAATTTCAGTTTAAATTACACTACCTTTTGGACGGAGCCAAACTTTCGCACTCCAGAGCAGTTAGTGGTCACTGTGAGATCACTCATGCTTTTAAACAATATGCTCAATATGTGGTCAAATAATTTTATTTATCCGATTCAAGTCGTAATAACACGCTCCATGCAGTTTGCAAACTTTCTCGTTATACGAAATCATCACATTTTCAACGTTCTAGATTTAGCTTTGTGTTCTTCATACAGCGCCATGTTTGGTGGGGGCTGGCTATTGCTGATGGGAGTGGCTGGGTTTGCCAATCGATTAAGTACGAAAGTACTTTCCTCATTCAGAGTGTTTACAGAATCAGGTAACCATTGCAAGTTTATTGGAATAATTGCATTCATACGTAGACTTTTATCGTATGCACATTTTAGTATACTTGTAAATATATAGGGCATTTCTCTACTAAGCACGAACGGTTGTTGTGGCGTCATACAAAAAGAACTCTTCGGCCCATGAGTGTAAACGTCGGGAGGTTTTACGTTATCAAAAGTAAATCTAATCTAAAGCTTTGTTCGGACTACGTACGAGGCACGGTTCGTCTGCTAATGACTTTTAAGAGAAAGCCAACCGTATGAAACATTAGCCCTCGATTTCGCTTACGTCATGAAATACAATCTTAGTCACAACTTGTGACTCACAAGTGCTTTAAAAATATTTACGTATTTAATGTGTCTGGGTGTAAATTAAATTCCAGTAATATACATATTCATTCACTAACGGCAGCCGAATTTATGTAGTAGCTAATTTCTTGAAGGTAGTCCTTTCATCATAGCAAAATGGAAAACTTAACATAATTTGGATGACTCAACACTGTAAAAATACATTTATACCTTCCTTGATTATATCAACATACTTCTGTGAAGCTAGTTCACATTATGTTATGTGAGTCATAATGGTAAACACACGCAAGCAACGACAAAAATTCGGTTTTGAGGATTGAAGAAACGGATCGATACGAGAATGCAGTAGCGAGAAGCGAAATAGGGAACCGATTTTTTTTCCCATATGCTAACATCGTGCCCTAGTACATACATTTCTCCATTGCTTTCTCCCAAAATTTTTGTACGTTACACACATTTCTTGATAACCCTTCCTCCGCAAAGCATAATTTACTTGCGAAAATGAATAGTATCCTGTGTTTTATATCAAAGTTTTTGAGTTCTTAATTGTAACTGGGAACATTCTGCATAAAAATGTTACAAACGGCGCATTGTGTTGGAGGAAGTGTATATCCGTGTTTCCCCAAAAATGACAAGATTTACGGAATACATCTCGTGCCGACCACAGAACCAAACGAAATTCATGGAAAAGTGCAAATCTGTTCCCCACATGAGATTGAACATTATGGTAAAAAATATTTAAGCCTCTGTAGAACTATTATTTTATCATATTCCAACTAAATATCCAAGTTTTCTTTAGGCATTGTTGTCGAGTTTGAAGGAATCGTCACTTTTAGCGATCGATTTAAAAACGTGATTAAAGTATTTGCACCAGAACCTGAAACTAATACGGTATTAAGATCAACTGTTTATCATCAGATTTGTGGCCGAAAAGAAGGTTCGATTGATTGACCGATTATTCATACTAAAATATTTAATACAAAATCCATCATGTTTACTGTATCAAATTTCAACAGGATTAGAGAAAGGAGATCCTCCACCACAATGCCGTAAGAAGCTGAGACCAATATCTCACATATTTGAGTTTCGCCTCGTCTGGCCAACAACACAACCATTACCTCCAACCTTAACCACACGTCGTGTCGATGTGACATACTATATAATTTTATATAAGAGAACGCTAGACGGGTATGAACAGATAGAACAAAAACAACTCAAGTTTTACGGCTATCACGGCCTCCCGTCGCCTCATGATCAATTTCTTGGTAATGGTGGCAGACCTGCGTTTCTCCAAGAAGTGACGCGAGAGTTCTCGACAAATGGCATCGAGATAATGATTCAAACGCCTGGAAGGAATTACCTTCGAACTGAAATTATACCTTGGTCGATTTCAGTTCGAAACGAGAAACATCAACGAATTGCGGCAATCTCTGTACATCTAATACGGAATACAACAGTGTTTTCTGAGCGTAATGCAGAGATAGTGGACACCTTTGTGAATAAAAAGATATCAGGTCGGAAGGAGTTTTGCATTCGAGGAGGATTTAAAGGGAGAAGAGAACTTCCGACGTTCCAATGTCCTGGAGTTCATGGTTTGCAAGTTACATATTGCATTAAGGTGAGCACAGGCATAAATAAGCAAATAAATATATAGACGCGCTAATGTATTCAAACACGTTTTATATGTACCTTCGCATTTTGTGCTCGAATTATTTAAAGTACGCATTGATTAATTAATCTCGTAGTGTGAATTGTCCATCCGTGATGAAGAGGAAACAACAAATATTACGAGCAATGAACTTGAAGTTGTGATCGGGACCACGGTTATTCCATCGAATCAGACAAATTCCGAGGACGAAATTACACCACTCCCATTCCGAATGAGATGCATGTCGCTGGCGTCATCAATGTTGACACTGTTTCCGCCAGCCTACTCACAATTGTCGTCGAGATCTGGTTCCGTCACTTCTCTGGAGACATGTAAGTGTGATGTATACTTTTAACAACTGTAGATTTTTAATGCAAATTGACTATGTTGACCATGAAATATTTTAATCCGTAGTACCACCTCATTATGACGATTTGGTGCAAAATTTCTACGAAGAGAAGGCAGAGTAGAATTTATTAAATATGTTCCTAAGTCTTATGTCATTGCTACATACATAACACATTATCACATCTTATGAATCAGAGCTTTATTACGTGTACAATTCTATTTATTACATATACATGTAAGTCATATATTTTATAATAATCTTATTGTTTCATCGCTGAACAACTTTTCATACATATTTAAAATTTCCGACTACATGGAATCACTGTTTATTACGTAAACACCCACATTGTTAACCTTCACTCCACTGGATCTTACCTGACTACTACATACATATTCACTTAATCTATTTCAATTGATCTAAATAAATTAAATCATATTTATCAAGTGATGTACAAAGTATGTGTTCTTATTTACATATTGCAATGCACCATAAGTTTGCATAAGTTGTGCAAAAAATCTCGCTTGCGTACAACTAAGCAGAAACAAATCAAATCATGACGAAAACTGGGGTTTCCTATTGTTTACATACGTTTACATATAGCAAGTTGTATAAAACAAAAAATGTGTAACATTAGTACATCTAGATGTACATATGTAGATAGATATGCATAATCTTTCCTCACCATTCTTGGAGTTTGGAAATCTGCAATTTCTGAGAAAATATCCTCCTTGCTTCCAAGTAAATAAACGATAATTACGGCTTGCAACATATACAAACCGCGTGCATTACCCACCTCTTTTTCTACTATGCAGCCAAATTTGACAAGAGCACTACCGGTATAGCTTTACATAAAGTACCAATTAGTGGCTGCCTGGTTTCATCGTAATGTCGCAATAAATTTCTCACGCTATCGGTAACTCGTGTTACATGCATACTGCATATGTATGTAATCACAAATTCCTGTACGTCACTGGGACTGGATTGGTGCGTATAACTTGGTAACTAACCTTACCAGAAGTGGTCAATATTTTCACACGGGTTCACGAACGGCATCAGACAGATACTTGTAAAAATGACATGTTCCTTGTAAACAAAAGAGTACTACCGAGTAATCTGTAATCTTAACTGGAAATTCCTTCTTGTAAATCTCTGTGTATGTTTGAGATACAAGATATATTGCGAAGTTATCACTGGTCAAGAGACTACAGAAATAGTTTTGGGCTCAGATGCTCATCATTGCCCACAGTTGACAGTTCCAACTGGTCTCCTAGCGGTTAGATAAATATTTAAAGGGTTTGTAGTCCGGAAGGATATAGACACAATATTGTCTAGATTTTACATTTCGGTTTATCAAACATTCATAAAACATGTGCAAGCAGAAAGTAGATGTTGAAGGATCTACGGCATCCACGGAATCAACGGGAGATCCACCTCTATCAAAATTTGACTTATTTATAAAGCAGAGTCCATCAATACCTGGACACAGTATGGAATTCGTCCATCCGAAAGAGATTCCATGGTTTGATCACAACCTCTTACAAAACGGAATGGACTTTGTAAGAAACAACTATTTTTCCGTCCTCTTGTCAAATTTCATCGGGGGATTTCTGATGATCACCGGGAAAAACATAGGAGGAGAGTCACTCTTCAGAAGAGGCAGCATAACCACCCCTTCTGCGAGCTTCCTCAGAATACTGAAAACAACGGACAGATTCATGCACTGGTACTCCAGTGATGTCAGCCAGGATGGATCTGAAGGTTTCAGGTATTAATTTCTATAAAATTCTTCAAGTGAAATTTTAAACTTTATTACGAGCAAACTACATCAAACTTTATCCTCAGAGCTGTGAAAACCGTGAGACGACTTCATCAGCTGTATGGAGAACCAAAGGAGAAAGGTGTCATTCCAGATGCGGAATTTGCATCACACTTTACGCCCGAAACTACTCAGCGTGTCCAAATAATGAGGGCTGAGTTGGAGAATATCGTCGACAAAACTGTAGCCCCGTACGCCCTGTTGACCCATGAATTACCTTACTCGTTCAGTCAATTCACTGTCGCCCTGAATCAACTAAGCTTAATAACAACCCTTCTGCTCTTCCCTGATCTTGTTGGACTAAATGGTAAATATCTACATGTTTTCATACATATTTATGTTCATATTTATTACAATTCGCCAAAATTAGTGATTTACATACACTCAAAAAATATTAATAAAATACTACATTCAATACAGACTCTGAAGATCTTCGCGGATACTGCCACTTTCTGGCCGTGCTTGGACGAATGCTAGGACTTGAAGATAGATTTAACATTGCTTTGTCGAATGATATTGACCTGATGAAGGGAATATTTTGCAATGTAATAGTGGCAAGCTGGCAGAAAATTGAGGAAACTAATGTTCAATTGAATGAGATTTTTGTTCAAGGAGTTAACGCAAATATTCTTCTGCCATCCTTCATGAAAATTCAGGTTGAGTTGTTTCTTCTAATGCTGCTCAAAGGGATGGGAGCAGGAAGAAAGGTTTTCCACGATAAATTAAATTTTTTCAATAAATTGTACTGGGCCATGCTAATTAGTACTTGTTGGCTTATAAGGAAATCCCTTATTCTCAAAATTGTAGTTAATAATTTTACTAGGTTATTTGTGTGGATTTTAACAAATGCATATTTAAGAGATAAAAGTAAATATCAACCCAAATGTAGAAATGGATGTCCATTTGGATAATTAATTAATACGTAATGTAAATATTTGAAACGATGTATGTAATTTTATTTTATTCAATGTAATATAATTTATTTTGTAATTCAGCAAATTAAAAGTATAGTTTTTCATTTTTCAACAATCACTTGATTTTTATAAAAATTTTGAATGGCTTTGGATAATTTCCCATTCCTGCATTGGGTGTGGAATCTATATCTCCAAAATTTTCGGGATCCGAACGGAATTCGTAACGCTGTAGAAAACTCACAAAAAATGCAAAAATTGTGAGGCGACCAAACACTTCTGCGGGACAAGTTCTTTTTCCTATGAATATTTTTATACAAATAATTTGTGCAACAAGCCATGAGCATCTAAATGTCTAAATAAATAAATTTTAAATTACATACCAGTACCAAACGGGAGTATCAGTTCCTGATTTATCAGCTTCCCATTAGCATCCAAAAATCTCTCAGGTTTAAATAGATCAGGCTCGTTCCAAACATTGTCATTGTGATGAACATGGTACAAATTTATCAGTGCAACGGTTCCCTATTCAAGTTTTTCATACATAATACAAACTTAGTGATGAGGGAACAGTAATTATTACTTTTAAAAATAAACAACGATTTAATTATGTACTTTCTCTACGAAATACTTATCCACCCACGTGTCCTTTGTCGCAGCTCGGGATGTCAACGGAATAAGTGTGACTTTTCGTAGAGTTTCTGCTATCGTAGCCGAAATGTATGGCATACTAATAACATAAACTTAAGCATATTTAGTGGCTAAATTAAATATTTAATTAGACCCACAATTTGCATTTACCATTCAGGGTTGTTAATCACAGTGGGCTTGGAACCATCTAGCACAATGTCCAGCTCCTTTCTGCACTTATCTTGGACGTGGGGGTGAAGAATCATAAACATGACGAGGTACTCGAGACACGACGCAATAGGTAGAAACCCAGTGACAAACAAATCAACCAATACGCAGATCAACTGTTCATCTAGTAAATAGGAAACATCAATCAGTGGTTACAAATTATTTCCTGGCTATTTGGTTGGAAAACCGCAATAAACAGCTACTGCAAAATCTAAGAAGGTTTTTCCTAACAAAACAAACCTGCGTAGTGGTAATTAGAATCTGGCGATGTTGAACTGGAGGTGATGTGGTCAATCTCTGCCAAGAACGCATCGACAAAGTTGTTTTGTTCTCTTTTATAGAGGTTAAGTTCCCGACGCTCTTTTATCAATTCCTAAATTTGTATTACAAACAAATTGCGTACGCATTGTATAGTAAGTGTACACTCAATGATAAATTTTAAAACGTCGTAAATGTATTTTCATGTCTATTAAATAAACCTACCCCAAAATATTGATTCAACATTTTCGCATCTCTCATAAATCTGGTATATCCTGTGGCGCCTGGGATATAACGAAGCCACGGAAAAGCAAGGAAGCCCATCTCTTTCGGATGGATGTCTTTCGTCATCCGCTCAAGAAGCGAAGTCAATTCGACCACTTTCTCCGAATTATATGGAAACCTTGATGAGGTAACCATTGTCCAGAGTATGTTCAGAGGTGCAACGTTAAACAATCCTAACAAAACATTTCATTAACAACCACATGTATTGCATATTTACATATGTAATTCACACATAAATATAAAGCTCGGGAATGTGAAGATTATGTATATATTTGTCATGTACCTTGCATTTCTACAACTGCTCCATCTGAATTGCCCATTCCAGGATATTTTTGGTCAAAATACTTAAAAAATTCACTAATTTCTTCCTCCTGCCTCGTTTGCAGCGCACTTCCTCTACCAAAGCCAAACTTGACCATAGTTTTTGCTAAAAAACGTCTCATTTCTCGCCAACTGTCACCATTTGATGTCAGTAAACCTGGTAGATACATGATGCTTATGTCTATAGTGCCCAAAATATTATGCCTATAGATGTTAAATTATACCATAATCAATTCCAAAAGTACGTTCTTTAAACATTGCGTTGTCCTTAATTCGATCAGCCCAGTCTTCAGAGCACAGAACTTTTTTAATGAGGGGAAGTTCGTCCAAAATTACTAATCAACAATTAAATTGACTATATTTAAGACTTCCATTTTTTAAATTATGGATTTATAGCCTCACTGAATTTGTTCTGCCCTAAGGTGAGCCCAAGCACTTCGCCTACAAAATGCTTTCTGAGTTCCAACAACAACTGAAATGACGAAAGTTGCAGAGGATTCTTCCCCAACTTCCAAACCAAATGGGGTAAACTTCCGAGTATTGGAATGGCCACTGGCCCTGGAAGATTTTTGCCTTGGTGGAATTTTGGTTGTCGCATCCCAAACCAGGCCCAGATTAGTATTGCTATTGACAATGCTGCACATGCCCCCAGAATTGTGAACGCCATGGTACTTGTTCCTTCAAAGGATTATAGTACACTTCTAAAGTCGCTCATCAGCTTGGCACCAAAGCTTTGTACGTCTGTACACAGTTTACAAGAATCAATTATTTTGCGTACTTAATTATTGGGATATGTGGTTGGGTATAATAGTTGGATAATGATGGAGGTTTGGCCACTAATAACATGCACTAATAATAATTTAAGGCTAAAGCAATTCCAGATTATTATTCAGGTACATTAATATATGATGTAGCTAGATCAAAACAAGCAAGTTCATCATTAGTACTTGTCTCCTTCGCATTGAGGGATGGAGATTTTTTTATGATATAAATATAAGTATATGTGCTACATAATCGTACTTAAATCTTAGTTTCAGTTGCATACAGTAAATATTTGAAATGAGCATATGATAATCTCTTAATGTAAAATAATTCCAACTTGAATGGCTGGAGAAATCTATATTTCAAATGGCATTTCTGGTCAACCGGTGAGGAATATACATGCGATCCAGATGGCCAGATGTCATTCTTACATATAGAGAACTTGTAGAATAGTCTGTGAATGCAAGTTTACCCAATAATAACAAAGAATAGTGATGATCTAGAAAGTTTGGAACTATTCTCAATTTATTCCTGTGAGATCTACCATCGGGTACGAAATGCGTATGCGTACATACATATGAGCAGAAAATGAATACTGTATACCTACTCAAGATTATCACAGCCATTTTTCCAAGTTTCACTAGTTATCGTCCGTAAAGGTGATGTGATTCGTGTTCCAATTTATTGACTGCATATCCAGAATATTTCTCAAATGTTTCCCCCTTCTCATTAGAAATGAATACAGTATTAATTTGTATTAAGTCGTGGTCAGAACCACGCCTTGAGCAAGACCTTATTTTTTCAGAAACACAAATGCATTTATAACAGACTTTGTTCTTATTTATTTTATGCAGATTCTTTTAGTTTTACCATGACAATTTTGTTGTGCATCCTGAGAAATTTTTGAAAGTAAAAATGATCTCGCTGGAAGATATTTTTAGACTGATGGTGATTTTTATTAAACAACTTGGTTTTAAGGTTTTGACAGTACATAGGAGACATTCATACATATGTAATAATATGTGGTCAGAAGTGACCATACAAACTACGCAGAGTTATGCTCAAACGAAGTGTCCCTTCTAATGAGGCATAAAAACAAAAGGACCCTTTTAATCCCTTGTCCTGGGAAAAAGGTTGGAAAATGCTCAGCCCTCATAAAAGTCGACAAACTTAAAAATTGATAAATATGGAAAACTTTGTTAACATGCATATTTTAACAATTTTATCCTGGAGCCATCAAAGGAGACGGCAAATTTTCATAGAAATTGGGGTTTGAAACTTTGAAACCAATGCAACTATACTTAATAAAATTTACCAAGTAGCCTAAACTAACGTAAACAATTAAATTTATTCATTTCAAGTTAGCTACATTTACATAAATACATTACTACATACATTACATTAATATTTACTTATGAGATTTAATTGCTTTCTCATGGTCCAACACCAGTAAATATGCTAGAATCGTAGTCACGTTCATTTCACACAAACATACTAGAACATATATACACATGCCTACGTATGTAAATGTGTATGCATCCCGAGAAATGTAATGGTTCTCCAAGAAACAAAAATAGCTTCTCTTTTGCTCCCAGTATAAGTCAAGTCAGTCTTGGTTTTGAAGACGTTGCGAGAACAACCTATATAGTTTTCACTTACCAGTTAGTTTTATTTACTCATGCTTTTAGTCAAACTTGCGACTGCTTCGGTTCTGGAGAAAGTTTATTTTCAGTAACTTTGGAACTCTAGTAATTGATAATCAGTCATGCCACACATCGAAGTAACGACACCCAGTTCCTCTGCTCATCTCGTAGGGAAAAGTGCATCCTGTTCAAAATTGATAGCAGAATCGGACAGTGCAATTAGTGGTAGTCATCGGCAGGGCAGATGCCGGAGAGTGACCACACTCGCATTAGGTGGTTGTGGACGCAACGACGACGGGATTCGCATCGAGGTCACCCTGCACAAACCGCTTCGCTGGCAAGTCACTGCTGCAGAAAGGGCAAGCGTTTCATCAAGAAATCGACACTATGACAGTTGCTCGAGCGAGAGCATTTCAGGTAAATACGGTTTGTAGCCAAGTTTTTCGTTCCAGAAGGTTTTCACTGTTCAGATTCTGAATTTCAGAACAGACGATCAATATTTTTATGCATAGATAAAATTTGCTACTACAAAGTACACGGTTGCATTTATTTATGTGAACATCTATCTTTGAAATTATGAAGTCAACAGCAAATGAATCACCATAATAATACAATTATAAATACATACTTGTTGTTTGCAAACGCCTCCGCACGTTGCACAACGCCTCCGTATAAACTGTCGCTTTATTTTTGCATTTTGTGTACATATGCACATACATCGAGGGCGACAGTTTTGTATCTCTTCATTTACTTCTATTCATCTACTGCCAACATTCATCTCGCCCAATTAATCCCGTGCCATGTGTACATTAAAACTGAGCTATTAACCTACTTGATGTTTGGAGTTGATAAGCTAATTGATAAATATTCTGGAATTTTATGTACTCCACAATTGGCTAGGGACAAATATAAAGCATATGTATACCAAGCAGTATGCACCAGTTTAGTAAGGGTTAAACCAGAAGATTTTACGTTGAATGTTCATTGGTTCATCGAATAATGTCTAATTTTTATCGATGGCACCACCAACATGACAATAAGTCAGGCATGAGTAACAGAAGCTGTACAAATTTAGTCGTATTTTTTCCTCTAGCAGTGATTCGGGAAACAGACTTGAAAAAAGTGGAAACGTTCAAAGTGACATATGAAGTGCCAGTATAAATGACTTGAATTCACTTCCATAACACATCCAATTGGTACTTTGATGATGATTGCAAAAAACGGTTCAGTGTCCAACCAAGTGGTAAAAAAAGTTCAGCTGTTGAACTAAATCACTGACCAACTTTTGTAGACAGAACTTAAGCCAAAACGTCAGTTGCATTTTCCGGGTTCAAAATTTCGAGTCGGGATAAACTGTGAGAAATGCATGGTGAGATGATGGATGTGACAGACAGGTTTTCATATCTTCCCACATCGTCATCTCTAAATAATCGGTGCTTTACTTAAAGCGTTTCTTTTTGCTGCATCGTTCGTTTGTTTCTTTCTTTAGACCTGGGCCTGACCCAACCCGTCATTTGTTATTGCAACTGCCATTGTGCGGCATTTCGACGATTCTAGGTTTGATTATTTAAGCAAGAAAGCTGCGTCTGCCAGACTGAAAAATAAGGAATATATGTACATATGCATGCATACACATTATGCACGCGGAGGGAGGAATGCCGGGTGTTACTGGGTATGCTGGTTAACAGCTCCAGAAATAGCTAGACCTCGGGGATTCCCCTTCGACCGAAATAACTAGTTGTTAGCACCATCTCATACAGATCGCACATCCTTCTCATGTCATAATAACAAAGTTGACTGGGCCAAGGGGAGAAACTGGGATATGTAGATTGCACTTCTGGCTGCAGTTTTTATTTCTTTGGAAAGAATAAATACAGAGAAAAGTCCGCAAGAAGAAGAAGATGTGACCATTGAATTGCATCCTCATGAAACGGATTATTTTATTGTCATTGAGTTGGGTGCGGCATGTAGACATCCTTTGTTAATGACACCCCTATTTGTCCATGTCCTGTGAGAATTGAGACAAAATTTGTCTCTGTCATTGAGAAATCAAGGTTGAAAGTCGATCGAGTCTTGGACTTGAGAAATCTTATCCCCTAGCGTGTACATAGACTATAAGCAATATATGTAACGTCATATATATGTAGATATATACATATGAGTATATATATGGCCTACTTGTTTTTCTCTTACGATTTGACAATCTCCGACGGGGATGAACTTTATTCTATTGTTTTTTCTCACCCGTATTGACTTTTCCATAGAAAGAGTATATGTATGTGTGCAGGAGGTCTTTCAATAACGAGATCAGTTTTCTGTGTGGTGAGCAATAATCCGTAAAATGAAAAAAGGTCCGGGTGGACTTTGTGAATGGACAGGTAGTAAATCTTGTTCTGGTCGGGGCGACAATAATATAAGGCGTGTCTTAACCCTTATCAACCACAAGATTGTAATACCGATATTTAATTGGAGCACAAGCAATGTTTACATCTATTGTCTGGAATGTCTATTAATTCACTGATAGATACTTTAGCTGATCAGGTCTTGTAATATATTTTATCATAAGTACACGACACGCCTCTTGTTGGTGGAGTAAGTATATTCATATTTAGGTAACACAAAATTACCGATCAATACACAGGTAGTCTATTACCCATACATACAAATTACCCGCACCTGCATAAAAAATAACAGGAATTCGTGTAACATCGTTCGTGACATTACATTTCCTTGTGTTGAAGCAAACACACGTCCCGTCGTTGCTCTAGGGGTCATTGATGTCAACTGTGCCATGTATTTCTTCCAATGCCATAAAGATACGAGATGGGAGAAAGGAATGCGGATCGGAATGTGAGTACCAGAAAATGGAGTGACGTCTGCAGCCAGTAGTACTCGTCGTAGATACCTCCCAAATTCTATCTCTTAACCCTGATCCCATTTTTTCCTCTCTGGAATTTCTTCCAGCTTCCAATAAGTCACAAAAATACCAAATCAATATCAATCTCATCTCCACTATGGCACGGTCTGCTGGCTCAGGGTGGCAAAATCACTGGCAAATCCGGAAATGATCTATTCCAATACAACACAAAGCAAAGTCAACGTAACGGGTTTATACACAGATAGATCTGGGAAACAAATAGTACATAGTAACATTTGTAATTGAACTCGATTAATTGAATTACTTTACTACTCACTTACATACTACGCTCAACAAGCATCATCTCATACTGCATTTACAACAGGTGCTCGTGTTTAATTCCAATCTATAGATTCATTCACTCCCAAATGAAGAATGCAACTGGTAGTACATACGAAGTATACTTATTACGCGTTTGCTACATGCATACATTCACCAAATTCACCTTTTACTCCTGTGCATATGTACAATATACGCACCTGATCCTCTTATTATTATTCGTTAACACAAAAATGCGGATTTACAAGGAACACAAACTCATCCATTGTGTCATGGTTTTTAAGCAGCATCCATAAACCGGTGGTATGGCATCTCTGAAGCCTGACAAACACACTTGTTTCCACGATTATTCCATCCTTTTGTGAATGCATCCAATCCATTCAGACTTTGCGAGGAGTAAGTAAAGCGTGTTCTTATGTACGAGGGGCCGGCTAGAGTTTGAGTTCAGTTCGAGCTAAGCAGTCCGTGATGGTGGTTGTTGAAACGCCAGCGTTGCTGAATTCCTCTTCATCATCATCTTCTTCACTGTTCCGTTACATCAACATCAACCGATTTCATTATCATCATCTTGCATGAGGGGTCATCATCCCGTCATACATGTTGCCCAGCCAAGCTAAAAATCAAATCTGATAAATATCTTTGATCTTCTGAAAAAAATACAAACAAATTCGTGGAACTGTTCGACAAAGAGACAATTTTTTCTCAGTTTAATATACTCCTTATTTTAATCTTGGAGAAGAAGAAGAAGCCATCTCAATAATAATAATCTCACACAGATACCTTTGTTCCAGTATATTATTCAGTGCAGAGGTTCTACTACAACAACGACTTTACCACAAACCACCACCTGTTCATTACCTTACCACCAGGTTTTGGTATGCCCATTCAACTTGACGTTAACGTTTGTTTGTTAGTTCGATATTATATTGCTTTTTACTCGTTGTTCGTGTGGGTGGGTACGATCCTTTTCCAGCATTAAATAATATTGGCGTGGCGTGGCGTAGTGGTGTTTCTCTATTACCAACATTAGTGCATATTATCGTGTAACTAACTCTACTATACCAATATTTAACCTGAGAAGAGACGAGGAGACTCGGATGAGGTATTTCGCCGTGAATATGCACAAGGTTCATTCCATTTTATGACTTTTCCACTACACACAGACACACATACCAACATAACAGCAGGAGCTGGATGAAGGTCGTTTAAGAATTAACTGGAACAAATATTACGATTACTTAAATAAAAATTAGACGAGCGGTGTAGAGTGAACATTCACAGGATTACCACATTCTGCATCATATCCGTCGTGAAAAGTGGGCTATGCCGCATATTTTTATTGAGTTGTGACTAATCAATCAACAAAGTTATTGAGCAGTGGATCGGTATAATAATATCCGTCACAGGAAAAAAATTGTGTCATTCGACTTCCATTAAGCCAGATGTAAATAGTAGTGACTGGACCTGCATTCTTTATGGTGAGTGACCGATAACACTTCAATCTGTCATCGATTATCAATCAATAACAAGCATTGCATTTTGACCCTTATTCCCTGGTACATAGTTTTATGATAGCATATATATGCGTACATGCGTCTATGTATTTATGTACACGTTGGATTACGTATGTAGAGTAAAAATTGTATATTTTCTCGTAAAACTTTAATCCCATTGTTTGCGGAGGAATAAGTAATTTCGTTGTTGACTGACTTCTCATCCTCGGCGTCTCCGATTATTCTGTACTTTGTTCAGGCTCTGACGAACGTATGTTGTATGTATAGTTTAGTAGTCGAATTGGATATCCTCCACTTTGCCCAACTTTGTTTTGGATTTGTTTGCGAGAGAATCCGTTTTAATGAAATAGACAAACAACATGGGGCTGCTGAGAGAACAGAATACAAAGCTTTGTTCTGTAACCAAGAAGAACAGAAGTGCTTCCGAAAAGGGGTCTCAAGAAGCATCCTTTTCTTGCCGACTTGTTTCATCGTCGTCATATAACTTTGTTCAGTGAACGTGAACTTTTTATTACTTATTATAACGGAGATTGATTGGTTTTTAGTATTTGGAAAAATTTCTTATCCTCAGTACTAAACTATTGTTGTATGGTTTTAGTTCTTGATTGGTTTAGATTGCATCAGCAGAATTTTTTGTACTTGTGCGTGGTTTGGTTTGGATGCTCAATATTCTTGATTATTTTGATCAAATATATTGGCATAACATG